CTTTTGCGGTTTAAAAAAGGTAAAAAGTTTTTGTTTCAAGCACTTTTTTTCGTTGCTACTTCACGAACTTTATGCCAACTAATGCCAACTTACAGTGCTGGTATCAAACTAATATTCAGAATATTCTATTGGGTTGGGGAGAATGAGTCGGCGCCAAACTTTAAAGGGACTTTTTGCACACATAAAGCCTTCTTTAAACATACGTTTGGTTTCATCAAAAGGATCCACTATTTCTCTACAAAATCACTTTTGAGAGATTCCACAAAGCTTTTCTTTCGTGGAGTTTATGAACTTCCAAACGCAGCTGGTTAAAATGGCAAAGAGTCCGACTCATCATTTGAACAGTTTCTTTCACATAAACCTTCTTTGGTGTTTATATAAAAAAGATAGAGCACATTCAATTACTTAAGTTGCCAAATTTGCAGGAAGATCCCACCAATGGTTTTTTCTAGATCACAGTTTGTAGTTTTTGTGAAAAAATGGCTTTTTCTTGAGCGGAGGCGCTGTTTGAATTTTCTTTTAAATGTGATTTTGTAGAGAATTAGTTAACCATTTTACTCATATCAAACGCATATTATTTGACGAAGTCGAATTGAAGTTTTAGACATTTTTTCATTTTCGGCGCCGACTCATTCTCCCCAACCCAATAATATTCAGAATATTCTACAAAGAGGGGATCGATGTGCTCTTTGATGCTCGTGATCGACCGATTTGAAAGATTTGAAAAAAATGACCAGCAAAAAAAAAAAAAAAAAAGCAAAAGCTTTTCAACGGTTACGATGTTGTACCGCATGGCAATCCTTTTGATTTTGATTTGATTTGATCTATTTGAACGGGTGCGATCTTTGTCAACTTGTATTTAAACTTTTTCGTTTACCTATCTTCTAAATTTTACTTCTTCAAAAATTTGGAAACTGCTATAAGTGATTTTAGTCAAGGCTTCTGTGGAACGTCGATTATCGATCAGAATTGGATCCTAATTGCGACCATTTCCCGAGAAAATCCTGGGTTGGCGCTTTAAAGCGTGGTAAAACTACCGTACCCCTCCTAATTTACGCAAAATTTCATTTTTTTCATTTTATTCTTTTTGCATTTTTCTGATGAGTGCGTTTGTTTTTGCAAGAAATAAAAAGGATTAAGTTAAGTTACGTTTTTAACAGCATTTTCTGTGGCGGAAGCTTTGTTTATAGAGTTTTTTTAGATCCACTTACTTCCCGACTATCTACTTCACGAACTTGATGCCAACTAATGTTAAGTTGAGTGGTTTTTATCATTTTCTATGGCGGAAGCTTTGTTTTTGTGAATTTTTAGTTGAAAAAAACGCAAAAAGAATAACTTAGCTTTATCCTTTTTATTTCTTGCAAAACCAAACGCACTCACATCAGAAAAACGCAAAAAGAATAAAATGAAATGAACAAGAATGAAAAAAAATGAAATTTTGCGCCAATTAGGAGGGGTACGGTAGTTTTACCACGCTTTAAAGCGTCAACCCAGGATTTTCTCGGGAAATGGTCGCAAGTGATTTGTCAGAGTTCAGATTAACAATTTATTGAATTTTTTTCATTTTTACAGGCGGAAATTCTTCTTCAATAATCGTGAATCATTTGGGAAAAATTTCAAATTCAGAAAAAGAGTTTGTTTGTCTAAAAAGCAGTGACTCTTCAAAAATAATTTTGGATAATTGAGCATTTACCGAAATGAGCATTTACCTTGTGCCATCAATTTCTGTGCCTTTCAAAACCTGTTTACCTATCAGCTAGAGATCGTCATTTTCTTCAATCTTTGATACGATTTTTTACAGAAGAAAATTCTTCTTCAATAATCGTGAATCAAAATTTTCAAGAAAATTTCAAATTCAGAAAAAGAGTTTGTTTTTCTAAAAAGCATTGCACAGGGCCTTCAGAACGAATTTGGCGATAAAGAGGTAAGAATAGGTTAAAGTAAGTGTCATTTACAATAGGAAAGAAGATTTTTCCCAAAACCATAGCCTTTATTTCGGGAAATCTCAATCGTAGCCAGTGAAACTGACCGAAAACTCGGTAACAGGGTATTATCCGGTGTAGACTGTGTTCCTCTCAAGCAATTTTATTTGAATAATAATAATAAGCGTCTTAAAACGCGCCCAATTTTGTCTCAAGCTTTGCAGACAGTTTCGCATTGTCAAGAAAAACAGTATTTTACTAAATTTCAGGTCAATCATCCCCGAATAAAACGCTGCTGGATGGCCGGTAGATGTCTTTGTGATTTGAGCCTTGGCGGTTTGGAATACCTTCGATGCGAATGCCGAAATGAAAGAGCTCGTTTAACTGATCATGAAGAGCTCAATCAACTGGACAGATCCTCGGCTTGTGCTTCTCTTTGCGAAATTGAGCCCTCTTTTTGCTCTGGCGAAAAAAGAGACAATAAGTCAAAAGAGAAACAGTGAATAAAGCTTTACAAACATTTTCTTTAATACTGGTTCTTTCTTCTCAAAAACTTTCAAAATAAAGAGTTTACACTAAAGATCAACACTCAAACACTAGCAGTAATGAAACGCCATACATAAGTAACCAATCGAGGACTGCAGCTGGTAAGAAAATTTTGGATTCAGGCTCAGGCTTAGGCTCAGGCTCAGGCTTAGGGCTCAGGCTCAGGCTTAGGGCTTAGGCTTAGGCTTAGGCAGTATTGTCAGCAATTTGTCAGTAGTGAATTAATCTCGTTTTACTCATACAAGAACACGTTTTTAATGTTTAAAACAAGCATAGATATCTAAATAAAGTATTCAGCTTTCCCTCGTAATCTGGATGACTCAAGCAGCTCAATAAAAAATGACCTTTCTTGAAAATGATTTCCAAGGTTTTTCAATGATCATGATTTCCAAGGAGTCATCGTTTTTTCGACAGGTAAAAACAAATCTCGACTCGAAAATAATATTTCTGTAGTGATTATTGTTGGTTTAGATATAATCTTTATTACAGCGATAATAGTTGGTTCAGTGGTTTGATATTGGGAGAGTAGAGACCCGGCACGGCACCGCACAGCACACGTCAGCAGCTCGTTCACATTGCTTTTATACGGAACTCAGGCGTTGGTCTCGTCTTGCACACAATGGAGTTGAACGGATAGCGACGCATATTAAATCTCGCACAATAGGGGTTCGTCCACATAGGTGTCTAGCTGGCGATTTCCATACGTGGCGATCTCGATCACGAGATCGTCACGACAATTTCTAACTATTAGGTGTGTGAAAAAGTAATCCACGTTTTTTATTTTTATTTTGTTTAAATAAATATATCTAAACAATTTTTTTTTTTGTTAACGTTTTTTTTTGTTAACGGTATATATATCGTTTAAAAGCTTATTTTTTTCCTCTTTCGAATGATAGATTCATTTTGTTAAAAGGACGACAATAAACTACTTTCATTTTAGTTTGAAAATGGTATACACAAGTATCGTTATTCGGTCAAATTTGCTTTATGAGTTCAAAAATGGGTTGAAAGCTGCGGAGGCTGCACGTCGAATTCGGAGTGCGTTTGGCGAAGACGCCGTTACAGATGATACCGCTAGGTTTTGGTTCCAACGATTCAAAGGTGGTAATGAAAGCCTAGACGATGAACCACGTGGCGGTCGCCCTGAGACCTGTTCGGATGACCAAATAAAACGCTGTCTTCTCGAAAACCCTCGTTCAACCTCTTCAGAAATAGGCCTTACATTAAATTGTGATGGGTCAACCGTAAGGAAACGCTTGAATGCCATGAATTTTATCAAAAAGTTGGACAAATGGATACCGCATAAACGTTAAAAACGTGGATTACTTTTTCACACACCTAATACTTATGTAGTAAATTGCTTTTATCTGTTGCATTTTTTGAAGAATTTCTTTTCTTTTTCATGATTTTGATTAGAGTTTTCAGAAAGTCAAATGTCGACGAATCCGCCTGCCCATCTTTATGAACAACTTTCTTTAGGTGAAGATGATTGCAAAGGAGTCATCGTTTTTTTTCGACACGTAACCTTCAATAAATGAGTAGGTTTTCCTCTTAAAAAACAATTATGCAAAAAAATATAAAAAATTTAGATTTGTTTATACGCCATACAGGAAAACCTACTCATTTATTGAAGGTTACTTGTCGAAAAAACGATGACTCCTTGGATAATCTTCGTTATCTACTATATATATAAAGCAGAAGAGACATCTGTCCGTCTGTCCATCGCAGCCATTGGCAAAAAGGGGCGGGACTTAGATTTCACGGAAAACGCGAACGTTAGTGAACGTTTTCCGTTTTCTGCGAAAAAAGAATCATAAAAATTTATGGTGGAACAAAAAAAATGACATTTTTGAAAAATCCGACATTTCATTAGCGCCAAGCCAATAATACGTTAGTAGTTTAAATTTTTCTTTCTGCTGATTCAAAAAATACCGTAAATCCTCTATTAGAGCCGCACTTTTAGAAAACAGAACCGCATGCAAAATAGAACCGCATGCGGCTCTAATAGAGGATAGGAAATGAGGGATTTCGGCAAGGGATTTCGTTTACGGTATATGTGCAGTTTTTGAACCTAATTTTCAAGTAGGGCGGGTTCTGAAATTCTGAAGATTCTGAAGATTCTGAAGATCCGGGTATTTCCCACTATTTCTTCCTTTCTTTCTTCTTCTTTGTCTTTCCTATTTCTTCTTGGCGAAGCAGCTCAATGGTAGAGCATCTGGAGCATCGGTAAGAAGAAGGTCAACGTTTCAGTTCCCTTTCGGTTGCAAATTCTTTGCCATTTATCTCTTTACTATTACAATCAGTCCTTTATACCGTGCCCATGGACATACAAATGGCCATGGCCATACAAATGGCCATGGTCATGTTAGGGCCATGGTTGGCCATGTACAACTGTCCACATTTTTCAAATTTAAACGTTTATTCAATGATCAAAAGATATCGAATGTGTCTCGATGACATGGATTTTCGATTGTTGTCGATTCGGCTTAGGATTTCGATTTTGAGATGGTTCTTTCCCTTGATCTGATCTCAAATGCAACACCGAGGAGTTTGATCTGAAATTGGATTTAGATTTAGATTTAGATTTATATGCAAATTTTCAATGGTAAATTCATTCGTTAGCTGAATATCTTAATAACTATTGTAGAAATCTCCGTAATTTCTTTTCCAAAAAACGTGTCAGCAAAACTATGCACCGTATTTCTTCGAATAGAAGACCGGGTAAAGAGTATCATCGCGTACTCCTGCGTAGCAGCCCTTTTTAAAATTACTTTTCTGCATAAAAGCTTTCAATAAAGTGCTATAGGGCTGGAAAATGACTCAAAAATCTGTTAGCTCATGTAGTATTTTTGAGCCATTTTCCAGCTCTATAGCACTTGATTGAAAGCTTTTATGCAGAAAAGAAATTTGAAAAGGGCTGCTACGCAGGAGTACGCGATGATACTCTTTACCCGGTCTTCAATTCGAAGAAATACGGTAGCCTAGTTTGGATAACTGAATGAATTCAGATTTTTCACTCAAACCTGAGTCTCAGTATTGTCAGCAAAGCATATCGATAATCTTTAATGAAATGAATAATACAAATCGGATCCAAAATTGGATATAAAGAGATAGCAATTGGGACATAATTGCATGCTCGTCCAAATGGGAAATGAATGAGTGGAGTGAAAAAAGTGACCGCACAAGGGATGTACTCGAAAAAGACTGGGATCATTGTCTGAAAGAGATTTCGTTTACAAAACTTTTTACAATAAACACCTGAACCAATAGCGCCTTGAAGAGCTCGAATTGGAGCCGACGCGCTTTTTCGCTCATCACCGCTGTCTATATTGTTTGGGATTTTATGCTAGACTTTTCTATGAGTTTTCTAGTATGCACTTAAAACTATCGTAATCAAGTTGCCAACTACCACTCACTTTGAGTGTTTCGTGAATTCTCCAGGTGCAAAATGAGATCACCGAAAAGGTGATCCCAAGCTCGGTCATGCAGACAGAGAAAGCGAATAACTCAAGGAGATCCCAAACTTCTTCCCCGTCCTCATTTCTTTTCTAAATCTTTTTATGGATTTTTGTTTATCGATCAAATACCTTGTACATTAATCCCAAAATCGCACTCGTGTTCACGTCGAATTCGTACGTTTCCCAAAGCACGTCATGGAGGTAATTCTAAGCATTATGTGTCTATAAGTTTCTTAGGACATTCGACAAGTCATTTAGAAACTTTGGGACTTTGGTTATCCGTTTCTAATTGAATACCGTATTGTTTATTCAACATGATCTTCGTTATCTACTATATATAAAGCAGAAGAGAGGTCTGTCCGTCTGTCCATCGCAGTCATGGGCAAAAGGGGGCGGGGCTTAGATTGCGCGGAAAACGCGAACGTTAGTGAACGTTAGTCAACGTTTTCCGCTGGTTTCCCAATACTTGAACATACATTTCAATTCTGAGAAAGAAGTGAAACAGTGGCTAGAAAATTGAATCAATAAGAGTATTTTCTCGGATTGAAGCTGTCCTCAACTACAAGGAAATGGTCTCAGCCTCAAGTTCAAAATTGTTATCGACGGACTTTAGCATTAGATTAGAGAATCATTATAGCATTAGATTAGAGAATCGTTGGAAAAGCTTATAAGAAAAGAATCATTTTATTAGGTCCATTGAATCGCGAAACGATTTCAAACTTCAGTGATTAACTCTACCAACGAAGTGAATGATTCGATTGGGGCCAAGTCAGTGACTTGAAGCTTAAGCTATTATTGTAAAATCTTGAGTGATAAACCAATCCATCGATAAACTCACTTTATATGGTTCGGTGTAGAACATGAAATTGTGCAGTACAGTTCCCCAAATGATTCCCATTCCAAGCCAAATCCCGAAATGAATCGGGATATATTTTGGCGAATTGAACAAATACAGATAATTTGTTCTAAACAAAATTTATTTTCAAATTCTGGAAACTATTTTTACTTGCATATGAGTATATAGCGATAAACAAAATGAAATGCCAAAAGGACGAGGCTCTGGAAGGAAATGAGTTTGTTCTAACGTACAGTACTGGACAATGAAATATGATATTTGAAAAACGATCGCCACTTTCGCGCGTCTGTAACTCCCTTGTCTTTACCGTATTCTAAATATTAATATTACCATTGTGTAGCCATTGAAAAGAGCTTCCAGAAAATGTATAACACTAATAGTTTAAACTCAAAGACAACGGAGTTACAGACGCGCGAAAGTGACGATCGCTTTTCAAATATCATATTTCATTGTCCAGTACTGTACATAGTCATTGAAATACTCAAACCTGACAAAACAGACTCCCATACATCACCATTCCCCAGTGTGCGGCAGTGAGAGTATACTGTAGAAAAGAAGTCGGGAAAAGGACAAACGCGTACTCGTAGACGTGCATATTCTGAAAAACTGGGGGCATATAAAGACATTTATCAAGAGAAAAACTCTCAAGTCAGCTCACATTTTTCACCTAATTTAGCTGATGTTCAAGACTAATCGCATGTAGAATTTGTACCAAAAATGTAGCTAAAAATTAAAGCAAAAAAAATGATCTCAAAAATTTGTTCACAAAAGAAGATATTCAATTGTAAATTTGTACCCAGAAGTTTTCGGGATCGGCCAATCGATTGAAGCTACTCATTTTATATTAAGTTTACCAATTGAAATTCGGATTTAATTTGTCTAAACTTTTCGATAAACTCGCAAATCTTATTAGCCTATCTTGGAGAGAACATTCACAGATTTCTAAATGCTATATATGATTTCGACCGTGACAATCTTCCGAGAGGAGACACAACTTTTCGATGTATCTTCGATTGTATCTTCAATTCAATAAAGGAAAACTGTATTTGGGTTAATCTTTATTAAAAAGTTCAATTGATTAAGATCATATGAAATGAAATGCCAAAAGGACGAGCCTCTGGAAGGAAATGAGTTTGTTTTAACGTACAGTACTGGACAATGAAAGGCATTGAGTTCAACTGAGTGCAACTCACCGGCATTACCACAATATGAACTCCCGGATAAATCATGTTAAAGAGAGCGAATAATAGCATGAGATATCGATATGTTCCGATGTGTTTCCGACTGTGAAAAGTGATTAAATAGATGAGGATGAGGTTCATTAGATATGAAAGAGAACCATTTAAATAGATGATAGCTCGAGAGAACATGTCAAAAGTAGGGTAAACCATCTGAAATCAATCCATTCACTTCAAACAAAACACTTCAAATTTTAAAGCAAAACCTTCACTTTTCCCTCTGTTGTTTTTGATAGAAATGAAGAATGCTGTGCACTATGGAGTACTCTAAACAACGCACAGAGTACTCTAAACAACGCACAGAGTACTCTAAACAACGCACCACTTGACTCTTCATTTTCTAGTGATATAAAACTGTTACTGGAAGAAAAGTGAAGAATTGAGTGCACGAGAAAAGGTTATTTGATTATTGAGCACAAGAAATACAAAGACAATAAGTCTAGACTATTTAAACATCACAATCTAAACATAATTTCACTTAAAACCTCAAAAAAACATTCTCCACCAAAAAGTCTCCATTATCATTCGCGTATTTTGTATTGGTTTGCTCAAAATCTCGATTCTTTTAAATAGAAACGATAGACAATAGTAAAAACAATAGAGGATTATTCTCGACAATCTCTCTTTTACAATTTTCTTTTCCATAACACACAAAGAAACTTAATTAATTAATGAAAATCAAACTTCAAATCCAACTTTAGAAAATTTTTGATGAAAAAAATGACTTTTTTGATATATGATGTGTTTTCAAAAGTGCTTTGGATAGAAAATTAGCATAATTATGGACTGATTGTGAACTCATTAGTTTTCGGGCTAATTAGCTTTGATAGTCAAGCCGATAAACTTTTTTTGAAGTAATCATCGTTCTCGTTCTGTTAAAGAGCATAATACAGTACTGGGCAATGAAATATGATATTTGAAAAACGATCGTCACTTTCTCGTATCGGTAACTCCCTTGTCTTTGAGTTTAAACTATTATTGTTATACATTTTCTGAAAGCTCTTTTCAAGGGCTACACAATGGTAAGATTAATATTTAGAAATACGGTAAAGACAAGGGAGTTATAGACGCGCGAAAGTGACAATCGTTTTTCAAATCTGATATTTCATTGTCCAGTAGTGTACATGCTTTTTGGTGTAACGAGAATCCTTCGATTAGTGCTGAATGCTTCTTTTTGTCTGAAATCATTTTCTGCTCGACTTTCAACACCAACGCGTACTTATCCCTTTCATTTTTGAGTGAATACTTCGCTCCCGAGTGAATTTTGTCGTTCGTAGTTGGAAATCTTCTTCAGAAATTTCGTTTTTTTTGCGATAACCGTCATTTTTCTTGATGTGCTGACTCCAATTTTGTCAGCATTTTTAGGAAAAAAAATGTTAAGAAGTTCAGAAAGGGAAAACTCATTGAATAGATTTCATGATAAGAAGGAAGAAAAGGGAAAAGAGTATAAAATACTTTGATAAAAGAGTCGAGTCGAGTCTTCGGTTTGAATTTTCGCTAAAAGGAATGAAATTTCTATTGTCTGGTGAGTGATTTGAATGATTTTAGTGGGTTTTCTAAAAGGTAATAGAAAACTATTGTAAGTACGCCGTTGTACATTTGTTAGAGTCATTAGCTCAATTTCGGTATGATTCGGTGAGGAAATGGCTTAATCAATGATACAAAAATTGAGCTAATTCAATGAAAACTGGGGGTTTGATGACGGTAGTTCGATGTCTTTTTGGAAAGTGCTCAAATTTTGAAGCCAAGATCATTCGTGAAAGTTGATGCTATCATAATCAGTGTTTGTTTTTTTTTGAAATTTCTATTTCAGCTCTTTTCGTGATTGCTGTAGTGACAGCTGATTGCAATTCGAATACCCTATCGATTCTCGGAAAATGCTACAGTGATTTCTTGAGCTTTTATGGATTCAATTTCCAAGGTATTTAGGGGAATATTACTCAGGAATCTTCTTGAGCAATTATAGTAATTATATTCCAACAATTCTTCAGATAATGAAATGAATTATATGATTAGCAAGAGTCACTTATGATAAGATCTAAACCTAGATCTAAGAGCTAAGCCTAGAGCTAAGCCTAGATCTAAGAGCTAAGCCTAGATCTAAGAGCTAAGCCTAGAGCTAAGCCTAGATCTAAGCCTAGATCTAAGCCTTGTTTTCAAGCCGAAATTTATTCAAATTTATTCGGAATGTATTTGTTGATACTTTTAAGCAAACAGTATATTAAAAAAACCAAACTTAGTCTAATTTGATTGACTTTTTTTTATTGCCGATTATAAGTTTAATATTTGAGGAACTCTTCCGGCTTATTGGGATATGCACCAAGCGAGGAGCAGAGTCCTTATCGCTCAGGGAATCACTGTTCAACCAAAAGTTTGCGAGTGAGTTTAAGAGTTATTTTTGGAGAATACTGAAGCTGATTCTGATTCTGATTTGACTTTACCACTTAAAACAATCTTGTTTACATATTCTGTTTTCAAATGCTGACCACTAAAATTGCAGTGTGGCCACCTCGCTCTACGATTGCACGTCGCGAACCCGTTTCGATTACACATGTTTAGCGCAATTGGGTGCCAATGCTTCAGGTGCCTTATTTCCCCTAATAGTAGTGCAGCCGAGTTGATGCCCATTCTACGATTTCCAAGCTTTCACAGAAACTGAACACTCAAATCCCCCACAAGATCTCATCATCAGCTACATTTTCCGACCCCACATTGATAGGTTCTGATAAGCAATTCTCGAGATTTCAAGGAATTTAGGCGAAGAATATTAGGGGAAATACGTTCATTTACCATTCACTTTCGAAGTTTCAGATGCTCAAGACTATGTGACCGATCGAGCTGTCGGTGAGTACCAATGCACAACCGGATATCCAAGTGAGATTTTGAAAAAGAAAAATGTTAAGATTTAAATTAGAAATTGATTTAAAGCCAATAACAATTTCTAGCTTTAATCGCCGATTTTGATTGCATCGGTGGTGCTCGTCAAAAGTACAATGTGCAGTTGCAGGTTTCGTTTTTTTTACATCGTCATCATACATCAAATTAGTATTAAAACAAAACGTTTTAATACTAATTTAGAAAAGTGAACGTATTTTCCCTAATAAGCTTCGCCTAAATTGGTCTGACTCAAAAATAAGAAAGAAAAACACTTTGAAACACACAAAACACAACTTATTTTGGTTCTTGGTCCGTTTGTTTCTCTTATTCTGCAACAAGAATAAAAAAAACAAGAAAAACCAAGAACCAAAGTAACTTTTCTAAATCTAGATTCAAAAATTTCAACAAAAACTTTTCAGAATTGCAGTGACGTGTTGAACGCGGCTATTGCCAAGGGAGGAAACGTTTGCCCGTGAGTTTTCTCTTAGTTATATAATCTTTAAGTGAAATCCATTAGAATACCATGAAATAGAAAGAAATTTGATTCCTATTTATGTGTCTAATAAAAAGAGGTAAACGCTGCACCGAGAATTGCAGGAGTGGAAAAGTGTTGACTCAATAAAGGCAAATCTAAGGGTAATTTGCTTTATTGAACTAGTAGAGTCATAAAATCTTACAATTCTACAATTGTTATACATATAAAGGCCAAACTTTTGCTTAAAATCTCTCGAAATTCAGCGCCATCAACGATTTCCTCGGTTGTCAATCTCCTTACTATGCATCGGCTTGTGATTTCAACGCCGGCGTTTTTATGTGCGGAACGAACAGAGCTGGAGCGGTGGGTTTCAATTAGAAATTTGCATTTTCGCGCTCCCATCGTCAATAAGTGTACAACGGAAATTGATTTTATTCCAGATTGCGAACAATGACGCGTGTGACCAAGCCGGTCTCCTCAACCATTGCCCACCTTATCGATAAATGCCAAAAATTGATTTGATCAATTGATTGATTGATAATAAAGAAAAAAACAACAATCTGCACAAATAAAGCTTTCTTTTTTCTTCTATACTTTTCTATGAAATCAATTATTCTCACAAGATCAGTAATAATAGAGAAAATACAGTAGATGAATTAACAGTTGGCTGTGATTGAGTTCAAATGATCGGGATCTTGTTTGAACAATCATCAAGCAAAGTATAATACCGTATTCTCTCTAATAGTAGTGCACCCAGGCGAGCCGAGTTGATGCCCATTCTACGATTTCCAAGCTTTCACAGAAACTCAACACTCAAATCCCCCACAAGATCTCATCATGGCCACCTCGCTCTACGATTACACGTCGCGAACCCGTTTCGATTACACATGTTTACTGCAAATGGGTGTCAATGCTTCAGGTGCCTTATTTCCCCTAATAAGGCACCTGTGTACAACGGAAATTGATTTTATTCCAGATTGCGAACAATGACGCCTGTGACCAAGCCGGTCTCTTCAACCATTGTCCACCTTATCGATAAATGCTAAAAATTGACTTGATCAATTGATTGATTAATGATGAAGAAAAAAAACAACAATCTGCACAAATAAAGCTTTCTCTTTTCTTCTATATTTTTCTATGAAATCAATTATTCTCACGGTCAATTCACAAGTAAAATGTTTGACAAAGGTTTGAGAGTACAAAGTTCGCTTGAAAGTTTGAAGTCTCTAAAAGTTTTTGGCTTTGCTATAATTCTTTCAAATCAATCAAATCATTAATTTTACTTTGTTCAATGATCACAAAAGATTTGAATGATCAAAACTTTCAAAAACTCAACATATTTTCCGCATCTAATTTTAAAGTCTAGCTGATTGTGATTGTTTTTCAAATTATGTCATTGAACTAAGGCTGAGCAGCTGCACCCGCCGATTGGCTCTTTTGTAAGTTGTCGGAGCAATCCAATGCCTTCTAGTGCATCAGAACTGCTCAATTAGCCCCAAACTGTCTAATCTGGATAGCATTTGAGTCGACCAGAATGCCAAAAGAGAAGGGCTTGGCAAACTTATGTCTTGATCATCTTTAGGGCTTTAGAATATCTTGCTAGAGTGCTTGCAGATCTTTTAGTACATAATTTGCATTGAAAAATGTGAATAATGAGGGAAGGGAGGGGCGGATGTAGATTTGCATTTGGATTTGAAGTGAGAAAGAGAGGTGAGCGCAGACGATAACTCAATCCTCCATTGTCTAAACATACAATTCTTTAGATTCATCGAGAATTTCCTCATCTGCTAAAACTTTATCGTTTGTAGTGAAGTGTTTGAACCTGGAATGGATTTATCGGGGTGAAAGTGGCGAGTTCTGAAGAATAAAAGAAAAAGAGATTATGCTTTGAGTTCAAGTCAAAGAGAAAAAACGTTGACTGGGAAAGAAAATGCAGAAAAAAATGTGAAAAGATTCAATTCTTTCCTTGTGATCTCACTGATAAGGAAAACCCCTTTCACTGACTGTAAAAAGTATAAAAATCAAAGGGGAAAAGTTTAAGTATTCTTTTTTGCAAATCAGTTCTCCCGAATCATGAGAAATCTCGTTTTTGGTCGGTTTTTTTGGATAAAATTTTTTAAGGATTAAGCTTAAGCAATTCTAACAGCAAAGATAACGACAATTTTCTTACTAAAACATTTCTTCAGCTATTCTTTTGTTGGGTGTCGTCGATGCACAGTCATGCAATCAGAATTCCCTGAAAATCCTCGCCAACTGCTACTCGAATTTCGTCGCATATTATGGCTTTGATATGAAAAGTGAGTGGAAATAGATAACAGATGAAATTTCGATTAAAATTTCGATCAAAATATCTTTCTTCTATCCTCTATCTTCTATCCTCTATCCTCTATCTTCTATCCTCTATCCTCTATCCTCTATCTTCTATCCTCTATCTTCTATCCTCTATCTTCTATCTTCTATCTTTCTTCTATCAATCTTCTATCAAAATTTTAGCCACAAATAAACTGCCAGCCTATTGGGATATGCACAATGTTCGACAGAAAATGCTTCTCGATCAAGGCTTGACGGTTCAACCGAAAATTTGCGAGTGAGTTTGATGGGCTGATGGATTTACTTTGGTGCTTTGTGTACTTTGTGCTAAACGTAAACACACCCCAACTGAAGCACTCAAATCTACATAGCTACATGCTAAACAAATGTAAACACACCCTTTCTAGTGAACTCAATTCTTCATTGTAGCAACAATTTGGGGAATTTTGTGCACCAGAAAGATGTGTTTACACTCCTTTGAGCACAAAGTACACTTATAGGTTTATTATTTGGTTTTTAAAATCAATTTCCAGCGTTGCTACTTCATTGTATGATTGCTCGAGCAAAGTGAGATACGGTGCCGAATGTTTGACACAATTGGGAGCGAACACATCGGGTTTGTTTTAAAAACTAAATTTTATGCAAATGTTGACAGCAGATATTTAATTATAAACTGATCACGGGGATGGCTACTTTGCGCTAAACTTTTTGCGCAACTGGGTCATTGCGTAACTAGGTCATTTGCGTAACTAGGTCTTTTGCGTAACTGGGTCATTTGCGCAACTAGGTCATTTGCGCAACTCGCCATAACTCTCTTCTAAGTCGGTCAATCTTGCTTTTGGTGTCATTTTGTAGATCTCTACAAGTGTAACAAAATGACACCAAAATCATAAAGATTGACCGACTGAGAAGAAAGTTATGGCGAGTTGCGCAAAAAAATTTTTGGCGCGAAGTAGCCATCCCATCAGCCAGCCAGCCAGCCAGCCAGACAGACAGACAGACAGACAGACAGATTACTGTAGATTACTGTAGCCGCCAAATCTCCCCTTTCAGATGCCCAAGATTGGATGACCGATCGAGCTGTCGGAGAGTACCAATGCACAACCGGATATGCTAGTTGGTTTTGCAACTAATTTATAAACCGCTTTTAACAGAATGAAATGAGGAGCATTGTGTAGTCTACAAAAATTTCAATCATTATGTTCAGCACTCATAGCCGATTTCACTTGTATCGGAACAGCTCGCGACACTTATGCTGTTCAATTGCAAGTGAGTGAAGATATTTTAAATGAGAAGAGATTCAGCTAATGATCTATTAGTAATATAAACTACCGGATTTTTTTGCAGAACTGCAGCGATCAATTGGACATCGCTCTCAAGAACAACCCGATCAACGCCTGCAAGTGAGTCAAGGACTTTTAGTAAAAAATGACTTTTCACTTAATATTCCGGTCTACTGTAGTAAAGCTAGAGTGCCTAAACATTCCAATAGACTACTCCATACATTAACTACGATTGATCGGTGTCGAAATACCGTAAATCTACTATTATGTTGTTCGGAAATAAACGCAAAAAGTAGTAGTCGACAAAATTTATCTTAAAAACAGAAAGAACACAGTTTAATCTAAAATATATTCACCATTATTATTGATTATTTTTTGCCATCTTTTGCGCAAAGAATTGATACCGCTCTTGAAAAACTCAGCCGGCTGTGACTCGAAAAACTTGGCGATCCAATTTTGGATATCTTCACGGGTTTTGAATTTCTCATTAGCCAAAAGGTTTTGCATTGACCGGAATGAATGGTAATTTGTCTCATTCTCCCAAATCGGGAGAATGGTAGAAGCTCCCATCCAGCAGCAAATCACTCAGCAAAAACTGGAGAATCTAGGATGTGGTAGAAGCTCCCATCCTAGATTCTCTAGTTTTTTTGCAACGTGAGGTCTAGCGTTATCATGGATGAACTTTATCTTTGATGTGTCTACTCCTTGACGAATGAGAGCTGATTGACCCGATTTTTCTCACAACAAAAAGTTTAGCAACGCTTGTTTATATCCGAACAACCAAATATATAAAGGGACTAATACGTCTGTCTGTTTGTCTGTTTGTCTGTCTACTCCTCAGCCCCCAGAGAACCGTTTCAAATGATTTCTAGTTAGGTTGGCTTAGAATTTCATGTAGTTATGCAACATGTTTTTAAATTTTTTAAAAATTAAAAGTACCGACGCGGGCGGGAGTCGAACCCGGGTCGTGTGAGCTAGAGGAAAGTGTGCTCGCACTCCACAAAAGTACATCGCACTCCACAAAAGTACATGGCCGATTAGTTAACGCGCGCGTCTTTCAAAACGGAAGAGAAAGGTCGCGGGTTTGTTTCTATTCCATTGCTCTAAAAATTTCCGAGATCTATATCAATTGTAAATTATTTAACTAATGAAATTACAGAGACTTGAACGATTTCCTGGGATGCCAACCACCGTACTATGCATCGGCTTGTGACTTCAACGCCGGCGTTTTCATGTGTGGAGTGACAAGAGCCGGAATTGTTCGTTTTTTCTTTATAATGATTGGAACAATGATCTCTAGACGATTCCTTATTTCATTCATCCATTCATTCAATCATTATTTTCAGAACGCTGGATCGGATTTGTGCGACAAATTGGGTCTTCTCGACCAGTGCGCACCATACAAATAAATCCCTCCGGGATTCACTTTGGTTTTGTAAATAAAACTTGAAACTTTATTGATATTTTATGGCAAATACAACCAAGACAAGAAAAATAGAAAGCTAAAACAATAGATAAACACTTGTCAGTTATGTACGGATCAAAATCTATTTTTAAAAACACTGTTTTACTCACGCGTTCCTAAAAAGCATTCCTAATCAACTAGAGACAAGATTACGGTAGTCGAGAAAGTCGACGTTTTAGAAATCAATCAAAAATCTAAAATGTCAGCTTTTCTTTTTCTTTTTCTCTCTTTCTCTATCTTTTTGTCAGGAAACGAGAAGTTTTTATAATTGCCTCAAGTTGAGAAAAAACTGGTACAAGAACTCTCCCACATTGCCAGACTCTCGGCCCACGTAGTATAGTGGTTAGTACTCCACGTTGTGGCCGTGGCGACGCTGGTTCGATTCCAGCCGTGGGCAATTTTTTTGGCTTTTGTTACAATTGAAGATTTCTTTGGAAATCTTTTAAGTATTGGGTTGGTCCTTTCCTTTCCGAAACGAGAAAAACGAAGGAAAATCGCGAAAAGCGACCGAAAAGCTATTGATCTGAGGGTCGCTGGTTCGACTTCCACCGGTGACAATACTTTTCAAAAATTTTTTGCTAGGATTCTGAAAATGCGTGTCTAGGGGTTATTTTTGACTGAGCAAATGAATTGCCACCATACCACGATTTTGAAACCTCTTGGGAAAAGGAAAATGGGAAAAGTTCAAAAGCTCGGATCCTGGGCTGATTCCGTTCAACAAGCAACTCCAAGGGTAAAAGCAGAACTTCACCCAAAAAAGACAATGCTGTGTGTTTGGTGGGACCATCAGGGCATTCTTCAACAAAAAAAACGATAAACGAAGGGGAAATCGCGAAAAGCGGCGGAAAGGCTATTGATCTCAGGGCCGCTGGTTCGACTTCCACCGGTGACAATAATTTTCAAAAATGTTTTGCTAATATTCTGAAAATGCGTGTCTAGGGGTTATTTTTGACGCTGATCACGAAACACATGTTTTTAGCCTAGGTTTCTGCACGGAAAACTAACGAAACGTGAAAACAACCATTTTTTTGGCTCTGCCGCCCTTTACTAAAATAGCTGTAAAAACTTTTAGAAAAGAGATATCTCAAAACGGTTTTTACCAATCGATCCGTCTTGAATTCAGCTTTAGGATGAGCTATAAAACGTCAAAATTCGACAAATTTAACTATAACTGTACTCTCCCAAAAAATCGGAAAGGACTTTTCCACCAACCCAATAAATTCGTTACAAGCCATTGCAAGTGCTAGAAATAAATAGCATAACAAATGTTAAATGATAATTAGCGAGATTGCTGTTTTGCTGGTAATTAACGAGATTGCCGAGAACTACAAGTGATGTTTTGCACAATTTGCAAGATTGTCAACTGTAGTGTCAGCTTTTCGTATAGCTTGTAAATATAGAAATGAGTAGTAAACAAGAAATATTGAAGGATTAAGGTGCTATGTTTACTAATTAGAGCATTTATCTCAATTTCTCATCGAATATCATCAGAAAAGGCGCTGAAACATGATTATCCAAAGAGTAAATCGACAAGCAATGAAAGAAAGTGGAAAATTCACCGTTTCCCTTTTTCGGCTACCCGTTGAGCTTTATGGAGAGAGAAAAAAAAGTGAGATCGGATCTGATCTGCCATTTGAGAAAAGCAATGAAAAGGGGATTCATGCCTTGTTCTTTTTTTCTTCTTTCTTCTTTCTATTCTTTTCTTTTCTTTTATACGATTAGCCATTCACACGAGCTATTCCCCTCGTTGAGTTCGTTGAGAATTCTATATATTTTTCGTTTCTTAAACTTTTCCTTGACAAACAGAAATTTTGCTTTGTGATCACTCAAGTCATTCAGTCATCATTCAAGGCTCACTATTGAAATTTCAGATCAAACTACATTCTTACTAGAAACTTCTTATTAGAAGCTTCTTGTTAGAAACTTCTTACTAGAAACTTCTTAATCCATTTATGACGATAGCATTTTGAGCATACAGTCGCGTAGTCGTTATCATTAACCCATTTATGATGATAGCATTTTGAGGGGTCTACCTCTGTGCGAACATAAATGGATTCTTATTTTTATTAGAGAATGTTTATTAGAGAATTTGAGAGCTTCTTTGCGGGTAATGCCTTTTCTAAAAGAATTTGACCTTTTACCATAACCTTTTACCATAACTACCATAACCTTTTATTTAAATTTGTCTTTCATTTAATTAATTTTGATCTCGTTGAATTGAATAATGAATAAATGAGATAAAATTAGGTAAAACGGGTAAAAGCTGAAGAAAAGGTACGATAGTTTTCGAAATTCTCCAGCCTAAACTTTCCACTTTTCATAATCTTTGCTTTCTTTATCTGGCAAGTAGTGCTGTTTACTAGTTTGATCATTTCAATTTTTTAGGTTAACCTTTTTGCATAGCAAAAGCGAGTACTTTGTGCGATTTGTTCAATTCATTAAATGAAAATGAATTACGAGTAGTTTTCTCTCAAATATCTGATTCTTTTCTATTCTCGTATTAGCAATGATTCAAATCTCGTTTTCCATCGCAAAAATCACGGCTTTCTAGCACTGAATTCCCTTGTTTATCGTATTGTCGATCTGCCAAAGGAATAACGGGCGATCTCTTCACTTTTTTCCTCACTTACAGTTCGATTTTCACTAGATTTTTCAGAGATTCAGACACAAAAAATGAATAAAAACGATGATTGGTAAATGAATGTGATTCGTGATTCATAGGAATTGATGGGGAAAACATTGAGAAAGAGTTTTAAACATATTAATAAGCGATTTAAATTCTAGAATATTGGAAAATTTGTAGAAAATCATTTTTGATCAATCAATTTGTCAAGCTTTAGGCTTAGGCTTAGGCTTAGGCTTAGGCTCAGGCTTAGGCTCAGGCTTAGTCTCAGGCTTAGGCTTAGGCTTAGGCTTAGGCTTAGACTTAGTCTCAGGCTTAGGCTTAGGCTTAGGCTTAGGCTTAGTCTCAGTCTCAGTCTCAGGCTCAAGTAAACCTTAGAGGTAAAATCAACTAAAATTTGGAGTACTTATTGTTGGAAATACAGTACACTAAAATGGTTATTTTAGTGCATAATAGGAACTCGATTATGGTAGAAAAAAAACGAGAATAACTACACTAGAATTAGGCTAGAAAAATCAGTTTATCAAGTTTATCAATGCTTTCTATTTGGCATCAGTTCAATGCAAGTCTACAGCGCACATTTATCATTTATCAGACTAAAAAGGAGAATGATAGGTGATAGAAAAGGAAAGATCATCTTTGATCATTCATTTCTTTATTGCCACTGTACGTTTGACGTGAAATCTCTGCATTAAATATCAATTCAATCATCATTTTTTTCTCCTTTCCCTCTCGAAATCCCCTCTTCAGACTGATATTCCTCAAGCAATCTCTCATTTTGTCAAAAGCATAGAAATTTCGTTAGACTAGAAGAAATTTTATGCTTTTTTTCTAGACATTAGATTAGGCTAACAAGGAAAGGTCACGAAATCAAGGTGGCCAATTGAAATCAAGGTGGCCTATTGAAATCAAGGTGGCCTATTGAAATCAAGGTGGCCTATTGAAATCAAGGTAACCAATTGAAATCCAGGTGACCAATTGAAATCAAGGTGGCCAATTGAAATCAAACTTAGACCTTCCGATGCTGAATTTTACGCTGATTCTGAATCTGCTTTTTCTTTTTGCTAAATAGGTCGGAATTGAAAGAAATTTGGCAAACAAGTTCTTTTGCCTCTCTTATAACGCTTGCGCGCGCTTCATTAAGAAATGGTTGCGTAGTGTAGCGGATAACGTGTCGGATTGCAAAGTTGTAGTTGTAGGTCCAGGGTTCAACTGTCTTTAAGTTTTTCTTTTTTTTTGAACAGCTGTTTTATAGTGTTTCCTAGTCCCCCATCTCTTCGTAATTCTTTGAAAAGGAAAAAGAAATATTTGCAAAGATTTCAATTTAAAAAATCGAATTGATAACCGTTCTATTGAAATGTTTTAAAAATCGAATTGATAATCGTTCTATTGAAGCTGTGGAAGATCAAGATTTCAATTGGAAGATCAAGATTTCAATAGCTTTCAGCTTTCAACTTTCAACTAAAACTTTAGGATGCGGCTTTTCTTCCGATATCTTTTCCCCTTATTCAGTCTTCCTTTCTTAGATGGATGTATTCGAACGGTACCAACACCAAGTGAGAAAAGAATTTACCTTTTTTCAGCACAAAATCGACTATTGATCGATTGATTTTTCGACAAGTTATAATCGGTTTAAAACTTCTAAAACTAAAACAGTAACTCACTAACTAAAGTAAGCAAAAGAAAACCTTGCTCTTTCTTTCGGACTTTGTGCTTACACTCGTAAAAATGCGCTTTCTAATGCACTCAATTCCTCCAAACATTTCCATGAGTACAAAACACGCATTGACTACAGTACTAGACAATGAAATATCATATTTGAAAAAACGATCGTCACTTTCGCGCATCTGTAACTCCCTTGTCTTTGAGTTTAAACTATTAGTGTTATACATTTTCTGGAAGCTCTTTTCAATGGCTACACAATGGTAATATTAATATTTAGAAATACGGTAAAGACAAGGGAGTTACAGACCCGCGAAAGTGACGATCTTTTTTCAAATATCATATTTCATTGTTCAGTAGTGTACATAAGACAAAAGTTGGGTCGGTTAATTTTGAGTTAAAGATGAATTGTTGATAGAAAACGTTACGTTTTAAAGCTCTAATCAATTTGATAGCTTTCATTTAGCCCCCGGAAACCCTTGTCAACAGTGTACAGTCGGTCAAGTGACTTTCACTCCAGCTTCACCCGATCGACTCGGCTCAATCGACGCCACGCACACGTTCGTTTCGAATTAAATTTGCAACAATTAGCTGAATATCTTTTATATCAATAAAGAATCATATTGAGCTCAATATGTTAGTCAATCGAATCTTAAAAGTTCTTTAAAGCAATCCAACAATCGGTGGTGATGGTTGCTTACATATGGTAGCTGAATGTATCGGTGATGAGGGATTCACTTCTTTTATGCAGGTCAAATATAGAAAAATATAGAAAAATCTGTTTTTTTCAACATTGAAAATAGAAAAGAACAGAACGACATTAGAAAAAATATTCCTTTTCAATAAAATTCAAAACTTTTCCATCTGTTTTTCGTTTTATAAAACCCTTTAACAAAATTGACTTTTCTGTAAAATTTTTGTGGCATTTTTGTGAAATTTTTGGTTTTTTTAGTTTAACATAAATCAAGGAGGACCTGTGGAAAATAATCCGGCGAAACGAGTCGTCGAAGCGCCTTTAGACTGCAGGAATGGACAATGGTTTGCGCTTTGGAATTGATTGCAGCTATTTATCTTGTCGAGTTTATCAATTGGTTTACCAATATCGAAGTTTTCTTTTACTTTCCGTTTTCCATTTACTATTAAGCACTAAATTTGGTAAATAATTTTGGGATTTTTAAATTACTTTACTTTTTCAAGATTAGATTCAAGACAAGATTGAAGATTAGATTCAAGACAAGATTGAAGATTAGATTCAAGACAAGATTGAAGATTAGATTCAAGACAAGATTGAAGATTAGATTCAAGACAAGATTCAAGATTAGATTCAAGACAAGATTGAAGATTAGATTCAAGACAAGATTGAAGATTAGATTCAAGACAAGATTCAAGATTAGATTCAAGACAAGATTGAAGATTAGATTCAAGACAAGATTGAAGATTAGATTCAAGACAAGATTCAAGATTAGATTCAAGACAAGATTCAAGATTAGATTCAAGACAAGATTCAAGATTAGATTCAAGACAAGATTGAAGATTAGATTCAAGACAAGATTCAAGATTAGATTCAAGACAAGATTCAAGATACTGTACTTTTTCAAGATTAGCTGGATTACGGTATTCAGTCTAGATTAGGGTATTCAGTGTAGATTAAGGTATTCAGTTCAATCAAACAGTATTCCAAATCATAAAGAATCACAAGTAGATAAATTGGAGAAAAGATAAGTTGGCAAGCTTTTGTTACTCTAACTGATACAGATCTTTCCAGGTTCTACATGAATCGACAAGTGAATGAAGTGAACTGTCAAGAGGCAGGGAATGGGTGAAACAAACTGCTAAAAACTCTCAATTTCCACAAATCTCAGCACGTTTTGTGCATTATAAATGATTTTTCATTTCTTAAAAGCATTGTAAAGAAAAATAATTTATAAACAAAACGAGAAAATGTTTTATGTTCACTTTTCGGATTCTATCGTCCATGTCTACTTTGAAGTACCGGATTGGGGTGGGAAATTCTCAAAAATCAATCCCGACTAGTTACCGGAGGAATGGCTCGGTCGCTGACCGCCCTTTCTCCTTTAGTGATTGCAAAAAGAAAACCCTTATACCCGGATTGTATGCCAGGTCGATTCCAATTGCGGCAGCCATCTTTCGGGTGGAGTTTTTCTGTGATCTCGGGTTTCTTTGTTGAAGGATCTTTCGACGATTGATTGAATTGTTGGCAATCTTCTTTCGACCGCGTCCTGGTCGATCTTCTAATTTCCTCGTCTCTTTGTGGTGCTTGATTGCTTTTGTAACTGTCTGATGAGGCACGTGAAAAAGCCGCCAAAATCCCCATCACCGATTTGCCATCCTGTGAGAGTCGAACCATGGTTGGTCGCAAATCCAATTGTGATTTGATTTTTGAAAAAATTCAATACAAAAGTATTTTAGTCATAAGTAAAAAAAAAAGGAGATAAAACAATAAAACTGTCAAAACAAGATTCGCTCCATAATTTTGGGAAACCCTGTAAAATAACTTATCGTAATAAAGCTTCTGACTTTATGAAACTCCGTCAAAAATGTTTTTCAAAACCACCGAAGATCACGCTCAAATATTTGAGCGCTTTTTCACGATTTTTTTTTAGCTTTCAAAACAGTCTCTCCGATTTCAAAAAGGGAATTATTGTCGATGTTTCGGTGGAACAAAAAAAAAGAGACAAAAAAAGAGACAAAAAAAGCTTATGCTAATAAATGTTTTGCCCTAAAAAAAATGAAATAAAGTGCAAGTTTTTGAACAAAATTTTGTTCGCAAAACTTATGGAAACATCCAGAACATGAAATGATTTCAAAATAAACACAAAACAGAAAGATAAAAATCCATTTTTGTATGTTTCTGGGGATTTTTACTGGCTTTTCTGTGCTAAATGGCATTTTTAAATGAAGGAATGAAGGGAAAAAGGAAAAGGAAAATACTGAAGGGATTTCTAGTCTGATAGAAGTCTTTAAAATTTCATTTTACCGATTTCTTTTTGTTAAGAGGTACCGTTTTCCAGTTAAGGAGCTAAATCTCGAAAGCAAAGGCTTAAAGCGAAAATCTATTCGATAGTTTCTCTTTTCCTAGTTCTTACGAGCATTTTAATATCAAATTCACAAAAATTCGTTCAGCCAATCATAGACAATTGATCCTTTGAAAAGCGGGATCATCACAAACGTTTCCCCATTAGAAATTATCTCTGATTTCTTTGGCAAAGTGGTAAAGCGTTTTGTTCCAATGCCAGAGATGGCGAGTTTGTTTCCCCGAGCAAGCTTAAGGTTTTACTTTTATGCCAAAAATTTTCGTAAAAAAAAACATTTGACTTATGGGCATCATAAGGGAACTTTCATTTTGAACCTTTGCTCTGATAGGCACCATTTTGGGCTCAAAAGTAGTCCAAAAAAGCGACGCCGAATCTTCAAAGGCTGCATTTACCTCAGAGGCCAGTTCTGCTGACTTCTATCCGGGTTTTGGCCTGGCTTGGCTTGGATACCCAAGAGCTCACTTGGCCTGACTTGGCTTGGATACCCAAGAGCTTACTTGGAACTGCATTCATCTATAGATACCGAAAAGTACCTCAAATTATAATATTAATGGTTTCTAATAAACGAACAAAATGTTTAGGGATTCTTAAAGCCAAATAAATGTTGAGCCAACTAGCCAAGGAATCAAATAAATTTGTTATTTTATTCGATTTAGACCAGACACCAGTTGATCTGACTGACCTTCAACATACAGCTTTTCGTCACTCATCATCCTACAGCAATATCCCCTTTCTACGCAACTGCGCCCATTCGCATTGTTTCAGTGCTCTGCTCATGTCATACACACCGATGTGTCACCGTATTATTCCCCTCTTTTCCCCCGCTCAACAGGTCGACCCGGGTCCACCCTCACATCAACTCCAAATGTACATGGAAACTCTCTCTCCATTTAGATGATCAACATAATCCCTCGACTATATAAATGGGACTTTTCCCCTCAACAAACATTCATTCATTCAATTCCATCAAAACATGTCTCATCTGAACTATTTTGTGCTTGTTGTTTTGGTTACGGTAGCGTTTGGGAGAAGATGGCAAATGAATGCTGGGAACTCGATCCCCGATTTCCCGAATATGGCCATTGAGATTATGGGTGATTGTGTTGTGTCGGTGAGTTGACTAAGAATGACTAAGAATTTCATTTACCGTAGTTTTCCTAAAAGCTTTCCCTTTCCCTTGATACGAATGCACTTTTAAGGAAATCATGACAAAGTTCGCTTCTCTATTTTTGCAATTAAAACTCTTTTAAGAAGAAATCCTTTTAGGGAGATGAGCTGATCGCAAACGAGATCCCCGTGAGAACATTGACTACAGAGGAACAAGCCGAGGTCACACAATACAACGCTCGATTGCAACAAGTTCAACAAGTATTTCGAAAGTCTAAAAAATTTTTATAGCTGATATTTAGCAATTCAAAGAACTCAGTGATCAATTGAGAAATCTGAGCGAATCCTCAGCCAATTCTCCCACTACAGTCTCCATGGGTAATAAAGGAAAAGGGAAAGGAAAAGGAAAGGGAAATAAAGGAGGCAAAAATGGACGAGGAGGATGGGGTGAGTTTGAGAAAAGAATTGAAAATATATATAATAGTAAATAACAAGTTCAGTGGCTAGGTTACTCTAGCCTCGTGAGCTTTTGGATGCCTTTATATTAGGTTGATGCAAAAGTCTTTTTCATTTTTTTCGTCTGCCGTTTCAAGCCAACAAATGCACGAATTAAACTACGGTTGATTTCATTAGAAAAACCAATTATTTTTCTGCAAAATAACATTAAAACGGGTTTAAAAATATTTAATGCCTGGATTTTCTTGAGAGTATGAAGTCGGGTAGTCAAAAAGGGCTAACTCGATGATGCGGTTTAGACACCTTAGCTAAAGAAAACCTATCTTCGTGTCAATAGATAAAAGATAGAGAAAAAAAACGTTTGATATTTCGCCAAAATTTCAGAGAAATTCATTCAGCCAATTTTTCCGTAGAGTTTTTTATAGATTTTTACGAAAAAGGCGTTTTTCACTCTCGAATTTGCTTGAAAGTGAACCGAAATTCATTTAAAAAGATGCAAATTGAACAAAAAAACACTTTTTATTTAGAGAAAAGCATAGGTTAATTGGTGAATTTGTTACTTTTTAACAGAAGTACGAAAAAAATGAAAAAGACTTTTGCATCAACCTAATATTATTGTTTTTGAATGAGTGCCTGGCTGACTCACTCAACTAGGCAAAGCCAGAGCCGACCCAGTTTCAAGCTTGGCTTCTGGCGTTTCTGGCTACTTTTTGTGGACCAAGCCTACCGTAAAGCCCGGTCTGGCCTTGTACAAAATATTTAGAAAAATCTACGAATTGTAGTAAAACAAAAGTTGTCTTTATATTTGATTGATCTTCTCGATTTCAGTGACTCCATCACCGGCGGCTCAAGCTCTGATCGATCAAATCGCCAACCTCACCGGTCCAGCATCCCCATCTTTCTGCAATGGATCCGACACGATTCTCTATGATTTCATCGGATGCTCTGTTCAGGTGAGGAATTAGAAATCACTTTTAACAACAATCTCAACCCTTTCAGAACTACAAAGTCTATATTGGACGCACATTTTTGAGAAATCTCACCACCGCCGAGGTGACGACAATGAATGTAAGTTCATAAATATGATTGAGATTGATACTTATCATTTCCAGACTTTCATCAATCAGTCGAACGCTTGGGAGCAATGGATTATGTCGCAAATTCAGGTAGAATGACAACACAAAATACTTGCTTTGGAAAAACTTTGAAGCTAAACCAGTTTCTCTGGAGCTTTTACTGATAAGTTGGCTGATAGTCTAAATTGGACTCTATTTTAAAGCTGTACTTTAAACAGAACCAGCTTTCACTTTTAAAATTAATCTGAAACCCCAGTTTCAGAGTCAAAACTTCGGTGGACATGGAGGAAAAGGTGGAATGGGTGGAGGACGAGGAGGACAAGGTGGAATGGGTGGAGGACATCAAGGAATGGGTGGAATGGGTGGAGGACAAGGAGGACAAGGTGAAATGGGTGGAATGGGTGGAGGCAACGGAGCTCACGGATCAACCACCACTCCAACCCTCAGCAAGGCCTCATCTCCATCATCAGTGTCAGCCTCTTCCTCTTCTTCCACTTCAACTCCATCCACCACTGCAACCACTTCATCGCCGATCTCCTCAAAACCCCCATTCCCGACAATGCCCCAATTCTGCACTCTTTTCTAATGTTTATGTAATAAATGTATCAATGAATCAGATTTCAACTCGTAATTTTACTTATCTACAAACTTTAAAGTGCTATCTACACTAGTATAAATTTGATACTGTAAGGTCATGAGGAAATTCCAATCCGAACCTATTTCCACCTCGTTTTCTCGGCCGTTTCTTGACCGATTGCTCTAAAATTTTGTCTACAAACTGAAAATGTCGACGCCTTTCGCCGTCCTTTTTTTTTGCTTATAACTTTGTCAAATGTCAACAGATTTTGATGTTTTTAGTACAAAGCAATGTAGAATTTTATTTTAAATCGATTGATACTAAAAACATCTAAATCGATTGACATTTGATAAAGTTATAAGCAAAAGAAAAAAGGGCGGCGAAATGAATCCCGACTCATAAGTTACACTTTCAAACTCTTCAATGAAGCTTCAGCATGAACACTTTTTTCTTGTATCCTGTAATGAAACAAGAAAATTATCTTTTACATCCATGTTTTCATGAAGTTTTCTTGAAGTTCTTTTCTCGTAAAGTGCGTTATCAATCAGTGATACTTTGCAGGGAAAAGTTGTTTTTTTCTAAACTATTTCTTAAATACTCTTCACATGCATATCAATCGATAGCCGTCCACGAATATTTTTCACATTGTAGATGACCATTTTTGCGAACAGCGTATCACCCAGATGACCGATTTTCTGGAAAAATTGATCATTTCGTACAGTAGATTGACTTAAAACTAAACGATCTAGCGGATATTGAGAGAAAAATGTGCGACAGTGTCAGTGATGTTTCAACCAGGACTTACGGATTAGCCTATCAACCAAGTTTGTCAACCAAGCTCAGAGTAAGGTCCAGCTCTGTCTTCTGACAAATCTAGTGTCAGGCAAGGCAAAGTTAGGTAATGTTCATGTTTTTGTCTGCCTTAGAAAGGAATTTGAACTCACCATACAGTGTGGAATCAATCCCATCAATTGCGATAGTCGTTTCATCAGAAAATACTCGTTTTCTTCTTTATATTTATCGGATAGATGCTGGAATTGAGGAATTGTAAAATGAGTCGATTGGAAATTGACTTGAAAAGGGAATTTGTCTTTAATGTTTTAGATATATATTGGGTTGGTGAATTGAAAACTGCGGGCTATTGTCATATGTGACAGTTTGAGCACTTTCTTCAAAAGAAACCCATTTTGGTGTCAATGGGGAAGTTGTAGAGAACCAAAAACGAAGCCTATATTCAAATTTTCAGAACGATTCAAAAACTGGTTTTCAAGAAATGCCAAATTTATGAATTTTCACAAAACTTGCATTTTAAGCAAAACTAACAAGTGTATCTTTTTGGAAATTTGGCTATAAGCCTAATTTTTGATTCTCTACAACTTTTCTATTGACACCAAAATGGGTTTCTTTTGAAGAAAGTGCTTAAACTGGGACATCTCCAGTCCTCGATTTTTGAGTCTCACATTTGTCTCACACACAAACCAAAACCCTACTACGAAAGAGGAATCCGCAAATTGCCTGTAAAATGGGCAGAAGTCGTCAACAATAATGGAAATTATTTCGAATGAATTGATGGTTTTATGTTGAATAAATTTTAGTTCAAAGGCTGGTGAATTGCAGTTTTCAATTCACCAACCCAATATTCACCTAATATAAATTCAATTCACCAACCAAGTGGTTAGGGTGTTAATTCTAAAATAGCTACATTAGCTACAGTTACACAAACCTTTACCAGCATACACTCATATTTCCTCTTCGCTTGTCGAACAATCGAATTTCCCAAATCCGAGAGGCATGGAGCTGAAGAAAATTTGATCTTTTTTCAAACCCCAAATCTTTACGAGAAGTGAAGAATAGAATCTTCTTTAAAAGCACAAATTCCTCGACGGTAATCCTCGTCTCCTCAAAAACACTCATCAAAAATCGTTGCACATAATCGACGAGCATTATGTTGAATGAACGATAACGACAACTGAAAACAAAATCGACTTTAAACTTTAAATCTTAAAACTAAAATTTTTTTTTTCAAACCCACTTACTTACTCGCTCATCGCCGGATCGTGCCCATTTTTGGGTAATCTCATTTGATGACCGAATGCCAATCCATCAACTCCATAACGATAGGAATTGTAGGCGGCTGAGAAGAGGACTATGCTTGTGCTTGTCGAACAAAGTTGAAAGATCTGGGATCGAGGATTTTCATTTGCAAAACTACTTTTTGTTGCCCTCTACTAGACTTGACTTAAAGTAATCCTCACAAGCAATGCTTTTCTAAAGTGTGCCAACTTTTGAAAACTACCATAATCTTCTAGTTCTGTGAGTGCCACGAGGATATCGATGGCTACAAAAGTAGAGGTTCTTCTCGGAAATCTGGATCTTTTCACTGTGAAAAGCTACAGTGCGTTCCAAAAGTTTAGACGGTAGCGCAAAATGGGCGTTTCCGTAAAAAATGCAACTAAATTTTTTGTTATTTTTATCTACATTAATGGAAAATAACAAAAAACTTTTAAGTGAAAACTTTTAGCTCATTGGCTTTGATGAAAATAAAAAAATATCAACTTTGTCGAAAACCGGGTGTTCCAAAAGTTTAGACGGATTTATTGTAACAGAAAAAAAAACAGTAAAAAAAACTTAACAAAAGTGCTTTAACGTGTCTTAAAAATCAATAACGTTGCCTCCGCGGCGAATTAACTGAAAAATTCTTTTCGGCATGCTTTGGATAAGCGATTGAATCAGCGTGGAGGGAATTTGACCCCATTCTCTAATAATTGCCGCTTTCAAAGAGTCGATCGTTGTGTATTGTTGTCCATTTTTGTAAACCTTCCGTACAAGATATCCCCAAATGTTCTCGATGGGGTTACAGTCAGGAGAACATGCGATCCACGGTAACACGGGGACATTTTGTTGTTGAAGGTAGCTGGTGATCGAAGCGCTTCGATGAATGGAAGCCCCATCATGCATAAAAACATAAGAATTTCCTTGATTTTGTGTTAGAAATGGAATCAGAGATCGGGATAAAACTTGTTGATACTCGATACTATCCATTCTCCTTGAGGTGAATCAAATCTCAAGGGTCCCATCTGCACAAAAAACTCCCCAGCACATCAGGGATCCTCCGCCGAAATTGCGCTTTGAAAAATACTTTGGTTCTTTTCGTAAATCTCTCCAGTAATGCAGATAACCGTCTGGTCCGTCAAGGCACCACTTCTTCTCATCACTGAAGATGATCTAAAGTTTCATTTTGTTTAGATAATCAGAGTTATAAATCTCCCTTTTGTCCAATCTCGATTCATTTCACGTTGAGTGAAGTCTAAACGTGCTGTTTTGTGAATAGCCTTTAATTTTGGATCTGGCATCATCTTCATTCTTTGCAGATTAGGATTTTCTTTCAAACATCGCAGAATCGTTTGTTTTGAAAGTTTGAGCCCACACTCAGCGGCTAACTCCTTCGCTGTCTTTGGCGAATTCGAAGCAGCATTTGACAAACGTCAGCGATCTCTTTCAGATAACTTGGTGGGTCTACCCATTTTCTTATTGGGACGTTTGTTGTTCATCCTTCCAAATGCTTTTTGAACTCCTGGCTCAGAACGATTAAGTTTCTCTGCAATTTTGTTGAAGGTCTAGCCGGCGTTACGGTAAGCCTCAATCTGTGAAATCGCGAGAGCGGAAATCTTTCCCTTCTTGCCCATTTCCTTTAAAATAGATCATTACGCAAAGTTCAGTATAGAAAAAGAACCAAAAATATTGAAAAAAATTAATTTTTAAAGATAAAATTCCAAACCGTCTAAACTTTTGGAACACCCGGTTTTCGATAAAGTCGATATTTTTTTATTTTCATCAAAGCCAGTGAGCTAAAAGTTTTTTCTTAATAGTTTTTGGATATTTTACATTAATGTAGATAAAAATAACAAAAAATTTAGTTGCATTTTTTACGGAAACGCCCATTTTGCGCTACCGTCTAAACTTTTGGAACGCACTGTATTAGATACAAAACCCAAAGCCAAGTCGATTCTCTTGGGACTTTTCTTGAAACAAAGGGTTGAAATAAACTCATTAAATATGTTTTACGACCCTGAAAACCCCGGGGCACAAATTTCTAACATTAAATCTCATTTGGGAATCATTTACAGAAGTAAAAGAAAGTCACTGTGTAAAGTGACTAGCAAGGTGTTCTTTGTGCGACCGCGTAATCCCTCGCAATCTGGCATATGCCGCCGATAGATAGGTGTTCCCTTTTCCAGTTATAGACGGGAAAGGAGCCGGAAGCGACCGAGCCGCCCCGACGCCACCACACTAAACCCGGCCACACACCCCGCCATCCCGGCAAACCAAAACACAAAGACGACCCCGACAGTCACTGCACGGAGTGATTTCTCTTTTCTTCTGTAAATGATTCCTAACTGAGATTAATGTTGAAAATTTGTGCTTCGGGTTTTTTAGGGTTGTAGAACCCATTGGCGGAGTTTTAACCCTTTGTCTCAAGAAAAGTCCCGAGAGAATTCAATTAACTTTTCACAATGACCCGTACTTTTTCAAAAGACCGGAATTTCCCAAAAGAACCAAAGTGGATAGTTTTGATAAAAGCTAGAGACAAATTTACAGTTTGGTAGTACTTACTCTTGGGTTCGTTTGCAAAAAGTTGACACGCATTATCATTAGCTTCTGCTTGCATTTGTCTTGTACTTGTTATACGCTACGTATTTGTACTTTACGTAGTTATTTAGCTGCTTATAAAGTGGATACAAAGTGGAATAATTTTTGATAACTCACTCGATCCCTTTCAGCGAGATCCCAGACCTCTGGAGTGCCACGAGACCAGTCAAGGAAATGGAGACTCGATCGACAATAAGAACTTCTAAAAATTGAGATACTTAGAAATTTATCGTTAATTTGATTATGAATTCAAAAATTGAAGGCTTTTAAGAGCTGTAAAAGCTACAGTACCTCAATTGATCGCTTGAGTCGAGAGACAAGGAGCGCTTTCTCCCGGAGTCATATTTCATCTGAAAGCTATTATTTCCTAAACTGTAGTGTAGATCTTACTGTAGTTTTGATTGCCTTATGCACTCACCGGTGTTCTCTCGCAAATTCTCCTTACTGTAGCTTGATTGCCTTATGCACTCACCGGTGTTCTCTCGCAAATTCTCCTACTGTAGCTTGATTGCCTTATGCACTCACCGGTGTTCTCTCGCAAATTCTCCTTACTGTAGCTTGATTGCCTTATGCACTCACCGGTGTTCTCTCGCAAATTCTCCTTACTGTAGCTTGATTGCCTTATGCACTCACCGGTGTTCTCTCGCAAATTCTCCTTACTGTAGCTTGATTGCCTTATGCACTCACCGGTGTTCTCTCGCAAATTCTCCTTACTGTAGCTTGATTGCCTTATGCACTCACCGGTGTTCTCTCGCAAATTCTCCAGGGTTCTTGAAATCCCTCTTTTAGGGGAACATCGATATCATAATGGAAATCATTGTCCGGGAAATCTTTTCCATGATTATTGTCACAAAATCTAAAAGGTAATTCTTTTTGGATAGGATTTGCCCATTCTCAACCACTCCAAACCGACCTCTCTAATTCAACAAGCACTCTGACGTCTCCTTTTGAATTTTCCTTTCTTTTCATCATTTCAACAAAAGTCTCACTCCCGGATGGAATCAGCTAAAAAATAACAATTTCCGATCTTACCAAGAATCAATATCATCTAGATTCTTTTATTATAGTCAGCTCTGGTCAGACATTACTGCTGTTTATGGATTATATTCAGGTCATGCGTTTAGAATAAAATAAAGTAGATAGACCCAAACTTGAATTGTGTTAAACAGTTGTGTTAAATGAAGTGCATCGAAAAGCCCTACATGACAGTGAAGTTGAGGCACGGCTGAGGTGCCGACGAGCGCCAATGGGAGATCGGTGACTCGTGTAGGGCGTTTCATCGCTCCCTCTTTCTTCCCAACCACTTAATTTGTTCATTTTATTACGAGATCCGTTTCTACGAGGCTTCAATGCAGCAAATTCTTTACTTACTTGCTGGTTTCATCCCAGCCGCGATACAGCGTTGAAAGCGACAAAAACGACATCGAGTCACTTGAAAAGTTAAAAAGTTTTCAAAATAATTCGAATAAAACTTACAATTCCGGCAATTGTTCGTCTTTTCGCAAAGAAAAGCCGACGATGAGATGACAGCGCGGAGGAAGAAGATCTTACAACCGCTGTAAATTTGGGTTTCTTCGGATAAACGACGGATTGCAATTTGATAAGGGCTGTAATTTGTGATCAAAAAGCAAGAAAATGTCTATTTTATCGTTTTCCGATGTAAGACATAGCCTGGCTACCGTAATCGGCTTTGCAATAGTTTAATAAAGTAAGGAAATGGATGGCAAAGAGGAACCGAGAGGGAATTAAATCCTCGACCTTCTGCTTACCAGCCAGATGCTTTACCACTGAGCTATTGGCGCTTTCTCTGAACAAGAAGTAAGAAGACAAGGAAGAAAAAGAACTTCCTAATGTTACTGCCGTATCAGGATCAAACCTGGATCTGACTTTCTGTCATGGCTTGATCTGGCTTGGCTTACAGGTGCCCAATTGGTACATCCCCGTACCGTATCAACAGTTTGGGTTATGAGTTACGGTAGTCCAGTTTACTCTTTCAAAGCTGAAATTAAAAAAAAGTCGCAAATATGGTTGAACAGTCGTTCCTCAATCAACTAGGAAGCTGGGAAGGAATAAAAATTATTGTCACTGAAGGCTATTTACATGATTTACCACCTTACAATCGTTTTTCACTCACTTACCCACAAGTGAGCGCTCCATAATGGAGACTGGCCGATGGAGCTGCACAAACACGACAGAATTTCTCATTTGGTTCCATTGATAGCACTTCGAGTTCAACTGAAAAGGAAAAAAAGGTGAGGAAAGAGAATTTATATACGCTTTCATCTTTAATATCAGACAACATTTTGCAGGATTTCAATGAAGATTGTAAAGGAGACTAAAGAGCAGGATTGACTCCGCCCACCGTCCTTTTCATCTACAAATTAGCCAAACGACTTACCGTAAAAACTCTAATAGAAGCTCCCTATAGGAGCGTCGCGTAGTCGAAGTCTTTACTCTCAAAGAAACGCTCATATCTCGACACGAGTACTTTTGTTTCTGCTCGCTTGGGTATCAAATTAAAGTAGAGAAAATGGGTGATTTTTTGAGATATAACACATATTTTAAGCATTAACCAGCGCTTAGAAAAAAGTGGCAAAAAAAGCCGATTTTTCAGCATATTTCAATCATTTTTTCTAAGCGCTGGTTAATGCTAAAAATATGTGTTATATCTCAAAAAATCACCCATTTTCTCTACTTTAATTTGATACCCAAGCGAGCAGAAACAAAAGTACTCGTGTCGAGATATGAGCATTTCTTTGAGAGTAAAGACTTCGACTACGCGACGCTCCTATAGGGAGCTTCTATTAGAGTTTTTACGGTAATTCCAGAAAATTCACGAAGCTCTACCATTTTCTGATGATTTCCAAAATCTACCCCGATCATATTTCATTTCGATGTCATCAGATTCACTCGGTTTTCCTTCATCATCGGAGAGAATCTCGATTTTCGACATCGCTGGGCTTTACAAAGTCATAAAGATCTCGTTATAACACTTATAAAACGGTGATGAAAATCACTACAACTCTGAGGTACAAAATATAAGGAAGAGTTTCTCAAAGAGTCACGAATTTATGAGTTTAGCACACAAATACATGAGCTACCGTAATATCTACAAATGAAAAGCAAAAATCTTGACTCCTATAGATTTTATAAGAAAATCTGAATCTGATAAGATTGAAAACGATTGAAAATTTAGAATAGGAGCTCGAAAAATGCATGGAAATTCGAAAATGGAGAATGTTTGTTAGAGATCCGTTCCAAAATCAAAACCAAAGTCCATTCTTTTCTCGCCAGCTTTCAAATGGGAGACGGTAGAAAGAAAAGGGGAAAACACAGCAAAAACTCTGCACGATTTCTTCTTTCTCATCCCCAAATCTCTCACTTATCCATTCCCGTTCAGCAATCATCTTTTCTTTATTTTCCAATATTTTCCACGTTTTCTGTCTCTTCAAATCTCTGCACAAAATCGCCTCAACAAAAGGCAAAGCATGAAATCCTTTCCCCGCAAATCCTTTTCTTTGCCCATTTTCGCGATCGTCATTGACGGGGGCTAAAATTCGGCCAATCGCCACGCGCTGTTCGCCGAATCGCCCATGGAAATGACGTCCATTCAACACAAAAGGGGAAAGAAGCAAAAGAAAAGATACCAAGCAAGCTACGGTCACTCCCACACACTCGATATTTTTGAAGATCGCGTGCATTTTGCAAAGTCTAGACTTGAAAATAAGATAGTGAACTTTGGCTTGGGGATATTTTCTGCCAGAATTATTCTAAATTTTGTTCAACGCATGATTTCTGATAATTTTTTTAGTAGTGCAGATCCACACATTTAAATCGATAACTTCCAGAATTGAATTATTGACCTGATTCATATAAATCAATAACCATTCTTGACTAACAAAGATAAAATTTCTTTAACAAAACGATCGCAAAGTATTTTTATTAGAAGCACATTTAAAGGGATTTATTTTCGCAAAAATTCTGACTTTACTTATCGCTTCGTGTCGCTTCGGTTTAATCGATTGCCGGCTCGAGATAGTTCATCTAAAAATGAATTATTATTAGAGTTTAAGATGACTATGATAAGCTTAAGCTGTAGTGCAAGCAATGCTTATACTTTCAGACTATATAGCTTATACTTTGCTTATACTACCGCCCCTCAGTGTCCCCCTTTCCATTGATAATCTACGGTATTTTGCCATTTTCTCGCTATCTACTGGGGAAATTTTTATGATTTTAGTACCATTCGATTGAGAATCAAATTACGCATCGAATGGTACTAAAGTCATAAAAATTTCCCCAGTAGATAGCGAGAAAATGGCAAAATACCGTAGACACTGAGGGGCGGTACTCTGAAAGTATAGCAATCCTTGATAAGCTTAAGGTACAAGTTATAGGTAACAATTAACGATAACACAGTAGACTCATATTGTAAACCTTACCCTCTCAACGGCCACATAGAAATGCTTATTGTCATCGGTTCGAAAGCCGATCGGTCCAAACTCGCAATCGCCACACATCAATACCTAAAACAAAGCGTTACAAATTTTAGTGCTAAAATCGCACAAACCTTTTCCCCTTAATTGTCTGCCATCCAATCGTGTCAAAATCGAGATCATCATTCGTGTACCACCACCAAGAAATCTAAAAGTAAAAGATTTCAAAAGGATATAGTAATTAAAATAAGAACTACAAATCTCGAAACAAAACAATCTAACTCACCACTTCTTCTGGCATTTTCCCTTCGCCTTCATGACTCATTTGAGGCAATTTCACCGGGAATTCTAGAAAAACAATCAAATTTTACAGTAAACTTTCACAAAAACAAACTTTCGACGTAAATGACAACATTTGGTGGGAAAACAATGGAGTTACAGCGACGACAAACAATCTAAACAATGAAATTTATTGAGTAAAAGAAACTTCAATTTACCTTTTTATAGTTCTTCTCGTTTGTGTTTAAAAGAAAGTCCCAATCCACCTAAAAAGACAGAAAAGTAAATGAAATCGCAAGAATTGAAACCTTTTCACATTTCCCGGAGGCGTTTTTGTTTTTGTTGAAGATTGGCGGTGTGATCAAGAACATTTCTGATGCCTCTTTGAACTAAAATAGGAAATCAGATTGCGAAAGTAGCAAGAAAGGCTCCAAATTGTTAATTTAGATACTTAAACTAATTGTTAAATAGCTTAATTTTAAAAAACATCAAATCGAAATATGAGGAGAAGAAACGAAGGGGTGAAAATCCGGACATTGAGAGGTGAGTTTTACCGGAAAGTTAAATGCATATTTACAGATGTAAACCATAATTTGTGCCCCCTCATTTTCGGCATTGCACATTGTTTGACAACTTGATTGTGTTCATTCTCCCATCCAAAACTGTTTCCTGCTATTATCCGAATTCTTCGAAAAGTTTACTGACATAAAAGGCCAATGCAGGAGACAAAACAGTTCAATAAAATCACAATCATGTGATGATCCGCAAGAAACATGAAGCTCTGACACTAAATAAACATAAAAACCCAATAATAAACATAAACTGTGATAGATCGAATGGTCAGGCTCAATATTTCCCATAGAAGAACGAATTGGACGAGTTGATTGTCGATTGATTTCTCAAATGAGAAATGTATCGTTGATTATTCTCCCTGGAAAAAGAAAAATTAATTTATCTTTGAAAAAATAGATCAAGTTCAAATATGAATTTACCTCTTTGTGCTATCAATTGTTGGTGTGAATGATGCTCGAGGGCCGCCCGTAACTCCCGTTTCTTCTTCCTGCTCGATCAAATCCATAAGGCCTAGAAATCACAATTTAAACCTACTGTAATTGCCAGCTTTTTATTCATTACCATTTACAAAAACCCTACCATTATCTCGCCCTCGCGTCGCATTTCTCTTTCTCAGTGCAAGCTGTGATCCTTTGCTGCCCGTTTTTCCTTTTCCATTTTTGCCTTTTGCAGGTGGAGGATTCGGTGTAGTCATAAGCTCGATAATTGAGTCGTCTGCATCAAATACGTTAGTTGTTTCCTATAAATAATTATGTTATGCCATTTAAAACAAAATAACCTCATCAAGACTCGTGTTTTCCTTGTTTGCCTCAAAATAATCATCATTGCCACCGGTGCGCACATAGTCCCTAAATAAGCGATTAAGAGCAAATTTAACAAAAACTACCTAGTAAATTTATCGGCTTGCAACTGGTAGGCAATGGTTCCTTGTCGAGCGGTAATTCTTGATGAAGCAGCTGATGCATCTCTCGTCTTTTCTTCTACCTTTGGCTTCCAATTTAGACGTGTCTCGGCCTAAAAACGATAATTCATTGTTGAAAAAATTAAATCTTAATTTCGAAGCACTTACCAATTTTTTCCATGCATCGATGTCCAATTTCGGCTTCAGTTTTATGGCCAATGCCTGCCATTCCCGGTCGCTTGTCGGGTTGTTCATCTTTAGACCAAGCTAAAAGCAAGTTTTTTGAACGTGCAAAAACTGTTCACCTTGAAGCGATGCAGTTCCGTTTGAGTAATGTTATTCATGAGTGTTTCTCGTTGTTTGGCAACTAAAATCATTGCTTAATGTCATTTCCTTTCTTGGTAAAACTCACTAAAGACAGGATCGTTCGGATCTGGAGCCACTTCTTTCACTTCCTTTTTCTGCTTCGCTTTTGATTCCGTTCGTGATCCCTTCGTGTTCGATTCCACCGTCGCTTGTTTTTCTTTTGGTTCATCTTTTACTCGTTTCGTTCTCAATTTGACCTTTGCGGATGCTGATGGCTGTTTGATCGAGGATGTTCTCTTCTTCGGTTTTTCTATAAGATTTTTTTGTTACTACCATGCATTATTCACCTTTAATTCGTTTTTCGCTACTGCGCTTCTTCTTTTTCGGCTTCTCCGGTTCATAATCACTTTCTTCCGATTCGTCAGAGCATATCTAAGCAAATTATGTAATTAGCTAATAAAATGCCAATTATAAACCTGCGTGTTAAATGCCCGCTTTCGGAGTGGTCCTCCTGGTGTGACTGGAGACGCGCTATATCCGAATTCGGCTTTCAAGTGTTCAATGCAGGAGTCCTCTTCATTTGTGTACATGGAGTCGTCAAACTAAAAAAATAGTTTCAAACATCAAGATGTTATCTTAAATCAGTATATCCTTATTTTTCCTGCATCATCTCACCTCTTCCTCGCGTCTCTTGACAGTTTTCTTTCTGATCACTTTCGGCTCCTCTTCCGGTCTTTGCAAAAACTTTTGCGCTTGTTTGGTCTTTCGGAGTGGTGATGCTGCACATCCATAAAATTGGCCGATTGATGCCTAAAATAATGAATACATACACAAACCAAAATATAAATACCGCATCAGCGCCCGACTTGCGAGAAATGGTCATTTGTGTTTGTGTTATTATTCCATCAACCTGAACCCAAATTTACATAATGTCCCTTTTATTCAATAAATTACTCCAATGAGATTCCCATCTTTGTCGAAAATCTTATATTCTCCGGCCCATTGAGCCAGCGGACTGTGGACAAGGCGACCCGAGCGAGTTGTTTTCAGATCTAAAACATTGAAGTTCTAAAGAACAACTAACAACTGTCGATTAATATAATGGTAACTCAAGCAAACCTTCAGTTCTTGTTATCCCTGGAATGATTGCTTTGCGCGCCACTTGTGGACTAATTGTTCGCTTGCGGTTGACTGGATTCATAGCAAAGGCTAAATTTTCTATGTAGAAAAGTTCAAAACCAATAACGAACGTCGTTTAAAGAGAGCGTCATCTTTGTCCGTTTGTGTGTCCTCATTTGGATCCTGTTCGGGCACCATAGCTAAATATTTAGATTTCAATTCAAGCCCCAATCCAAGCAACTTACAAAGCCTTTTCTTCATCATCTTCTTCCGTTTCTTCTCTTTCCGCATCCTTCTTTCAACGCGTCTTGCCGCTCTCATTAATTCCTCTTCGTCATCTGAAGTCTCCGGCGGCTCTTCTTCATTTTTCTTCTGCTTCTAAACGGCGATCAAAAGGCTTTTGATTCAAAGAGAATCAAAAGAGTAACACTTACCATATTTGTTTTTGAATTGGCGTGTTCCGCAGTATCCGGAAAGCTGAGTCGAAGAGAGCGTCGCTAAAGTTTAGCATTTAGGCCAACATCAATCAGCAAAAAAACCTTTTTGAGTGTGTCGTCTTCTCTTTTACCGCTAAGTTCTTTCTCGATGTCGGCTGCTGGCACGAAATCACTAAATTGATTTTTAACTTACCTAAATTACCTAGATCTGTTTTGCATTGTACAAATTTTAAACATGAAAAAACTCACTAGTAGATTCCTAATAGTTGTTGCTTCCAATTGTTTGGGAATCCCTGCGCAAACGTTTCGTCTACCCATTTAGGCAAGCCATAGTTATCCACATCATCCATCACAGCCAACTTGTATCTAAGCAAGGGCAGGTAAGTAATTCCAAAAAGTGTTCCACCTTGATGCATTCTTCGTATAGACAATTTTTCGATCCTCTTCATCCACATGCGCAATCTCTGTGGTTTGCACCGGAGTCCATTCTCGTGCTTCTTCGCTAAAGCTTATGTTTTTTTCAAAACTAAAGTGAAGAATTACTCATAAGCGTGGCCTTTCAGATGAATTGTTGGCGTTGTCTTTTCAGCAACAAAGATAAACATCCAAAAGTTGAGCTCTATCACGGGTTGTTTCTGAAAGCAAAAAGTCATCAAACTTTAATGTCATGCATTACCTGTGCTCTATCTAAAATAGCTGCCACTTTAGGGCAATTCGAAAGCGCTGTTGGCGTGTTCGAAGAGATCGTTTTAGGAGTTCTCGTGGTTTCATCGGTTCTTCCTTGATCTCGGCCTCTTTCTATTCTTTCTTCTTCACGATCTTCAATTGGAGCGACAATTTGCACACTTTTTCGTTTGACACTCTTTGACAAAGGCTAAATCAAATTTTTCAATCAAATAACAAGACAGCAACAACCTCGTCGTTGTCAATCACTGTTGCCAGTAATGATTTTCGTAGAATGCTTCGTCGTGGGGCAGTTGCAGTGTTATCAGCAAACTAAACGTACAAATTTTTCTTTCTAATCTTTTTAGCTGGTCAATTGCAATCCCAAAAATTTCAATAAACTAACCGTTGCATAATGCTGACCGTAGCTCGACCGTACTCTAGATCCAATTACCGTCCGCTGTGCTGTTTCTCCATCAGGTGCCCATTGAGACTTGTCGAAAGAACTAAAAATCGAAACCCCAAGTGATCGGTTAAAAATCAACGTACGCCTCTTCAAAATATTCAACCAGCAGCTCCTCCCAATTGACCGGAAATCCATTGCGAAAGAATGAGACCAGTTCTCGAGGGAAGCCTAAACAAAAAGAATAAAATCTATGCAAATGGGCCTTAGATCTTGTAAAAAAAAACAAAGAAAATATTTACCATCCATTTCGGCTGCTTCCTCATCCATTGAACCGAGAAGACGGTAGGCATGATTTTTGGAGAAAACACAAACGGCTGATTCTCTAAAATTTTGTCAATTAAATGAGGCAAAAACAACAAAAACACAAACCTTCCCACAATCGGACTGGATATGTATTTCTGCAAATTGTTTTCATCAAGCGCTCGAAAGCCAGCCACTCGCACCGTCTTGAGACCACGTGCTAACTAAAAAAACTGATGACTTTACCAAAATTTCCAAACAAACCTTCAAATACCAGAGCTTTAAGTCTATCGCTTCACCGTAAGTGGTCTCCATCGGAGAACGCGATCTGAAAAAAACCATAATAGAAAAAAAATGGTCAAACCATAATAGTAAACCATAAAGTTTCGTAAAACAAAAGTTGAGATAAAAGCGTGAATTTGGTAGTTTTGATATATTATTCAATTATATTATTAATTTTCGAAAGATAAATCTACAAATTAACGTCGTGTATGTGCAATTAAAAGATGAAATGGGTAATTGGCTTCATCGAATTTAAAATCTCTCACTAGGCGCGCGTTTCTTTGCACGGCTACGGTAGTTAGGGTGCAAGTTAGGCAAAAAGAGAAGCACAAGAAGGATAACACGGTTTAACCGGTAAAACGATATGGAGGTGATGGTCGAAAGATCAAAAGTATAAAAACTTGGCAACTTGACACAAACAGTTCTTTTGTAAAAAGGGTTTTTGTCCAGAATCGTTTCAAGTATTCTCATTTTGATCAATCTTTATCATTCTCTTTAACAAAAACCAAATGACAACAAAACAGAAAAACAACAAATCTTTACAAACCGAAATTCACAGCAATCTCTTGTAGATTTAGTCTTTGTAGTAACTCCTCGAGATCTAAAGAGAAATTGAAACAGAATAAAAAATAGAACATTACATCCTTTTTCATCATCTTCTAGAAACATTGTAGCTAAATCGACGCCATTAATGGAAGAAAGTCGCGAAAAGAATGAAGCCAAATCATCGGTTGATACTTCTCTAAACATTCAAAGTTGTCGTTATTAAATTAAACGCTTAATGGACATTTTATGAATGAAATTTTATGATTTTATGAAAAAATAGATGGCAGATCACATCTTGACTTTGCTATAAACTTAGCATACAGAATATTTACCATGGATGTGCATTGTTGGTTAGGTATACTAACATACTTTCAATGATCAAAATCAAACCTTTCAATGATCAAAAAGCCATGTAATAACAATTTCAAATGACGAGCTTCGAAAAGACAATCAAGCAGAAATCGGACTCGTTCCCTTGGAATTTGCTAAACAATAAAAGTGTTTTTTTAAGAAGAAAAAGAACTCACTAAGCAATAATGAGCGAAAGCTGATGGATTATGTTGAAGTTTGGAATAAGCAAAATCAAAATCGGCAAAAATCTAAACCTAAAAGTCCAATTAAGACGTTTTAAGGAAACCTTTGGAGGCTCAAACGTTTCGTTGGTTTTTCTTTCAAGTGATGCTGAAGTTGATGCTGTGGTGTTTGTCTAAAGAGAAGAATTTATCCATTGCTTATCCATTGTTTTTTATTGTCTTTATTGTGCTTAATTCCTTTATTTACACAAAAATTTACCTTATCGCTAGTGTTTAATGTTGCAACTTCATCGAAATCTACCGTAATCCAATCCTCATCATCCGCTCTCAATTCGTCGCCTCTCGGAACACACTTTAACGTAACATTGGGTGCATTTTTCTAAAATCAATTTGTAGTTTCCCAAAGAAACTTTGGCAAAAAATAACACCAAAATTATACTTAACTTTTTAGAAACAAAACAAACTTTCACTCCGATCTTCTCTTTCAATGTTTTTGCAGCTGCATCGCCTGCCATTTTGATGAGACGATCCAAATCGGTCACTGCACTCTCATGAAGTCCAAGTGCATCCAAAACGAGAGCTCTCCTAAAACTTTTTATATTAGTGGTCGAATATAAAAGACAGAGCTTAAGTTCATTACTCCAGCAAAAGTTATTTCAAAATCATGTAAACAAACCGATAAAGTCCCTTCGTAAACTTTGGATCAAGTTGTAGTGCCCGATTGCAGTCCATTAGAGCACTCTGCCATCGCTTCAAATTAATGTTTGCCTGTGCTCGATTACCTAAAAGACGTTGATTTATCACATGAAAGATATTTTTACCGTAAACAAGTGCATCCTGTTTGTAGTTAAGTGATCGAGTGTACTCAACGATGGCTCCATGATAATGTTTCTTCCCAAAGCAGATATTCCCGTGTTCTTTGTGGTGAAGCGCTCGACTCGCTTTTTGCTCTTCATTGTCGTCGGTGATCTCCTCCAAATGAACCATTTGAACTAAAATCAAAGCTGAAGTATTAATAATGCAAAAATAAAAATTTCCACTGCTTCAATTTAATACCAGTATTAAACTGATTTCTCGATAAATTTCTAAGGTGGCTATAGTAATGAAAGTTCAAAACATATAGCTGATTCTGGGAACCCAAAGCTTTATTCAGCATAATGGAAGGTAGTTGTGTGTTTGAAAGGACCAATAAATCTTGTTTCGCAAACTTTCAATAAAATATTTATTAACTTATTAATAATTTACAATCATGTTAAAGCTATGACATGCTCAGTTAGTGATATACAGAAACATTAAGTAAAAAGTAATAGATAGTAAAAAAGTAAATTCATAAGTGTCGATGGCAAATAAAAAGATCGTAGTAAAACCCATTAGGTATCACAAAAAGAGCCCTTTACACCAATTCAAAAGGATACGATATAAAAAGTGAGCAATGACAACCGGTAAAATCTTTTGAGTCCATTGATAATAAAGCAGAGAACACGAGAGCAAAACAACAAACTGCCATTTTCTTCCTAATTTCCATAGTGTCCAAACGGAGCCGAGTAGAGGTAGTGAAAGTGGAGCAATGATCGGAAGAAGGACGGCTGTCTAAAATTGTTTTACAGTTAGAGCAGAAACAATTTAAGATCAGAATTACTCGTCGTCTATTAGATTCGAAGAGTCTATTCAAAAGCTACCTTTTGATCCTGTGGAAAATATAGCAAAGCGAGCAATGAAGGATGAGACAAAGCCTTATCTGCCTAAAATTTTTATAGTTAGTGTACTTAATGGAACACCAAATGATGATACCTTTAGTCGAGCCTTTGAGATCGTCGCTAAATCAGGATTGTGGGGATCATTCCATTGATTCAGAGGAGTCAACGCCTCGTTGACCAAACTAGCCACATCATCGGATATTACTAAATCACAAAATGTGTGTTCAATCCATTTAAAAGAATTACCAATATCTGGTATTTTGTCCTTCATGCTGTGTAGTGCTCGAATAGCACTCCTTGTTCTCAACGTGTTATCGATAAAAGCACGAAGATGCATTCTCTAAAAGCAATCATGGTTTAAAAATCAGTGCTAGATTTAAAAATCATTCAACATCAAAACGTACCGAAATCTCCCATTCGTTGACAGGGCACGGTTCTCTTGCACGTCCTCCTTCCAATTCAGAATCCATGCCAAGTAGAACGCTAAAGAAATCAGGTAAATATATTACGCAAGTAAAAACCGCAAAGATGACAAGAGATGGGCATCAGTTTTATCGTTTCGTGCAACAAGAGCTCCCCAAGAGGCTACCGCCACTCCTTTGCTATCCTCGTTCTAAATTTTTAACGGTGCTTTGTGTTAGAGATCATAAAATATTAAGTGGTTAAATGTTTGTTTGCAAAAAGTAGCATTTTTAGATGAGATCTACATGCGTTTTAACAATAAAACCACTTACTGTATGATCCAAAATAATGACAGGCATGTCAGTCTCCAAAACGATCATCTTCAACACGGGTGAAGCGCTTTCAACCGTCTGCATCTGCATGTCCACCTCTTTGATCACATTTTGTGTCGAATCGGCCGTAAGAGTCCATCGATCTTGAACATCCTTTTCCAAATAATGCATCACCTCGAAATCCCACAGATGTTCACTCGTTATCTAAACATTATTTTTTTCAGTAGTAATAAAACAAAAATAACCTGTAGTCGTGTTACATTTTTGATCCGGGAGGCGAAGCGCCAAAAATTACTAGTCGTTCTAGTCGCTCTAAAAGGTCTAGTTAGAAGCAAACATTGAACTAGGTAAATACCGTTGCTTCACTTCCTCATCAAGTTTCGCATTTTGATGAAGGAATACGATTTGAACAACATATTCTCCAGCCAACGCAGCACTGTCCCAAACAAGTCGCTTCTGAAAAAAATTCGTTTTATTTATATATTAGCTCGTATCTATATCATTTTCATATACCTGATGTGAAAGGGGAAGTGTCGCGATTTGCCAGGCGGGCATCAGCTCTCTCTGATCTCTTTTGACTATTGATTCAAGATGCGGGACGTCGATGAGAACCTAAGAAGTTGCCGTTATTAAGATTAAGATTAGATCAAGACTCTAAATTAAGAAAGGCTATTTATACAATCGAATAGCGATATCAAATAATCCCTCACCTCCCAAACAAGGGATCCTATTCTTTGAGCCATTTTCTCCAAATCATCACCAAATTGAATCAAAGTCCATTGAGAGCACGTCATAAATGCATGATTAGCTGAGAAATGTGTCCTAGAAAAACCATAAAAAGTTTTATAATTCTCAAAACTTTACCATTCAGCAGGATCGACCAATGCCAAATACACGTTTAGACCCCGCTCAGTATTCGTTTGTAATGATGCAAGCTTCCTACAAAAAATAAAATATGTTATTTGACTAACTTTTACCTAAAACCATGGCATTGAATGTTCCATCGAATATTCAATGCGACGGGTAGATCTCCTTCATTTAAACGAGCCAGAATCCTTTCTTCCAAAAGAGGCACTTTATCACTAAAAATCAATTTATTCGTGGTTTAAAAGTGTGCACTTTACAGAAATAATTTGCTCGTCGGTACGATATGAAGAGTGACCTCTAAATCGATTTTTCTTAAATCTTTTGGCACGTTGTCCATGGGCGCTCGATAAACCTAAAAATTTACTCCTTAAATAAATTTGAATATTTACGCACTTGTGTATTCTTCCATGCCAGTGTACCGCATACAATGCAAAGAACTAAAAGAATAACTAGGCTGAAAACCTCAATACAAACCAATAAATGCAACCGCTGATGCAAGCCGATAGGGTAATTCTCGTTTGCGATACTTTTTATAGGCTTCCTAAAAAGAAACGTTTGCTAACTTTTGCAGTTTAAACAATCCAAACAACAAGACTTATCGTATAATAGCGCTTAATTATTACGTAAAAACACATAAGACGAACTAACCGGTAGCCGATCAATCAGCTCTTGGACGTCTTTTGGGGGCGGTCTTTCGGGTTCCAGTGGTGTCTCTGGAGGCGGTGGCTTCTTCAGACCCAACTTTTGAAGAATTCGACCAAGGTTTTCCATCACGAAGCCAGTCCAAAAGCGTTGGGATGTCCTAATAGTCAGCATTATAACAACAAAGTTCTGATCTAATCTCAATAATTTTTGAAGCTCCTAGTTTATAAATTTCACAAACAAAAATTCGTTTATTTAAGCCCAAATGCTACAGTACCGAGCAAAGTCTTGCAACATCACTTTTTCAAAAAAATCGATGAAATTTTTTTATAGAAAATGCCACCCGTTCGTAGGGCTTTTTTGTTTTTAATTAGAATAATACATGTACACTTTATTTACAAAAACAAATTTGAAGTTCAGCGTAAAACAAAAAAGTAAATGACAAAACTACTAAAAAATACCCTAAAAACTGGGTGCAAAAGTCTTGCAACATTATATGTTTCTCATTTTTATTGTTTTCAAATTTATTAATTTACACTAATTTTTGTTTTTTTCAGATGCCAGGTACCTACTTGACGACTCCCGAAAGAGAAAAAATCATGAAAGCAAGAAAAAAAAGGAATTTCTCGAGCCGTTGTCTCTGATCTCTTCAAATGCGATCCATCGACTGTTTCTCGCATTGTTTCAAAAGCAAAAACAACTGGACTTATGCACCGAAGAAAGAAGAAAGGACGGCCAAGAAGAACAACAGCAAAAGAGGATCGAATACTTGTGATGGCTTCCAAGAAGGATCCGAACATGACATCAACTGAGGGAGCTCGGCTGATCAAGGATGTTGCAACCAAGGATATCTCTCGATGGACCGTTTCTCGACGATTGACTCAAGCAGGACTGTATAGCCGGAGGGCTGTACGAAAGCCTTTGATGACCGCTGGCCACAGGAAACAACGGCTTCTATTCGCCAGGACGTACCAAAGTTGGACAAAGCAGGATTGGGCCAACGTGATTTTTATCGATGAAACAAAAGTGGATATCTTTTCTCCAAAAGGCAACCACTTGATCAGACGACCCATTGGAAAGCGAATACTCCTTAAATATGTGCGACCTACAATGCGAGCTGGCGGAGGATCAATCATGTGTTTTGGTAAGCCTTATTTCTAATACATGCATTAATTTGTCTTTTCTAGGGGCGATGACAAAAAATGGGCAGGTCCGTTGTCCTCGTCCAGTCAACCATGAATGCTCGCCAGTATATGGAAATACTAGAAGGATGTCTACTTCCATTTGCTCAGGATCACATGGCTCCTGAATGGTTTCTCTACCAGGACAATTCGCCGGTCCACAAGAGCAAGCTCATGATGGGTCGCACGGTGAATTCTCAAATGGAGGAAAAGCTCATCTCCCTGGATGGTTTGCCCTTAATAATGTTTTGTTGGTCAAGGTGCCCCTATGTCGCCTGATTTAAACGTTATTGAGAATTTATGGGCTTACGTGAAGGCAAAGTTACGAGGAAAAGACTTTCACACAAAAGTTGACTTATGGTTCTACATACGAAAAGTTTGGAGCTCAATTCGCCCAGCAATTCTTCACGAATTAGTCGACTCAATGCCTAAACGACTTAATGAAGTGATTTTGGCAAAAGGTGGACCGATTGAATATTAATTTTTGATGTTTCTGTAAAATGTTGCAAGACTTTTGCACCCAGTTTTTAGGGTATTTTTTAGTAGTTTTGCCATTTACTTTTTTGCTTTACGCTGAACTTCAAATTTATTTTTGTAAATAAAGTGTACATATATTATTCTAATTAAAAACAAAAAAGCCCTACGAACGGGTGGCATTTTCTATAAAAAAATTTCATCGATTTTTTTGAAAAAGTGATGTTGCAAGACTTTTGCTCGGTACTGTAAATCTTCACAATTTGTTCCACATAATAAAATACCTTGACGTTCTTCGGTTGACCGAGAGCAATGCAACAACACAGTATTAGGAAGAAAATGCCCACAGCAAGTGGGAACAACTCCATACACAAGCCAAGTCTAAAACAAACGTCATAAAAAAATTGGACTGGATGTAAGTTTTGAAATAATCACCCGATTTCTCAAAATCATGTGTCATTTTTCACGAAACTCTCCTATTTTAAAACATGTTTATTAAGTAAAGCGCATGAATCACAATTTGAGAATAGACAAAAAAAAGAGAAAAATGTTGTAAACCTAATTATGAGATACTTTATGCTAATACTGTTTTTTGGTTACAAAGAGAATTGAAGGCAAGATATTTCAAAATATGGTCAACGTTAACAAATTGGCAAACCGGGCACAAAAAATAAATAAAGAGAAAAATGAGCAAATGAATGAGAGGAATTTCAATCGAAAAATGCTAAACCACAAGTGAGAATCTCGAAAAAGGCAAAAACGGAAAGAGAAAAACAATGTGTCGTTGATTAAAGAATCGTTGTCGTGGTTGGGCAAACATTTAATGGTCCATATACCATTTGGATCGTTGAGCGAAAATATCACTCTTCAAGTTTTGTGCAAAGCAAATTCCCATAATCTAAAAGGAGATCTTAAATCTTCATTACATAGGTATGCATTTATATGCGTATTAAAGAATAGGCTGGTTATAAATTTATACTTTGTAAGATTTATAAAAAATTGTTTTACACATTGACGACCAGGCGGTTTTTCTCACAGAAGCCCGTGGGACCAAAAAATCATCGTAAATTTTATTTGATAAAAACGACTTATTTGTATCGTTATTACTAAATTAAACATATCTATATAATTTTGTTGCATCCTGAAAACCCATAAGCTAAGTGTACATACAGACTTTACAGACCGTAAAGTTAAACGCAAATATACCCGAAATCCCTTGAAAAACTTTCTTAGACCACCGGTGGTCTAACGGTCGTCAGTGTGTTAATGTTTAATGGCCAAAATATTCTAAAATATCAAAAAGCTTCCTTCTCACCTGTACAACACCAGCAATCACCATCCCAATTCCAACGAGGATCACATTGTTGTTAAGCCATAGCTGAAACTTCGGCAAACACCCTTCAGTGTAAATCGATGCGGGCATATTTTGATCCTAAACACTATTTAGAACCAATAGAACAAAACTCTTCACCCACCCGTAATCTCACTCCATGTCCGCAGAAATAGTTTTTAAACGTGACAACGCTGCTATTCAGGCAGCAGGAAAATGGAACGCCACCAGCTTCGGGAGATTGAATCTAAAAATAAAGATAAAAAGAATGGCATGCTGACTTTTACATCTTGAGATCCAGTGCTAAAGTAACTGTTCTTGTCCCAATCATCTGCACTATTGATGCCGCAACAATGCCATGATTCCTATAAAAAATGGTTTTTAAAAAGAACATTCGCAAACCTGCATGGAGTCTATGAGAATTTGCAAATCAGGATCGTCTCGATAACCTTGGATCTAAAAAACTTCGTTAAAAACCTTCAACGATAATCCTATCGATTTTTAAAAGTCGCAACTATATGCATAATCGAAATATTTACCACATCATTGAGCAAACGCCGTATGTATTGATCCAGCTGATCTTTGCATGCATACGCGAAGACACCCGCCGCCAACTCAGCAATCAATAGGAGACCTAAAATTAGCATGATTTTTGAAGACTCTGAAGACTTTAAGTTGGGCAGTTATTACAGTTAGAAAGTAGTATTTGTATTGTTAAACATAAAAAAAACTACCTAACAAAGTAGAATAAAACGTCAAGAAGGAAGTGTTTTCCCGAAGCGATCCGACACATCCACTGAATCCTAAAAAAAGTAATTTTAAACAAACTTTTAAAATCAACAAACCAATGATAAAAGTGACTAATCCTACTAGGATGAGTAGCCAAGTTGGATCCAAGTAGAGTTTTGATGCCTAAAATAAAATCAAGTTATAACTTTGTAACTCATATGAGATAAACTATTTTAACCTATTTGCAAACTTACTGACCTTGTTTAGCTGACTGTACAAGCTTGTTTTCTCGATTTGTGCCCAAGTACCGATGAGCAGGAGAGCGAATCCGAGCAAGAAGAAAATCACATTGAACGCGAATACACTATAGAAAATAATTTAAAATGAAAGCTTAACTAAAAAATTGCAAAATTCATGCTAAATACCTGTATTTGACACAACAACTGATCTCTGATTCGCCACCAGCACCCGGTGCGTATCTCACTGCCTGAAAATACGAAAATGAGCTTTTATTTATAAACAGGGTTGATTCATAATGGTTTAAAAATACTAAATTTAATATATTCCACAGTGCAGGGCATTAGAAAGGTTTATGTAACGATAAGTTTTTACTAACGCTAAGTTAACGGTAACAGTAACAAGCTGTTTCAATTTTTTTTAAGGTTTTAAGATAAAACAACTATATCCTTGAAAACTACATGTATCATTGCTTAATTCTAATTCTAATAATTCTTAATTCTAATAATTCTAATTCGGAAAAAATAACTCACCGCATGTCGATGCACTCTTGCTCTTTGTGCAGCGGGTCGTCGAATTCGCTGCTCTTGTTGTCGTGAAGCATCAGGCATCGAGCAGCCTGTAAAGAAAGAAATGTGACATGAAACGATAAGAATAAAGTTAAGAAACAAAATTAAGGAAAGTTGAAGTGTTAATTTATGAAAAACAGGTTGCACTTGGTGTACTTTTTTCTATGTTTTGATACCTTTTACAATGAAAAACCAAAAACTGTACTAAAATATGACTAATCGAGAGGGCGCGATGGGTGTAGGGTATTGGAAAGGCAAAGGTAAGGCCTTTCCCTTCTTTCTCTCTCTTTTCTCATAAGATCGAGCCTTCCCTTTGTTTGTACCCCGTCATTTGGAGTCGCCCGTTTTCGCCGGGTGTTCGATTCAAAAGAGCAAAGGAGAGTGAAAAGAGGGGAAAAAGAGCAATTGTGAGCACAAACTTCAACAATTTCACATCATTGTCCATTCCGTTTTTATTGACTTAACCTTTCTTAAGGAGATTTACAAAACTGAATATCTTTTAATTATAATATTTTGTTATCTTCAAAAAGATAATCAGTCATCGAAATTATATTCCAGAAATGCAAATTGATTCAAATTGCAATACACGACGGCTACAACTATAAAATGGCAATTCAAGGCAACTTTAAGGTGAGTGTGAAGAGTTAAAGTCAAAATGCATATACTCAATTTACAGGTCTACACAGCCATTGGCCTAATTCTATCACTTCTCATGCTCGGCCTTGATGGAATCTTTCTCGTAATCGTTTGTGCTCTTCTATTTTTGGCCAGGTAAGTACGAATATCGAAAAGTAACCAGGTAAAAAATGCTAAACTTTATCAAAGACTGTCGAAAGCATTTAAAATCAATAATTCCAGCTTTTCCTACCTCTTCATCAAAAAAGGCAAAGATGAGGCGAAACTGATGGAGGAGCGGTTTGAGCGATTGATTAAAGAGTTCGAGTTCTCACCGGGCATCGCTCAATTCTTGGCGACGCGGAATCGTTTCGATGAAAAAGTTGAAGAAAAAGAAGAACTTTAACTTTTCAGTTTACAGGCCGCCCACAAGGAAGTGATCTCGATGACCGGATCAGCGGGAATGGATCGAATCTTGGAACAGGTAAGGTCTTCCATTTTGCACTACACATAATCATGATGTATGATCTCGAAAGTACGTTTCGTTAGGGGTTATTTCGATTTCAAACTTTCCAAATCTGACCTTTTAATCAATCCCATTTTGGAGCTAACCTGTACGATGACCTGTGGGTTTGTAGGTATTACGGTACGAAATCACATTGTACTGTTAAATCAATGTCTAATCCATAATCCCTGTAAGATCTCAAAGCCCAAAGACGAATCCAATCTCATTTCAGATGCTACAATTCGTGGTTCGTGACTACATCGATTACTGGTACAAAGATCTCACGAATGATGAGCTTTTTCGTGAATCTCTCAAAAGAACGTCTCGTCGGACAATTGCTGCCTTTTCACAATGGTTGGTGTAATAAAAAGATACAATGCAAAGTCGGTAAAATCGTTGAAAAATGAAAATTTAAATCCAAACAAAGCATTTTAGCGTCCGAAAAGTCGATTGGGTTCCATTTTTCACTCGAAATTGTGTCGATGATTTTGCGTCACATCTTCGACTTTATCGAATGGCTCGAGAGAGGCTACAGTTCAACAAAGAAAAGGCAATATCAAAATTTTATGCAAAAATTTCGAGAAGTAATCTATTTTTTTTATTCTCATGCAATTTCAGGGTACATCTAATGCAAACGTGGACGATCTTGAGAGTCACTTCTTCGATTTCGAATTCGAAATGGAAAAAACGCTATGCAGAGATCTTCTATCAACAACGCCACACTATGAAAATGGTATGAAAATAGTCAACAGTAAAAAAACAGTAAAATTTCCAAATTTCAGCCTATCTTCACGATTTGATCGACATTTTGTTGTACCTCTTGATGCCGCCTGAAGATTTTCGATGTAGACCCTTAAGGTTTTTGGTTCGAGAGGTTTGAAACTTTAAGTTTACAAAATATTTTTTACTTAAAATTTAGATAATGGTGAAAATTATCTTCGTTCCATTGCTTGACCATTTTTCAAATCCGGAGAACATCAATCAACTGCTTGTGTGGCTGGTAAGGGCTTATCTCTTCTTCATTTCAATGAAAATGAAATGAAACTACCAAAAGCTATTTAGTTATCCGAAGTCTCGCCAAGACCCGAAGATTTTGTGCAATCCGTTGAACATAGTCCAAGTATAAAAGAATTAGAAGCGGTGATGAGATCGGTGAGAGAAGAAATGCAACAATTGAGAGGGAAGAGATGCCGGTGGAGAACATGGTGAGCGGAAGAGAATTTCAGAAAAAATAGCTTGAGTAGTTCCAGAACCCTTTCTGGAACTGGAAAGGGTTCTGGAACCGGTAGTTAAGCCTGTTCAGGTGTTACTAGCTGTTCAGGTGATTTCGTGAAGCAACAATTGGCAAGTCTTGAATTTCTCGAATCAACAATCCGGCGTCGCCTCGTTGTTTTATCCGATCAATCAATCGAAAGAGGGAATGATGTTGTAAGTGGAGATGAGTTTTGATCAAAAATCTGAATCCAATCTTTCAGAGATGTTCACTGATTGAGGATCAATCAGGCGATGTTCTCATTCAATTACCCATTCATGTCGTATTGACAAATTCGGTTGCAGTCAGCTATTTTTGCGATTTTCTGATGACCGTTGGCGGGCAGAACTATATCGATTGTTATTTGGCTATCGAGGTGGGACAGATATAAAACAGATTGTGCTGAAAGTTGCTCCTTGAGCTCAAAGATTCAAAGACTCAAAGCTCAAATAATTTAAATCCAAATTCAAATAGACAAATTTCACTCACAGAGGCTATTGCTGGTTACGAGAGTGCTGATCTGTGAGAAAGCTACCGTATACTGTACTACCATACTTTTGTTGTTAGTCAAAGGCGTATCAGTCTTTCCCTGTATCCCAAAGCTGTATCTGGCACACTTCCAGAATAATATCAATCCTAATTTGGGTAATTAAACCGGTCAAAAACAAGATGATTTCCCTAAAAACGGTGTTGGTTTTGGAGTTGAAATCGTAGAAAGAAATGATTCTTGTTAAGGGCTTCAAAGTGAGCGTCGAGCATCAACTCCGCTCACTCGCGTTGGGCGAAACGGACAATCAAGATGTGTACGAGACAGTGAAGGAAGCCGCTAAATTTATGTATCATCAATATCTCTCACAAGAAGTGCGAAAAAAGATCAATTTTTAAAATTAAAATTCTAAATTTAGGCAATCACTCGCGTCCCACTCAAGGAGGCGGTGATTTCAAGGTTTTTAAATCGCATGAAAACTGATGAACCCTCGGATTCATGGTTTGAACAGATACAGGATGAGGTGAGCAAATTCAACTGAAACATTCAACAAAGGAATCAGATTTCTGAGGTACTTCGCGCAAATGAGAGCTTCTATCCAGCTTTCAAGAGGGATCCCCTGTATGAGAAGATGTTGCTCGAGTTGGGGATTATAGGTATGATTAGGATCGGATCATTGGATCAAATACAGTATTGCTAAAGATAAAGTATTGCTTTACTTTCTTTTACTTTATTTACCCAGGACATGTAGGTTCCATCAATTTCTCAGCACAGTTCAGTCAGTCTATGAGCTGAAATTCAGCCTAGTGCAGCCAGTCCACCAAACTGGACTACAGTAAATCTCCGACTACTAGAAATAAAATACAGTTATTATTCAAGTACAGAACAAGCTACAGTAAACTTAATAATTATAAAGATGGACAATATCCATAACAACTGAATACCATGATTTTTTCCATTCTCAACTTTTAGGAAACGACGATGATCGACCGGAAAGCCAAGCAAGTGACTCGAGCTCGGTTCGATCCGGAGAACCAAATGGATCAATCTGTGAAAAAGTGAGCGTAAAATTTGAAAATTTGAAAACTAAACCAGATGAAACAAATTCTATTCAAGTTCAATTTTAGATTTTTGAAGAGATTCCGATCTCGGCAAGTGATCCTTTCAACGCGGAGCCGATCATTTCCGTCGTTGTCGAGACGTTGGGAATCGGTAAAATTATAGAAAAACTATAGAATCATCCAAATATAAATAAAAATATAGATAGATAAATAGTGGAACATTGTAAGTCAAATAAGTCATAAGTCAAATTGCAGGTCAACAAGGCAAGCAATCATTTGCTCTTTACAATATCCGAGTCGAGAGGACACTTGCCGGGAAAAAGGTTCGCATTTCAATAAAAAAAATGAAAAAGTATTCAGTTATTAGGCTATTTTATATTCAAAAGTTTATATATTCAAGTTTAAATATTTAAAAATTAAATGACTTTATGCAAATTTCTAGGTAAGCGGTTGGAATGTGTTGCGAAGGTACTCGGATTTCCACACTCTGCACAATTTGTTATGTCAACAGGTAAGAGCTTGATTTTTATTATAATAATTCATAAGAATATTGATTTTTAGATAATTTTTAGTTTACTGTAGATTTAGATAATTATAAAAAAATCGAAATCAATGAAATTCTAGTACCCGAAAATCTCGACAGTCAGCTTTCCGGGGAAGAAAACGTTCAACAATCTCGACACGCATTTCATCGAGAAACGCACACAAGCGTTGAATGCATATATGGAGGTGAATTATATTATTTATTACTGTAGCTTTTTTTCTTTTGATTACTGTGACTTGTTATCTTCTTGCGATAGTCGAAAATTTCCCTACAGCATGCCAATAGACTAATAGATAGATCAGTGCAACGTTTTCTGCTGACTTTCCCAAATATACTATCAATTTCAAATTAGAATTAGACATAGAATAATCTAGCTGATAATATTTTGTATTATTTTTGCTTTAGGTGGTTTTAAGTCCAAACCTTCTCCGAATCAACCCAGGAATGGATCGACTTCTCTTCGACTTTTTAAGTCAAAAAGAGTACACTGGTAGCTCACAGCCGTTGACAAAGAAAGTAAGGAAAAGGATTCTAATAAATATATCTAGATATTTCATCTATTAAATAAGCAATTTGCATATTAGGTGATGAGCGCAATGTGGGATCCGATTGGGAGAGGGATGCGGGCGGTGAGCACAGCGGTGGCTGCTGTTCCTGATCAGGTACTGTCAAATAGACAGCTGATAATATCTTAAGCCAAGTGTACACAAGTAAAGTACTCTTTCGCTATCCTACAGTACATTTATAAACATTTAGGTATTCAACTTTTGGGTTTAAAATTGATTTGGGTAAAGTTGGGATTTTTTTAGGTGGTCGGCGGTGTGACAAAAGTCGGCGATGGGATTGGAAAAGCGGCGAAAGCTGTGATTAGAGTAGGTTTTATCAAATGAATACAAAAGAGAAATAGTTAGATAAACTAGAAACTACGATAATTATAGAATTTCTACAATTTATTCAATTTCTTTAGACCCCTTCAACCGGTGTCCTCCGAATGCCGCCAACGCTGGAAACGGATCGAGTTGCGGCCAAGATTTCGGATGAGGTTTGTGAAGAGATTCTCTACTAAAGTTTTATTAGCAAAATTCTATCCATTGGCTATTCCTGAAAGTTAGCTTTCTAAAAAGCACCTGGAACATTACCGTAATCCAATTGGCAGTTTATCTTCGCTCGATTTTGATATCATTCATTGATTGTGAACTTTCGGATTCTTTATCATAAACCAAATTCGGCTAATCTAATATAAACTAACAGTTTTTACGGTAAAAGAAGATGTTATTTAGAAAAAGGATCTCTTTTTAGCTGAAAGGATCTCACTCTAATCAAAATTGGCATCAGTTAACATTTTAGGATACAAACGAGAACATTCCTCTACGAGTGATGGTACTTTTCGTTGATGAGGTAAAAAAAAGGTTTTCTTCAGCTTTTTGACCAAATTTCTTTAGGTTTTCGGTGTTCGGGCTCAAAATGCGTGGTTCCGTCGGCAACTCGTCGCTTTATTGAGGGGAATTGTCACTCCATTGGGCACATCGATCAATAAGAGAATTATCGATTTGGTTAGTACATTTGGATCTGATCCCCGCATTTTGTACGCATAACAAAGTAAATTGATTCTCGATAAGGTCCACGAGTTTCGCCCGAAATTTCTATGAAAATGAGATTTCAGGTGAATTGGTTGACGAGTGATCAACAAGCGACGCTCTATTTGGCGGCTATTAGGTCAGTGAAATACTTCAAAACGAAATCAAAGGATTTTTTGTAGACCTGTCCCTGGCCTTGTTTTGCTTGCTTTATTCCAGAAAAGTTCTTCTAGGAAGATTTTATTGACGTTTTTATTCAAGCTTCATAAAACAAGCTTTAAAAAATCCAAAGTTGATTGACATTTTCCTTAAAATCTATAAGCCCAGTGAGGTGACAGAACTCTGTATGATTTCCAAAATATTCCCAAATAAATATCATTGCAGAGATTCCCTTTGGCCAGACGGTCAACTAGCCGGCGAGGCACCGCAACGATCAGAGGAATTTCATGAAAGAACAAGAGTGCTCGCTCGATCATTGATGCTCAGTGTTCTTCCCGATGAGCTACGGTTAGATTTTTGAATCTAATTCCCACGTTTCCCGAATTTAGACTAATCCTTGGCCAAGAGACGACTTATCAAGGGATCGCCACAATCTCAGCCGCCTTGCAACGTCCCCATCTGAATCGTCGTCTTCTCTATGTTCTCATTGAACGCCTCTTGATCAGCATATTCCCGAATAATCGCTTTGAGAAAATCTTTGCTCAATTGCATTCGAAAAGTCCAAGAGTTAGACGAGCTTGAAATTTGGAATTCGCCAAATCTTTCATTCTTAACCCTCAAAACCATTTTCTCTCCCCAGCCCACAGCCCGGTTAGCTCAGTCGGTAGAGCACCAGACTCTTAATCTGGCTGTCGCGGGTTCGAGCCCCGCATCGGGCTGATGCTTTTTGCTTTTTCGATTAAAATGACTCTATGATAGCCAGAAATTTTATATACGGTTTCTTTTGACATTCCTTTCCTTTTGTTCGCTTACAGGTCACTTCTCCAATCCGATCTCTTCTTTTGAATCAAAACTCGTGATTCTGATGACACCTAGTCACTTATTTGACTGAGCATCAAAATGCTTAAACGTTTCGTTTAATATATATAACAAAGTTCTATCTCAAAATTTGCATTTAAACTCGCTACACTTACCGTATACCGAAAGAAACTTAAAATCAAATGCTTCGATCGGTGCTTTCTATTGAAATTCATGCAAATTTTTGAATTATCTTTTCAAGTTCTTTTATGGGTTTCTTCTCATTGGCCATTTGTGATTTTCTTGCTTTTTCATTCAAATAAAGCTTTCTAATAAGTAATTTTAACAAATTGAGAACCGACCTTGACAGTGCTATTTCTGGATTTGGTTTTCGATTTGTTGGATTGACTTTATTTTCAAAAATTTAGTGCTAATGGAGAGCATTTTGCAACATCATATGGGATATGAGAGGGTTGAGGCGACTGGCAATCGGGGTACTGTAAACTAGGCTACAGTAAGACTGATTGATGTCTGCCGTATTGTTAATAGCCTTTGAGAAATACAGTAGCCTGGGTACTACTTGGCTATATTAGCCTTGATAATGAAGGTCATTTTACTACAGGCCTTACGTACTGTAATTCGAGTATCGCAGGCTCTTTGTTTTTAGAGAGTTTTGCTGTGCGGTACTGTAGTTGGGATAAAGTACAGTAATATTGTAAGAAAGTTTACTTGCAATAATTATAATACTTGCAATCTTCAGGGGGTGGTTCGATCAACAAAGGAGAAGCCTATGAAACGGAAAAAGGAACGATTTTCGTGAAGCATAACTCTCAAAAAGGGGTTATCTCTTTTTTTTGTTTCCTGTTTTCTCTTTTCCATCACCTTTCCCCTTTTCAGAGCCTTCAAATGTTCGATGGGGAATTTGCCGGATTGACAGCTATTCATGCCACGGGCACCATTCGCTGCCCAAAGCCGATAAAAGTGATTGATTTAGGGTAAGACCCGTAGCCCGGTTAGCTCAGTCGGTAGAGCACCAGACTCTTAATCTGGCTGTCGCGGGTTCGAGCCCCGCATCGGGCTGATGCTTTTTTTGGTTTTTTTTAAAAATAAAACTAAGCTAAACCAAAGGTTAACTTTAGCTTTAGGTTATTTAAAATAAAACTGAACTTTGAAGTTAAACTAAATTAACTAAAGTTAAATTTAGCTTTTAGAGATTCGGGTGCTTGTCTAATCACTTCTTTTATCGATATTTCTGGTCGAGGTCGGGGAGAAGTGGTAAAAGAATTCGGGCGACAATTGGCGAGGTTTGGGAAAAGGTTTGATCAAGAAAAATGAGAATACAGAATGCATAAACACAATGGAAAGTTGTTGAAAGAAACGGAGAGCAGTTCAAGTCGAATTGGAGGAAAACAGAGGATGAGGTTTGAAAAGAGACAAATTCTATTTATATTGTGTATTGAGTTGCAAAAGTCTGCACGTCAACTGACAATGATATTCTTTCGTTTTTGAGCTTTTTAGGGAGAGTCAAGATTCGGTTTTCACACAACAACCTGTTGTGGAGCGATCCCATTAGTGAACGATTTTGTCGAGAGTTGGCCGGTTGATTAAATTGACACAAACTGACATAATCATATCTAAATTTAGCAATTCTTCGTTCAAAATCGAATCACTCCACAAATCGAGCGAATCTTGGTGGTTTGAAGTACCAAATCCCGTGAATGTTTCCGTTTTCTCAGGAATCCGGTGATCGAGACCTCAATGCGGCTTTTCCTGAGCTTATTCGAGCTGTTGATTCGATATTCAAAGGTTATCAAGGTAATTTATGATTTTGAAGTGATTTCAAGTAGATTGCTTGACTTAATCTAGAAAATTTTCCTACAAATATTCAGTTGTTCCTCCTTCACTTGTACACGGAGATTTATGGGCCGGGAATTGGGGATCGACGAGTGACGAGAAACCGGGTAAAGAACTTTTCAGCCTTTCAACCAAACCAATTGATAACATCAAATTTAGTCATTTTCGACCCAGCGACTTTCTATGCAGATCCGGAGTTCGAGCAAGGGATCATGAATATGTTTGGAGGCTTTGGAAAGTTGGTTAAGGAAAAAAAACTAGCTGTTTGAAGGTTAAAATTTATGCTTTGCTGTTTGCTGTTTGCTTTGTATCATAGAGCTATCATAGAGTCATTTTAATCGAAAAAGCAAAAAGCATCAGCCCGATGCGGGGCTCGAACCCGCGACAGCCAGATTAAGAGTCTGGTGCTCTACCGACTGAGCTAACCGGGCTACGTGTTTGGGTCTAAATTAATCGGTTTTACCGGCTTTGGACAAAGAATGGTGGCAGTGGCAAGAATAGCTGTCAATCCAGAAAAGAGAAAACAAAAGAGAGATAACCCCTTCACGAAAGTCGTTCCTTTTTCTTTTCTTAATTTAGATTCAAAGCCAAAGATCTCTATCTATACAATTTCATTTGTTTATCTCCTTTTCTAGAGAGTTTTGGTCATCGTATCACGAGATTATTCCAAAAATTGCCGGCCGGGAGCGTCGAGTCCGCTTCTATGAGCTCTTTCATCATTTGAATCATTGGTGAAGTCTTGATTTAATTGATTTTTTTTGAAGGAACACTTTCACATCCTAACTATTACGGTGATCACTTCAAATTCAACTTCAGGAATCACTTCGGCGCCTCGTACAAGAGTGGAACGATGCAAATCATTCGCGAGCTCACCTCAGTTCAAACACAATTTTAAACTTTATCTTTATACGTCAATATACAATATTTACATACAAAAAACAAAAGAGATCAAATGAATTTACTTCTTGCCGGTAGAAGCATTTCCCTCAATCTCGCCCCATCTCGTTCCTCCAATTTCGAGGCGTACAAACGCTCAACCTGAATCATTTTTCTATATTGAACTTGGCAAAAAAACGAAACTTGTAAGGGATGACCAATTTAAAATTTCGGCTTTACAATTACCTTTAGGCAAGCGGGCTTGGCTTGGCTTGGCTTGGCTTGGCTTTTATCAGCCTGCTAAATAATCCATGACCAAGTCAAGCTAACGAGGAAACGGTCCGAGCTCAAAGTTCAGAATAGTTATGAAACTGTACCTTATAGAATCGACCACGCTGATCAAAATGAGCTAAAAATTAGCTGCTAACAACCACGAAATAACCCCAAAATCATTTAATTTGTGTATCGAAGATGTGTTTTTTGATTCTAATATTTTCTTTTTGATATCTTGGTGGTGTGAGCTACTATTACAACTGCCCTCTCTTTCATAACTTTTCCTTTATCTGAAAACAATCTTCTTCATTAACAACATTATTTTTGATTTAATAAATGCTTTTGAGTAAAAAAAATTAAAAAAGCAAAGAAAAAATCATAAAAAGTAAAAGAAATGTCCTAGTGGAATCGAATCCAGGCAAATGATGAACCATTCTCATCTTGTATACTATGCACTTATCCATTCGACTGCCAGGTCACATTGGCCAGTCGAACAAATAGCCTTTTAAGGAAATTACCAAAACTTTAATGTTAAATATCAAATATTTTCGTGGTTGTTGGCAGCTAATTTTTGGCTCATTTTGATCAGCATGGTCCATTCTATAAGGTCCATACAATTTCATAAATTTTCTGAACTTTGAGCTCAGACCGTTCAGACCGTAAGACAAGGCCAGTCTGAAGTCTGAAATGAAGCCTGTCTTGCCTGGATGGCTTGGATTTGATTGGTGCCATGGCTTTTGGAACAGCTTTGTTCCAACTTTCTTCAGCAATTTTCCAAAATCTACCGAGAAACAAGTTTTTTAGAACCAAGCGATAAGTAAAGCCATCTTTTGCTTTTCCTTACTTCTTTATTTTGCTCTTTTTCACTCATCGGATAGATGGTCGTCGTTTTCTCGGGACTTCGGAGTAAACCTAAGAATTGATAGATGGGTAAAAGTTTTGCTCTTCATTTACCAGTCTCATAAATCGATCGCCCGTATCCGAGAAGGGGATTTCCGTAAAGGCCTGAATAGTTCAGATGTTTTCTGTTTTGGTTGGCTTTTCCTATCATGCATACCATAAAGATTCGATCCGTAAAGGCCAGAAGACGGGCTGTAGAGTCCCCGTCCATACAGAGAGTTCATTCCATAGAGAGAGTTCATTCCACCGTATCCAAGACCACCATATCCACCGTATCCATATCCAAGACCACCGTATCCTAAAATTCACATTTGTTACTTAAAATCAAGAAAATCTATTTGACCAAGGGTTCCAAGTGTTCCAAGACCATTGAGAGAAGAATAGGGATATCCACCAAGTCCTCCAAGTCCTCCAAGCCCTCCAAGCCCTCCAATTCCTCCAAGACCACCTAGATTTACAGGGTGACCAGAAATAACCGATCCTTTTTTTCTAGGCTCATATTTCTGTCATTTGTAGACGAAAACGATTCATTTCTTTTTTTAAAATGAAAACTCACCTCATTTTCTGTATATTTTCAAGATTTCATGACCATAAGATCAATAGATAATTTGTTATGAACGCTTAAAAATGACTCGAATTTAGGCCTTTATCGATGATCTTATAGAAAATATTAATGCATTTAAGATTTTTTGGGAAATGAATCTACTTAAAAATAACAAAAAATTATTTTCTGGGTTTTTTTTGACAAGCTTTTTCGAGCGTTCATAACAAATTATCTATTGATCTTATGGTCATGAAATCTTGAAAATATACAGAAAATGCGGTGAGTTTTCATTTTTAAAAAAAAGAAATGAATCGTTTTCGTCTACAAATGACAGAAATATGAGCCTAGAATGGACTATTAGCGGGGTTATTTCTAGTCATTCTGTACTTGTGAACTTTTTGAATATCTAATCTGATAGCTGGCTTTACCATAATAATTTATCATAAAGTATGGCTTTACCATAATCTAGCTACATAACAGTAAATATTTCACTAACATTATCTAACAGATTATGCAAGATATAAAGTACAGTGCAAAGAATGGGTTGAACCAGTTACCGTAGTTGGGACACGGTAGATATCTGATGATAGCTGTGAGTATCTGATGGGTATCTGATGGATAAGGATTCAGATACACTAAGTTATTAGAAAATGAAAGTCTAACTACCGCAAATACTGTAATAGTACCCCACCCCCATAATGACGGTGCGGAGTGTTGCGTAGTCTAGCTTTGAACGAGTTTTCCCCGACACTGGTTTAAGCTACAATGCGCTCTTAGGTATCAAAAAATAGCTGAAATTCAGGGTTATTTTTTGATACCAAAGACACATTTTTTGAAAGTACGCGCGCTTCGAAAAAAGCTTTGATTAACAAAATACTAAAAAACTTTTGCGACTACGCGACTGTACGAGGACGGTGGGGTACTATTACAGTATTTACGGTAGGTTTTTTTGAGCTTGATTTCCTTTGTTTTATCTTTCACTCACCCAGAAGAGTACTAGCACAAGTGCCACAAGACAATGGACAAATCCTCTGAATCGATGGATTCATCGCACATTGACCAGTGGACGCCATGACAGCACATTGAGTCGATAAATCTTGACACATTCCACCGCCGAACATCGAACCCGTCAATAGACTGAAATGTTACAAAAACAAAACTATGCTTAATTTCTAGATATAGACAGATACACTACTGGACAATGAAATATGATATTTGAAAAAAGATCGTCACTTTCGCGCGTCTGTAACTCTCTTGTCTTTACCGTATTTCTAAATATTAATATTACCATTGTGTAGCCCTTGAAAAGAGCTTTCAGAAAATGTGTAACACTAATAGTTTAAACTCAAAGACAAGGGAGTTACAGACGCGCGAAAGTGACGATCGTTTTTCAAATATCATATTTCATTGTCCAGTACTGTAGATAGACAAAATCTACAGACTTATCATTGGAGAAGCTCAATCCCGGATAGCCACCATAACCATAGCCACCATAACGACCTAAAAAATTTGAGAAAAATTACTGAAATTGATGGCATACGATAGCTAAAATATATTATTTACATATTTAAAAATAACTCACCTAAACCATATAAACTAGATGGATATCCGGAATAGCCTCCATACGCTCCATACATTGAATACGGATTCGAATACCCATACCCGTAACTCCACGGATTTACACCTGAAAATCTTTTCACTTTATCCAAAACCCAATTTGTGTCAAGTCCCGCTCTACTGGTACTTGTCAGTCTTTTCCCACTAAATTTTACATACAAATTGTTAAGTAAAATGTTTGAGAAAAGAGCATCAGAGCACCCTATCCATTTATAGATCTCTAAAGCTTTCATAAGAGTGCGAGTGCTTTAGAAAAGTATTTGACAAACCGCCAAAGTATCGATAGAAACAATTTGGATCTAGAGAAAAGAGGTCAGTGGATTTCTTTGGGAAAAGTTCGGGTCTTTGTTCATCGAATCTACATCAGAATAGAGAACTGATTGAATTTTCAACTATACTTTGCAGTGTGCAGATTTTTAACACCTTCTAGGTCAGACAAGGCCAGAGCCAGACAAGGATCCTGGTCCTGGCCAGACTTGTTCTAAGGTCAAACCTTGGTGGAACAAGTCTACTGTTACATCTGGCATTTGCCTAACATCTTGATCATTATCAGACCTAGTATCTATCATAATTTCTGTAGATCTTGTACCTATTTCAAAACTGTTTTTCCAGGCAGATCAGGGTGGGCAACGCCAGCAGCCAGTCTTGGCTTGGCTGGCTTGACCCTTAATAAGTATCTACCGTAAATACTCTAGTAGAACACCACCCCCCATAATGACGAGCGTACAGCCGGGTAGTCTAACTTTGAACGTCCCGTTCTCCTCGCTGCTTTATGCTACAGTGCGGGCTTAGGTGTTAAATGATAACCCTTGAAATCTAGTATTTTTTGGTACCAAAAGTGTAGATGGGACAAATCTAGAAGTTGAGTAAAAAATGACTTTCTAAAAGGAAGTTAGACTACGCGACTGTACAAGGAGGTGGTGTTTTATTAGAGTATTTACGGTAATTGTAAGACAGAAATCCCTGATCTGGCTAGTTTTATAGGTTATAACATCTCTGCCAGTGTATTATGTTGAGTACGACGTGTTGGTATGGTATCTTTAGTGATTGTTTTAAAGGAAAAGTGCATCGATCAAAACATAAACGGTTTGTTTTATTGAAAAGCCATCTTAGCCAATCGCAAAATTAAAATCGATTAAAATATGTTATGCGATTTGGCTTCTTTCTTCTAAAGAAATCTATTTTTATGCAAAATAGAAAAAAAAAATATAAAATAGGATTATAGGAAAATTTTTCAGAAAAATTCTTCTTACCGTTTACTTTATCTTTCTCTTCTAGATAATTGAGAGTTTATTTGTGAATTATGATTATATCAGGCCAAGATTTCTCTTAAAATACCTAAAATTAACGTTGAATTTGTCTTAAAATACCTAAACAAACGTTGAATTGCTAAACACTTGACTGCTAAATGCTAAATTGCTAAATTAAACAATTAACAGTGTTAATTTTTAGCGATTCAACGTTTATTTGAAGAAAACTCGCTAATAAAAAAAGAAAAAAAAGGATACCAACACAGTACTCAACCGAATATGTTGTGAAAACAAACAAATCTGCATGTATGGTGTGCTTTTTTTGTACGTTGATGTGTAAGTGACCTGTGTATGGGATGGGGAAAGTGTATCCCGTACCTCCATATCCATACATCCACGGAGAATAGGATTGGCCGCTCGCAACGATCAAGAGAAATGACAGAATCAAGCCTTAAAGAGAAATTAAAGAAAACTTTTCGCCTTTCCTAGGTTCCGTCTTTAATTCCGTCTTTAACTCAACACATACCTTTCAACCACATCTTGGACTTCAACTTGGATTTGCTCGTGTTTCCGATGAATTCGAGATGCCAAGAGTAGTAGTAGAGTTGTAAAAATGGTTTTCTGAATGAAATGCGCACCTCGAGAGTGATCTCTCCACCCCCAAAATAACCGAAACAGGTTACCGATTCCCTGTCCTCCATCCATCCAAAAATCCCCTCCGATTTGCCCTCGAGCCTAACAATAATCCGACCAGATCTACTCCTTTTTTATCGCAAAACTTTCAATCACTTTCTCTTTTTTCTCTTTTTCAGATTAAATCCCAAATATTGTCTATGTGTTAAGCATTTCTCGACGAGAAAACCAGTTCACGATCTTGGTTTTCGTTTTCGAAAAGCTTTGATGTGTTAGTCACCGGGTATTTCCTTTGAAACACTCTTCATAAATAGGGTTTAGATTGGGCACATCTTGTTTAAATGTTTTCTGAATTGATTGAGAAACAAAGTTTTGCTAAAACTATCGTATTCTGATTTACAGTCGTTTGCTGTAGTTTTAAAATGATGAGCGTACAGTCGGGTAGTCTAACTTTGAACGTCCCGTTCTCCTCGCTGCTTTATGCTACAGTGTGGACTTGAGTGTTAAATGATAGCCCTTGAAATCTAGTATTTTTTGGTATCAAAAGTGTAGATGGGAAAAATGTAGAAGTATGCTTTAGTTTTAAAAAAGAGAAAAACACTCTAATAAATAGCGTTACTTTTAGATAAGATTTTCTACGAACGTATTATTTTTTTTATATAAACTTTGGCTGATGTTTTTTCTAGATTCTTTTAAAGCAATAAATTCAAATTCTTTTATTCTGGTTGCAGATTGTTGAAGCGAAGAAAAAAACCCGTCATAAAATGTGGGCTTAAATACAGAGATTAATAAAAGATAGATGAACAAGTATTTAGAAAAGAAGTATTTAGAAAAGAAGTATTTAGAAAACAAGTAATTACAAGCTCATTTTAAAAGGATAACGATAATAATCATGGATTCTAAATGGATTTTAAATGGATTTTCAATTTGAAAAGTTATTTAATTGTAGGGAATAGCTTGAAGGATCGGTTTATGGGAGTCTTTGACGAGGAGAATCGCCTCATCCATGCTCATCCAACGGCGTTGACGACCCTGGAATACGATTTGGCATACAGATAAGCATACAGAAAAACTTTTTGAAATTCATAGATAGCTGAATAGCTTTATTATTAAAATAGATTCTTTATATATAAATTTCCCCCTCACCAATGCCCCTTCTTCCCAAACTTTGAGCTCTTCTTTCGGCGAGAGAACGACCAGCGATGAGCGACGTTTTCGGTGACCTTCCTGGAATCCCGTTTTTAAATATAAATTAAATAATTAAATTAGATTAAGCCTATAATTATCTTTTATAAAGATCTCCATCAAAAGTCACCTCAAAGACTCCAATTGTGCCCAAAACATCGCCCCTGACACCAGCCTCTTCCTCGAGTTCACGTCTGAAAATGATTCATTCGAAATAAAGTGTATTGTGTTAGATATACAGCTTTCGATAAACTGTAAATTAACTAATAACTAACTAATCTATTATCTAATCTCATTTCAATGAAATTTTACTTACACAGCAGCGTCGAGGGGTGATTCGGCTCTCTCAACTCCTCCACCTGGCACAACCCATTCACCCTCCGTGCCACCGTTGATTAGAAGAACCTGCAATTACACATTGGTTTACAATTCTCTATATACTGCCATAAACTAGTCCGTCTTATGTCGGTAAGGCATTGGTTCCGTCAATGTCTTGTCAATGCCTAAGTATCGTTAAACTAACAGTAAAACTAAGGACTCTAATTGATAGAGTCAACAAACTGAATAGCTCGAATCGATTCGCCGACCCCGAAAACCCCTGGGTACAACTTTTCAGCTGAATATCTTTTTGTGCTATCTACAGAGCAAAGGAGAAGAGAATGTAAATGACTGGCAAGGTGTTCTTTGTGCATGCGCGTAATCGCTCGCGATCTGGCAAACTAGATAGGTAGAAGGTAGCAGGTAGAAGGTGCTTCCTTTTTCGAGTTCTAAGCCCACAAACCTCAATCGATTTCTGTCCTCTCCTCAAACACAATGCAGCCGCTCTCTGCCTATATCCATCTCGATCCAATAGTCTCTCTCCATTATGTTTTGATTGTTTCCACAATGGTTTTCCTCCACAAATTGTCGATGATATTGTTGATGAAGAGGAAGAGGAAAGAGATGAAGTCGAAGCAATCAACGATTCATCCATTGAACCTCAATTTTAAAAGAATATTCATCAATATGCAATTGAATGCAATTGAATTGATTTATTTTATAGGGAATTCTCAGCACTCTTGTTGTGAATTCAAATCATTTTGGACTATTGTTTTGATATTTTTTCAGAAAAGCCACAAAAAAATAAAGAAAATGCCCTTTATGACGTCATCAAGGGCATCGATTGAGGTTTGTGGACCTAGAAATCGAAAAAGGAAGCATCTTCTACTGGAGCATTTTCTCATTCAGTATAAGAATCTCAAAATCTATACAAATTTGTAAATGTTTATCAAGAGCAAGATCTTTATTTTTTTTAAAAATCTTTACTTTCATAGTATGATTTTGTATCTTAGTTTATTAGTACTTTACTTTTTAAGTTCATTAGCGGATTTATCAGATACTCCAATTGATCTGGTACTATACCAATCATATTATTTCGCTTTGAAGTTAGATTAATTAGAGAATAGACAGATTGCTATTGCTATAATGGGTATTTGATTGAAGAAAACATGTGAATGAATGACAAAAGAAGATCATTTCGCCAAGCCCAACCCGCTAGCTCTGTTAGCCGGCTCTAGCCGGCTCTATTCGTTGATCTGCTCAAATCTCTCAAATCTTTTGTATATCTGATACTGACATTAGACTAGCTCTGTTAACACTAGATCCAATGGGAATCACTCATTTACTCTAGTCACAGATCTAACAATCACTTCAGAACACAATAAGATTGTTTATTGAGTTTTGAGTTTATTTCTGACTGATTGAGTGATTGAATTAGAGCTCTGATTCTAGATCTTCTGCCTAACCATTCTAATCGTGAAATCTTTCAAAATCTCACCTGTTATATCGCAAGCCTCAACAGTCATTTCACAGTTTGTTTGTCGAGTATCTGAAAAGTTTTTGATCTACCGAAAAGTTGCGAAAATCGAAACAAAATTTGCCCAAAATTTCAAAGAAATTCAGGGGCAAATTTCCACAAATAGAACACGAAAAAGAGAAAATAACACAAAAAAAAGAATGTTGAGTCGATCAAGATTTTTAAAAGAGGGGAAAGAGATTATTTTTTTGATGGAAAAGGGGGAAATCACGTGAATCGAAGGGAAATGAATCCAAGGGTTTCCCCGTTTTGAAAAGGATTCGAAAAGAGCTCAAAATAGAGCGAATTTGAGAGGAGATTTGACAAGTTCTGTCAACAAAAAGTTATAGATTATTGCGTGTTTTGATGGTTGAAAGAAAGGAGTAAAGGATTCGAAAAGAGTAAAAAGATAAAAGATCTCATCATAGCTACCGTAGGCTAGAAAAGCATGCTCCAAGTACATGATATTAGTAGAAATCTGAACCCAAGTATTCCCAGCTACCGGAATCAGTTGTGGTAATAGGTTTGCTCTTTATAGAGCTTTATCTTTCATATATCTAATTTCGTTGATGTTACGGTAATCTTCACAATACAGCGCAAACTATTTAAGTTACTGATTTCCGTTGTTTTTCAGAAATCCGTGACTGCTTACCGATTAATAGCGTGCCCCAGCTACTGTACGATCGCCACCGTCAAGCAATGCGCGTATATAACCCCATTAAGCTCATTTCTTCATTCCAACCACGCGAGTAGGATTGTTTTATTTTGTAAGTTTATTTTTTGTTTTTCAAATTGTAAAACTGATGTTCAATATATTCAATATATGAATACCAAAATGATATTCTATTTACTTATTTAGTGAACCGATATTCCGTTGCCAATTTATCGGGACTTATAAAGAAAAGCAATGACCAACTCATAACTTATAAAGAAAAGCAATGACCTAACTCTGTGCCTAACTCTGTGCAATTAAAAAGAAAAAAGATGGCTAAATGGCCTTATATACGCGCATTGCTTGACGGTGGCGATCGTACGGTAGCTGGGACGCGCCGTTAAGCCGAGAGCAGTCACGGATTTTTGAAAAAGAACGCAAATTGGTTGCTGTAAATGGGCTTGAGTAGCCGAGCCACATTTGAAAGACGTTTACAAGTTGATTCTTTAAGATATAAGAACTGAAAAGATATAGGAATCTATAGCAGGGTAAAAGTGCAAAGAGAAGCCATTTAGTGCACTAGATCTACTCAGAAAGTCCATCAAAAACATTGAAGATATTGAAACTTTGTGAAAACTGTAAAGTGAACTAATTTTCAGGAAAAACTCTCCTCGTTTTCATATCAAAGACAAGAATTTTCTTGGGAGAGATCCCAAAAGTTTGATTTCGAATTTCGATTGATAAGGACTGACGAGTGTTTCAAGGGGAATCGAAAAAAATCGAAAAAATCGAGAAAATTTTGAGGTCAAAATTTGAGAGAGATTTCTCTCATCGATCTGGTTCAATTACCCAATTTGTTCATGTAAAAGTCGGATTGAAAGTTGAAAGTTTCGCTTCTTTTCAACAAAATTGGCTAATTAAACCAGGAATTTCGCAAAAAAAAAAGCATAAAAATGGTAGCACAATGTTTTTGGGGGGTAATTTTGCTATCAATATGAGGGAAATCTGGGTGATTTCAAAATTGAACCCAAAAAAAGGAAAAATCGAAAACAAAATAAAGCCGAATAAAAGATTGGAAAGCGGGGCGAGGGGATTTGAGGGGAATTTCAGTCATCGATTCAGCTATTTTTACAATTTTAACAATCCCATTTATCAGTGTTTGACCTCTGAAATCTGAATGATTTTAGCGCCGGATGAACTCGAGATTTTGTAGTTGAGGATTATTTGTCGTCAATTTTCAATTATGAACTCATCGTTTGATTTCAAAAAAAAGCATCAAAATTGGTCAATTAGAAAAAAGTTTGTTTAATGTCGAAGTCCTCACTCCTCCAAATGGCTGAAACGCCATTTCGAGTATTTGGGGTTACTGTGGATCAAAAATAAAACTAGATTCGAATTCCTCACCCCCGAAAACCCGTGGATACAAATTTTCAGCGAAATCTCCCATAAGTTATGCCAATTTCAAGTGAGCCCAATTGTCGCGAGTGTGTTAAAAAATTCTCGAAATTGTTGGATATCGATTGTCGATTATGAAACCTAATTTTTTTTCTGCTATGCAGCTAAGTTTTCTTCTTAACTAATCCGTTTTCTAAAAACGATCAACCGTAATGTTGCCTCTAATTTTTCTTGTGAACTTTTTCAAACATTGCCTCTAAAACAAGCCCCAATTATCTTAACCAATCTAAAGCCTCATATCATTTGATTGATCGTTTCCATTAACATGTAAGCTTTTTGATATTGCGGTAATCTTTATGACTACAATATACGCTATTCGAGTTACGGTAAAACGAAAGCCAAGAGTACGGTAGTTTATCGAAATCTGACATGTTTCAGAAAAGAAAGCAAAACCAAAAGTGTCTGTGAAGAATTGAATTGTAACGAAAATCACGAGTCTTTAGAGTTTTAAACCGTTTGAGTGGCTTTAAAGAGATCTCATCACATTTCAAAGACACAGAAAATACGAGTATTTTGGGAAATCTCAACGGGAAAGCTTTTGCAACGAGTTTAAGTCAACAAAACAAAAATGATTTTGATGAGGAAAAGGGATTTCGAGTCACTTTACAATGTCTGTGGAAAATAAAGAGAGGAAATCAAGGGGAAAATCTTTATTTATCACTCCAACGATCACAGTTCGAGTTGATCAGAAAAGTTTTCGATTAACAAAAATGAAATAAGGAAAAGATATTCGGGGTTCACGATTGAATCCTCCGGCCTATTGTAATCAAGCTTTACAGTACAGTTCTTTAATTCTAATCTTTAACTCTTGCTCAACCACTGAGTGCTTACAATAGAGTTCGGAGACCTTAAAGAGTGCTCCTCTCAGCTAATCCATTTTCTAAAACATGTCCACTTTCAAAAGCTACTGTATTTTGCCTCTACTTTTGTCCAGTCTATTTTTCGTAGCTTTTAGTATCCTTCGTGAACTCTACAGAATCAGATCAAAATAGATCGATTGGATAAAGTTAAAGCCAAGGTTATAATAGTTTTGCAAATATAGGCAATGAACAAAGACATTATTTTAAAGGGACAGTTAATGTTAGTTCAGTTGAAGCTAGTAGCAAGTGTGAAGTAACTACTGGCTCAATTACCCAACTTCGAACACAATTAAATACCCTTCAAATCTCTAGAAGACAAGGAAAGAAAAGATTTTAAACTAAGTATGGATGTCAAAACTGATTATATGAACTATTGAACACATGTTCTTGATCACTTTTTCTAGTGAACCGTCCCCTTCCTTTCATCTTTCACAATTTCCCATGCCAGTTCATTTATCTTTTCTTTTTCTTACAAATCAACAACATTGAAAAATCCCGTAAAAATTTTCGCGCTTTTTATTGGAAAAGGAAAGTTCCTGGTTGATTAAGCTTTGAGAAATCGAGGGCTAAAGGCTAGATTAAGGGATAGATTTGAGTTGGGGGAAACGTGCAGAATATGTGGCTTTGGAAATCAAGAAATCGAGTCAAAATCGGCATGTCTATTTTAATAAAAAGTTATTTTTTGAGTTGAAAAACTTTCCAAAATCGTCAACAGTGGAAGGAAAAAGTTTGCTTGCAGAAATGCCTCCAAAACAAATGCTTTTCCGCAAAATGCTATCAATTTCACACAAAAAAAAATTCCCTTTGTTGTTTTGATCATTTAACGAATTCCCTGGGGAATCGCCAAAAGTTGCAGGGATTTTTTGAAAAGAAAGCTGATAAAGGATCGTGTTTGTTTACAACAAAAGCAACTGAACCAACTGAACTGTCAAAAAAGAGCAGTTTTTGTGTAAACGCATTCTTTCTGGCACTCTTCATGGGCCAAAGCCTTAGTATTTTATGCCAAAATTACGGGAAAACCCATCAACCAGGAAAAATGCCATGAAAAATGAGTAAAAACATCTCTTTCAATTAGTAAACTCTATAAAATGAATAGTTCCAATCGATTCGGTGATCCCGAAAACCCCCGGATACAAATTTACAGCTGAATATCTTCTTTTTGCGTTATCTACAAAGCCAAAGAGAAATCCCTGTATAAAAGGATCTTGAGATGTTCTTTGTGCGCGCGCACAATCGCTCGCGATCTGGCATATGCCTCCTATACATAGGTGTTCCCTTTTGGAGTACTCAAGGAAGAGAGAGCGGACCCACACACTGCGCCACAACGCCACCATCCCCGGGACCAACCTCCACCCGACTCCCCGCCGCATCCCCCGGCTGAAACACCAGACCCCGCGAAACCATTGATCCCAAACAGCAACCAACCCCAACCGCAGCCCCAAGACCGAGTCCCCGAGACGATTCCCCGATTCTCCCCATCAACAACTAAAAGTTTCCTAAAAATTTTTCATTGGTGTGATCTCATTGAGAAATGAACTCTTCAAAATCTTGCACAATCTACAACAACAAGTCATTTCTATCAATTTTGTTATTTTGATCATTTTGAACGGGGAATCCCTAATTTTCATTGAAAGCGCTTCCTTGTCTCTTCCCCTTCCCCCTTCCCCTTCCCCTTCCCCTTCCCCTTCTCCTTTCCTCCTCCTTTTCCTTTTTTCCAATGAAAAACATGTGATTGTTTTGTCTCACCGCGTGCGCCTTTCACCCAATAAAAACGAGAAAAAAGAAAAAAATTTGTTGTGGCTGATTTTGAAGACTTTTTCGCGTTTCTGGAAATTGGGTTGTATGGTGTAACAATGGCTACAATAGCCTAATCTCTTGCATTTGAATGAAAACGTCAAATTTAAGAGACAAAATTCGCTTTAAAATTCGGAAATGAAATCTCAAGAAGATGGCCTTGCGAGAGGGGAAATTTCGGCTCTTTCCCTGAATCGTGGTCTTTTGTCAAAAAAAAAGTCAGTTTTGTGGTCTTCAAAAGACTTTGGTAAAAAACAAAAGAATTGCAAAAGACCACGAAAATGAATTTTTTTTGACAAAAGACCACGAAACTTTTAAAAGGCCACGATTCAGGGAAACACCCCCAATTCCTATCCTAACATTTGAGCAAATCTTAAAAGGAAATAAAGAAGGAGATGACAAAGAAAGATGAAACGATAGAGAATTGAACCCTTGACCTTCGGCTGTTTCTAATTACAAAGCCTTTTGTAAAACAGTTAACGACTACGCGACTGTACGCTCAAAATGCTCAAAATGCCGTCGTCGCGAATGTTTTAAAAATCAGAGCATGAGAGCAAAAGTTATTTACAGAATTTGAACTAGTTAAACTCAATGAAATCCACCAAATTTCGAATCGATTTCAAATCGATTTCATACTTCAAATTTGAGCTAGCAACAACTTTGATTCATATGAAAAGATGAGGAGAAAATAGACGTTAAAATTCAACCCAAAATTCATCCAAAAAAAGAGCTTGAGAAATCTGAAAAGATTTCTCTCAAAATCCTCTCAAAATTTGAACAAAAACAAAAGGTTTAGACCAAATCTGGACCAAAAATAGACAAATTTTTAGCAAGAATCATTCCTAGAAAAGGAATTTCGTTCAAATGAACAAAAATTCATCCAAAACAAACAAAGCTTTTGTTTTGGAAAGACAATTTTCGAAAGAAAAATTGTTTTGCTTTTAAATAAAACGGACAAGAAGAGTTTGAATGGGGAAATAGTGGACATATGGTTTTGGAAAAAGAACAAAAAAGATTTGCCAAAAAATTGCCAAAAAGCTTCAAAAAACATGTTGTTTTGGCTATTCTCTCTCTTTTTCTCTCCTCAAGTGTTTCTTCTCCACTTCACACAGCAGACATGTCCATTTGCTTTTTGTTTCGCAAGAGTTCCGCTTTTTAAAGAAAAGAAAAAACATGGTTTAATAACTAGTTAAACTGTAAAACTGAATGAACAATTGAACAACACACAACAACAACAACAACAACACACAACACACAACAACAACAAACAACAACAACAACAACAACAACAAACAACAACAACAACACAGAATCTGTTCTCGATTCTTCACATAAAGCCAAACAGAAGGAAATTCCTTTTGGATATTCGATTCCTTAAAGACGTCTCTGAGTTACCGTAATTCGGTTGTCTGTAAAATTTAGATCATTGAACGTTTGTCAAAAAAAAAAAGATTTCTCTAGAACAGTTTTATCGAAAGAGAGAAATTTCTATTTAATTAGCTTCTTCTTCGGAATTTCGTGGCTTTGAATAAACGGTGAATCGATCAAAAAGAAAACATATTCTTCTTCTGCATTCACACGAAAACGACCTGTAAACGAAAGCATTTCATATTGAACTAACTGTATAAAATGTGACTAATTAGAGATATTCAAATCTAGAACTAGAACTAGAACTAGGGCTAGGGCTGGCTTTTTGTGGGTCAGCTCTCAAAGATCAAAAGAAGATCAAAAATCAGGCCAAGGTTGAGTACAGAGTTATTCCAAAAGCAATTTCAAACATTTCAAATCAGACAAGGTTAATAGACAGACTAGATTCCAAAGTCTAATTTTTCAATCTCTTCGAGCTTGCCCACCTTGGGACTGAGCAAAATGCGCGGCTTAATGCGCGGCTAAAAAGGTATTTTGGATGAAATTGAGTATTTACATTTAAAAATCGAGTTGATCTAGTGACTGTGTCACGAGTCACACAGTCACTAGATCAACTCAATTCGAGCTTTGTGACAACTTGATTTCTTTAAGATTCTCTCATCCACACAAGTACAATCGAACTATCCAGTTCGTTATCATTTTCAAAATTTAAGCCGATGACTAATTAGATTGAGGTTTTTGAGAAAATATCTGGAAAACTCCTCAAAAAATGTCATTATTTCCGGAAAGTGATAAGCTTTCCCCCTTCAGCCCATAAAAGCCGTGATTTCCCGGGGAACAATTTCTGTTTTCAATTCAAATGACTAATTGATAAATCTTTTCAAAAGTCATAATGAATTTTTGGCTATTATTTCTGATATTCGGAACAGGTTGAACTATTTATTTTATCGTAAACAAAATGTTCAGCTTATGCGGGAATTTGCAAAAATGACGACTACACACCGCTCGGGAATGGGAAATGTTATCGGGTGAGGGAGTTGAGAAATCGAAATACATCTGATTTCAGGCTTTCACCACGCTCACTTCAGCCACCTCAGCCTCATCGGCGTGTCATTTGACGGGCGGAGAATTAACATCGATACATTCGGAAACGGTCAGTCAAACGATACACAACTTTTCTGTCCTTTACCAACAGAGAAATCGAATTGGTAGGCAAAGGGTTTAAGTTTGCAAAAGAAGTTTTCCCTGGGAAGGGACTGTTTAGCAAGGATGGTCAAATTAAAAGCAAAACTTCTTCCGGGATTTGAGCCTTGCTTTGAAGATTCTTTACTTCGTTTAGAGACAATATTATTGTTAACTTACCGTAAATACTGTAATAGTACCCCACCGCCCTCGTACAGTCGTGTAGTCGCAAAAGTTTTTTAGTATTTCATTTTGTTTCAAAGCGCTCGTACTTTCAAAAAATGCGTCTTTGGTATCAAAAAATAGCCCTGAATTTCAGCTATTTTTTGATACCTAAGCGCGCATTGTAGCATAAGCCAGTGTCGAGAAAAACTCGTTCAAAGCTAGACTACGCAACACTCCGCACCGTCACTATGGGCGGTGGGGTACTATTACAGTATTTACGGTAGGACACTTCAGCCTTTCGAATGGTATAAAAGGGAATTTGATTGGAACACGCGATTCTAGAAAAATTAAGAGACAAGACGTGCTCAAGCATTGCATTGCATTGAAGCATTGAACAATGCTCAAGTCGCATCGTTCTCTCAGTTTGGCTGCTCTCAATTTCAATTACACTCCCGAAAAATGAATAGTCTATCAGGCTCAGGTTGAGCTTCAGCTTCTGGCTGAACCAGGAAGTGACTGCTAGCCTTGTCCAGTTTGATCTGTCAAGGAAAATCGGTTTTGAGCAGATTCCTTCAGGACAACTACATCGTGGGGCTGTGGTTGGGCGGAAATATGATCAACGATGCATGGATTGGACTTCAATGTGACACACTTGACAACTGTTATTGGCTTGATGGCACAAAGCTCAATTACACTCATTTTGATGGTTTTTTTTCTAGTAGGAAAAGCTGGAAAAGTAACTTGTTTAGATAATCCTCCAAATCTCAACAAAGGGCATTGCTTTTTCATGAAAGCTGGCACGGTTTCTGTTGGTTTGGAGAAAAGAATTGGAAAAAATTTTTGAGAGAAAATTTAGGTACTTTCAATACATGGGCAACTGGGGATTGTGATAAAACGAAGAAGAATTTCATTTGTGAAGAAGTCGATCAAAGTGAGTCGCATCGGTTGAGCTCAAAGTTAGATTTGCTGTTGGTTCTTTAAAAATCGATTAACCAAAGCTTGGATAAGTGTTTATGAGATTTTTAAAGAGTTGAAATGATTTCAATACATTTTAAAAGCTCTCAACGCTTTCAGTCCCCACAAAACGCCCGACCACCATCAATCCACCCACCACACAATTCCCATTCAGTCACTCGCCCAGTTGTGGATCGTATTATGAGTTCAATGGATGGTCAGTTCAATCTTCAATAGTAGATATTGATCGTTTTAATTTGGAGAAATGATTGACTACGGAAAAGACCAGTTCAACTTGGATTCTAGTTGACCAAGAGATTGTGGGTCAATTCTACAACAAGGCCAGCTAACTATAAGGCCAATACTCAAGCCAAGGTCTCATCCTGACCTTATTTGCTTTCACATAACTGTAATTGTAGTTTAGTCTTTCCGCTGGGATGTTTCAATCAGGCGTAAGTCAGGTCAGACTAAAACCTGGTCAGAGGCCAAGTCCAGGGTCAGGGCTGCAGTAAAATCAGATCTTGCAGGTTTAGTCTGATCTGGCGGTAGTCTTAATCCGAAAAATTCCTTTTGAAACACTCTAATCCCCAGGTAGAAACTCAAGGAACTTGAAAGGATTGGAAGGATTGGAAGGATTGGAAGGATTGGGAGGAGGAGGGATGGAGGATTGGAGGGTTGGGGGAGGAAGGATTGGAGGTGGAGGGGAGGTTGGAGGTTGGAAGGATTGGAAGGATTGGAAGGATTGGAAGGATTGGAAGGATTGAAAGGATTCAAAGACAAGCACTGAATTTGATTCAAAAATGGTCCAGACCCAGTCTAAAGTAAGAAAAACTACGAAAATATCGGCCTTGACTCTTCCAGTGTACAGTGATGAGCAGAATATCAATGTAGTTTGTGAACAGTAAGCTGTAAACGTTGTGTATTGTAGCCGAGAGTACATTTGAGTTAGCCTGTCCTTAATCAAATATTTTATCGTATAATTTTTCAGGTGTTACAACATCGGCACTAGCGGTTTATCGGAATCGGACGCCGAATTGTCGTGTCTTGCCGATGGTGGTCATCTTGTCTCAATCCATGATGCATATGTAAATTCTAGAAATCTACAATCTACAAATTCCCCATTACCCCCTTTCAGACGAACAATTTCGTCTACACTTTGATCAAATATTCTCAAGTTTCTTTTGCATGGATTGGACTGAAATATCTGCCGAATAGTGTCTACATTTGGACGGACACCACAAAAATGGATTATAATAACATTCCAGGTAAATAAATGGATAAATGGATAATGGATAACTAGATAATTTTTGGTTATCGACCATTTGATAAGTCCATTATTCTGTTACTCGATTAATAAATAGTGAAATCTTGGGCTTGGTTTTACGGTTGAACGACTGTTTGTATAATATTGTACAAAGGAATTCATGAATCAAGCAAAGATTTTGAGACGTTTGATATAGGCCTTGCCCCTTTTCCCATTCGCAATCTAACTTTGAGCATATCTTGGTGTTAGGCTGTAAAATTTCAATAGTTTTTGTACCAATCGACAGAGAAAGACTTGACGCGTCTAATGATACCAAGAATATTTAAATTGAACAATCCAACTCGAAGATTTTTAAGCTCAAAGTTAGATTGCTGATGGGAAAAGGGGCGGTGCGCGTATAAAAGGTCCCACAACCCCGCCCCCTTCCCCATCGGCAATCCAACTTTGAACTCAAATATCTTGGTGTTGGCCCGTCCAATTTACATAGTTTTTGTACCAATCGACAGAGAAAGTCTTTGCATATCCAATGATATTAAGAATATTTAAATTGAACAACCCAACACGAAGATATTTGAACTCGAAGTTCGATCAAATGTCAAACTAGTCAAAAACCGATAGAAAACCTTCTTGAACTTTCTCTTACAGGAAATACTGTTGTAAACTTATTTGTTACCTGCTAAATTATCAGCAAGATTAGTAGAATGAGTAAAACTATCCAAAGTCTACAACAGAAATATGTGACGATCATCGGACATCGGACATCTGATAAGTCCCGCCCCCTTTTCAACCCAGCAATCTAACTTTGAGCTTAAATTTCTTGGTGTTGGACTGTCAAATTTCAATATTCTTGGTATCATTAGACGCGTCAAGTCTTTCACTGTCGATTGGCATAAAAACTATTTAAATTCAACAGCCTAACACCAAGATATGCTCAAATTTAGATTGCTAATGGGAAAAGGGGCAGGGCGCATATCAAATCTTCTAAAACCATAATTTTTATTATAGGAGTACTCGCAGCACAGCCAGGCTCATGCTTTTCGATGTCAAATGTTGATCAAGTAGGTCTTGCTAAAGTATACGGTAATTTATTCACCATTTAGTGGACCAAGCGATTGAATACGATAGCGATATATATGTTACGTCCGGATCTGAGGAGATGTCCCTCTCTGATCCGGAAGCCCGAATCTGAGGAGATTCATTCTCCTCTGTCCGACTCAGAGATGGACGTCCGAATTTGAGTCGGACGTCCGTTTCGGAGGAGAATGAATCTCCTCAGGATCGGAGATGGACGTCTCCTCAGATTCGGACGTAACATATATATCGATTAGATCATAGTTTATAGAGTCTAACTTATTCAAAACATCGAATTTTTGAGCTCTTACTTGGCCACAATAAAGAAAAATAAGATTTGATGCTATAATAGAAAGAAATAAAGATATTTATCAAAGTTTAGTACTACCCAGCTCAATGGGTTCCAAACGCTTGCACGACAACGATGGCCTACGTTTGTCAGAGACCGAAAATCGGTCTTCCAACAACCACAATGCCCACGACTCTCCCCACAAATCCATGTGGACAAACACTATTCGGCGGGCTTAGTGGAACGGTTTTCACACTCAATGAAATCTCCAATCACTAATCACCACTTTCAGATCTATTCCCCAAATTATCCATACAATTTCCGCTCGGCTAATTGCTATTACACGATCAATGCCGACAGTAATACGGTCAATATTGAGATACCGGCGATACAGGCATCGGTCAGTTCTAGATCAAGGGATCAAGCAACCCTTTGAGCAGGATTTGCTGGATTCATTGAAAATTGATCTCTAAGATTTCAAGATCTTTAAGACAGACTAAATTTGAGTTAAAAATTTGATTTCCCAATACTGTTAAGGATTGAAGAGTAGTTGATGGGTGATTCTGACTTTGATCACTTTTTCAGGCTTATTGGGTGTTGAGTGTTTACGAGGGAGTCTCACCCGAACGATATTGGTTGATTGACAGGTGATACAGGCTAACAAAAGTGGTTTACCATAAGGTTGCTGTAGTTTAAGTTGCACAGTACGGTTACTGCAAGTCTACAGAACCCTACAATCGATAGAACTAACCCGATAGTTGTTCTATCGTTGTTCTATCAGGAAAATTCTGTTAGTTCTACGGAGTGTAGGGTACTGTAGGTTATGCTTACAGTAAGCTTTAGACTTACAGCAATCCTACAAATAAGTATAATCTCAAAAAGCATATAGTATCTCTGCGGATGATCTGCCCCGTATTCTGAAGAGATCCTCCGGAATGTCGACAATGTTAATCGCTTTTTGGTCGGATTCTGTCAATATTGGACAACCGTTTGCCATGAATTATAACAGCACTTTGAGTAAGAGATTTGCAAGAACCTCTCTAAAAACCTCTCTAAAAACCTCCCTAAAAACCTCTCCATTTCCATTTTAGCTCCAATTTATCCCCTTGGCAACAACTCTCACTACAGCACTCAAGCACCGATTCGAACGACTCAACCTGCTTCACTTTCGTGTGATCTTCATTGGTATTTGGATGATGTGAGGCGAATGTAAGTTAAAATAGATGCTTTTCTAAAAGATTCTCCTTAAGAGCTACTGGAAATAGAATGCGCTTTCTAAAAAGCACTTGTTTTATAAAACTACTGAAATCAGGTTGTTTCTTTACATAAAATCAACCCGATTTTGATAGCATTCCAAGAAGAATCACGAGGTTTAGTCAATGATATCAATTTTGCTGATTAAACAAAAACTAGCGGGAATGGCTATAGTAGCCAGTCATTATCGTATACCAAAGTTAAAATTGTCATTAGATCTACAATAGTTATCTATGCTGTTAGGCATATAGCCGAATTCTCAGCTCGATTCGTCTAGTTTGCTTTAGTTATATGTCTGTTTAAAGAATTTTCAGAAAAACTTGAATTTCTGCTCAAATTCGTTTCAAAAGTTGCCCAAATTTGCTTAAGTTTTAAATTAGATAATCATTTATCTTCACGGATATCCTGTGGTAAGTGCCAAAATCTATACAGGGTGTCCGGAAAAAAAAGTGGCCATCGGGTTGAGTCTCAAAAAATTTTCTCGTTGATTTTTCAAGGCTCATCGTGGTGTCAAAAATGGTTTTGCCTCAAGCGTCACACAACAGGATCTAGTTTTTTAGGTGATTTTGTGAATGCATCGTGAATGGGGGTCATGCATCAGCCGGGGAGCTCAAAATCCACATATAAGGTATACATGGAAAACACACTTTTGAATTCCTCTATTTCAGCACAAATCTTTCGACTTTTTGTTTCTATAAATGTGCTTTGTTCTTTGAATGTTCTTTGAATGTTCTCTGAATGTTCTTTGAATGATCTTTGAATGTTCTTTGAATGTTCTTTGAATGTTCTCTGAATGTTCTTTGAATGATCTTTGAATGTTCTTTGAATATTCTTTGAGTGTTCTTTGAATGTCCTAGCCACAATTTCAGTTTGCATTGTTGGATTGGTTCTTTCAAAAGTCTTCAAAATATGGTTAATTTTTAAACGAGAAAAGCCTCTTGTTGCTGCTTCCTCAGGACCGACTTTTTGAGAGTTCTCTTATTTTCAAGATCCTAATATCAAAACAGATTTATAGAAACAAAAAGTCGAAAGATTTCCTGAAATAGAGGAATTCAAAAGTGTGTTTTCCATGTATACGCGGATTTTGAGCTCTCCGGCTAATGCATGACCCCCATTCACGATGCATTCACAAAATCATCAAAAAAATCAACGAGAACATTTTTCCAGCCTCAAACCGATGACCACTTTTCTTTCGGATATCTTGTATAACTTTTTATTTAGAGAAGGCTAATTCAATTGGCGTATTAAATATGTTTTCTGGGAAATACGAAAAAGTGTAGCAACTTTGAAGTTGCCAATCTAATAGATCCAAACGTTCAGTTGTTACGCGATTTCCTCACCGGGCAGTTTCGCCGATTCGATGACATCATGTAGACGACAAAACGCTCAACTCATCTCCGTTCACAATCAACAAGAAGAAAATGATCTATACAGTAAGAAAAATATTAGATAATTCTTATTGTCTTTTAGATATCCTCGGAAGAGCTTATCCAAGCGGCTATTTTGATGTTTGGATTGGTGGAATGTGAGGGAATTCGAAAATAAAAGAAAATAGTCAAAGATATTCAGTTATTCGAGTGCGGATCGTTACTGGAATTGGGTTGATGGGACAGCTTTTGGATATGTTGATTGGATGCCAGGTTTGCATGAAAATCACCAATATTTTCTTTTCTAAAACGCACTCTCGCAGAATAGCAAGCGTAATCCCCGTGCAAGCCACCAAGATAGCCAGCTTTAACTGCAGCTTAACTAGAGAACTGTTTCAACTCCCCACCGATTTTTGAAACTGGACCTAGCTACAAAACGCCCCGTAGAATTCTAAGAAACGTTTTTTTTGCCTGATTTTTGAGAAAGTTCCAAAGTTTCGACAAACTGCGGCCTCACCTATAAAACGGCGCCACACCGAAGGGGGAATAGAAGCAACGGCGGCCTAGGGGATACTGTGCTGAATTGTGCCTGTGCCGACCTATGGTTGCGGGTACAAGTCTGCCTGCCGCGAAATTTCTTACTTTTTTGGAAAACACCCGAAAACCACTTCTTTATGATTATGATACTGTTTTTAGCTTATAGTTTCAATAAAAACTCAATTCAGGATCGGGCAATGGAACTGTCGGCTCATGTATCACAGCGGCAAAGCACGGCTCATCAAGTAACCAAAAGGGATGGGTTACGAAAGATTGTGGAACATATTATCCATCTGTTTGCTATAAAACACCTAATATTGGATGAAGATTTGAAGGGAGAATTTCAGAATAAAGCAGTTGTATGCAATTGTTGCTAATCAACGAATTGAGTGCATCAGAAAGTGAGCGTTTACATGGCACAAAGTACAAGTTACAAAGTTAATTCTAAAATACTTTATTCTATTCCACATTTAACTCATTTGCATTCTCAATTTTCTGCACCAGTATCTCATTTCTTTTATTCGCTTTTTCCGGCAGAGTATCCTGCATCGGTTTTCCTTTTGTTTCCGGTAAATTCAACTAAATTCAACTAAAATTTAAAGAAAACTGTAAAGCCTGTAAAACTTGTAAAACCTATAAAACCTGTAAAACCTATAAAACCTATAAAACCTATAAAAACTCTTTACAATATTTAAATTGAAACCTGAAATCCAGCAGCATCAATAAGCGATATAATGGCCATAAAAATGAATGGAAGAGCTTTAGATTGATGCTAAAGAAAATATAAAGATAAGAAATGTTTCTAAATTCAAATTCAAATTCAAGAGTTTCTAAATTCAAATTTCTCAAACCATTCGAAACATCAATGGAGCTAGAATCGATCCAAAACGGCTCCACGTTGAATTAAACGAAATGCCCATATTTCGAACGACCGACGGGAAATATTCCATTGAAGTGATTCCTTTTGAGAGGTAAACCTAAAACATTGAATAGCTTTTGTTTTTTGCTTAGCTTAGCAATAGCTCTGTTTTTTGCTTGTTTTTGCTTAACTACAACCAGTTTACCTGTGAGCAAACAGCTGTCGCGACAATCGTCGCGATTCGAATGAATTGCGACCATTCATCGGATTTACCTGCAAATTCATTAAAGTTTCTTTGAAAAGCTATTGTTTAAATATTGAAGAATCTACAGAATTGTTGAAATATCGAAGAATTCAATCAGCAAAACCGTTTTTGATAATTTTGAATGATAATTTGAAACCTGTCAAATGCCCGACAGCAACCACAGTCAAACAGAGAAATGAGCCAAATTGTGCAATGAAATGAAACGGTTTACGGCCACATTTTTGAAAGCTGAAAAGAGATTTGAAAGCTGAAAAGCAGATTTGAAATCTAAACCTCTATTTGATAGATTCTATAGAAAAAGATCAACAAAATTCACCGATAATCAAGAAATCCAAGAGTCGAGTTGAGAATCCATCGCAGCAACCCGAGCAAACTCGAATTCCAATAGATCGAGCCGGCCAATTTCTCGAGATTAAACATCAAGCCATAATTGATCATACTTGTGATTACCCTTGAATATATTATATTATCAGATTTATCTAGATTTCTCTCTTACATTCCTAAAGCTAAAGTAATTGTCGCTTTTGCCATATTTGCTGTGTAGAATAGATGGCGTATCGAGTAATTTTTCGCTTTTCGTTCTCGAGCCTCGGCTTTCTAGAGAAAAATAGATAAAAGTCTAAGAAAAGCTCTAGAAGAATAGAAATAGATAAAAGTCTAAGAAAAGAACTTTAAAGCCATTATTATACCACTTATTAGCCCTTTAGAAGTAAAAACTAAGATTAAATCTCAAATTTTTACGATTCTATCGCAAAGATAGCTTGATTACAGTAGCCTTTTAAGGCATCTTTTAGAAAACGATTATTTAATACTCTTATTTAATAGCTTTTATTTAATACTCTGAGTAGAGCCTGTAGAAATTAAAGGTTTTTTCGAAATTCTTCCTGTTAAACAGTTCAAGCACTGCTCAAGAGTCATACTATCTTTGACCGATCGATCCTATTCTCTTCGATCGATCCTATCGAGTTCATTACTTCTAATTGATCTCCTACCTGAAACTCAATCTGTAACAATCTCGTCAATCCCTCTTTATGTTGAGTTTTCCCATCGATTCTTTGTATTTCGAGCAGTACTTTTTCCGCCTCTCCAATCCGTCCTCGACCCAACAACCACCGAGGAGATTCGTTCAGGAAACTTTAAATCAAATAAGAATATGTTAAACTTTTAAAAAGTTGCTTAGAACTAGAGTTCGGCAAACAAAACCAAAACCAAAACCAACTGCAATTGCGAGTTTTGGTTAGTTTTGGTTTTGGTTTTGGTTTTTTTTGGTTTTGTTATGGTTTTGGTTTTGGTGGTTTTGGTTTTGGTTAAGTTTTGTTTTCCGAAGTCTACTTAGAACTATCAGAAGGTTATCTTTTAATGTAAAAGTTTTCAAAATTTCAGCTTACAATGAAATGAAGAAAGCGGGCAACGAGACGAGGACGAGAACGCGTTGAAAAGTGACCCAATCTTTTGAGATATACGCTAGCTGAATGGAGCTTCAATGTAAAATCTCAATATCAATATTAATATCAACATTAATATTAAGATTATCAACTGAATATCTTTTAAAATTCACTCCATTCATTATGATGAAATTCGGCGCAAACGAGATCAACGCCGATATCCAGAGACGATGTCTTTTTGGAATGTGCTCGATTTTGTAAACGGTGAAGATGCTAAATGATGGATATTTCTTAAATATTATATTTTCCTCAGTCTCACGTCATTTGTCCTCCATTGAAAAATCCGACGAGCATGCGGAGCATCGTGAATGCCATCAAAGTGCGAGCAAACGAGGCAAGCACTTGAAAACCGGCACACAAAACATAACAATACATCAGAATCTGCAAAATGTTGGCTTTTTTTGATATCTATACAGTTCTTTCTATCTATACAGTTCTAGAGTGCATTCTCTTCATACATTCCCGCTCGAAAAAAGCGGCATTTGGCGCACTCCACCCACCTTTTTTCTTCCATGTTTATCGGACATATGCCCAAAGAGAAGAGCACCAAAAAGAACACCTGAAAAGATGAGTTTTGGAGTTTTTAACCCAAAAAGCCGAAAAAATCTAAAGAACTTTTGTAAAGCCAGCCAAAACACGTTTGTTTTTGTTACGAATCCCCTGACCTGCCATCTGAAAAGAGATACTCAGCTTCACATAGTCAGTCTTCTCGCAAAAGTAACCGAACTGAAAAAAACGTTGATCTCATAGAAATCATTTCCCCCTCACATTAATATTCACAGATTCGAATTCGCTTTCGAAATAAAACGAGCAATTCGCCTGGAGGAGATCGTAGTTTTGAGAGAAATTTCCATTACAAACATCTTCATCAAAAATGGCAAGATTATCATCCAAACATTGCACTTTCCGAGGCTCGGCACCTAGAGATGTTTCCAAGGTTGGAACAACCTATTTTTGAGTTCAGGAGTCACGACCTAGCCCGACTTCGGTCTTGAGTTGGACGCGCCGATCCTTTTATGGGTTGGGGCTGGGAATACAAAACATGGTCCGCGCTGGGATTCGAACCCGGGACCTCTCGTTTACCGGGCGAACGCTCTGCCAATCAGTTACACCGATACGTATCCCATTGCCGCCAGGGTAGGGCCTTATGTGTTACTCTTACCTCACCTGGCTTTACTGCAGGCAAGCAAGAGAAAAGCTACAAGAAGTTCTGGGTAGCAAGAAGCCAGATTTGGTCTTGGATTCAATCAGGTTCTGACCTTGTCTGTCTTGCAATCCCATCAAACATTATTCCCGACGGAATCTCGAGAACAGACATGTTTTAACGCTTTTCAAGCTTTCAATGCTTTAATGCTTACCTTTTCTATTCCATATGAAAGTGTAGAATCTTTTTTCAAACTTTTAAAAGAGATCTCACCCGCGTAAACCATATAAACCATATTCCCCATGACAGACAAAAGGACGAATTCGGAGAAAACGAGAACACGAAAACAGTAGCGACTCAAATGGACATAATCGTCGAGGGTTTGTTCCTAGAAATTTCAGCTCAAAAGTTTCGAATTTTCATTGGATTCGACTTCTCTCTTTTCACTCACTTTCTTTTCACCACTCGTTTTCCGAATCTCTCCAAATAATGGTTGAGATGAGGGATCATTTTGAGATTGAAATTTCATTTGATCACTCATTTTTGAAAGGACATTTATCGATGAATGAGCAAAAGGCGCAAATATCTGAAAATTGTTGAGTTTTTGCAATAAAAAGATAATGAAATTGACGTGAAAAGAGTACAAAAGTGTGATCAACAAGCCAATACTGTATACTATTAAATACTCATTATACAGTATTCTTTTGATGCCACTTAAAAAATCTAACGCACCAGGAAGTGTGCTTTTGTTCAAGCACAAAGTACTAGCCAAAGATTTACCCTTTCAATTGGGGCACTTCCATTTTAGTGCCCTTAAAAGCTACAATATCATTTCGAAAAGAAAATACGAATGTAGATGCGGTCAATTTTGCTGTATATGAATCTAATTAACTCTAAAAGTTAAAGATAATGTTAAAGCTTAAAAAGAACGTTATTCAACACACAAAAAAAACACGAAATTTATTGGGAATTTTCGACAAAAACCCAATCAAAACGAGCAAAACGAGCAAAAATTGCTGTCAAAAGATGAAAAGGAAATGAAATTTTTGATGTCGATTTTTACATTTCCATGGTTCACATCGAAGCTTTTTGTTTCGCCGATTATGCTAATGTTTTTGTCAATGGGGAAATCGACTCCTATTGAAATTCCTATTGAAATTCGGCAAAGTTTTATGTTTATAACCACAAAGTTGACAATGAAAAGTTTCCCCCAAAAGCAAGGAAATAAAAAAAGTTGAAAGTTGAAAGTTGAAAGAAAGAAGAAAGAAGAAAGACTGAAATTGGAAATCCGAAGAGGAAATTCGAGATCTTCTAGTGACTCAAAAGGGGTGGACACTTCAAACGACTCAAACAATTCGATTCGTGGCTTACTGAAGTTCATTTAGATGATCAAATTCAGGTATTTTATATCACTTTAAAACAGATGTAAATATGCCTAATGTCTGCACTTCTGGGATAGCTTTACAGGGTGCGCCATAATTACCCGCACAACATTTCATAGGTTTTTGACAACCAATTCTAAACGGGAGTTGGCCAGAGATTTCATCGAGATTTGGCCGAGATTTGGACAGGATTTGGTCAGACTTTAAGCCAAAGATCAGGCTCTGGTTTGGCCAGACTTTAAATCAAAGCTTTGGCTAGGATTTGACTCCTACTTTAGGCTTATTATTAGACCGGCTGACCTGGCTAGATCTGGTCTAGATCAAGCCAGATCAAGATCAAGAGCTAGCCTGGCCCAAGCCACGTTTCTATCATAAATCTAGCTTCTAAAGTATTGCAATCAATCCAGCATCGCAATCAATCCAGCGTTGCAATCAATCCAGCATTGTTGCAATCAATATCAATCTCTGGCCCTATCTCTGGCTCTATCTCTAGCTCTACAGGGTGCGCCATAATTACCCGCACAACATTTCATAGACAAGCCCCATGTAAACTATTTTCCCTCTTTTATTGGACAACATCTTTGTAGTTCTTCTCCGTTTTATTTCGTAACTCATTTGAAGTTTTTAGGTAAACGTAAAATGGTAAAACCATCGGCAAGTCGAGGGGCGATACTCGATCTTCATCAAAAGCTTCATCAAAAGCTCCACCCGACCTCATTCGACGACTCAAACTCCCTCGGCGTATGATGCTATCGCACGTGGAACGCTTAAGGACCGTCCAAGAACATGAAGAAAAGTTACCGTCACGACCAACAAGCTCAAGAAAATCGTCAAGAAACGAATCCAACGAAATCCAAGAAAGAGCATTCGAGGCTTAGCAAAAGATCTAAAAATTGCCGAAAATTCGATGAAACGACTTGTTAGAGAGAAGTTGAAGTTGGTTTCGTACAAATTACAAAGGAAGCAGTCGATTTCCGACCCTCAGAAAAAGAAAAGACTCGATCGGTGCAAGATGCTTCTCTCAAGGGCCGTTCGTGCTGAACATCGTACAACACTTTTTACGGATGAAAAACTCTTCACGATCGAGCAATTTCACAACGCTCAAAATGATTGGATACTCTCCAATAGCTCTGCAGATGCTGATAAAATTGCAAGAACCGTCGAGAAAACATCTCATTCACAATCCGTGATGGTTTTTGCCGGAGTCACTGCCTGTTTTTTGTTGAAAAGGGTGTGAAAATCGATGGCGATTATTATTTGAATGAAATTTTAAAGGAAATGGTGATGCATTGGGCAAACACAACCAACAATAATCAAAATTGAACCTTTGTGCAAGACGGTGCCCCTGCGCACACAAAGAAGACGGGGTTCAAGCCTGGTGTTCAGCCAATTTCCCCAACGTGATCACCGCCAATGAGTGGCCCCCGAACTCACCCGATCTCAATGTTATGGATTTTTCCATTTGGAGTATCTTAGAGGCCAATGCTTGCTCTCAAAAATATACAAGTTTGGACGCTTTAAAGAAGTCTTTGACCAAAGCATGGAAAGAAATTCCTCAAAGTCACATTCGGGCCGCCGTGGAGTCTTACCCGAATCGCTTGAAGGCTTTTATTAAAGCAAAGGGAGGATATAGTGAATAGGCTCTCCTTTTCTTGTTTCTTGTTTTTCAATAAATTTCTTTTAGTTTAAAATTCTTTTTTTGGCATAGAATTTTGGTATGAAATGCCTTGAATATCTTGTGCGGGTAATTATGGCACACCCTGTAGTTTAGAGCAAAATTGGGTAAATCTGAACCCATAAAGTGTCAAACAGACATCGGAGACCCGGATTCGAAAATCCGGGCTTTTTTTCTGGTTCCAATTCGGTATCCGGATTTGATCCAGAATTTTAGGATCGGCACATGTCTGGTGCCAACAATCAGACCTAACTAACTAGTAAGACCAATAATCGACATCCAATACCAAGCCAAGCGGCTTTTTTATGTAGAGTTCCAATTTTGAACTTCTTTTGAAACTGGAAATACATTCCTATGTTGAGAATTTTGTTTTACACATCATATTTCTTTTAATAGAACGTGCAGTCGTTCGATTTTTCGGTGCTTCCTAAAAGGTTCGTTCTATTAGAGCGATTTGTTCCTAGAGTTACCTCTTGTAATGTTAAATAGATCCATTATGAATGTTTAGGGAAAAAATCATTTAGAAGCGATTGTTCTATTTGTTTGATAGCCTCCAAAAGGTACTGTAGAAGTACTGTAGTTCTCAAAAGTGAAAATCCAAAATCCTAAAGTTTGCTCTTTCATGATTCAATAGTTCAATAGTTATGTTTGCCTTGTTTAAGTAAAAACAGTACTTCTTTTCCATTCACACGTTTGTCTATTTTCTTCTGAAGTTTTAGCTTTATTTAGAATTAAACTCTTTTACCGTAACCCAAAATGATCTATTGTTGACCTTTAGAAAGCACAAGAATCGTTCAGTGACTCAATTCCTTTTCTTTCTTCTTTCTTCTTTCTTCTTTCTTCTTTCTCCTTTACACTCGCATTCTTTTCTATTTACTCTCTTTTCCCGATCTTTGCCTATCACACTTTGGATGTCTGTTTGAACAAGTAAACACCTCGTAAAACATGGATTTGACCTCGAAATGAACTTTTTTGATTAGTTCGTTCTTGAGATTCGACTTTTGCCATCTCAATCTTCGAAAAGTGTCAACAAATATTTACAGATCAAAGAAAAACCATTTTTACAACAAATTACAGTATAAAAGGTGGAAAGGATGAGGAACGATATTCAGTTGAAAATCTTCTCGGAAAAATGTTCAAATTGGTGGCTCTTCTCGTCTTGTCGGCTGTGGTTATGGGAATGCCGGGAATGGGTCGGTGGGATGATTCGGATGGAATGGATGGAATGAATGGACAAATGAACTCGATGAATGAACAACAGAATGGAGTCTTCAGAGATCAACGACGAATCTTTCGAAATGGAGATTGCAGAGTACACGTTGGTGATTAGCCCACAATCCTCTCTCAACCAAAAGCTTTTTAAAAAGTGCTCTCAGAAAAAGCTATCGTAACCCACAAATGGGATTACTGTACATAGTTTTAAGGTCGCTGTGGAGCTCAGGGTTATACTGTAGTCGTGCTAACGTTTCAACTTAAAACTAAACCCATTTTAGGACTACACTATCTACGACGGATCAAACGTTCGCTCGGCAACTCAAAATGAGCAAACGATGATTGATATGTACTACAGAAATCGTATGAACGGAGGTAAAATAGGGATATAAAGTCTTAATCAAATCAAAAACGATTCAGTCAATCAATCTCCACCCTGCATGTGCACGATGGCTCGATGCTCGATGTGATTGATATCACCCAAAGTTTTGCTCTAAATTTTAAAAAGTAACTGAAATAAATCTTTTTCACAATGTTCTGATACAATGAATTCCTTTTAATCTGCAAATTGCCTTGGCTTTTATGCTATTTTATTTTAATTTAAAACATAAAAAATTCCATTTATTTCAAGTAACAAAGAAAGGAGTTTTTTTCGCAATTCTTTTGAGCAATTCAAATATCAAGAAGGTTGGTCATTTCTAAAATTTCTGAAATTAAAAAATGGCACAAAACTTTTAACACTAGATAATTAGCGATTTTTCAAGAATAAAATTGCACCCACTTGGCAAAATTTGTCGAACGTCTTGTGCAAGTAAGCGGCTACATCGCTTGAGATTCGCTGAAAAGAACAATGTTCATAATTTTCGGGAACAATCAAAGTACTTCTCCATGGTCTTTGCAAACTTACTACATTGATGCTTCAAAATTTAGCAAAATATACCTGTCTGAGTTCTGGTCGAGAAAGCGCTCGAGATGAGTGAGGAGCTATGGTTGTTGAAATCGCCGTCTTTTCGTTGTTCTCTTTTGCTTCAACCGACCTCAACTGTGTTTCCCCGTTCTTTCCGATCTTCATCGCCACTGAAATGAAAATATTAGCAGGATATTGATTATAAAAAGACTTGATACTGTTATTTCTAGTTAGCGTTTCTATTGAAAGCCACTAGTTTCTTGAATATTCTGGCGTTGCTTTTTTAAACCTTTTCTACGCTACACTGACTTTCTATAAGCTGCTCAAAAGAATCGCATAATGTTGTCTAATGGGATTGGCATATAGAGGCGTATAGAAACCACAAAACAATTTTCAAACCTCTTACCGCTTTCTGATTGTTGAGGAGTGGGCGTCGGGACGGCGGTCTTCAACTCATCCGAACCACTTCGTGTCTTTTTTTCGATGACCTCGCGGGTTTGTCGAGCCATTTCTTCCTAAAATAACAACAATAAAATGTGCATCATTCAATCAATCATCCAAAAAGGGTATTTTTCTAATGTCGGTGTGTTTTTGTGGTTTTCAACTGATTTTAGGCATAGTTTTGCCTATTTTTCTGTTTTTTTTTCCACTGGATTATCTAGAAAACAGCCTAAACTAGCTTGAAACTAGATGAACAAATTAAAAACCTTTAAAACCATGAGGAAACAATGAATAAAACTAAACGCATCCCAAAAACGACAGCAAAAACGATTTCTGACCTGTATCCGATCCTGTTCCGCGTAATAGAACATCACTCCAACGGCAAGGATAAACGAGAGAAATAATGTCAGCATACCGATAGAAAAAAAAACGAGATGAGAAGAAAATGACGAATGAAAAACAGAAAAATTGTTTATGCTATTTTATGCAAATTTCTCTGCAATTTGCATTTTGCAAATAAGCCGTCAATCAAGAAGTTCATTTCATTCCTGCATTTCATTTCTGGCATTTCATTTCATTTCTCTCTTCAACCACACTCGAATGGGCCTCACACTCGGCGTTCTTCACGAAGCACTCGTCACTTATCACAACAAATCTGATGAGGAGGTGGGATTTTTTTAAAGTTTACTATTAACTGTACCTGTGTTTAACCTTTATTACTTTTAACTCGGCAGCAACAAAAACTTAAACAGATCCGTCAAAATTAGAAAAAAAATGGACACTTTTATATTGGTACATAAATATTGTACAAATTACTTAAAATAAACGTTTAAAAGCATCAAAAAGTGAACACTTCTGAATGTTTAGCTCATTTCGTTTAAAGAGTACACTAAGCATGTCCAGAAGTATAAAAACTAGCTGTTTTTATTTTGGTTCTATAGTCATTCCTTTTAGGCCGATCTTTGTCAAGTTGCTTACTGCGAGATGCATCCAATGGTGTACTTCGACGTCGGCACCAAGTACGGAATTCCCTTTGGACGAGTGATTGGTGAGGGAATTTTTCCTTGTTAACTTCAGAGTTTTAAATTCTTGACCTACAACGCGATTATATTTAGTTGAACTACATCAAAACGCCCAACCCAAACTCGTCGAGCATTTCCTTCAGCTATGTATTGGAATCTCTCGAGGATCGCGAAGTAAATAGCCTTTGTAAAGTTTGTGTAAAGTTATTCATTCTAGCAAAATCGTTGAGTTATCGAAATGCACGAATCTGCAGCCTTGATGCGAAACAAAAGACTTTGCTCGTTGGTCAGTGATTAAACGACTATTATTTGTGTAAAATCGAATATTTTAGGCAATGTTGAGAATGGTCGAGCAACTTTCGTTCCTTCATCGCTTGGCGGAGTCGAGGTGATGGCCGATCCACAAAGGACCGCACTTCGAGCATTCAAGTAAGGAGAACCAATGTTTGCCTTCTACAGGGTGGCTGATAATTACGTGCGCCAAAGAAAACGCCATAATTTAATTTTCTTTCAAAGAAAATGTAAAAATCTTTATTTATATAATAGTTGAACAAAAGCATTAATAATCACAAGAAATTTTCGAGTGGCCCCACTGCTTTGATACAGGCTTCAATTCGCTTCTTTACAGAATCGACGGTGCGGCGGAGATAATTTGCATCTAAGTCGTTCTAGATTTTGATCAATTCTCGAAGTAAATCGTTCAAATTGGTGATTTTTCTATTTCTCAATTGTTCTTCCATAAAACCCCAAACCGAAAAGTCCAACGGATTGAGATCCGGGCTGTTTGCAGGCCATTGATCCTTCGTCAAAAAAGGCCAATTTTGGTTTCGAGAAAGGTGAGAATTCGAGAAAGTTGTTTTGGCTCCGTGGGCCGGCGCCCAATCTTGTGAAGGGTCAAATTGGGATGGCTCTCTTCCATGGCACGACAGCTTTCTCGAGAATCTCTTTGATAGACTTTGCGTTAATCTTCACATTTTATCGATAAAAACCAACGGGGTCTTGCCCGAAGCACTGATGCCACCCCAAACCACAAACTTTTGAAACAGACCTTTGTAGCGACTTTCGTTTACGAGTGCTCTTGAGAGCTGGACTGAGAAGTTGAAGGGATTTTGTGAGTTTTAGTCACTTCCAAGGTGAAAATCTTCTCATCTGACCAAAGAACACGTCAATGCGCCGCACCTTGAAAAAGCCGCAATTTCTTGCATTCTCCTTCCGGTTTTGCTTGGCGATCGGTGAGCACGCCCGTTAACAGTCGAAACTTCGAAGTCCGAGCTCATTTTTCACTATCGATTGAACCGAGAAACGCGAAATTTGAAGCTGTTTGCCATCTTGTTCAAACTACATCGTCTTTTCGCTCGATCCTCCTCTTGATGACCCACGCATCTTTCGGGTGTTAACGGTCCTCTTTGGTCCTCTTCCGGGCTTGGACTGAACATGCCCCTCATCTTTCCATTGCTTTACGATCTTCTGGATGGTCCTCAGAGCCACCCCAAGCCTCGATGGGATCGACGAGTTCTTCATGCCGCTCGCGCCAGCTGTGCGATTGCGCCGACTAGCGCACGTCTTTGTCATGACCTAGAAAACAACTTTTTAACAAAAAATATTGACCACGAAAAAGATATTAAAACACAAAAGATGGAGTAATGCTTTATACATTGTTTAAAACTTGCTGACTGGCGCACGTAATTGTCAACCACCCTGTATATCCTATTTTTTAGAGGTGGCTCTCTCGTCCTCCTGCCCTTCTCGTTCGATTCGAATCGTTTCTCATCGTTGTTTTATTTTTATCTTGGTGATGAAAGGGAAATCAATGATGGGCTTGTTGTTGGGAAAATTGTTGAAGGTTGTAATGTTTAAGTACAATGGTAAACTTGTGTTCGAACTTTTTAAATTCAGCTATTCAGAAAATAATATTAATGCATTGATTATAATAGCTAAATTTCTTTTATGTCAGCTCAAATATTCGTTTTCCTTTCCAGGTCATTCTCTTCTCTCCAATTTGATCAGTGACTACTCATCTCCAGCCGGCAATCTACTCAAAAAGAAAGGCGAGCTCCGCATTGTGAATTGTGGTCGTCTCTAAGTCACCTCTCTGATCTTCAGCTCCACCAATCAATCATTACTCGTTCATTTACACCATTTGCGATCCTTTGAAAACTAACGATTTCATATGTGGCTTTTGTACATTGTGTTGATAATTACTCGGGAATTTTCACGTGTCTTTGTAAAATAAAAAAAATCTCACTTGGATACAAAGCTTGAGTTGTGCAGACAAAACTGGCCACTTAGAAAACTTTTTTTCCAAATGATGTGCAAAAAAAACGCTCTTTTTACATTTCCATAATCGGAAGTGAGAAAAACTGGGTTTTTCGGAAAATACCGATTTCTCATGGGTTTTTGTGGTGTATTTGAACTGAATCACCCGTCTCTTTTTCATAAACACTTACTCATGTTTTTGCTTTTTCAGCTTTTCCCACAACTCAACAAGGACAATTATATGCCTTTTTTCGTTTGTTATCTGTTTGGCAATGACCCGCGATGATTTCATTCGCGAACTTCAAAGAATTTGAGAGCGTTGAGCTTTGAAACAAACTATTTAGCTGCGATTTGCTCATCTTGAGGTAGATTTGGGTACTTAATAGCGCTTCGGGACGAAAATTTCCACCAAATTTTCTAAATCTTTTTGAGATACTTGCAGATACTACGGTAAGGGTCGTTCACCTACCGTAACCCATTCCTACTCCTCTTGTCTCGACTTTAAATTCAATTTTAGAACGAACAATTGAACCAAATTAACTTCTCAACTCCCGAGAAAATCTCTCCATTTTCCCCATAGTCAACAAAGTTCAGAATTTTCTCCAATCGTGAGAATTCTTATTTTCTACTTTTTCGGATCTTATCAAAATCCAGAAAAACACAAATTTCGTTGCAGTCAAAATTTAGATGTTTATCAGAAGCGAATTTTCTTTGACTTTTACTCTCGCGATCAGAATTCGAGCCACTACAGAAAAGTTTCCTTTGATTAGAAACAGGCAAAATGTCAAATTGTCAAAAATGTCAAACAGTCTTTAAGAAAATGTAAGTGTCGAACTCAAAAATTTCAAATTTTATCTTTAAAATCCTCTCAATTCTAGTTTTTATGATTTTTCATAATCTTGAAATTTCCTCTCATTCCTTCCACTTAAATTCAAAGTTGACACATTTTTTTGAAAAGTCTCGACAAAAGTTTGATCGGAATTTTTCGAAAAACAATTACTGTTCATTTCAATTTTAGAATTCGCAAATGACTTTCTCTTTCGAAAAACTTGAATCATTCTCCGAAAATTTTCAGTTCTTTTGAAAGCAATCAAATAATAGCCCTGGAATTTTTAGAACCTACCGAAGTTTCCCGGAAAAGGCACAAGAATGTTTCCACTTTTCCTCACATTTCTCATCGCAAGTTTGATTTTTGAAAGAAAATTCAGTGTACTATCTTGTATGAGAAAGAGCTTAGGTAAATAAAGGAGAAAGTTGGATTCATTTTTAAAATATCACACTCCATTTCAGGCGCTACCAGTCAGTTCACACAGGACGACAAAAATGAGATCGTTGATGTGAGTTAAAAAAGAAGCTACCGTAGTCACTCTTTTCTAACGATAAGTCTTCGTTCAGCCAGATCAGATCTTTGGCTCAATCAATTGCGAAAAGTGTAAATCGATCATTATGACATGATGACGAACGATCGAATACCTGAACATTAACGTTAGCTTCACCCCGAAAATGAGCTTATGATTAGAAATAAGATTTTACTGATTTACTGATTTACTGATTTACTGATTTACTGATTTTACAGATTATTTCCCAGATATAAAACTTTTGACAATAGAATAGACAGAAATTTTTACATTTACAATTTCGATTCTTTACACACAAAATATAGGCAGTTTAGACAATGGAGCAACTAAACTACAAAATAATAAACACCGAAAAGTGACAAAATAGCATTTACATGGAGTAACATGAAGAAAAAATATTCAAACAAAAAATTTCGCGATAAACCTATAATAAAGTGACAATTTTTGAAACTTCACTATTTTCTCGTTATGGTGAGTCAGATTTGATGAGCTGAGGATTCGTGTTCAGATACTTGCGGTACTCGTTCACCGTCTGCCACTGATTGGTGCCAAGTGAGACCTAAATAAAACAAGATTCAATGGCATATAGTCAAGTAACACTATGCCTTTCATCACTTTTTATTTAGCTAAGAACATTTTGTGCAAATCACCCAATAAAGTACCTGTCTTCTTCGAGTTCTGAGGAATTCGAACGCAACCTTCGGGTCCCAGTCCTTTTTCTGCATCAAATAGCATATCGTTACGGTGGCTGAACGTGTCCTTCCGGCCTGAGAAAGAAATTTTATGACCTGCTGTTTTTCTTAAATGATTCAGCTTCTAGAGAGATCGAACTTCCTGTTTGACGCCGTAAAACTAAAGTTTACCTTGCAGTGAACGTAGACCGATTTTCCTTGTGAATTAATTCTGTTGATGAACTCGACGGTTTTTTCCATCTTAGCCGGATCAGCTGCTCCAATGAAGTCGGTCATAGGAATGGCGTAGAACTCGACACCCTCGGCCTAAGAAGAACACGTCAAATAAAATAAACTTGATAGCTACTTACCTTCCAATCCTCCTCAGCCATTGCACTCCAGGCAGCGACAAGTTCATAGGATTCCGTGCAGCACACGACACCGCCCACATTCTCTTTCTAAACAATAACAATATTATATGGATTTAATAACCTTTCAATAATTAATACAGAGCTTTGCTAAAAATTCAACTTTTGCATTTTCAACAGTTATTACGGTTCGGTAAGAACATATTCGCTGTTTTTGATTGAGCGCATGCATTATCACGGACTCCAAAGTATGATGCCTGCACTTTGTCCACCAAGTTGAAATATCAATCCCGGATTTACTGTTAGCCTCTCATCCATCTCAAGAGTTTACCTCAACGAACTCCTCTTTCATTGATTTGAATGGCATTGCTCCCAACACTAGGCCATCGTCTATTCGGCTGTACCTAAACAAAAATATACAATGCCACTAAAATCAATAACCAACCAGCTCCAATTCTCTTGTTGCACGAGGTTCCTCAACAAATTGTAGCCAAGAGTCGGATAGAACAATATTCCCTCAAGCATCACTAAAACGCCAGTATTGGTTTAAACTTTCAAGAATCTTTTGGAAGAAATGAGCAAATGCAAGCAAAGCGGTTTATATAAGGATTCCTTGCAACAAAAATATTCAGTTAACGAGCTGAAATGATTAAATTTCCTAGTTAGGTTGTTTTACCGCTTTTTAAAAGGTAGCATTAAGACTTTTATAGCTTGTCAGAGGGAGTGGGACAAATGCAACCTTTTTTTTGCGCACCCGGACATTTGCGCACCTTTTTTTCCGCACCTTTTTTCGCGTTTTAAAAAAGCTCTAAAAAGCTAATATTAACCAATTTCTATTCCAAATGTCGTTTTTCTAGGTAATTTGAGGGTGTCGAATTCAAATTTTGACATAACAGAGCGTGTGGAACCAATTTGAAAGACAAAACGGCTAGATCAAATTACAGAAAATTGTCGATTTTTCTCTTTGTATAACTCCGTCCGTTTGTTTCCACAAGCTCTGATATGTCAAAATTTGAATTCGACACCCTAAAATTACCCAGAAAAACAACATTTGGAATAGAAATTGGTTAATATCAGCTTTTTAGAGCTTTTTTAAAACGCGAAAAAAGGTGCGCTAATGGGCAAGGTGCGCAAAAAAAAGGTAGCATTTGTCCCACTCCCAGCTTTAAGACTTTTATAGCTTGTCAGAAATTGTTGCGCTTTTCGATGAGTTTACTACAGAAAATTTTTATTTATTAGATCTAGCGGGTTTATTTGTTCAAATAAATCTTTACTTTGTTTCAGTATCACAACAATGTTCGCTCGTTGATCGCTTTGGGACTTTACAAAGCCGGTTCGCAAACGTTTCCGCCGGCCACAAATATGATGAAAATGGTGAGAATGAAATCTCTAGAACATTTAAATCTTTTCTTCAATAAAAATCTCCCGAACTTCTCGATTGTAGCCACTTTTCCAGAATTGGTCTTCCACTCTCGAGCAATCTGCACAAAACTGGGCGAACGGGTGCAAATTCCAGGTAAATGCTAACAAGGGAATGGTCTCAGCTCAAAGTTGACCATTCCTTGTAAGAAGCTTACGATTTTTAAAAACATTTCAATGAGAAAAAGTCAAAAGTTGGAATTTTATGGATTTCTGATAGACTTATAGAGGGCTTTCATTATTCAATTGTAGTTAATCTGTTAGCTCAACTCTCCCTTTTGGTTGAGGTTGTCCCTTTCAGGTGCTTGAGGTTGATTTCACTTGTACTATTGATTCATAAAATGGCTTCAATTTTCCTGATTCAGCATTCGGGTACGAATGGAGTGGGCGAAAATCTGTACATGGTTTATGGATCGAATCAGATTCCGATCAGAGGCCAAGGTTCGTTTGACACAAAAACGCAAAATGTGGTAAGAGCAAAGAGTTGAAAAAGGGATACGATAAGTCAAAATTTAGCATGGGGATACAGTAAGTCTGTATAATCAATGTTTCAATAAAGGCTTAAAAAAATCCTTTTCGAAAGATACATTTCAGGGAAAGCAGCGAGCGCCTCGTGGGAGAAGGAATTCCAGGTAAAGTATGCGAAAAAGTTAGATTTACAAATTAATTACTTATTCTATATTTGTACTATTGATTCTCCGATTTCATTCTTTTAGGATAATGGATGGCCTCAGGTTCCCTATTTTGACAACACCGTTTTCAACTCGGGAATTGGACATGCCACACAGGTTGGGCAATTTTTACTGGAAGTGATTCTTTTTCGGTCTACCGTATTAGGTTCCCTGATTTTTAGCTTTAGTTCACAGTAACAATAAAACTTTTCAGCTTGCCTGGGGCAATTCGAATCAAATTGGTTGTGGTGCGGCACAATGCAATGGGGGAAAACAAGTGATTGTCGTCTGTCAGTACACGAAACCGTGAGTGAAATTTTGGGAATCACCTAGAGACAAGATTAGGTAAGGTAGTTCCGGAAAGTTGGCGCGTTCTAGAAAACACACTTATTCGGTATACTGTAGTGGAAAAGCGATTTGAACATTTTAGCGGCAACTACTTGAATCAGAATGCGTGGGCAGTCGGTACTCGTTGTGCTCAATGCCCAATAACATCAACGTGTGACCCTCGATTGGGACTCTGTCAATAAAAAGCTTCCTTTATTGATGAGTTATGGATAAACTATTTTTCGATCCCACAAGTGACCACAGCAAAAGCTTCCAGTTAATTTCTTATCAAAGTATTTTTTCGAAAGCTCCATTTCATGTGCTTTCGTTATCAGGAGCACGAAATTTTCCCAATCGGCTTGTCTCAAAATTCCGCTACCGTTTCCCTGATTTGTGCTGCAAGTTTTTTTTGATAATAAAGCATTTATTCAATAGATCCTAAACAAAACTATAAAAACTAGCCAACAATCTAATAACAAAAAGATAAACCTTAGACATCATTTGTGCGCATTTTGTTAGAATTCAGATAGACAAATAAACAAGCAGTGGAAAGACGAGAGAGGAGTTCCTCGTCTTCGATACCATGTGCCCATTCAACCTAAGAACGAAAATCATGATTGGCTGGAGAAAATTTTAAGAAATCACCAAATCCTTACCTCTCCCCAAACTTGTGCTTGTACTTTTCGCTCCAATGCAGCTAATTCGACAGCTTCAGGAGCGGTAACTTTCCACTGGAGCACATTGAATGGAATCAAAACTGATTTCACCGATTCGACAGCATATCTAAAGTTGATTTCCTGTAACATGTCGGCCGATTCAATAACTATCAAAATAGACCAACTTACTGTAATCCATGAAGCGCCCATTCATTGTGTGATAACAACCATCCGCCAAATCGTTTGCGATCCTCGTTTGAAACAACCGTATCTAGAACAAAACAGCCTACAGAAAAACCAATAACTCGTTACCCATTAAATTTGTAATCGGTTTCAACGAAGTCCCCAGTTCTGTATTTGCATTTTTTATTAAAGGCGTCCATCGTTTGACCTAGAAAAACATTCATTAAAGCAGCTACTTTGAACACGTATTTTTATAAATAATATTCGTTACCTGCTCTTCGTGTAAGTTGGTACTCTCATCGTTGTAGAAGAGGATTGTATCGTTTTCCAAATACTCCAATAGCTTGTCGGTTATTGACTGCCTAGAAAAAATGATCACGTCAAACAAGATTTTACTTACTTTGTACATAACAATGGATTATCGTGAGCAGTGAAGGCAAGTCCGGTTAATCTCATCAACCCAATCTAAAATTAAAATAAAGAAATTCAATCAATTGGCAAAATACCTCGAGATTTTCATTTTGTGATGCCCATTCTTCGGCAATAGCCAGTGCCAGCGGTTCGGAGTCAACCTGAAATTGAAAAATTAAGAAATTTTGAAGAGAATTCACTTTGCAAGTATCTCTATTGAATCAAATGATCAAAGACTTCATATATGCTTTGAAGAAATTTTTATCAGCTAACGTTTAAAAAAAAGCGCCGATTTATACGGCTAAATAAACAATAAACCGGCGCCGTTCTCGGCAACCTTATCAAGCCAGGCCATGTTTGCGGAGAAATTTATTCAGAGAGAACTGCCAATGACTCAATTCGAATTGAGAACTATCGATCCAACAACCCCGGGGAAATTTTGGCTCTTTCAAATCAAAAAAAAGCCAACTTTTTTTAAAAGTCTTTGAAATTTAAAACCTATAGTTTTCCATTTTTACTTTTTAAAACATGGGTCATTCACACGTTCACGGTATTGGATTGCATTTGATTGGAGTCTTTGCGTTTCTTTTGGTAAGTATTCGATCAAAAAAGTTAATTTTGACAGAGTTTAGCTATTGTTGATCATATTTTGTCTTTTTCGTCTAATCGATAACCGAATGTTGCCGCCATCGAGAAAATCTAGCAGGTTGAATTCAGCAAACAAAATATTGTAATGATAAATTTTAAGATCCGAAAACTCTCCTCAATTTAAAAGAGCTCGACCGATGCGAAAAAATTCGGCAGTATTTAATGAGACTCAATCAGTGGTTATGGAGGAAATGAGACAAGTAACTTTTTCAGAAATACCCATAAAAGTCACTGTTCCACATACCAGTACAGAAGTACAAAACTTAAACCAAATGTTTAGGTACGCGGAGAAAATCAACTCTTATGCACGAGTACAGTGTGAAAATATCGTCAAACTTACAAATCAAAAACGGGTACCAAAAAGTACAAACGAACCTTCAATGGTTTGCCAGCTTGCGTCTTCAACACTCGCCCATCCAACGTCACTTTGAAGAAAGGATCCTCTCGAATCACATCGACTTTCTGAACAATATGCCAGTTTCTATAAATGTAATTTAAAAATTCACCTTGTAAAAACGTTTCCTTTTGACGAGAGCCGACCCAAGAGGAGCAAAGTTTGAGTTGAAGCGTTGGGTCACCCGCATCAACGAGTTCATCTAAAATTCATTGAAAGACATCAGCAAAAATTTTGCAGATAATCTTTTGACTTAATAAATCAGGCTCATTTCATAAAAAACAATATTATACGATTTATTCTAAAAGTACAAAATCCTAATCAAAAGTGAAAACAAAAAGCTCTAAAACGGCGACTCCCTAACAATTAGAAAGTTACAATCACAATTCACAATTAAAATATGTAACACACAAAAAATACCACCAATAAAATGCGCTAGTGCCCGTATAAAATAATTTTTTAGACTCATTGGTTTATTTCATTTGTCAATCGATCCACCGAATCCTCATCAATCGTAACAAATCTTCGACTTCGCTAAAAAATAAAAAAAATTTATAGAATCGAATTAAAATGAGCTAACCTTACTAAACATTTGCATGTCGCCTGTGTAAATATCAAACCACATTGCATGGAGATTGATCTCTTTTCGCTCAAGAAATTCCTAAATTTTTTGAATATTTCGTTTCAATAATTTATCAAAAACTAACCTTAAGAAATCCATGGCTGCTTATGTTTTCTAATTGTTGTAAAGTATTGATTTGTGATAGTTTATCCTCCACAGATAACGCATTCTCCGGGTCAATCAGAGCAGAAAAACTGAATTTGTATGTTACGTCCGTTGTTGGATTTCGTCCGATTCAGAACCGGACGTCAGTTTTTGAATCTTCCAGCCTTCACTTTGACGATTTTTGTTTTTTTTGTAATGATCTATGATTTTTGCTAGTTAGCAAATATAATTTCTATATATATTTATAGTTTGAATCGTAACTAACTTGCGCGTTCCGGATTTCTATTTTATTTTTCTTTATTCAAGTTTTTAGACGTTGTGTTTGTTATGTTTGTTTTCGATCATTTACATTTTCGATCGTTTGTTATCAATAAATTTTGAAGTTTGATGATGGATGCTCAATGATCAAAAGCAAAATGCGTCAGTTTCGAGGATTTAGTAGTAAAGTTTGGAAATTGTTGAAATATAGACTGGATGATTCAAAAACGGACGTCACATATACATTTAATCAGCAGAAAACTTTCAACCGTACCTGAATAACGCATTGTTCGAGATATATTCCAGTGGTTTTTCATCCGGGTTAGATAATCTCAGTTCAAGTTTCTAAATTTGTTCAAAGTTAAAGTTTTACATTTAATTTACTCGAAGAGATGAATATCCATGTCGTCGTAACCAATGATCCATCGGCGATTCTGGGTCAAAAGCTTTCGGACATTTGTGCAGTCCATATAACGTGTTAATAGCCTAAAAGTAATTAATTGGTGGTTATAAGGTGTAAAAACTCACTTTACAATCGGAATGCCCACAAACGATAACATGTTTAATTTTTCCTCGCTTTACCGCTAGCTCCAACGCTGCTGGCTCGGTGGTAATTGAGACTTCGTATCCCGCGGATCCTGAAAGACACATAAAATTGCTTAAGTTAGTGTCAAACCATAGTTTTGCGCGTGTGGCACAATATTTCCGGAGTTTCGAAGCACAAACATGTCGCCAACTTGCGATTGTGTAAATCTAAACAAAGTCAGTTGAAGTTAAAATAAGTTTTGCTACCTGGCCGGTAAAATTCTAGAGTCCATACATGTGATGAATAGAGCGGTCGGATGAGGATCGTCTCGAACTTTTTCGAATTGCTTTACGAGATCCGCTCGAACCTAAAACTGCAATTAGTTTTATACGCGCACTTCAAAACATACCGTTTTTCGGAAACGAATCACTCCATTTAAAATCCTTTGCAGACCCATGGACAAACTAACAAGGTCATAAGCATCAGCGAGAAAAAAAATATATATATATTTGCTTTAAACAATTGGGTCAGCTTTCCCACTCAAAAACAAATTTATTTAAGCAACAACGCTAACTAACCAAAGAGATCTATAGAATGAAGAAAGAACTAAATTTATATGCAAAACTAACATAAACAACAGAGAGAAAAATATCAGGACTTGTCTTTGATTTTATCTGGATTGTAACCGGGTGCTTTCTCGAAATCGTCATATTGTGGGTAAATTTTAGGTCCTGCAGTTGGCCCACCTAAATTTTCAATTTGTAGAGGGCAATTAATCACAAGGTAAACCCCAAAAATGAATGAGGTGCTAACCTGCAGGCGGTCCTGTTGATCCAACTTTAGGGGAGAATTTTTCCATGGCATCGTTTTGTTCCAATTGCGCCTATGTTTTATTCCTTATAAAGTAGTTTTTGAAACAGTACTTGTTGTCGACTTTCATTCGAGAGCAATTCCTGCTCATTCGGTGGAAACCTTCGCGTTCCTTTGATCCATGATAACCATTCGACACCTGGCTTTGAGTTTAAATTGTCAAACGGTGGCTCAAATCCTCTAAAAGTGGATTCACTTGGGGCAAAACGATACTGACCACCTGGAAACGTTCTTTCTTGTGCCATGAAGCTCATAATAGGAGATACCCTGAGTATCTTTACCCACATAGACCTTAAATTCAGTTTTTTATGTGATGTAATGTGCAAAACCACCTTTTCAGACCAATCTTTCTTCAAAAACTTGAAAAAGTTTGTTGCCACTCTGCTCCAGCCGCTCGGCCGACTCATCTGTAAGCAATTTTCAGAGATTTGCGTGATCAATAATGAAAAAAAAATCCGTGTGACGCTTTTACGTGCTTTCTAATCTTTGTGAACAACAATAAATTTATTCAAGAAACAGTTTCAATAATAATAGCGTTACAAATATTTTAGAAGCCTGTCGAAAATTATCAACAGCTTACAAAATGAGACCAATGTTCAACGTTGTCTACTGCGAAGACTAGTTGGGCGTTTCAATAACAAAGACAAAAAGGATCAACAATTGGGACAATTCAATGAAATAAAACGAAACATTTAGATCATATCTGCGATGTTCATTGGCATTTCGTCGATTTGGGTGGAGTAATATTGCTCGATGTCGCGAAGGATGCGGACATCCTCATTCTTGACAAAGTTGATGGCAACACCCTGAGATTGAGATAAAATAGCAAAAGAAATATTGCAAAACCTTTCTTCCGAAACGACCCGAACGTCCAATGCGATGAATATAGAGCTCACGATTGTTTGGCAGGTCATAGTTGATTACGAGAGACACTTGCGGAACGTCCAAACCACGAGCCCAGACATCGGTTGAAATCAATACTCGTGAAGTACCCTCACGAAAATCCTAAAAGCAGAGGATCAAAAAGTATCTTAGATATACAAACCTTCATAATTTGCTCACGCTCTGATTGTTCCATGTCTCCGTGCATTGAAGAAACCGTGAAGTTTGCTGCTTTCATTTTCTCGGCCAGCCAATCCACCTGAGATGCATAGGATATACTAAAAATTATAAAACGTACCTTTCTACGTGTATTGCAGAACAAGACAGCCTGTGTGATGGTCAATGTATCGTAGAGATCGACAAGGGTATCAAATTTCCACTCCTCACGATCGACAGCCACGAAGAACTGCTTGATTCCTTCCAAAGTCAACTCGTCACGTTTCACAAGAATGCGCACTGGATCCGTCATGAACTTTGAGGTCATTTCGAGGACTTCATGAGGTAGAGTGGCACTGAGCAAGACAACCTAGAAACAAGAATAATCAAAAAGATACGAATTAAATACCTGGCATCCTGGTGGGAGATAACGATAGATATCGTAGAGCTGTTCTTTAAATCCCTTGTTCAACATTTCGTCGGCTTCGTCCAAAACGAGCAGCTTGATAGCACGGGTTCTAAGATTGCGACGTCGAATCATATCAAACACCCGGCCAGGAGTTCCAGAAACGACATGTTGACCATAATCGAGCTTGCGGATGTCTTCTCCAACATTTGTTCCACCGATGCACGCGTGGCATTGCACACTCATGTAGTCTCCAAGAGCAAGAATAACCTAAAAGCAAATTTAAGTACTTTCTACCCCAAAAATCATACCCTTTGAATTTGGGATGCAAGCTCACGTGTTGGCGAAAGAATCAAGGCTTGCGTCTCACGAATTTGCGTGTCAAGACCTTGTAGCACAGAAATTGAGAAGGTGGCGGTTTTTCCTGTTCCGGATTGTGATTGAGCAATAAGATCTCTTCCCTAAATTGAATAAATTAGACCTTCAAAAATAAGGAAAATTTGGCGCCGTAGTAAATTTTAAAAGGTCCCTTTTGATACAAATAAAGTAAGAAGGGGAAACACTCTGAAACGACTTGGTCAGACCCTATTTTACGCGCGTTTTTTCTAGTATGGTCTTGCATTTTTCGGGGTAACAAAACATGCGGAATCTGTTGATGATTTTTATTGATATTTTGTTGCGCTTGCTGGAGTCTAAATGTTGAAGTGTTGCTAAGCTTGAAACGAAGAGTAGAGTGAAATACAAAGCGAAAACTTGTTCCAAATATTCTAAAAATTTTGCCAATCGATTAAGCGTATTTGACTACCCCAGAAGCTGGTAATATAACACTGATAAAACGGTCAAAACAATACAATCTGACCAAGTCGGGTCAAAGTATCCCCTCCCCCCAACTACCTAATACACCAGTGAGGAAACTGGGCAATAAATAATGAATCAATCATTACCTTTAAGACTGGCTTGATGGCACGTTGTTGAATTGCTGACGGCTTCTCAAATCCATAAGAGTAGATTCCACGAATTAGATCCTCGCGAAGTCCCATCTGATCAAAAGTTGGAATGACATCGACTCCCTCACTCGTCTCGAATTCGACACCACTCAGATCATCATCTGCCGCTGCACGACGTTTTGTAGCACCTGGCATCTCTAAAAACGAAAAAGTCAATAAAGAATCACCAAAAGTTAAAGTATTCAACGGACACGAGAAAAGCGAATGAAAAATTTTGCCTGACAGCAAGAAAATGCGCCAAAATAGCAAGAAACTTTAGTTCGTTGGCTGAATATCTTGAACATTGGTATATTTTTCTGAAGCTAGTTAAAAGATTTTAGTCAGTCAAGAAGGCATAATAGGTTCTCGCTTTCGTTATTTTTTTTCCTTTTTTGAAATTCTATGCGTTGCGGTCAGCGGGGCGTTCTTTCCAAAAAGGGTTGTGGTTATTCTCTCAGTATAGGTGCATTTTGGAATCGGCGCCAGCTTTTTCGTATTTTGAATGAAATTGCACTTGATTTCGTTTACTCATTTTCCAAATTTTAGATGATCAACAGATTTCGTTGCAGATGTCTATTGAGAACGACGATACGAAAATTTGCCAGAAAAACTCCAATCGCAAACGACAAACTCTTGGTTCCTGATGTTCCCGAATCGAGTCACGTTGATGATATTGGAGAAGTGCCTTCATTTGACCACAAGTTGATCACCCATTTGGAAAGATTGTCGTTGATTCGATTTAGCAGTGAAGAAGCTGTCGCCAATTTACGAGAATCTATTCGAATTGCAAATCGGCTGAAACATATAGATGTGGAGGGTGTCCAACCGATGATAACTGTTTGGGACAACATGGAATGCCCGTTACGAGACGATGTGTTGAGTTGCGAATTGGAAAGAGATGAAGTCTTGGAAAACGCTGCGGAAACCATGGAGGATTATTTTGTGACACCACCCGGAAATATTCCATTGGGAGCCGAAAAGCCTTTGGACTTAAAGCTTATCAACGAATGGGATAAACTTGGCCAACCAAATCCACCAGATCCCCGTGGAAAATTAGAAGTGAAAACAAATAAAAAGTAATTGGTTCAGGTATCCACATTTGTACATTACATGAATGTGTAAAGAATGTGTAGGACTTTCGATTAGTATAGGAACTTTTGGTGTTTTTTTTTGGTTTTGTGATCTTCTTTTAATTTTGCAATTAAATTTTAATTGGTTTTTTGTTTAGTAAATGTCCTATGTACACACAGAAGGCCTCTCCGGTGCTGAATACTTGGCTTCGATCTATGGAACTGAAAAGGATAAAGTCAATTGCTCCTTCTATTTCAAGGTAATGTTATTTATTTATTTTTTTTAGTTTGAAAATGTTTTCTAGATTGGTGCCTGTCGACACGGCGATAAATGCTCGCGAACACATCACGTCCCTCAATTTTCCCAGACAATCGTCTTAAAGAATTTTTACCACAATCCGGTTGTTGACATTCGGCAAGCAGATGCATTTGATAGTGGGTAAATCTGCGCATTGGCTCAAGAATGAAAAGTTTAGAAGTGGGAAAAAGAAACAATCTGGAGCAGGATTACTTTGACGACTTTTATGAAGAAGTCTTTACGGAACTCGAAAATAAGGTTTGTTAATTTGATTCCGTAAAGTGACAAAGGTATTTAGTATGGTGAAATTGAAGAAATGAACGTGTGTGAGAACATTGGGGAACATATGGTTGGGAATGTCTACATCAAATTCGTGAAAGAAGAAGACGCCGAGAAAGCCTCCAAAGATCTTAACGACAATAGATGGTGCTTTTAAAATTTATCTATGAAAAAATATGTGTATGCTGAATTTAAAATTTTTGCTTTGAGGGCACTAAAAATAAAGCTAAAGTAGCAAAAGATGATGTCCACTTTTATTTTTCAGAGTTTAGATTGGGTTGACTATCTTTCCCGCATAATCCTTGCATGCAATGTTTTAAGTGTAAGTCTTCGCTGCGACCCGCAGTAGTTAAATCGCGCAAGATAAAATTTGCAGAAGGTTTTACTCAACTTATTTCGTTTAGGTTCAACGGCGAGCCAATTTATGCTGAACTTTCCCCGGTGACTGATTTTCGAGAGGCTCGTTGTCGACAACACGAAGTGATCATACGCTTTATTGTATTTTTTTATAAAAATTACTTTAGGTGACTTCTTGCGGAAAAGGTGGTTTTTGTAACTTCATGCATCTCAAAGCGATCAGTCCTCAGGTGGGAGCGAAATTGTATGGTCGACGAGGAAGGTGGAGAAGAATTCTCTAGACTGTTCATTTTTAAAATTTAGATTTGCTGATTCAGCGGGGCATTATCCTTCACGGCGAGAAAAGTTTGATCGAGAAAGTGGTGGTAGCCGACATGGACGGGACAGGGAAAGGTTTGGTGTCGGATTTTATAATGAGCATTTCTTATCTTAGGCGAAGAAGTCGGGAGAGAGACGATCGTCGTTCTCGTTATTGATTGCCAACTAATATTTTTTATTTTTATTGATGATTACATAAATATGTCGGAAAACTTGTAAAATGTTGCTCCTTGGCTTTAAGCCAGTTTTTTATTTGAAAGTTTGATATTTGTCACGTATAAAGTGCTTCTGTTAAAGCCCATCAACCAACCTTCATATTTAGGGTTAATGTCACTCGTTTCGAATTTTCCACATAATAAAAAGAGGACACTTTATGTGGGCGGTTTCAGCGAAGAGGTCACCGAAAAGGTAAGCTAAGTAACTTAAAAAATTCCATTCTTTTGTATCGTTAACTTGTATAGATATTGATGGGCGCTTTTATCCCGTTCGGTGAAATTGTTGCCATCTCGATTCCCATGGACTATGAAACGGGTAAGTAATGCTGATTTTATGGGGGAACAAAAGCTAAAATTTCTAGGAACCCATCGAGGATTTGGATTTGTGGAATTCGAATTAGCTGAAGATGCGGCGGCAGCAATTGACAACATGAATGAGAGTGAGCTTTTTGGAAGGACAATTCGATGTAACTTCGCGAGGTTAGCATTTATAGTTTGTCGATTTTACCCATGGGAAAGGCAAGGTTATAATTGTGATTTCAGACCACCGAAAGCCAGTGAACGATCAACAAGACCCGTTTGGGCAGATGATGAATGGCTTCGAAAATATGGACAAGGAGGAGGTTAAAAGGTTTTATTGTTTAAAAGCTAGTTTGTTGTAGGAGAAGAAGCAGCAGCAGAGTCTGCGGGTGCCGGTGGATCGACTAGTGTTTCTGTGGCTCCGACTTTCAAATTACCACGTGTTTATTTGGGAATCAAAATTGGAATCAGGTTGGATTGGTTTTTAAATTGCATATCTAATCTGGGGATTTAGATTTATTGGACGCATTGTTATTGAATTGAGGAGTGATGTGGTGCCGAGAACCGCTGAAAATTTCCGGTGTTTGTGCACAGGCGAGAGAGGATATGGATTTGAAGGTAAAATATTAGTGATTTAAAAAATATTCTGATCTTAGGATCCTCTTTTCACCGAATAATTCCAAAGTTCATGATACAAGGAGGAGACTTTACCAAAGGAGATGGAACTGGTGGAAAATCGATTTATGGATCAAAATTCCCCGACGAGAACTTTGTGGTATACCTTAACAAGTTAGAAGAACGTGTTCTGTGATTTAGCTAAAACACACAATGCCTGGAACCGTGTCAATGGCTAATTGCGGAAAAGATACGAATGGATCACAGTTCTTTATCTGCACAGAAAAGACGGATTGGTTGGATAACAAGCACGTTGTTTTTGGATACGTCATTGAGGGAATGAATATTGTTCGTCAGGTGAACTCAAGCGTTTTATGCATATTTACATATTAAAATTCAGATTGAGCAACAAGGGAGCCCTACCGGTAAACCAAACATGTCCGTAAAAGTTGTTGAATGTGGCGAAATCAAGTCTGGAGTTGCCGAGCCGACAAAACCTGCACAAGAAGAAGCTGCGGCAGCACCAGTTGCTAACGAAAAGCAAACGATGGAAGCTTAATATTGTTTTTTTAATGTTACCTAATTTGAAATCACATTTTATAATAGCTTTGTTTATTTTGTGATGAATAAAATGTTGCACAAGGTTTTATTGTTTGTGGTTTGGCTTTATCCAATAAGTTCTTTTATGACGTCAGTTGTACCCGAATTTTCATTATTTTGTTCAAGATGGGGAAAACCGGCGGGAATATGGAGCCAATGCCCTTTGTGCGCAAATTCGGAAGTGCAGCCGCTACCGAAGGCGATCCGAACGAGCAAGATGATGGACCTGTGACAGCAGCTCCACCACGTGAGTTTCAAGTTTTTTTTATCGCATTACCTCTTCATTTGCTTTAGCAAATATGGATGAGAGTTCATCACGAAGAGAACGTAAGAAGGATCGAAAAAGAAGCCGTAGTCGAGAAAAGAAAGAGAAACGATCAAAGCGTAGTCGCTCACGGTAGTTTTGAAATTTTTTGTTTGAAAAATTCACTGTGCAGATCTCGTGACCGTCGTTCGCGTTCACGTGAACGAAAACGCTCTCGTTCACGCGATAGGAGGGATCGGCGACGATCGTCGCAGTCACCAACGGATCTAAAGCCAGATATCAAGCCGGATTTCAAAGCATCGACGCCACCACCTTCACAAATGCCAATTATCAATCCACTTGTTCGAGAAGATTTGTGTAGGTCACACTTTTTGTTAAGTTTTTACCTTCTGTTTAGTGGAGGAAGCCGCTGAAAAACCTGAACTGGCCGTTGCTCTTATTCGGCCTGCACGAGAACGCAAATCACGATGGTCAACTCAGAAAAGCTTTGTCCCAGGAATGCCAACAATCTTGCCAGCCAATCTAACGGATGAGCAACGGGAAGCCTACTTGCGTGAGTATTGAATTTTATCGGGTCATCTTAAATAGTACCGGGTAAGTAATAAGTTCTGGAAATCGATTTGCAGTCAGGTTAGTTTCATTTTTTCATTTGTCTAGTTTCCTTAAATCTTTACTAATGTATGGCGGAGTGATCCGCCTCATATTACAGTTCAACTCGACGTCGAAGAAGCAACTCGAAAATTACGGCTTGGAGACTTTGGCGATCCAAATAATAGGTGCGATTTAAGAAGAAAGGACAAGTTTTTTTTTCAATATTTTAAATGGCGATATTAATATTGAATCCAAAAAATTTTTCGATGCACAAATTTGGCGCTCATTTGCTGGTCAAAATTCATTTTAGATCGAATGCAGTTGCGGCTCAATAAAGTGTCGATTTTCCGACAATTCCTTAATCATAATCCATTTTTACAGCGCAGGTTTACTCGACGATTTGTTGAACAGCTGAAACGTGGTTACGCCCGTTTGAAAACTAATAAAACTTTTAGCCAATGTAATCCATTTTAGCATTTAGAGCCTTCAGTGCCGTTGAACATGTGCAAAAAAATATTATAGATACCAAAGAAGACTTATTGAAATTTGAGATAGAAGTTCGATTTTTTTTGTGTTGATTTTCCATCCTTTACTTCCTAAATAATGAAATCGAAGCTTAAACGAAATCGAACTTCAATCTCCTGGAAAAATATGTTTTATGCTATTTTCAATTTAGGAGTCCATCTCCCGAACCGATCTATGATTCAAATGGAAAGCGGTTGAATACTCGAGATGTGCGTAAGCGTCAAGAAGTTGAGATCTTCCGTCACACAAAAATTCAACGCTTGCTTCAAATCAATCCCAACTACAAACCACCAGCCGATTATAGGTGAGCCCGTTGTTGGCTCTATTTTCTATTACTCGTATTTAGGGCGCCTAACATTCGACTAAACGACCGTGTATGGATTCCACAAGATGAAAATCCACATGTAAACTTTCGAGTTTAAATTGTATTCAAATCACTTTTTAGATCAACTTTGTTGGCCTTCTGATTGGTCCACGTGGAAGTACACTCAAAACGCTCGAAGCTGAGACTGGTTGTAAAATTATCATCAGGTAAACTCGAAATAGTGACGTGAAGTTGAATGATTTTTAGAGGAAAAGGATCAATCAAAGAGGGCAAGCTGGCTGGTCGCATGGGGCCTCTTCCTGGCGAAAATGAACCATTACACGCTTATGTCACTGGAAACGATTTGAACTTAATTAAAGGCGCTTGTGAAAGGGTTTGCTTTTTAGTGATTCGTTTTCATTAATAAATGGTAGATTCGTTCAATTATTGAAGAAGCAATTATGGGAGGACCAATTGGTGGACCAAACGATCTCCGCGCCCTTCAACTTCGTGAGCTTGCAATGATGAATGGCACGTTCCGACCTGAAGATTTTCTTGGAGGCAATAGGTATGGGATTCATAGAATGAGTTTCATGTAACTAACCTTGTATTCAGATGCTCTAATTGTGGATCGGAAGAGCACAAAACTTGGGAATGTCCTAATGCTCCCAACATGACAGCAAAAATTGTGTGTACTGCTTGTGGAAGTGAGTTTATTGTTTTGGAATAGATTATAAAGCATTATTAATCCATTAGGTGCTGGCCACTTGACTCGTGATTGTCGAAATCCTCGTCCTGGCTGGGAAACTGCAGCTGGTGCGGCTGCTGGAATGGATGATGAGTAAGGAAAAAATATTGAAAGACAAGTAAGGGTTTCATTTAGATATTCTGCATTGATGGCTGAGCTGGAGGGTGGTCAAGGAGGGGCAAATGGAGATGCTGCACGTGGAGCCACAGCTGCTCGCGCTGTAAGTTTTCTTTTCTTTATTCTGAAAGTACGTATACATTTAGCGAGGTACTGCTACACGAGGTGTGTTTAATCGACCCGGATTGAGTTATCAAGGCCCTGGACGTGGAGGTTTCGGAGGTACGGATACGAATATCAAATTGCTAATCTAACTTACTTTTTAGGTGGATTTATGCCACCTCCTGGCGGATTTCCTCCACCTCATGGGGGTTTTCCACCGCCATTCTTCCCACCTCCTGGTGGTGATATGGGTTACAATTCATTTGCATCAATGGGAGGCCCACCACCTCCACCACCACCAAGTGGCGCTGGAGCAGATTTTGCACCGAATGTTGTCAGTATTTTTTAAAAAACATAAAAATTATAGAATTTTAAAAGTAGCAATAAATAATGGCAATTCGTTTACGCAGAAGGTAAAACTATTTTTAGGTTTCGTCCCGTGATCGTGGCTACTATGGAGGAGGTGGCGGTTATGGCTATGGGGGTTTGTGTTTTGCTTACTTAATTTCTTGTACGCCAAATGTTGAAGAGAATCAATCAATTTAGGTCACTCGCATCCGCTCCCAGTTCCACCCCCTCCACCACCAGCTGGAGTATCAGCTTTCGCACCGCCACCGCCGCCGCCACCAGTCCCTCAACCGGATCTGTCGTCGTTGCTCAAATCGGCTCCACCTCCGCCACCACCACAATAAGGAAAAATAACACAATTGCTGATTATATTGACCCTTTCTGCTGGTTGTGTTGTTTTTAATTTAAACGTCGGTTAAAGCTACTTGTTATAAAATTATTGCGGTTTTTTATGTGATCTGGTTACTCAGATGATTTCAACTTTTGGTTATGGCTATGAGTTATCTAATAAATTATTTTTACGAAAGTTTCCGAAGAGGGCACTGGTGCTTCCCACTGAGTCACTGCTTTCTGCTTATCAAATTTTTAAAAGTTTCAAAAAGTGCGGGAGTGAAGCCACTAGATCGACGGGTAAAAATATTTTTGAGATAATTTTTTCCCATAACTTTCGGCATGTTATGGTGGTCGTCGTTTACGGAGCTGTTTTCAGGAGGACTAACTTACTATTAGCTCTCGTATGAGGGAGTATAATGAATACTCAGCGATTTGAATGGTATTGGCGAAACTTTGTGTTCTACATTAGCGACGTGGATGTAAGTTATCAACGTCAGCGTTTGTAAACGATCTTTAGTTAGTGCAAAATATGCGCAGATTTTCCAAACAAGGAAGAAAGAAAGCTTTACTTGGTGGGTAAAATGAATACGATCACAAACATACAGAATCGTTTAGGGGCTATTGCTATTCTTTTCATTCTCTACTGCTTGTACCCGGGCTCTCGATCACCACAAGTTACGCAAAGCGTCTGCTTGAAGGAACGCTTGCAAAATTATGTTAATCGAGAAAAAGTAGGCGTTCCTCCTGTAAAACTTACCCAATCAATTCAGGACTACTCTGTTGGGCTAAATGATTTTGCCGTTAAATTCGCGGGCAACGGCTATGTGGCAGTTGGAGTTGAGAACGAGCTGTATTTTCGGTAGATTCTTTTTAAATTCCTAATTTATAGTTGGACTTTTGATAAATTTGAATTTTAGTGAGCCGGGTTCACGAGTTTTATCCCTGAGTTCTTCCTTTTCTCCATTGGTGAACATTGAATTGCCCGAGTCATGGTCGAAGAAAAGTGCCGAGGTAAAAGTTGATAACTTGGCGCTAATACAAAACGTTTAGATTACGGATTTCGAAAAAGGTGAATGGAGGAGGATACATTGTTACGACATTGTGAGTTTTTATAGTTGTTTTTTTGAAAAATAGTTACAATTTTAGGGGAATGACTGTGCTTGTATCGAGGAAAGGATCTACGCACATGCAACAAGGCCGAGCCTTGTTGTACAGGACATCCAAATTGTAAATCCAACAGTAGGTCACCACCGCTAACAATTTGAAATTTATTTTCATTGTAGAATAACGCTCTACAAGTCAAATTCTCACGACCTAACTCGGATAAATGGACCAATAAGTAAGTTTTACAATTGTTTTGATAATCAGTTCCTTAAGTGAGCCTACACAATCCACGGTTACAACGGCCCAACTGAGAAACATAACTTTAAACGGGAACATAGTTCAACTTGGTGTAATTTGTTCGACAGTTCCTGATAGCCTGACCATTCTTCAGAAAAGGTAACACCTTCTCATTAAGAATCAAAAACTGTTTTAGAGAAGAGAAATTTTCATTCATTTGCTCTGCTGAACAACAAGTTACTGAAAGCCAGCAACCGGATGCATCAAGTAGTTGTTTTTCACAAAATCTCAATCATTTCATTAAATTCTAGGCAAGGTTTCTTTGGAAGCGGTTAAGGCTTTTCAAAAAGCCCGTCAGATTTCCAGCAGTGTTTTGGAGAAAGAGCACGAGACAGCTTGGAAAGAGGTAATTATATTTCATAATGCTACAAATCAGTATATTTAGCTTCAATCTACAACTTTCTACTTGTCAACTTCAAAAGCGCCTGATGTTTTGAACGGAATCCACATCAATTCGACAAGATATGCTTTACTTAGTCAAGTTGAGGCTAAAGGATTGTTGTCGGAAGAGTCGTATGAAGATAAACAAGTATGTCATTAACTGTAATAAAGATTCTTAGCTTAACTTGAACAATGTTTGCAAAATATTTATTTTAGACTGCAGATCGTTTGCTTGGTCAGCTAGGAAAGTGCTACACCGGTCACTCAAATTTGCTTTACCCTTCAAAATTGTGGGAATCGTTGAAGAGTTCAGCTGGCATTCAACAAGTGACAGGTTTACGTTTGTTTTACTATCTTTGATAAAGGTATTTTAGACCTTTGGCTTCTCACACTAGAAAAGAAAGGTTGCGGCGATCTTTTGAAAAGCGGTGCACGAGGTGTCTCGAAGGTTATTTAAATTTGTTATATAATTATTTTTTTTCAAATTTAGGCATTCGTTTTATCATTATTGGCGGCTACTTTTGATCAGAATCACCTTGAAGTTGGAATTGATCCCGCTGATTTGCATCGGCAGATGAGAGTTTGTTTTCTGCTGATACTTTTCAAAAACTTCAATTTTAGGCTTTCCGTTTGCCTATGCCTGGAGCAACAAAAGCTTTGGTAGATGTGAATCTTCATTTAGACGAGGAGAACGTGAATTACATGCTGGTTAGTAAATTTTATAAGATCAATCACCGCAGTAATCAGGTTTCGTCAACTGATCAACTTTTTGCATGCCCAGCTGGATGCCAAGATGATCCCGTCACGTTAAGCGCAAGACCGATAAAGTTGCCTGTAAAAGTAAGCAAAAAAATTTTAATTTTAATGTTTATTTCATTTTTAGGTTACAAAACCACTCACGTCGATCCTTTACGTGGCGACAAGTAGACGACACCTTCTACAGCTTCGTTCGGCGATCCATGTTTCAGAAGTTGTTCATGCACCCGCGCATGAGAACGAAGTATATTACTTTTGTTTGACTTGTAGCCCGCTTACTTTAGGTTATTGCACTACATGAGCACGGCCATCGTCTCGGTGGATTACCAACATCATTTTGGATTTTCCTCGGAGCCATCCTCATCGCTTTCCATGTCTTCCTTGTAAAGGTGAGAAGCTTTTAGCTGTGGTGCTAAATTAGAAGAAATACTTACAAAAGAACACACTCGACTAATAATCGTTTTCTTTAGTTGCTATGGACAGAATGGCGCAAGGGTGACACGACACCGTATAACCCATACCTTCGTTACAGATATCAGTCCCAAAGAAATCATTAACCTTTTGTGCGTTCTTTAAAATGGTTCATGGCTTTATTTTTAGCAAAAATTTTGTTATTACCTTTTTCACTTATTTTCCAGTCATAAAAACGCTTTGTGTGTAAGTAATAGTGCCAACATCTCTTGCAATCGGTTTCCCTGCCTTATAGCTGAAATCCCCTTTTTGATCATCTCACTTCGTGCTGTGATACAGATATTTTTTTGTAAAACACAAATTTGCACATACGTATGCTATTTATTGTTTGCAAATCATGAAATAAACACTGTCCGGGTTGTGTTCATTGGCAAAGAAACGAAAAGTTGACCAGACTATATTTATCTCGATTAGAGTCTACATTTAAATACTGTCTGGAAAAATATGTTATTTCTTACAATTAATCCAGATCAGGGGAGAAAATCTACCTAATTGTACCGAATTCTTAATCATTTGGGTTGATCTTTTCTTTTTGCCACTACCTAGGCAGTTTTATTTTGGACTATTTAGAAATATGCAAAAAGAGTACAAGGGAACGAGCCGTACCGTTGCCACAAAGGCCCTGATTATTGAGGTTTCATTTTGACGGTTCAATACACTTTATCTCATTTGTCAAGGAATTTAAACGACGACTCCGTGACAACACCACTTCGCTAAATAACAATTTTCAGAACATCATCAAGTTGGCGTGTTTTTCGCATTATTTTAGTAAAATGTTTGTTTAGCGCTTCCAAGGTAAATAATGACGATAAAGCTCACTACAATCCGGCTGGACGGATGACCGAATTTGCGACAACAAGAGCTGAAATGCTTGCTCGAGCCGCACTTATTATTCGGTAAATCTTTTGTGACTTTGCCATCCCAAGCATCGGAGGCCTTGTTTGTATAGTTTTGCAAAAATCTCAGCGTAAAATTGAGCAACAAACAATTGGAACATGTTTTCACTATCCCGATTTGCAGACTTTTCAAATTTCAACTGCATTTTTTAGAGCCTGTGATGAGCTGCATAAATTGACGACTGACATCAAGGAGTTCATGTGGGTTTGTTGGGGCATGCTTACTATTAGCAAGATCACTTTCTTTTTAGGATGTTGCACGATGTCGAACATCGGTCTAGAAACATTCAACAACAGGAGAGAATAGCTGCGGTTGGAATTTTTAGAATTTTTTTAAAAATATTTGCGCTTTAGGAGGATTTTCGACAACAAATCCAGAAACACAGTGAATTGCGGACGGATCTCGTCAGTTTGTGCCAGGATATCGACAAAGAACTACTTGATAATTTCTGTTTGAAAGATTGATCTGTGGTTGATGTTCTTTTTCCCTGATCTCATTTCATTTTTATCTTTATAATTTTTTGACTTTGAATAAAGAAGTAGTTACAGGTAATCTCGCTTTGGGTCTACGCTTTTTGTTGGTTCAACATCTTTCAATAATTGAAATGGTCAGCCAAATTCCGTCTTGGAATGCCAAACCTACATATTTCGAGGATCGAAAAGAAAAGTAATTGAAGTTACATTGTTCAAACTTGTTGATTTTCTAGAATTCTCCCTGTGAAGGATCGTCGCAACGTCTTAATTACTTCAGCATTGCCTTATGTGAACAATGTGCCGCATCTTGGAAATATCATCGGATGTGTGCTGAGTGGAGATGTTTTTGCGCGGTTTGTTCACTGTTACTGGGTTTTTCTAAAGGTTTGTAGATATTCGCGTCAAAGGGGCCATCAAACGTTGTACATTTGTGGAACGGATGAGTACGGAACGGCCACTGAAACAAAGGCCTTGCAAGAAGGATTGACTCCTAAGCAGGCTCGTTTTATCAGAGCTTGGGCTTTAAAACCTTATAGAATGTGATTAACTAACTAAATGTGATTTTTAGGTGTGCGATAAATATCATGCCATTCACAAGGAGATCTACGAATGGTTCAACATCCACTTTGATAGCTTTGGCCGAACTTCAACTCCTGAGCAAACCGAGTAATAGTAAAGCAACTATAACCAATTCTTAAAATTTTAGAATATGTCAGGAAATTTTTTTCAAGCTTCAAAAGAATGGATTTACTTCGGTGGCTTCAATTGATCAACTGCATTGTGAGACATGCAACAAGTGATTTGTGTTCTAATTAATTTTTATTCGCGTATCAAGGTTTCTTGCTGACCGTTACGTGAATGGAATTTGCCCACATTGTGGATTCACGGATGCTCGGGGTGATCAATGTGACGATTGTGGAAAGCTTTATAATGCGGTAATGATGTTTTATGGGCAAATCAACCGTTTGTTTCAGGTTGAATTGAAATCGCCGAAATGTCACATTTGCAAAAACGAACCAAAGGTCAAACAAAGTGAACACGTGTTCCTTGCATTGGATAAACTACAGGTATTACAGAGTTTCCGAATATTATATTTAAAAATATATATATATACAGGTATTACAGAGTAAAATACTACAGGTATTACAGAGTAAAATATATTTAGCCTGAAGTTGCTGAATACATTGAAAAACAACTGGCCTTACCCCATCATCGTTGGAGCACAAATGCTATTGCAATTGCAAAAGGATGGATAAAAGTATGCTAAACTTACAAACAAAACCTTTAGAAAAACTTTAGGGAGGCCTTGAAAAGCGTTGTATTACTCGTGATCTCGAATGGGGGGTACCTGTGCCATTGGAGGAATTAAAGAAAAAGGTTTGATAGTTTTCAAAGCGAGTACAAGGGAAATTAGGTCTTTTACGTCTGGTACGATGCACCAATTGGATACATTTCGATTACAAAGACCTTGCTTGGAGACGAGTGGACACAGTGGTGGAAAAACCCTGAAAATGTCGAACTCTACCAATTCATCGGAAAGGTATATTTATTTAGCTATTTATCGGTATTCATTTTAGCTTTCATGCAAAAGTTATTCAGGATAATGTTGCCTTTCACGCTGTCATGTTCCCTTGTACCCAAATCGGCACTCGCGACAATTTCACAATCGTTAATAATTTATGTGCCACTGAATATCTCAACTACGAGGACAAGAAATTCAGGTAGCTCAAAATTTTCTAGCTACGCAAATATTTGTTTAGTAAATCTCGTGGAACGGGTGTTTTTGGTGATGCGGCTAAAGGGACGGGTATAGATGCTGATGTATGGAGGTTTGTCATAAAATCAATTGTCAGAACATCTTTAATTTTCAGGTTTTATTTGCTCTACATGCGACCGGAGAGTCAGGATACATCGTTTTCGTGGGATGATTTTTCACTCAAGGTCTGTGAGTTATTCTTGATAAAGTGTCACCATGCTTTATAGGTGAACAGCGAGCTTTTGGCAAATCTTGGTAATTTTGTGAATCGAGCACTGACCTTCATCGCGAACAACTATGGAGGAGTGATTCAGGAAATGCAGCTTCAAGAAGCAGATATCGAATTACTAAAGGTTCACTTCTAAAAGCACCGCTTCTGCAATTAACATTTTAGGGCGTGGAAGTTGATCTAAAAGAATGGGATCAACTGATGGATGAAGTCAAGTTGAAGGATGCTGTGAAAACGGTTTTGAATCTGTCTCGCCGTGGAAATCAATACATGCAAAGCAATGCCCCGTGGGCACTTTTGAAGGGATCCGACGAGGAAAAGTATTCAAGAACAAAAGATTGATCACCGTTATGCTAATTCAGAAAGCGAGCCGGCACTGTGATCAGCATTGCTGCAAATGTGGCATACACTCTTGCTTTGATTCTTCATCCAATAATGCCTAAGGTAACCATGGCCAACTATAAAACAAAAATTATATTTAGATCTCTGAGCATATTCGCGAGCAATGTGGTGCAGAAAAGTTGCCTTTATTTACGCCGGAAGTCGTGTGCTATCTGAAAGTCGGACACAAAATTGGAAAAGTATTCAATATTTGATCTTCGTTCGTATCACAGTTTTAGCCACAACCGCTTTTTGTGAAGATTGAAAAGGCGACGATTGACGAATTGAAGGTAAACTTTACAAAGAACTACCTAATTCTAAAGTTTTTACCGTTCAACAAAGTTATCAGCTAAAGTTACTTTTCTTTCACGTTTTTAATTTTGAAATTTTAGGCTCGATTTGCTGGAGCCGAATCTGACCAGAAAAAGGAAGCCAAATCTAAAAAGCCCAATAAAGGTATTCAGTGTTTCTAAAAGATGCCCTTTTTGTATTTTGTAGTCTACCGACAATAAACCGCCAATCTTGATTTTCATTGTGATTTTTTGCGTTTTCTTCCTGATTTTATTTCTAGTCTTGTTTTTGCTGGGAGTGGGACAAATGCGACCTTTTTTTTGCGCACCCGGACATTTGCGCACCTTTTTTCCGCACTTAGCTCATTAGCGCACCCTTTTTCGCGTTTTAAAAAGCTCTAAAAGCTAATATTAACCAATTTCTATTCCAAAAGTTATTTTTCTAGGTAATTTTAGGGCGTAGAATCGAAATTTTGACATATCAGAGCTTATGGAAACAAACGGACGGAGTTATACAAAGAGAAAAATCGACAATTTTCTGTAATTTGATCTAGCCGTTTTGTCTTTCAAATTGGTTCCACACGCTCTGATATGTCAAAATTTCGATTCTACACCCTAAAATTACCTAGAAAAACAACTTTTGGAATAGAAATTGGTTAATATTAGCTTTTTAGAGCTTTTTTAAAACCCGAAAAAAGGTGCGCAAAAAAAGGTGCGCTAATGTCCGGGTGCGCAAAAAAAAGGTCGCATTTGTCCCACTCCCGTTTTTGCTCTCATTTTCTTATTTAAGATGTCGTCTCAACGAAATGGAATCCATTTCAACCCGGGGAAGCAAAAGAAGTTGGAGGTGGATCTCTCGTTAATTCCCGGAAGCGCGGAACATATTAAGATTATGGAACGCATGCTGAAGGATATCGACAGTTGTGTTGATGGACATTTGAACAAAATATTTTTGGGTCAAGTCAAGGAAATCGCCAAGTTTCTTTTGCTCAAAGAAATAGATGACTCGGAAAGGGATCGGAAAATGGCGAATTTGTTTGACCCAAATTCGGAGCAAGCTATTTATCAAGCTGCTATTGTCACCTGCAACTTTGCTGACACGGCTCATGTGGTGGAGATGTGTCGAGAAGAGTTATTGGGAACAAACCAGTGCATTATGATGATTGATCATCAATCACCGGCCGATATCATCGCGAAAATCCTCGAACAGAAAATCACAACCAATTGTGTTTTGGTGATTCGGCAGGCCGAAACGTTACCGATAACGTTGTTGACTCAACTTTTGAACTTGTTGCATGCAATGCCCATTAATGCCATGGTTTCTTTTCTGATTTGTGTCTCAACCACGCCCGCCTTTCTTGTGTCTACATGTAGCCTCCGGGCTTTGAGGCAATTGGAAGCGAAAATCTTCCACTTGGAGACCTCGGACGAGTGCAACAAGGAGTTGATTACAAAACTACTCAATTTGAAGGACAAACAGCCTGCGGATGAACCGCCAATGCAATTGAGCGGGCAACTTGTGTTTGATGCCTTCGAACGCTACACCATTGAACACAAATCGATCATTCTTCTGAAAAACTCTCTCAAGTTTGCAATTGCCCGTCACTTTCTTGAGAAAGTAGAGAATCCGGCTCAAACGACAAATTTCAGGAATTTTGTCGAAAAATATCAAAAAGTTTGTCAACTTTTTGCAAAACTGAATGGTGTGATTGAAGGAAAAGTACACGCTGATGTTCAACTTTATGGAGAAAATTATTTAACGAATGACGAGCTCTCTTATAACAGGAAATGGAAACATTCTTTGCTAAGTGCATCAGATCAAGAGCTCAAGGTTGTGGTCGATCACGTGAAAGAACTCTTGAATCAGTTGAAGGAAGACGAAACAGCGACTGCGATGGAAGAGCTATGTGCCAGATTGGATGAACGGTTGACCATTCCCAGCCCACCGAAACGAGCTTTGGCAAAAGAGAACACACCTCAAAAGCCAAGGAGATCTACATTCATGCAACTTCGTCAACTAAACGAGGATCGTTTGAAGGAAAAAGCAAGCAATCCGTTGGTGGTAACAAGGCAAGAGCTGTGCTCACTTATCAACGACTTCTTTAAAGAGAACTTGATTGCCTGGGATCAAGAGGCTTCTGCTAGTTATTCGGTGATGACAGCAGGCAAAGAAACCATTACTGCATCTGGAAATATGAGGAAAGATATCGAAAGAACATTGAGCCTCAAGAATAATGTGATCTCTGCTTCTTTGCAAGTGTTGCTTTCGGGAGATGTTGGGTGGAAAAAGAATATTCTATTTGGTGAATGGTTGCGAATTGTCAAGCGAGAATTCAAAGGTTTCGATGATCAAGTCTCTCCAACGACAACTCTTTACGCAACCGCCGCTCATCTTGAACATATTGGCATTTTGAAGAATGGAGTCGAGAAACAATTCCCTTCTGTTAGCTTGAATTACTTTCCATTTTATTGAATTGTTGTGTTGATATATTGATTAAGGTTTATTTACTTATGGAAATACGTTGATTATATGGGTTTTTTATTTTATGATCTCAATAAAAATTTAGGGTCGAAGACCGAAACGCCTAAAGAATCTGGGAAGCCCCAAAAGAAAGCTGCAGCTCAAAACGGGGCTGTAGACAAGGTATTTAATTTTAAACTTACTCGATTAAGTGCAATGGCTTATATTGACTGGATGTAAATATGAAGCTTTAAAGAGTTTACATTGTATAATTTAGATGGCTCTTGCTGCGCGTAACTTCCCAAATTTGGCAAAGAATCAACAAGTTATCGATCAACTTTTCAATGCAAACAAAGCTCGAATTGAACAAGCAAGTATGTAATTGAAACTTTACTATCTTATCAAATCTTTAGGGCAATTGTTTGTGTCACAAAAGCTCGCTGAACTAAAGAAAGCCAACGACTCATTGGAGAAGGAGGTTGCTGAACTTAAAGAAAAGCTCGTCGTGGCTGAAGTAACCGGTGGAGGTTAGTCAATCATCGTTTTATTTAAGGGACGTTTGTTGTATTTAGTGAAGCAGATTTCCGTGCCAAAGGTTGAACAATCAGCTATTGCTTCAAAAGAACAAAGGACGAAAGTAACTAGACTTTATTTGACAAAAATGTTGGCATTTTTAAGGAACCAATTGCTGCTGCCGCCCCTCAAAAGTCTCAGGAAGCAAAGGTTCAACCAGAAAAGAAAGAAAAGAAGGCAACTGGAGGAGATAAAGCAGCTGCAGCCACAGGTCTTTGATGAATTGAATCTGACCTATTGTTAAATTTAGCCTCTGATGAAACTATTGATATTGGACGACTGGACCTGCGTGTGGGTCGCATTATTCATTGCGAGAAACATCCAGACGCCGATGCTCTTTATCTAGAAAAGGTGACTTGTATACTAATATAGTCTAAATATTATGTCAACTTTTAGATTGATGTCGGTGAAGCCGAACCTCGAACCGTTGTGTCCGGATTGGTTAAACACGTGCCTTTGGATCAAATGCAAAACCGACTAGTTGTTGTGATGTGCAATTTGAAGCCGGCAAAGATGAGGGGAGTCGAGTCGAAGGCAATGGTGATGTGTGCGAGCAGCCCTGAGAAGGTGTTTGTTTGAGGAAGCTTTTCAAAACTATGCTTTAGGTTGAAATTATGGAGGTTGATCCAAGTGCCAAGCCTGGAATGTCTGTGGTTTGCCCTCCGTTTGTTCATCGGCCCGATGCTCAATTAAACCCGAAAAAGAAAGTATGTTAAACTTCCAAAAAACCTTCAAAATTATCATTTAGGTGTGGGAAACAGTAGCTGAAGACTTACTGGTGTCGCCCGAGGGGATCGCTACGTGGAAAGGCCATCCATTGCTCGTTGACGGAAAGACTCATCTGGTTGCGCCCACCCTCCGCAATGTGCACGTCAAATAAGATTGTTTTTGTTATTGTTTGTCACCATTTTTAAAGCAGATTTCTTTAGAAATTGTTTTCTAGTCGTTATGTGAGTAATTTTGTTATTTTATCACGGTTCAATAAAAGTTGGGCTTTAAACATTTTTTATTGTGGTTAAAAGTTAATGGCTTTTAAATTATCTATTGTCGGCTTGTTTTTATCGCAAGGGGTAGTGGAGACGTTGCTCCATATGATGGCACAAAGTAGTAAAATGAGTATTTGTTTTTTTGGATTTTATTGCTTCAGGTAGAAATCTGTGTGGCTTGTTATGCTGCATCGTTTTCCATTATCCCTTTCTTTTTAACGGTTTTCAATATTTGCGAGTGGTACTAATTTTTTACATTTAGAGTTTCGAAACGATGGGCAAAAAGGACAAGAGTGCGGTCGCTGAAGATTTGGGTAAGGCTCAAGCCGAAGGAAAATTCCATCTCAAAGCCGGTGGTGCCGAGCCGAAGCTAGACAGCGCTCAATGGCCTCTCTTGTTGAAGAATTTCGACAAGATGAACATTCGCTCGTCTCACTACACTCCATTGGTCGAGGGATGTTCTCCACTTCAACGTGACATCAAGAACTACATCTCTTCCGGCTTCTTCAATCTCGACAAGCCAGCCAATCCTTCTTCACACGAGGTAGTTGCTTGGATAAAACGAATTCTTCGCTGTGAGAAGACTGGACATTCGGGAACCCTTGATCCAAAAGTGTCGGGATGTCTTATCGTGTGCATTGACCGAACGACCCGTCTTGCCAAATCGCAGCAAGGAGCCGGAAAGGAGTACATGGCGATTTTCAAGCTGCACAATCCGGTGGCCTCGGAGAAGAAAATTCATCAAGGACTGGAGAAGCTGACTGGAGCTCTTTTCCAACGGCCACCACTCATCTCGGCTGTGAAAAGACAGCTTCGTGTTCGAACTGTTTACGAGAACAAGCTGATTGAATACGACTCGGAACAACAACTCGGAATCGCTTGGTTCAAGTGTGAGTCGGGAACTTATGTGCGTACTCTGTGCGTGCATTTGGGAATTCTTCTCGGAACCGGCGGTCAAATGGCGGAACTGCGTCGTAACCGCTCGGGAATCACCGATGAGCACGACCAACTGGTGACCATGCACGACATCATGGATGCACAATACGTTCTGGATCATCATAAAGACGAGACCTACATGAGGACAATCGTTCGTCCATTGGAGGCTCTCTTGACCGCTCACAAACGGATCATCGTCAAGGATTCATCGGTGAATGCTATCTGCTACGGAGCCAAGATTCTCATTCCGGGAGTCCTGCGTTACGACGATGGAATCGAAGTCAATCAGGAGATTGTCATCGTCACGACAAAGGGAGAAGCTGTTTGCCTCGCTGTAGCACTGATGACCACTTCGACCATTGCTTCGGTTGATCATGGAGTGGTTGCTAAGATCAAGCGTGTCATCATGGAGCGTGATACTTACGGTCGCAAGTGGGGCATGGGACCGGTGGCTTTGAAGAAAAAGAAGATGGTTCAAGATGGGTTGCTCAACAAATTTGGCAAGCCAAATGAGAAGACTCCAAAGGGATGGAAGGGTTATGAGGACTTGTCGGCTCCCAAGGCTGAAATGAAGTCTCAAGAAAGCGATGACGAGAAAGAGGCTGCTCCACCCAAGAAAGCAAAAGTCGTCGAGTCACCCAAGAAGAGCAAGAAAGCCAAGAAAGAAAGCAGCTCTTCAGGCGATTCGGACTCCGAATAAACGAACCCTATTCTTTCATTTTTGTTATTTACTGTTGTTTGTTACTTTCAAATTCTCGTTTTGGTTGTTCTTCTAGAGACGCTCTTGTTATCTTTCTATTGTTTTGTTGAATATGACACGTTGTTATGTTGAAATAACCAATAAATTTAAGGTAAACGCATCAGCGATGAAGAACAACAAAGTGATGAAGCGCCCTCGCGCAAATGATGCGCTTTCGGATGAACGGTTCAAGCACATCAAAGGCGACTCAAAATTCATCTATTCATTGCCCAGAAAGGAAACTAAGGTGGGTTTTGCTGTGCTTTATAATAAATACGTGGTTTTCTTTTTTTAAAAGTTAAATAAGTATATTAATTAATTCAGCAGTTGATATAAGTTAAATGATAAATAAATCACAAAGATTACATTGATAAATTACAAAGTTGAATGTACAAGTATAAATTTTAAAAGAAAACAACGGTTTTATTTGGTGGCTCTTTTCTTGATTGGTTCATCGACTCCGGCCGGTGTGAGTAAAATGGACTTAGCGATAGCTCCAGTCACCGAATAGGGATCACAGTTTGAAGAGGGGCGACGATCCTCCAAGTATCCCTAGAAATTTTAGTTGTGGAATAATGGTTTTTTATTAGCATTAGAGTGCAGTCAAAACATTTACCCGTCCTTCGATAGCCACAAATCGAGTGATTCGCACTGAGCATCCTCGGTCGGCGATTCCCCAAGAGAACTTTTCAACCGAGCTAGTCTCATGCTTTCCAGTAAGACGGCGGAGATTGTCCCGTCCTTGGTTTGGGTCGTACAACTTGATGTCCTCGTGATGAGTTCGTCCAAGGCGTTCACAAGCCTAAAATAGTCCAGTTTTAAGGATATTGGTAATGAATTTTTAGTTTTTCCACGTGCCTCTTTGATCGCGTCCAATCCTTCGGGATTTCTCATCTGAAGGGTGCTGAAATTGGTGTGACATCCGGCTCCATTCCAATCACCCATTGTGATAGCCGGCTTGGGGTCAAATGTGACCAACACACCGAATTGCTCGGCAACTCGATGGAGCAAATAGCGAGACATCCACAGTTGATCGGCCATGGCAATCCCTAAGCGGATTTTTTTAAAAAGTTTTATTCGCTTTGCTCACCTTCACATGTTCCCACTTGGTATTCCCATTGACCGGGTGTCACTTCGGCGTTTGTGCCTAGAAATTGTGATCCAAGAGTGCAAGCTATAATCTCAAACCTCCAATCTCAATTCCAGCATTGAGACAAGCCACGTAGTGAGTGTCAATCACTTCGCGTCCGAACACACGGTCAGCTCCCACTCCACAATAATAGGGACCCTGTGGAGCTGGATATCCGTTCTTTGGCCAACCAAGGGGATGACTGAAGTTTTTTTTGTATATTTTAACTTCTCAAAACTCACCCATCGCGATCCAACAACAAATATTCTTGCTCCATTCCAAACCATGGCTCAGTGTTTTCAATGGCTTTCATCACACTCAAGCAGTCAGCGCGTTTATTTGTTGCTAAATGAGAATTCAAATGAGATCATAGGATTTGGCAGTACCTGTAGGCTGGAGCTGGCTGCTAAGCGTGTCACACAAAACGAGGCGGGAATTTCCACCCAAGAATGGATCGGGATAGTCGGCAACTGGGCGCAAGAAGAGATCAGAGTCTCGTCCTTGTGCCTGTCCACACGATGAACCATCATATTGCCACATTGGGTAATCTGAAGTTTTGGCAAGTCTTTGATTTGGTTCTAGTGTAACAATTTAGGTAGTCTGTTAATTTCCACTTACGTTCAATCGATTTCGGAATTTCTTTGAGGGTTCGGGTCTTGCTTCGAAGATGTTCCCCGGTTCCATCAATCCAAACATAAGTGGCCTAGGATTTGGGGATAGGATTTGCAAAACTCAAATTCAAACCAAGCATTTCGTCGGATGGGGCTTTTGGTTAAGGCCAATGTTGACAACGGGTGTGGCGAGGGGGAGTTTCGTGTGGAATTTGGCGGATTGTTGAGCAATTCCGGCTCCTTTACATATCGACAAAAGGGTCTCGCTGATTTGTTTCGTGGAGAGCATCTAAATTGGGTAATTGGGAAAGTTTTATGGATAAATTAAAATATCTTGAAAAGATTTCAGGAACTTTTTGAGAAAAATAAAGTTAGGATTAGTATTTCAAAACGAAAGGAGATAGTACTGGTCAAAAAGGAACTCGGAACTCGGTGGGGGATGGGGGAGGGGGAGGGGGGTGACACAAAGTGATCTCTCGAGTCACTCAGTCTGTGTCGTCCCGTTTTGATCGCTCTCTGAGCCCCAAACTTTTTCGGTTTGGCTATCGTTTTTCCCAAATCTCGGTCTGACCACATCCCTCTACACAACGCTCATTCAAGTGGCCAACACTTGTGAATTGATGAGGGGAAAAGAGAAAGAACTGTTCTCATCTACAAAGAAGCTATTTTCGACTGATTTGGGAGAGATTTTTGATTTTTAGTAGTCAAAATTATACTCATCATGAGAATGGAGTGGTAAATGATTAGATTAGGTTTGGAGGAAGGGGTTTTGAGCGGGCTGATAAGGAAGACTTTGGTCTCCGTGTAGCCCACAGGCTAGTTATGGAAAAAGGCGGTGGGGTATAGAGGAAATAAATAAGTTCACCTCAAAAAAGGAGGAGGGGAAGGTGGAGAAACACGAGCCACGTGAAATTCACGTGTCCGACCCACCCCACTACCACACTTGCATGAAGAGAAACGGACAAAAGAGTCAAAATAAGCACCGATTGGTCAAGGTAGCAAAAAAGAATAGAGGGCATAGGGCAACATACATGAATGAAAGGATAAGAAAAAGAGACCTCAGACAAATTTATCTTTTCTTGTCACTTTTTAAGGTCTCCAAATTTTATAAATTGAAATTTCGTGAGTTTGCACTCTTTTTCCCTAATTACTGAATGGTGGTTGCAATTCTAATGTAACTCCAAGTTAAAAAATATCCGGTGAAAACAAATTGCAAACTCGACGCAATAAGACTCATTTTCTTACCCCGAAACCGGTTGTAGAGGTTATGGTTGAAATTGCTCTCAAGATCACCTTTTATGTCTACTACTATCAGTGACACATCACAAATTGATGATTGGATTAGAAATGCTTTTTTGAAACCAATGTGAAGGGGAAAACCACGTAGTTTAGGAGAAAAGATACGTGAAAGTTAACTAATTTTGCGAAATTTAGACCGTGATCGACAGCCGTTTTGCCGATGCGCTTAAAGACGAACGATTTCAGAACAAAGCTAAGGTTTGTTTTAAGCGATTTCTGATATTTGATTTGCTATTTGGACAATGATTTCACGTGACACCATTCCGATCAGGTCGGGATTTGGGGGTGTGTTAAAATGCTCTCTAATCCGGAAAAGAGAACTCAAAAACTGTTCACTAGGTGGCTGTGAGATAAAAGAGCTTATTTTATTCTCCCTCCGTGGGTTTCGCGAAGGCTCAAAGTGCGTATCATTTTTATCAAACCCCGACTCAATCATGGGACAATCGGTGCAAAGTTTTGCCCGAAGAAAAAATTTCATGGCTAAAATGAGATAAATTTTTGGAATATATTTTCGAACCCCCAAAAATCTGAAAAAGAACAACACAGGGTAAAGATGGGAATACATTTTAGACTTTGAAACGTCAAGAGGGGACAATTCTGAGAAAACAAGTAAATATTTTGGCAAAAGGGCGTGACATCAAGAAAACAAGTTATACTTTGAATGGGTGGAAAGAACAAAAATTATAGCTTAAGTAGCCCGGGTTAGCCTTGCAATTAATCAAGTGATACTCTGAACTTTGATTTTCCCTTTGCTAATTTGAATATTGGAGATCAGAGATCAAACAATCAGCACTCTTCCACATCACATATAGACCAGATTGCTAATATTGATAGAGGAGTGGAGAAAAAGGGGAAGTGGTCACGTGGTACAAGCAGGTCGCAAATTTATGTCAGTCTAGTTGGGGAGAGCTAGCTGATAGTAGGAAGGGCTAGCAAGATGTAGGGGGATTAGCTTATATTAGTAAAATTCGGGAGACAGTTTCTGAATGTCAAATTCTAATCAAATTCATTTTTGCATGTCTAGATCGTTTTATACACGGAAGAAAAAGGATTGATTAAATGAGGTAAGGAAATGGTTGAAAAAAATCAAGAAATTTATGGCTTTTTGCATCTTTATATAGGTCATCAAATTGCCAATGGGTTTCATTTGAGCAGATATTTTACCAATAAAGTGCCGTTAGCAGAGCGACAATTATTGAATGAAACCGATTCAAAGGATAAGAGTTTATGTTGGGAAAGCGGAATAGAAGAGATGATAATAGGCAAAGCTATAATTGATCTATCGTGTGACCGTGGGGCGAATTCGTGGATTTCTGACTTCTGCTGTCTCTCTGCTCTCTATCTCTTTGCCTTTTCTTTTTGCCCTTTTCACCACCCCGTTTCCGTTTATTTACGTTTATCCCCGAAAATAGCCAGCCGAGGGGCTAAAACTGATGACCAAGAGTAAAAAAATGCTTGGAAATTCCATTGTTATGAAGAAAATCAGTTGTTTTTAAAAATTAACTTACATAGTAAGCTCGACTTATAGTTTAAAAAGATGAAAGATGGCAATTCGAAAAATATCTGTGTTCACTAAACCCTTTCTATTCTTGTAATTCAATTGCCGTGTGAAAAAAAGAAAATTGTGGAGAGAAAGGATTAAAGGAAAAATACTTGAAAAAGAACAAAATCTAATAACTGAGCCCAAATTCACCTGGATTAGACGGACACTTGAGCCTGTTATTTTGAATTTCGTGATTTGGAAATTCTAAAGGCAAGGCACGTGAATCAGCTGTCATGGGTTCAGTAAATTCGACACATAAGTTAAGGGATGGAGTATTAACTTTTCTTTTCAGGTTGACAAATATGGAAGAGTTCTCCCAAAGAAAAGTGCAATTGCTGAAGAGATGGAGGAAATGTATGAGATCGAGGAAGCTTCGTCAAATAAAGACAATAAGAAAATAGCGAAGAGGAAACAACAAAGAAAAGGGAAAGACGACAAAAGCATCGTTGAAGAAGAGGTTTTGTTACGCTTCACGTTTAAACATAGAAAGGTTCAGGTTGATGTGAAAGTCGAAAGTGAAAGTGATGACGATGAGGAGGAGGACCGCGAATTCAAGGTCAGTTTTTAATTTTTAATTAATTTAGTGCTTTTTCAGCTTGATTTGGCGAGAGGACACGCGGAGATGCTTTCTTCATCGGGCGACAGCAGTGATTCGGAAGTGGAGGAAGTTGTCGAAGGAGATGAAAATGAGGAATGGGTTGAATTGGACAGGTAATGTATTAATAATATGATCAAAACGTATGTGCTTTTAGAGATGCTCCTCGTGTTGAATGGTCATCATATCGTCTTGCAATTTGTAATCTCGACTGGGATCATCTCAATTCGGAAGATTTATTCATCCTTTGCCAATCTTTTATGTGAGCAATTTAACATACTTCAAATCTTTTATAATAAATTTTTCAGAAAGGGCGGTGGCGAAGTGAAAAGTCTGACGATATACCTCTCGGACTTTGGAAAAGAACGAATGGAAGAAGAAGAGAAAGCCGGACCTTCATTTATGGTTGATGAGGACGATGAAGAAAGAGATGATCGATGGCACGGGGAAATGAAAAAAAAGAAGTGAGATTTTAATGGTGATTAAATGACATCCATTAATTTAGAGCCAATATAGCTGTTCGTCAATATGAGATCGACCGTCTCCGTTATTACTACGCGGTCCTTGTTTGCGATAGGTAAAACGACTACATGAACTAGCATGATTGCATATTTAGCCCAGAAACGGCAACGATAATCTACGAGCAATGTGATGGACATGAATTCGAGAACAGTGGAATGAGGATCGATATGAGGTTCATTCCGGATGAAATGCAGTTTGAGGTATAAATATACTTTTTAAATTAAAGTTGATTATCTTTTTAGGACGCTCGAGTTAAGGAAAGAATCACTCGCTCACAATTGAAACTCGACAACTATCGGCCAAAGGGTTTTATTAACAAGGTGATTTTAGCATAGTTCAACTATATTTTGTTTTAGGCAACTTCTATGTCAAACGCCGAAATCACTTGGGATGAAAACAATCCAGATCGAGTCCGTAAAATGAAGTTGGTTTTACTTCCTAACCTAAAAATATTATGGATAGGAACGCCTTTGAAGAAGAGGATATGGAACGAGCCGGGAATGGGTTGATCGCTTCATCATCTGATGAGGAAGAAGACAAAGGAGATGAAGGGAAGAATCGAGATGAACGGATTAACATCCTCATGCAAGCAGCTGGATTGGAGCAACGAGACAAAGATCTTGAGGTTGGACATTCTAATACAAGAAAAATTAGTCCGTTTCTTGATTCCAAGTAATACATATACAGGGTGTCCGAAAAAAAGTAAGTTTTCCTCGAATTTCCTCAAAATCTCTGGTGCCAAAACTGTTTTCTCTGTGAGGAAAAGAAGACTTTTTCGAATTTTTTCAATTGCATGACCCCTAAACACGAAAATTTTTCACTACCACTACAGATTTTGAGGAAATTCGGGAAAACTTCCTTTTTTTCGGACACCATGTACATTTTTTGATATATCCGACTACTTAGATTGAATGGGAACCACCAGAGGCTCACGAGAATTCCGATCAAAGTGATCTCGATGAAGATGAAGAAATGGGTAGAGAAAGTGAGGGGGAATCTTTACCGTCGGATGAGGAGTCTAAAACGAGCAAACAACCAGCTAAAAAGGTTACCCTTCTTTAAACTTTTCAACTGCTACTATTTGTAGGTACAAAAATGGAAAGCTTATCAAGATCGACGTCGTGAATTGAGAAAAGAACGGAAACAAGCAATTCGTGCGAGCAAAGAAATGGAGAAATCTCAGACAGAGGAACTACCAAAGAAAACGAAAAAAGCAAAGGTTTAAATGGGTGAATAGTTTGGGAATAGGTTTGTCGTTTTTAGAAAATGCCCAAAATAACCGAAGATGATACATCTCGAGTGGTTGCTGATTCTCGTTTCTCGGCTCTCTTTACCGATTCAGCATTTGCCATTGAAAAGTCAAGCAAGGATCTTAAGGTTAGACAAGTTGCAGGTTACATAATATGCAAAGTACTAAACATTAGGATGGTTCTCTCATCACAAAACAAGTGGAAGCGCGAAAAGCGATGATGTTGGAGGAAAACAGAAAGGCAAAGAGAAACGTTGAAGAATCGAATGCAGGAGAAAAGAGATCTGAAGGACAACAACTCATCGAAAAACTCAAAAGGAAAACGGCCGAAGGTGTTAAGAAAAAACTTCCCACATTGTGATATTACTGTTCACATTTCTGTTGGTTAGGATTGTTGTTGGATGGGTTGTTGTTAATGGATAAAGATCGCTATTTTGTGTAACAGTATGCATACACGCACAAGATTTAGAATTGCTGTTAGACCACCTAGATCCCTTTAAATTCCTTTCCTTTCATAGTGCACATTTATCACCCCGATGAAAATTTTACTTCCTAAACAATCATCAATGCTTTTGCATTGATTGGCTCAAAAACCGCAATTGTTGGTGAATTGATTGAGCGGTGGTTGATGTCAATTCTCCCATTTTCCATCAACGGGACGACCTTGTCCCCTAAATTTGAGAAGTTAGAGGAAAAAGGTAAATAGAAAGTTTTTAATGAAACAAGTTCTTTTTACTCTCAGAAAGTGAGTGTCCTACACCTTTTCGCAATAATCGAAGAGAACGAGTTCACTCCTTCCTCCTTATTTCTTTCCTTTCGACTCACCTCGTTCATTCCCATGTCGACCCACGTGCTCTCTTCGTGCTTTTCTTCAATTCCATTTCTTGTCATCGTTTTTGCGCGAAACTTTTTGATCTCCCCTTCCTTTTCCCCCGCCGCATCGCTGATTTTTCTCATTTCTGACGATGGAGGCAATTTGCTAAAAGGAAGGGATTCATAAATAACAAATAATATTTTCGTGCACGTTTCGGCGTAAATTTAGCAAATGGGAAAACAAGATATCTTCCCTTTTTTGCAGGACCAGTTCAAATTGGTTCAAAAAGTGATCGTCAAAAAGTGTTGTGCCAATTAAAATTTAGAAAGTTCGGTTACAGAATTATACCGTTTGAATCGTCTCGGAATATCGATCTACTTTTCATGCTTTGCGTCATTTGAAGGGATGACAATACTAAAAACTCAAGTGCAAAAATTTGTTAAAAAAAACTTACCTCTTCGATTCACGTGGAATAAAAATTTCCTCATTGTTTGAAATCATTTTGGATTGTTTTGGAATCTCGACCTCGTCTCGTTTTCTCAGCACTGGATAATCATCAGCACCACTAAAATATCAAATAAAGCATGTAATTGATAAAGTTTTACCTAATCGATTCACGAGGAATGAAAATTCCTTTTGTTTCCTTTATTTCCATTGGAATCACAACATGAGCCGGCTTCCTCGTCTCAGCGGCATTGGAAGCGATTGAAAAGCTAAAAAAAACTCAAGTTCTAACGATTATTTTCAATCAAAAACTCAAAACCTTTTCTCCTTTGGGATCTCAATGGATGATTGGCTATATTTTACAGCCTGAGTGGTTCTAGAAAAGCTATTATTACAGTCGAAAACGGGTTATGCAAGTGCAAATTTACCTCATCGATTTCTTGGCATTAGATCGTGATCGCTTTGGCGTCACTTTGAAATCATTTACAGTAATCGGTGCTTCGGGAGTGGTTCTGGGATAAATAAATTATTAATTCAAAGTAGCAACTCTACTTCATCGGTTCACGAGAAACGAAAATCGGCTTTTGTGGAATTTCCTCTATTTTGAGGATACCATCTCCAAAATATCAAAACATTGATTCGCGAATACAAAATTTCAAAACCTTTCCTGTTTCGGCATTTCAATGGGAGCTCCGCGGAATAATCCTCCCTAACCATGTAAAACTAAAACCAAAAACACCGAAAGTTGGTCGCGGCGAGCAAGTTGATTGTAAAAGTGCGTTTTTTTCGATAAGACCCGATTTTAAAAAATAGAGTCAGACGGATTTCGATAATTTCTTCATCATTCGATTCAGCACAGCGTCGAATGGATATTTCAAACCTGAAATTCTGATAGGGAACGTTTTTTGCCTTATTTTGCACGCATGTGCCCCCGCCCATGTTTTTGATTTTCAGAATATTTTGGTAATGAATGACTAAAGGCCTTTAGTTTACCAACTTAGACAATGGCGTCCTACGGACAAGTAACTGAAAATCCAGGTGAACTGTGCTGTTTTTGTACAAAGGATTTTCTTTTAGCTCGAGCTGGAAACAACACGGGCATTCAGAATGCTCAATATGGAATGCCACAAGTGCCGATGACTATGGGGCCGACCTTGTAAGTTTTTTGAAATGAATGATGGCTTTTGTGATAGTCTTTGAAAGTCACCTTCGATGCTCGAATTGTTTAATCGCTCTAAAAGACGTTTACTCGTATAAACAAGTTAAATGTTTGTTTAGCCCTCAACAGCCGCACAGCTATATTGGGATGATTCCTTCGGCGCCCATTCAACAATATCCGCAAGCACACATTTCGAATTATTATCCGATGAATCCGAATTACCCGTAGGTTTTTATTTGCTTATAGAACGTTAAGCAAAAGATTTTATAACCATTGTTTATTCTTTTGTTTAGACCAAATCCTTCTCAAATCCATCCGCAACCAAATATTGTCAATCGTCAAGGATACTACATCAATCCAATGATGATGCAAGTGCATATGCAACCTATGCAATGCTCTATATGGAATGCCACAAGTGCCGATGACCATGGGGCCGATATTGTAAGTTTTTTTTAATGAATGATTGTGATAGTCTTGGAATGGCCTCGTCATTAAGAGGGTGTTACGATTCGATACTCGAATTGTTTAATCGCTCTAAAAGACGTTTAATTGCATAAACAAGTTAAATGTTTGTTTAGCCCTCAACAGCCGCACAGCGATATCGGGATGATGCCTTCAACGCCCATTCAACAATATCCGCAAGCACACATGTCGAATTATTATCCGGTGAATCCGAATTACCTGTAAGTTTATATTTGCTTATAGAACGCCAAGCACCAGCAACTCGTGAAAAAAAGGTAGCAGTTGATTTTGCGGTATTTGTAATGTTAATGTAACTATTCTTAGCCATTATTAATTTGTGATCCAAAAACGAAGGTGGCTGTTGATGTTTGCAATTCGGATGTTAAGGGTTAGTTTTAGAGAAAATCCCTTTTTTTTGGTTGCTTTTGCAACTAATATTTTTTAGTTAAAGATTCGAAGATTCTACCTGCAACGAATCAAACGGCAGGAGCTTATGCTGAAAAGAAGAAACAACTTCAAATGCGTGATATCAAGAATAAACAGAAGGGGAAACCAACAGGTAAAGAATAATCCGTCTGATAATAAGGTGTGTTTTATTTTTGCGAACACAATCGATTTTTTAGAAGCTACGGTTTTAGAACAAACAACGGAGAATGTTACGACAGCCAGGGCCAGGTGAGATCTACGGTTGAGTTTTAATGAGTTGATGTATTTTCAGGATCTCATCGGCTCCGGAACCAGCGTTTGTCACTGAAGAGGGAACAACTAAGAGCACAAATACTCCTCAAATGGTTGACTCACTCAAGGTTTTTCTTACGGTCTCTTTTTGCAGCTTACTTTTTAGAAGCGGCTGGAAAATATGGCAATAGCGGTGACAGATTGTCATGAGCCTGATGTTTCAGGAGCCACTTTGTTAGACACGGTTGGACCATAACTTTGTAGATTTAAAATGATTAGCCTTAGCAAACTATGACCATTAACTCTCAAAGATTTTAATCAAATCAAGTTAGGTATCAAGTAACACTTTTCTTTAGGAACTTGATGTGGAAAAAAAGAACGAAGCAATTGTTGTGCCACCTACGACTCCAGAAATCAAAGATGACGGGGCTCCAATGTCGGAAGCTATTCTTGATGTTGTTGATAATGTGCTGCCAATTTTATTTTTGATTTTGCTTATTGCATATATTCATATATTTTTTCAATAGTTTATTTTTCATAAAAAAGGTTACATTTTGAATTTCAATGCCATTCGCAAGAACTAAAGTATCGATGGAGATTGCTAGAATTTTTGCTAGAATTAATTACTAGAAATACCAGAAATGCTTACTAGAAATAATTTTGCATTCATGCTTTTCGCATTCAATTGTGCTTTGAAAAGTGGGTAATGTAAGAAAATTTATTTTCCTCACATTTCACTCAGAATGGAGCATCAGGTTTGTTTTGTTTTTTTTTAATTGCGAGATTCAAAATCTGAATTGTTAGCGTGACCCGAATTATCTGTGTTTTTGTTTTTGTTTATCCTTTCGAGTGATTTCAGTTCAGGTTAGTCCGGTCGAGCCATTCACAAATTTGCAGTCAATTCTCGAGTGAGTTGGTCTTGTTTTTTAGTTTTTCTGGCACAAACACAAGCCATAGAGCCATAGAAACTGGGATAAACGGTAGAAATGCTAAATGTATTCAACCGGCCGTTTTTTACTCGTAGATAACACGTTTGTGGGCTAAATTTGTAACAGTCAACCGTTTTCCATTTCCCAGTAAATTGTTAATTCCTTTTTCATTTAGTTCTCTTGATGTGAGAACAGCGGCAACGATTTCCCTTTCTGATGTGACAACAGCTCATGAATTTAATATGGGTTAGTTTTTGCGGTACTTTAGGATCTTTAGATAGTAACGATTTTGCCAATCTTGTGTCACTGATTTAGTTATCTTAAACTTATCTAATTTTGACTTTGAAGCATTATTAGATAGCTTAAGCTTTATAAATTCTAACAGTTTTTGAGTTTTTCAAAATCTATCACAAAAAAGTGTTTAAAGTGTGGGTTGAAGTTTGGCAAAATTGTTACCCCCGATATTAAAGAAGTGCCGTTTTTGCTTGCTGTTAAAATATTTGTTAAGTGGCTTATTTGAAAACTAGGTTGATAGATAAATGACAAATTGAAGAAATTTTTGATTTAGCCGATTTGCGAGAACACACCGTACAAAAGATGATCTCGACGTATGGCATTGGAAGGTAAAGTAAAGTTTGGTCAGAGTTTTGAATAATTGAATTTTTTAGTGTTGACATTCGTGCTGCCAATTGTCGTCTAGGATCTGCTTCCGAAAGTCACTTTGAAGTTTTCATTTCCAAACTTTAACGTTTAGGCAATGACGACTTCAGACCGCATCCAAGTGTTCTACTTTGCACTCAACAGGTACTCAAAAAACGATGAAATAATTATTTTGGAAATTCCTTTTAGTTTTGTTTAGCTTCTCCAGTGTATACCGCTCGATCGACATCTATTCGAGGGTAAATTTTATAGCATTTGACATTTAAGTGCGATGGTTGGAACTTTTTATTTTGGTGACCCTTGTTCAGCGGCTGCAAGAACTCCTTGTTGTGGTCGGGATCGATCTGATATGGTGAAATTCTCCACCTCCTCCCTAAGATTTCCCCCTTTAGCCCTCTTCTCATGAATCACTCGCTACTACACACACGTGCTCTTCTTACTCCAGCTCTTATTCGGTAAGTTTTCTTGGAAACAAACTACCTTTATCGTATAAGCTGGCTTTTAATACAATTGTCTTTTTAGTGCTGCAAAAGTTGCATATCATCATTTGATGGAGTTCCATCTCTCTGCACTCAATGCCAGAATCATCTTCAATAGCCGCAAAACGATCGCTCTCAAAACGATAAAACAATCCTGAGCATAGTTGAAAACGTTTTTCCCGCTACTCTTCTCCTGCTTAATGCCGATGTGTGTTTAAATTAAATATGTGGAATAAATCTCGAAAATATTTGCTTGTACGGTTGAGATTTCCAATTCCTAAACGCCTTCCGAAAGTACCCTGAGAACTATTCGGTTCATAAGCTTTTCCACAAAGCCCGAGGGAAGCTAACTTCTGGGAGTTTCGGGTCAAAACATTGGTCTATCTTGTTGACTACCTTGTAACTTAAGTTTTTGATTTGATTGATTTAGAAATATTTATTAGAAAGCTTTACTCATTTAGTTCTCAGTCACCATAAGTTATACATTAAGAGTCAATATTTACACAAAGCAATAGAAGTCAGAAGATAAAAGTAAAAAAACTAATTAACAATCGAGGAAATTGGCGACCATTAGAAGTTCAAGGGCCAGTTCTGGCTTGATTTGAAATTCCGGGATCTCCGATACCGACTGATTGTAGGCGTGCTAAAAAGAAAAACATCTATGTATCTCAAAAAAACATGAGCCAACCTTGTAATCAAAATAGCGGCAAACCTCTTGCATTACATGTGATGGAACTTCCCTAAAGAAAAAGATTCGTCTGATAAATATCATTGCTTTTCCTTATTGTTCCAAAAAGCAAAAAGCTTATTCTAACTAGCGTTCTAAAGGTTCTAAAAAATAAAACTAACCGAAAGACAATGGTGTTTTCCTCACGCTCTTTAAATGTTCCAGGGCCTGATAGCATAGCCTAAAGCACGAGTTTTTCTAGATCAAAACCAAAAACTACTCACCCTAATTGTCGAGGAGACTAGTGCCATATCTTTTTTGATGAAGAACGAGTGTCCATCGTTGCTTTGAAGGCTTACATAGTTTGCATCGGGTCCCTCAATAATGATTTGTTCGTCAGCCTCTGAATCGGACGGGCTATCAACGGGTTTTTCTTCTCGAGCATCTCCATTCACTTCATTCTTCTTAGTTTTTGTGGGCGGCATCGTAGTCGTACCTGGAATATAAAAAATTAGGTAACAAGAGAGAAAAGTTAACGTAACAAAAGAAAGCTGGTAACAGTCCGTTAGACATGTTTAGCGGATCGACCGCATTAGGCAAGGAAAAGGATCGTTAAAATCTACACAAATGGCACTTTTGACAAAATTCCCTGACGAATCTGATGGAATTTGGGCTTATCGAAGCACCCAATGGCACTAAATTGACTAAAATTGGCAGTGACGGTTTTTGTTAACTTTGAAGGGGAGTGGGACAAATGCGACCTTTTTTTTGCGCACCCGGACATTTGCGCACCTTTTTTCCGCACTTAGCTCATTAGCGCACCCTTTTTCGCGTTTTAAAAAGCTCTAAAAGCTAATATTAACCAATTTCTATTCCAAAAGTTATTTTTCTAGGTAATTTTAGGGCGTAGAATCGAAATTTTGACATATCAGAGCTTATGGAAACAAACGGACGGAGTTATACAAAGAGAAAACATCGACAATTTTCTGTAATTTGATCTAGCCGTTTTGTCTTTCAAATTGGTTCCACACGCTCTGATATGTCAAAATTTCGATTCTACACCCTAAAATTACCTAGAAAAACAACTTTTGGAATAGAAATTGGTTAATATTAGCTTTTTAGAGCTTTTTTAAAACGCGAAAAAAGGTGCGCTAATGGGCAAGGTGCGCAAATGTCCGGGTGCGCAAAAAAAAGGTCGCATTTGTCCCACTCCCCTTTGAAGTCTTTGATAGACTGGTTTCTATATTCGCTTTTTACTGTCGAAAATGAGTGGCAGCCCTTTAACTAGTTTGTTGTTTAAAAGGGCTGCTAGGCAGGCTGTTTTGCGCATTTTCTACTTCAATTCATTTTCAAAGACGTATTCTTGCATGAGTCGTGTCTTTTTTTTAAAAATCTGAAGTCGAATATATAAACCGTTTTGAAAAGCTTTCCTCCGAATCAAGATTTTTATAAAATCTTAATCACTGTTCACCGCCTCGCTAACACCAAAATTTAAAATTCCATATTCGTTTAGTTTAATTTAGAGCCCATATACCCTTGATTTAGCAATAAAGCCCCCGCCCATGTTTTTGATTTTTAGAATATTTTGGTAATGAGTGACTTAACGTTTCCTTCCTTTAGTTTACCAACTTAGACAATGACGTCCTACGGACAAGCAACTGGAAATCCAGGTGAACTGTGCTGTTTTTGTATAAAGGATTTTCTTTTAGCTCGAGCTGGAAACAACACGGGCATTCAGAATGCTCAATATGGAATGCCACAAGTGCCGATGACTATGGGGCCGACCTTGTAAGTTTTTTGAAATGAATGATGGCTTTTGTGATAGTCTTTGAAAGTCACCTTCGATGCTCGAATTGTTTAATCGCTCTAAAAGACGTTTACTCGTATAAACAAGTTAAATGTTTGTTTAGCCCTCAACAGCCGCACAGCTATATTGGGATGATTCCTTCGGCGCCCATTCAACAATATCCGCAAGCACACATTTCGAATTATTATCCAATGAATCCGAATTACCCGTAGGTTTTTATTTGCTTATAGAGCGTCAAGCAAAAGATTTTATAACCATTGTTTATTCTTTTGTTTAGACCATATCCTTCTCAAATGCATCCGCAACCAAATATGGTCAATCGTCAAGGATACTACATCAATCCAATGATGATGCAAGTGCATATGCAACCTATCCATCACATAGCACCAGCAACTCGTGAAAAAAAGGTGGCAGTTGATTTTGCGGTATTTGTAATGTAACCATTCTTAGCCATTATTGATTTGTGATCCAAAAACGAAGGTGGCTGTTGATGTTTGCAATTCGGATGTTAAGGGTTAGTTTTAGAGAAAATCCCTTTTTTTTGGTTGCTTTTGCAACTAATATTTTTTAGTTAAAGATTCGAAGATTCTACCTGCAACGAATCAAACGGCAGGAGCTTATGCTGAAAAGAAGAAACAACTTCAAATGCGTGATATCAAGAATAAACCGAAGGGGAAACCAACAGGTAAAGAATAATCCGTCTGATAATAAGGTGTGTTTTATTTTTGCGAACACAATCTATTTTTTAGAAGCGACGGTTTTAGAACAAACAACGGAGAATGTTTCGACAGCCAGGGCCAGGTGAGATCTACGGTTGAATTTTAATGAGTTGATGTATTTTCAGGATCTCATCGGCTCCGGAACCAGCGTTTGTCACTGAAGAGGGAACAACTAAGAGCACGAATACTCCTCAAATGGTTGACTCACTCAAGGTTTTTCTTACGGTCTCTTTTTACAGCTTACTTTTTAGGAGCGGCTGGAAAATATGGCAATAGCGGTGACAGATTGTCATGAGCCTGATGTTTCAGGAGCCACTTTGTTAGACACTGTTGGACCATTACTGGTAGATTTTAAATGATTGGCCTCTGCAAACTACGACCATTAACTCTCAAAGATTTAAATCAAATCAAGTTAGGTATCTAGTAACACTTTTCTTTAGGAGCTTGATGTGGAAAAAAAGAACGAAGCAATTGTTGTGCCACCTGCAACTCCAGAAATTGAAGATGACGGGGCTCCAATGTCGGAAGATATTCTTGATGTTGTTGATAATTTGTTGACTGATGACATTGATGAGCAAAAAGAAAGTAAGTCGATTGTTATGTGCTTGTGATAAACAAAATTCTAAGATGATGAAGAAAATATCAAAGAAGAAGCTGAAGAAAAGATCGACGAGGAAGCTGAGACAAAATTATTTCGAGAGGCTGAATTGATCGAGGAAATGAGAACACTTGAAGAACAAGCTAAGCAAAAGGTCTACTCTCGAAAGTTTCTTGATTTGATTTGCACCATTGAAAAGGTTTGTTAAAGTCATATTTATTGTAATGTATTTAATTTTAAGGAATTCAAATGGACAAAATGCCCTCTAACTGAAGCTGAGATCAAATCATTGGGACTTGACAGGACCAACGCACCAATTCGCGATAACAAAAGAGCACCACTTGGTTTTAACCCGAATTGGATGTCAAACAGGTCGCAAAAGGTAGTTTCTGTTTATTACTCACAGTTCCCTATTGTGTTTTAAGAACTATGTTGGACGCGGTTCGATGGATAGTGTTATAAGAAGTGGAAATATTCAACGGGGTCAGCATCCAAGAAAGCCGCATATAGGACGACATTCAATCGAAAAGCAACCAGTTCCGTTACGAAGAACCGAAAATGCCTGGAAAGCTGACAAAAAGACCAAAGGCTCCTCGGAGGCCGAAGATGCCAAGAAAATGGTACGTTTTGGCTTTGGGCTGATCGAATAAGCTATGATTTTTTTTTCAGCAGATCCTTAAGGATGTGAGGGCTTTGATGAACAAGGTGACACCAACAACTCAGGTAACTGCTTACACTACTTTCAAACATTATTTCTCTTCAGAAGCTATTGACACAAGAGTTCTTATCGTTCGAAGTATCAATTGATCCTGCAGTTTTGAAAGACGTCATTGAGATCATCTTCGACAAAGCCGTTGAGGAGCCAAAGTTCTGTCCCATGTATTCGGAAATTTGCAAAGCTCAGGTTATTTTATAATAAACTAACGGGCAATGCTCTTTTATTAGGTTGATCTTGAATTGTCGAAAAAAGCGGGAAGCATCGCCTCACCTTTTCGAAACGCAGTCTTGACCCGTTCACAACAGACATTTGAAACGGCAAAAGTGGAAGATGACGCACGAAAAACAAGGGTTTTAAATTTAAAACCTAAATTCTTAAGAATACATTCAGCTCGAAGAAATTGAGTCAGAAACAGATGACCGAAAGAAAAGCCAACTTGTGCTAGCTTTGCAAGAATATGATGCCAAAATTCGAAGGAGAAGATTTGGAAATATCACGTACGTTTTAATTTCATTCTATATTAGGGTATTTTTTAGATTTATCGGTCAGCTTTTCTGCCAGCAATTACTGAGTTACAAAATTGTTTCATCCTGTATTACGGCGCTTCTGAAAGATACTGCTGGAAAAGAGACATACCCGTCGGAGATCGAGGTATTGGTGGTTTTTAGATTGATGAATATAAAAGTTTTAGGAAGCTATTGATTGCGCGGTTCGATTGGTGGAATCTGTTGGACTGAAAATGGAGGCCGAAAGCAAACGTTTAGCCAAACAAGAGCAAGAACAACCCAAAAAGGAGGAAAAGGCTCCTGCATGGAACCAAAAGGTCCAACCAAAAAAGGTTGCGCCAATTGCCACTTTCGAGCAGTATATGGGACACTTCGAGGATCTCAAGAAAAAAGTTTCTCCCAGAATTAGGTAGCCAAGTTTAATACCTCAAACTGATCTTTCAAGTTTACTTCAGATTCATGATTTTGAATCTACAAGAGCTCAGAAACAACAGTTGGCAAAAGCGAAATGCCGTTGATCAAGGACCAAAAAAGATACAAGAACTTCAAGCGGATATCAAAAACGAGCAAATTCAAACCGAAGCAGCACGGGCGCGATTCGAACGAGACCAAAATCGTGGCTCATCCCATGGCAGCTTTAGCTCTGATGCACGAAAAACGATTGGTAGCAGGGGCTCTTTGAATACTGCCTGGTCTGTTTTATTCTCTTTAAATCAATCGAAATTTTTAGGGGAAATTCAAATGACAGAAAATTGTCTACAAAAGCTACCCCACCCGTAAACACTGGAGCTGCTCCACAACCAAAGTTGTTGGCGGTATCAATTTCCAGCCTACGTATACGAATCAAAAGTTTTAGTCTTTGAAGAATGCACCCGATGACCTTGCACGCCCAAGGTGGGGTTCAAAAGGAGCTAACAGTGGAAGCTCCGATAGTGGAAGGTTTGTGGAAGTTTATTTGCGTTAATCATTTCGTATTTAGGAAAATCAGTAATGCACAATGTGAAAGGAAAATTCGTGAAAGTGAACAACTAAAGGTAAATTTTTGCATTTTAGCTTTGAGTAACAAAAATGGTTTTCAAATGTCTCATTCTAGATTCCCCCTGTGAAACAAAACGATGAACCCATTAATCTGAGCGAAGAAGAAAGCCAAACGGCAAACTCAATCCACTCCTGCATTGAAGAAGTTCGAACTGGTTGTGTGAAAATTGATGCGGTAAAAAGATAATTTTTTTTTCTAATATAGGTATTTGATTGTTTAGTGTCCGGAAGATTTCATTGCTACAATGAAAAAGAAGAGCATATCAGCTCAATCATTTTTCAAAGCCTTTGCTGTCACAGCTCTACGAGAGGTATTTTTTGTGTATTTTCTGAAATAATTGTAGTTTAGAAAAAAGAAGATCTAAAATTAGTTGGACACATATTGGCTTTCTTCTTACAATCCGATGAATTGAAGAGTCAAATGAAGGATAAATCTGAAGCTGCAAAAGGAATTGCCGAGTTTTGCAAATACGTGATTGCAACAGAACAATATGAAGAACGTTCTGATGTTTGGGAAAGGCTTGCTGAGGTATTTTTGCAGCTTTTTATCAAAAATCTACTATTTTAGGTGATCATCAACGCTGTGCATTGCGATCTACCAGATTTCGTCGGCAAAAGACCTCTTCTTGAGGAGTTCTCTCTGGTATTCATTGAAGCTTCTAAGGACCCTCGATCTGTTTCATCACAACGACCCGCTTTTGAACTTCTTGTGGTTGCTCTAAAAAGAATGGTTAGTCGCTTTTAAAAACAATACAATCAATTTTATTGTGCGATTTAGGCTGAAATCCTTAAGGGGTTCAATGAGCAGGATCATGCCACCTTGATTTCAATGGCCTATGAAGAAATGACGTTTATTCGAAAGCTTCCAGTTGAACAATCAGAGAAACTTGTGGCGGCTTTGAAGGTGCTGTTGGCTCGAGCGTTAGATCGTCATTTATCGATTCTTTGTCTAATTTGTCTAATTTGTTTAGGAACAAGAAATTGCCGAAGTTGGGAACCTCTATGCTTTACTCACGGACAAAACATGAGGGCTTGAGGTTCGTCTTGTTCTTCCATTCTCTACATCTAAAATCTTTCACAAAATTTTGCTTGTTTTGTACATGTACAAAATTTTTGTTTGTACTTCTGATTTTTCAGCTGTTATACATTTTATTGATTCTTTTCTCTTTTAGTGTTTTTTTGGCGATCGTTTTGTAGTTTTTGTTCTTGATGAAATAATAAAATGGTTTAAAAAAGGGAAATTCCTTGAATAACAAATATGTAAAAGGGTTTTTGAACTTAACTCAACTCTTAAAATGTCTGCCATTGTTTTTGACTTGTTATCCGTTACAGACAAACAAATTACAAAATGAATTTTATAAGAACGAAAACAAATCACAGGAGTACACGCATTCAAAAATGATGACACGAAAAGGAAAAGACTGCAAATTTCAATCTAGAAACTAGGGAGCGTTAGTAACTTGTCCTGAATTGAATCATTTTGTTATAAATGTCAGTTTTCCGCTGGCTTTCAATTTATTATAAAGCTCCATTGGTTCAATGGCAAATTCGACGGCGAGATCTTCAAGTGGACGCGTTCCATCAAATTTGCTCAACAAACTGAAATTTGAGAGTCGACGGTTTACTTGACTGTGGAAGATGGTCATTTATTTTTTTGCTAGTGGCAAATCTCATACAAGAGCATGGTAACCAGATCAATCCAAAAGTTGCCTTCTAGTGAAGTTGTGTCCCTTTTCCCTTCTACCTACCTTCCCTTTGTACAAAAATTGATCACAATTGGGTAAATGGATAATTTCCGAAGAAATCCCCGAATCATTCCGAATTGAATGAAACGTCGAACATCGACAAAAAGACTTTTTGGGTCATTCGTGATCACGAATTCCGATAAGCGTTGACCAATCTGAAATTAGGCTTGTGGCAGGCAGCTTTGGATAATTGAACCGGTCCAAAAAAGTGTTTGCTTAGAAACTACTGTAACACTTGACTTTTGTGACTAAAGTTCAATATCCGATACAATAAAACAGAATTTCTTAGCCGGCTTGGGTAATTGAACCGGGTGATCTGGTTGAAATTGTTGACTTACTTTCAAATTCAAATAAAGTCGAAAAACATCAGTGAACTTTGGTGGCTGCAAAATGATGATTTCATTCGTTTTCTTGCGTTTTACACGCCGACGAACGAATTCGAGACATTCCTGGAATCGTTTGTTTTTCCTTTCAGACTTTTTTCTTACTTGAATCATGTTTGCATCATTGTAGAAATCGTGTAATTTCTCCGTCGCCACATAATTGTTCGAATAAAGAAAAAGGGGGGCAAGCGCAAGGATATCGAAGTAACACAAAGCTTTTATGCATCTGAAATGCATCGGAAATTTTCTAACGCTCCATTTACATGTACCTTGTCACCAATTCAGTGTCCAAGCCGGTGCACATCGCGAGTTCTTTCACACATCGAATACCATTGATTTTAGGCACAAGCTGAAATTTGCATGCTGTAGGATTAAACTTGATGGTGAATCAAATTTTAAGAAGATCTTACAGTTACGGACAAATTAGCGGTTAAGAATATTTCACTGGCTGGGCCACCGTAGCTTTTGGTAGAGAAAAGACTAGTCTCCACTTGATCGATCGGTTTTTTGTAACTTACCATATACGAAACAACATCCATTTTGCACATTCGATCTGGCGTCAACTTCAGATCCTTTTTAATAATTGGCACCATATGAGGTAGAACCTAAAGTCTACTTTGTTAACACTTAATTTTCTCATTTTTCACATCTGGTGGCTCTCTTCCCCGATACGGTGGCAGAATCTTCAAATAGCATCGGTTTTTCTTTGTCAGCTGAAATTGAGCTTCGCCTAAATACTTTTTAATCTCACGATGCTGAATTCCCTTCTCAAACCTGTACTATTTATCGATTCAAGGGTGACACGCAGATAATCATGTATGACATTGTTGTCTTTACGATCCGATAAGAAATACTCTTCCTAAACATTTTTTCCTAAGAATATTCCCAAATCAAAATACGATTTCGGCGTTGAGGAGATAGCTTGTCATTTTCTCGACAAATAGCTCGTAAACGTAATCATTTTCGTCGAGTGACGCCTCGTGTGGGACAATGATACAAACACAAAAACGATATTTCTCACGGCGATACGTTTCGGCAGTTCTTTTTGGCACGTGCGAAAACCATTCCGGTTTCTCTGGAAATGAACTCAATTGATCATAGACAATTTTCGTTGAGCCAACTCACGTAATCCAACGGGATATCCCATCACTTTGTATTTCATTCGCGTTGTGTGGATTCCGATTTTCACGTGCTTATTCAATAATTCATCTCGAGGGATTAAAGCCGAAGAATAGGAGGCAAAACGGCGACTGTCTAGCACATCGTCCAAATTCTGAAAGTCTTACCACGTGCTTGGTTCAATTTTTACAATTAGATCTTATCGAAAAGTTGTTTTCTAAGTTTGGTGTGTCATACAAAGAATCGTTCTAAAACAGCTGTGCCAACTAAATGCCTTTGGGCATCATAAAATCATCCAATGATGATTGAAACCAATTATTCAAAGATCAACAAACTATAAGCAAATAAGCTGTACAACTTAAGCAGACAAAACTAGAAAAAGATTACGCTGCACAATTTCTTATTGTTGACTTTCTTTTGTTCTTTCTGGTTGACTATTGAAACGACCCTTAGACACCTAAAGTAACCAAACTTTATTTATTTAAACCGAAAGAACAATTTAATAAAATGTAATAAAACTTTAAAACAAAACCCACAAAATCTCCATCTTCTACGTTGACTCGAATCACCGGTCCTTTGTCGAGATCGAATTCGCAAAAGAACATCGCCTAAATATTTAAAATTCGCAAGTTCCCCATTTAAAAAATCAAACCTTAATCTTTGGCACCTGCGGTATGATGTATTCGTTTGGATGCAATTTTGAGCTACTAGATGAAGAATGCATAGCATTCACTAAAACTTGTCAGTATTTAAAATGAAATCAGGATCTAATATAAAACCAGAATTAAATACTTACTTCTTAGGAGTGCTTTAAATGTTTGTGGATTTGCCGATTGATTCCGCACAAGATTAGTGAGCTCGCAAATCCTATCAACGCCCCCATCATGATAGGAATCGGATAACGCTAAATATCAAGCATTAATGGAAAGTTTACAGCAATTCGCATCGACCTCGAAACTCTTAAATTAAATGAATAGCTTTGAAATTTAACTGACTTGGTACCATACGTCCCAATCGAGTGGAATCGGGAAAACGCCAATCCAAGCCCCGATCACCGTCCCGTAAGCGGTATAGATAGCTTTTTCCTGGGGTTTCGTGAGCCAATCACTAAAAAATAAAGGTTAAATGTTACAGAGTATTCATAAGTCTCTCAAAAACACAATTAGCCGACCGATTGAGCAAGATCACAGCAATCTCTTGTAGATCCGCGACGTCGAAAGCGACGACTACAGGCCAGAAGATGAGGCAACTGATGAGAAGAGAAAGGAGAGTGGTGAGGAGGATTTCTAAAATCATGAAATTAAGTAAAATAGTCTAACTCCGCCCAAACTTAACCTGTGGCCGATTAGTATCCTGACGTGACCAAGCTGTGCCCGGCAAGTATTTTAGGCGTGCGAAGCTTTAGCCAAGGTAAATACCTGCACAGCGAAACGGGAGCGGCAAAGAGGGTGTACGTAACACGTTTAACTGCTAACACTTTTCGATTACAGCATTAAGTCTACCCCCAGCCAGCAACTCCGTGTATGCGGAACCAAAGCCGATTTTAGCTTAGTATAACACAAATAAGCTCTAAAAATATTACCAATCGATTAAGCGTGGTCGAAAACCCCAGAAAACTGCTTTTGGCACTTCCCAGAGGCATTTTGAAAGCCCCGCCCACTGCCTCCCAACCCGTATAGCCCCATATGCTTTTATGAAGCTAAAATAAAACCGGACTTCTAAAATCCCATTTCAAGGTTGCGAATTTTACCTTCAAAAAACGGAGCCCCAAAGAGAACGAGAGCACAGTGAGCGATGGTGAACGCCTTCCCGAAGCTGAGCAAGTGCTTTGGGCCGAATTTCATGCAAGTTCTAAAAGAGAAGAAGGTAAAAGTTCAAATAAAAATGGGAAAAGCTCTAAAAACAAAACTTCTTGCCGAGTAATGTAAAGTTTCTCTATATAGAACAATTAAAAGCGCCAAAGTTCTACAAAAAAAGACATTCCAATTATTACGCTGAATATCTTTTCTTGAGAGAGGCATTTTTCATTTCTGCCGAGAAAAATTTCAGTTCTAGATTTTCATTCGCGCAGAGCTTCTCCACTTTTCTTAAACTTTTTCGACTTGACATTTCGTGCTTTCTTCAAACCCAGTCGCATCTATTTTCTGTCCCAACGAAATCCCGCCACGAATACAGTAATCCGCCCAGTGCTAAACTTTGGAGGAAATTATTTCATTTGCGATTCCCCAAACTCACGAATCGTTCTAAATTTCCGGCTTCTCCTTGTCCTTTTTCAACTTCAATTTGGTATTAATGTTTTCTATTTAGGGTACCAATCAAGATGCCTTTCGTCAAAGTCGTGAAGAACAAGGCTTACTTCAAGCGCTACCAAGTCAAGCTGAAGCGTCGTCGTCAAGGAAAGACTGACTACTATGCCCGAAAGCGTTTGACGGTGCAAGACAAGAACAAGTACAACACTCCCAAGTATCGTCTCATCGTTCGTTTCACCAACAAGGATGTGATCGCGCAGGTACACGCAGTTTTTATTAATCTGGTCTTTAACAATGCCGTCGCGAAAAGTAGGGTCCTGTTCTTTCTCTTCTACTTATCCATACGAGTTTGACAGTCGAGTTGATACGGTTGCTTCCTGAGGCAGTTACTCGTGCTGTCCGCTTCCCTATTGACGTTGGAGACTGTGGTGAGGCCCTCCACAAGGCTCATCTCTTTGGCAGAAATGCTTTGCATCACAAAACAATGCCGAGGTGACTCGGTCGTCGGACAAGTGGCGGTCATTTTTAAATGATCATTGTTTTTTGATCGTTGAGTCAGCAGTGATCCGAGGGCTTTATCGGTCACTGTATGTAAGAAATTTTCTAGACGGGTTGAGATGCTCCAACACGGATCTTTTCTGCGTGTTTTGAGGTAATTTTGGTACTATCCTATATTCGCTCGTTTACGATCATACCTCGCTGAAAGCACGGCATCCCATCTGAACTGCCAAGTTAAGCAGCGATGGGCTCGATTAGTAGCCTAACCGGAGACGGCAGGTGAATTCCGAGTGTTGTAAACTTAAAACTCATAACGTGAAAATATTAGACATTTTTCAGATTGCTTACTCGCGAATTGAAGGAGATGTGGTTGTCTGCTCTGCCTATGCACATGAACTTCCTCGTTACGGAGTCAAGGTTGGGTTTCGTGGTCAAAGTTTGGCTATTTTATTTTTAGTACGGGCTTACCAACTATGCTGCAGCTTATGCAACTGGGTTGCTTCTTGCTCGCCGTCATCTCAAGAAAATTGGCCTAGACGGCAGTTATGCTGGACAAGTTGACGTCAATGGAGAGGACTTCAATGTTGAGGCTAGCGGTGAGAAGGCCCCATTTAAGGTATTATCTTATTTTAATAATTGAGTCTAATAGATTGGCTCTAGGCTGTGTTGGATATTGGACTTGCCCGCACTACTACCGGAGCCAAGATCTTCGCAGTCATGAAGGGTGTTGCTGATGGTGGAATCGATGTGCCACACTCAGAGACTCGGTTAGTTTGTGTTTACAACTTAGTTGTTGCCGTGGTTGCTTCGGCGTGTCGTTGGGGGTGAGAAGACTGTATTAGTAGGCATGGGGACTCAGCAATATCTTTTAGTTTCTTCGGTTACGATCCAGAAGCCAAGAAGTACGATGCTGAGGCCCACCGTGGACGAATCTTCGGAGCTCACGTCGCCGATTACATGCGCGCGTTGAAGGATGACGATGAGGACGCCTACAAGAGACAATTTTCCCGATTCATCGCTGCCGGAATCGATGCCGATGGAGTCGAAGCCTTGTACAAGAAGGCTCATGATTCCATTCGTGCCAACCCCGAGCTCGCTAAATCCAACAAGCAAAAGCCAGCCCAGCAAAAGAGGTAATGTTTTGTTACGTCGACTGAGTAGAAACTTCCGGATTTAGTAGTCGCGATAATAACGAATTTAATTTTGTTTTTCTAGATTCACCGCTAAGAAACTCACCTATGATGAGCGCAAGCAGCGTGTCGCGGAGAAGAAACAGCTCCTCCTTAACCTCAAGGAACAAATGGAGACTCAATAATTGATTTTTTGTTGATAAATTGTTGTTTTGTTTCATAAATTTCAAAAGAATCTTTAAATCACGTTTAAAAGGCTCAACAATTCGGTCTTGGTAAGCAACACTGAGTTTTGTCGTATACTGTTACCGTAGATTTCTGTGTCGTACTGTAAAAAAGGAATCCGTAGAATCCGACTGTATGGGGTGTCCCAAAAAATCTTTTGGATCAAATTTTTAAAGTGCTCGTTTCATCAGCGTTAGCCTTGTGCTGGATGCTGCTTGTTGGTTTGTAAGCGTTTTGGGGGGAAATTCGTCTAACTTTTGGGAGGACAGTGGGCGGGATCTCAAAAATGCCAGTTTTTTAGGGTTTTCGGTCACGCTGAATCGATTGGTATTTTAGAAAGTGTTTACTTCTTTGTGGTCAAGGCACATCTAGCTTCTGTCCGGTAACAGCCAGCCTTAACCTATACTAGGCCAATACTAGAACGTGATTAAGCCTACTAAAATGTGCTCAGTCAGCAAGCTATATGTGCAGAGCCTTAGCTAAGATAAACAAGGGGGAAGGGAGGGAGGGAAACGTCTAGACCGTTAACACTCGAGGCAGCAAAGCGGGCCGGGCCAAGACATACCGAAAATATTACAAATCGATCCTGCGTGCCCGAAAACCCTAGAAAAACTGTTTTTGGCACTTGCCAGAGGCATTTTTGAGGTCCCGCCCACTGGGTCAGTAGGCTAAACGGGTTTTACCCAACCTGTTTAGCCCCTAACTTTTTGTGCTACTAGGCTATGTTGAAACAAAATCACCCCAATAATAAGGTTAAAGCGAGCCACATCCCCGGACTCATTATTCTTCCATTTGGCTGTATAATTCTTAAACAGTATCGTGAAAATGGCTGACCGTTTGAAGGTTTTACCACTTGGGCAATATGCCCCTACATTCCAAATTTCATGTTCATCCAAGTCTTTTCTAATTGCTAATGCGCATGCATTTCTAATTAACTCTAATATTTAATAAATGAATGAAATAAAAATCCATGAAATTAGGAGATCTCATTTAAGAACATGAACAAAGTACATAATGAATGGCCATCAAAATCAAAAATGTCCGCTTTGTGGCAAAATGACGTAGAAGGGAGCAAGAAAGGATAGAAATCTGAGCACATTCATTGCAAAAAAGAAGTAGCACAAGAAAGAAAGCTGCTATTGCAAAGGGGAATTTACAAGGAGATAATCACATTAACGTATGCCGATTTTCTTTGAGAAACGAATCGCATCAGTCGAAGAAATGTTCTCGGCCTCCCCGTGGTGGTGGTGGTGGTGGTCTTCCTCCTAAAATCATTAAATAAATCGAGCCAAAAGTTGGTATGGGGTGTAATGATAAGAATCTTTATCACCATAATTTATTTTATCACTACAGCGAAGTACACTATAGAGGCGGCGACTTCAAGCCTCTAAAAGCCGATCTCTAACGCATTTTCCCAAGCTCCCACTATGTAATCCGTATTCTACGCAAAAAACTACCCTAGAAAAAGCACTTTTGAATAAAAAAGTTGCCCTTCCCCACCCTCAAAGTACCAAATCTTTATCATCATACCAAAATTGACCAAAATATAAAACAAACTTGGTGGAGGTGGCGCCATCGCTCTCCATCCAGGCGGCATGCTACCCATCATTGGACCGTCGTCGAATTCATGGAAATCGCTCAGTGGTCGAGGTGGAGGCATGCCTCCTAAAATATAAAATGTTTGATTGATAAATGTGATAAGGACATAGTCATCTGAAAACTGCAAACGCAGCTAAGTACTGTAAAAACTTGTTGTTTATCAAGATTGCATCCATCTTTCAACTACAAACATTAGCAAGCACTCACTTCCAAACATTGGCGGTGGAACACCCATTAGTGGTGGTGGAACTCCTCGTGGTGGGCCGCCCCTTCCTCTCCATTGTGATGGACTCTCTCGTCGCATCATCGATGGTGGAGGAACCATCGCGTGCATCAATGGAGACGATGAACCATGCTCATTCCCATACGGTGGCATGTTCAGAGGTAGGGCTATAAGATGGTAAATGAAAAATTTAAGAGCAGAGATACCTCCTCTACCCCGTCCGTTGTATAGATATCTTTGTGGTGAATCGGGTCCTTGTCCAATCCGTTGGCTTTGCTTGTTATCACTTTCTCGCCATTCACCCTCGCATTCATCATCTTCAGGGTTGTAATCAAAATTCTCCTAAAGATTTGAAAATTGAAAAGTTGTAAATTGTACTCCCAAAAGCTATGGTTTCTAGAATTCAACGCACCTTTTGGATAAAAACCCTATCGGATCCAAGTAAAACCCTACCTTGAAATTGTTGAAATATTGTGCTTCATTTGATTGTTTCCCCATATTCCGTGAAGGTCCAGGTTGGTCGGCTTCAAGCAATGGCATAATTGGTCGTCCATCTGACATCATTTGTGGTCTTCCAGGTGGTGGTGGTGGTGGCGGCATCGCATATCCTGGTGGTGCTGGAGGCCACGGTTGATCCTCGTTGCCACCATTTTGAAAACCCTGAAAGAAGCATCAGAGTTTTGGTAAGACAGGTTCTGGAGTAAGCTTTTATTCTTCTGTTTCAACCCTTTTCCAAAGTTGACAAAGAACCCTTGTTTTTTTCTCTTTTCCTAGCTCTATTCCGCTTTACTGTCGTGAATCGGTCTCCCGAGTTCACTCCGCTCGACGGCACACCGAACTTGTTCATTTGTTTGTTTAAGAACAACAATTTTATCGTCGGCGACGCAAAGTCATTTTAACTTTTGCTCTCCCCGTACGCAGAAAGCTTTGAAATCAATTTCTCCCTCACATTCATTGGGCCATGGAATGCCGCTGGACTTTGATGCATCGATTCATTGAACGACAAATTTCCTCTATCAGATCCTCCACCTAAATTTAAAACTTAAAGAAAGGCAATAAGTTTAACCTGAATAACTAAGAGTCGAATTTGGAGGTGGCGGCGGGGGCGGTGGTGGAGCATCGGCAATGAAAGTAGAAATAGAGGACCCTAAAGGGGAAATTAGTTCAAAGCTATATGTCATACGTATAGTTGTTTACACCAAAATTTTACCAGGCAATGTCGGCGGTGGCGGTGGTACAGGCGGTGGTCCTCCAGGTGGAGCGAGGGCCAAATTTGGAGGCGGAAAGTATTCGTGCATCAAATTGGCAGACGTTTGAGCCTAAATGGTGAGTCTTTAAAATAAAAGCCTTTTTACCATAGGAGTCGTTGAAATTACTGGCGGTATTGGCGGTGGCGGGGGAATGGAATGAGATCGAGCACCTTAAATAGAAACATTTTAAGAATAGCTTTGATATGCATACCAGAAACACTTAGTGGCCCATTCTTTATCGTCGACGGTCCGGGAGGTGTTAGCGCATCCTCCTCCGAATCAGAATTCTGATCCATCGGCGAGCCTGAACAATGACTTTGCATTTGATAAAACTTGAGCCAACCCCGACTTTCGCCCTCATCCATAACCATTTTGTCCGAGTCAGGAGTGACCAACATTGGTGGTGTAGGTGGTGCAGTTGATGGGCCCTCAAGAGTCGGCGACGTTTCTTCGGTTACAGTCGGCTGTAAATTAAATGATAACCATTTTGTACAAAATATTCTCCAACTTTTTTCAATGTTGTTTCCCTTTTAGCTGGCGTTTCGGATGTCTTCGCAATTTCCGGAGGTCTCTCTTGCATATTTTTCTAAAAAGTCACTTTTTTATATCAGAATCACAGCTAACCATTATACTAAGGATGCCACCAGCCGTGAATGTTGCGTTACTTGTCTCAAAGTCGTCAAGACCGAATTTCGCGACCATTTCCTTGAAGTAAACGCTATTTGTGTTATCTTTTTAGCTCAATCAGCAACTATTTGCTTAATGTTTTAAAGTTTACCGATTCCGTAGCTTCACTAGTCGATGGCTCTTCCTGGTGTTTGTCTTGTGGTATTTCTTCTTTTGCTACACTTTGCGTCTCTTCCTTAACAATCGGTTCCTGCTTCATAACTGTTGGCTCAACATCGGTCGAGTTTCGTGATAAATTTCTTTGCGGACTTGATGGGATAACCGGTGCGTTCTTTGCTCTGTCGATAGCCATTTTCTTGCTGAAGTATACAATAAAATAATTAGGTTATTTCTCAGAACATACTTCTTAATCTTCTGGATATAGCTGAGACAAAGCTTGTGAACGATCTCGATTTCTTCTTTTGCTCGCCCAAGTGAAATGAAACGTTTAACAATGAGAAGAACTTCGTCTAAAAAGAATTATAATAAAAAAAAACATTGTAGTGAAGTACATAATTACTGACAACTCTGCTACAAAAACCAACTAGCTTTCCAATCGTGATGAAGTGCCGTTGCCACATCTTCAACAGTGTTAATAGGAATCGTCTCAACGTTCAGCACCTTTTGCTCTTCTTCTTGTTTTTTGATCATTTCATAGAATCTGAAAGTTTTCATAGATTTTTAAGTTCGGGATCTTTATAGGAAATCACTAGAATCCCACTAAAATTTTCAACATTCCAATTTTACTTGTTGCTAGAACTAATTATGGGTGAAAACTTACGATGCAGGAATCAGCGGTTCATGCGATTCGGTCACCCCAGCTGTCTCTTCTTCATCATCAGCTTCCGAGCTTTCCGGTTCTTCTGTCAACATAGGCTCGCGACTAAAGAATTTACATTGCAGTTAACTTGAATTCCACTCACGTTCTCGGTCTTTCCATTCCGGGTATCGCATAAATTTCCTCATCAACAAGTGTTTCTTTCTGCCTTGTCCAAAATCCTGAACATAAACTTAGCATAGTACAAAAATGGACACGTACCTATTTTCTTTGACGGTCCTTGATTATCAAAATCTTCCCGATCTGCCGGAGTTTCACCACTAGAATAATTTGAGTTTATTCCAATAAAAAGGAAATCGATACCTTTTCTGCCATGGAAAATCGATACCCATCGGCGTCTTGAGCACTTCACTAAAGCCAGTTTATAAGAAAAACATACAGAAAGGAAATTAGTGATTTGAAAATTTTTAATAAACAACAAACAAATACGTACGGGCTCCTCCTCCATCGTTCCCTAAACCACAAATTATTCAACAATTTCAAACGTTCTTGCTTACGTTTGTTCCCGTTTCGACATTCGGCTATTCCTTTCCGCCTCAGCACCCATCATTTTCTTCTCAGGACTTTTCCCACTAAAAACAAAGCACTTTAGTAGTTTACATTTACTGTTATCGTTTAGTCTTCAGGAAGCCTACGCTTCAAATCGACCAACAATCACCTATATAATTTGTTGATTTCCTCGTTAAGCGGTGAGGCAATGACGAGAAAAGCCATTGCGTGGTCACGAGCCGATTCAATGCATCCGGGTGGGAATACGTAATCTACGAAAAAGCTATAATAAGATAGTCTCCAAATAAACCTGGAGGTGGTTCAGTCTTTGCCAATGCAATGAAGTAGCAAGCGTACTCCACATTTGACGCATAAACTGATGGCAATCTGACGCGGAGAACTAAACGCTTTGACATTACATGGTTTCTCAGTTCCACTGACCTGAATTCATCTCAAAGAGCTCGACGAGTAAAGCGTTGAATGGCGGCCTCGCTAGCTCCATCACTACAGTCGACAAGTACAATAAAGACTTTACAGCAAAACACAAACTTGGCTCAGCGTTGTAGACCACACAAATGCTTTTGCCGTAACGCTTCGTCAAATTGAGTAAATTCTCGTAGGCACCAAATTTGTGCATTCGATCCTGAAATATTTGATATGCGAACAACCGTAAAGTACGTGACGCTACCAGGACTTGTAAACGAGCTGGTAGCTTTGTAGCAAGAGCAAATGTAGACGGGTAGTCGGTTGTGACCGGCAATAATGAGATCGTTGTTGAGACAGCACCCAAAGAAATTTGAGATTAGATAAGTTAGCAATTCGGTTTAAATTCATACCAAAGCACGTTTGAATAGCTTAACATAATGAAAAAACTTACCATATTCGAGACTGCATGTGGAAACGGATTTTTGGTCCCTCGGAGTTCTCCACGATTCGACTCCAACTTTCACCGTCCGTTGACTAAAATTACATTTTGTGTAAGACTTTACTATAATATTTACTTTTCTCTCCAACTAATGTTCTGCGAACGTCCATTATCCGCAGAAGATGGAGAAGAAATACTAAAGCAAAATTTATTAAAAGCTTCGTTGTTCTCTCAATTACCGCTCGCTCTTCCACATTTCTCGTGTCGGTTGAGGGGAGTAGCTTCTAAAGTTGGCATATTTTACTCGGTATTCATCGGAAAAAAGGTTCTAGCCGAAAAATGTCACAATTGGGTACTGTTAAAAATATTGTGGAATTGTTTTCTAGAAAAAGACCGTTATATTCATGTTCAATCTCACTTGGAGAAAAGTGAATCGTTCAACCAAAAAAAAATTAAAATTTTCTCATTGCAAAATAGAAAAGTGGTTTTTAAAGTTGACTCAATGGATTCAAATCAGCATCATTAATGGATCAGTAATCAGCAACTATCACTAGTTTAAAGATATTCAGTTAAAGAAGACAATACTGTTCAATATACAATACTGTGCATCCAGCCAATTTTGAAAATTGGTGTAGCCCTTAGTTTTCGTTGTCGAGGTTTGGCTGGACTATGGCCACTGATCACTCCAATTACTAACCGTTCAGCTGCAGCCGGGGAAACGCTTCCACCACCTTGATAGTTTCCATCGTCATAGTCATCATTATGCGTACTAAAGCAGCCATAAGTTGGGAAGTGAAGAATTTAAGATTTTAGTCAAGCTCAAGGCCAAACCTATCGAACTTGCAGGCTATCATCTGGTTATAAATTACCTTAGAATCGATTACTTACTTGATTGGTGATGGTGAGCGAATATATCTCCTTTCGTATTTCTTTTCCGGTTCTCTTTCGTGCTTCTTTTCATATTTCCTTTCATTATCCTTTTCTTTCCGATCGCGATTCACTTTATAATCATCCGTGTCTTTTCTAAATAAAATCGTAATTTATTTGAAAAGAGTAACATATCTATTAAGCTAACTAATTGGTGCTCACAAGTCTTGAGTGTACACCCAACAACTTTGAACATTTTACTTTACCTTTGTGGTGAATGCGAGCTCCTGAAACGTGATGGTGGCTCTTTTTCCTCAAATCGCGATCTTCGTGTCGAACTAAACAAAAAACTTAATGGTAAGAAAAGGTTTGACTTACCGATCACGACTCTCTTGATCTCTTGAAGAACCATAGAGTGGAGTCTTTGGACAAAACCCACTAAATTATTAATATGATTTGAGAAATATTAAGGTTTAGTTTACCCAAGCGGTTTACTGAAGTCAAACTCGTCGTCTGCTTTTTGAATCTTCCGTGTGTATCCGAGCGTTGGCTGAGTATGACGGGGCTCATGAACTTGTCGCAATCTTTCCTGAAAACCGAGACTAATTTATGAGCTCATTGAGTCTAAATCAAACTCAATTTCACACTCACTTTCTTTTTTCTCCGCTCTTCCTCGTCAATCTTGGCTTGTTGCGCCTCCGCACGTTCCTTATTAACTCGTTCTAATTCAATCTAAATAAATTCAGTAGAGCAACCTCCTAATAAGCCCACCCTATTCCTTTCCTTGCATATTTGACATCGATGATCATACATGTGAGTCCCATGCTCCAAAGTTGTGTCTCGTTCCGAATCAAGAAGATCATCAATGACACCACCCTTTGTTTCTTGTTTCTTTTTTGAAGTCGACTGAGTTGGGGTATCTAAAAAGTCAATTGAATTGGGGCATCTACCAAGTGTTAAATTTAAGGTTTGTTTTAGGGTCTAGTATCTGATATCTGACAACAGATCTAGTAAACACTAATCTTCTAAGTATGAGTGGTCCGCTACTAAAAAAAGACAATATTTTAACCGTACTTTTTTCTTCTGGTGGATCGACTTCAGCTGCGTATGCACTAGCGGTGAAGTCCTCAGGTTTCAACGATACCAATAAAGAAACATCAATCATTCCTTTCACAACTCGAACGAAGAATCCCTAAAATGAAAAGGTTAGCTAAAGAAAAGTCTCCAAATTTACCTTATTTTTAACGGACATCACTTGCTCGACGAAACCTTTCACCCAAGCTTTATATTTCCCCTTCACATCGTTGTTACAAGTCTTAATAAATTTTTGCGTTAAAAATTGACCTTTAAAAAGTACCCCAAATAGCGTCTTCTCAATGTTGTCCACTAGTTCCTTGATGCATTTTGTGGTCACGCCATGATCGAGAGGTCGCTTCACCCTGAAGCCTGGTCATAAAAAGAATTACAATTAGATATCCAACCGTTTTAGCAGTTGTTCAGTCATCGTTTTCTTGCAATTCGCTCGCATAATTTCCGTTTCCTTTTCGAGTTTCTTCTTTTCTGCTTGCTCTTTCAAGTGCTTTTGCAACTAAAAGAGAGATCAATTTATCCGAATCCATCCAAAAACCTTATCCACTTGATCGCTTCGCTCGACCCTCAAATGAACAGCCGATCGGCTCGAATCTCCCTTATCGTCATCAGCCTGTACACGAACTTTGTTCGGCTAAATGACATTTCAGAATAAAAAGTCAAAGAGAACTACCTTGTTATCTTTTCTCATGGCAGGGAGAACCGGAGCAGCGTGAGGGTTTTTCATCAAATAATCGAGTAGGCCCGAGACACGAACACCCTGAACGTTAAGACATTCATATCAAAAAAAGTTTTACGTTTTTTCAAAAAAACTATTATAGGTTTTACGGTATGCAAAATGTCTTGAAAAGAGTCACGAGCACAAGCTGAAATTTTTAAAACTCACCGCATGTACACATCCATTTGACATCAACATCACCTCAGCGGATTCATCAACGAGCACCTAAATATTCAAAATTAAGTACGTTCAAGTTTTTCCAACCGTTTTTGCTTTTTTCACAATAGCGCGAATACATTCATGTGAACAAAATTGAGATGGAGTGCCGCCAAAATCTTCAAAACGGGACTAAAAAGAGATTAGAAAATGATCAATCGAGAATAACTTACATCGGGATTAATTTTTGAGCATTGCATGCAAGGTTGTTCATCAATGCCTGCTCGTCGACGCTAAATAATAAGATGGTACAAAAAATAATTTCGAAAATTCAATAAAAAGGCTAAATTCTGAACTTGTTTAGCATGCTTACTTCTATTTATTTTACTTACTTCATTTCTTCAAGGAAGACACTCTAATGTCTATCAAAAATCGATTCTCGAAATTCAAGTAACACCAACCTTTGCCTGTTCCTTTTCTTTCTTCACTCGCTTTTGCTTCTTTTCATCCTCATTATCGTCCTTGTCTATCGATTTCGGTTGCTCAAAACTTGGTCCAGCAATTTCTTTGTCATCTTTGACTTTCTGAAAATTTCAGAATCAATCAGATACCAGAATTTGAATACCTTTAGATCGAAGGCATTCCGCAAATAATCGTCACTCAATCCAGCTGCATCGTAGAAAGACCATTGAACTTCTTCCTAAAATCAGTCGATAAAAAAAGCATTTAACTCCGCTTTTACCAAAGAATACTCAAATTCCAACAGTCGTTTCTCTTTCAGTTCTTTTTCCTTCTCCAATTCAATCCCAGCTCGATGTTTTTCGATGAGAGCATCCTCTTCACGACGAATTCGGAGAGCTTCTTCGTCGACTTCCTTAAACAAAGGTTGACGTGTTTTTGTATTACTGCAAGAATGGTTCGGAATAGGTCCTATTTGATGATTTTAGAAATATAACAGAATAGTAAATATGTATCTTATCAGTTTTCATTCTCACCTCAGCTTCAGGAATGGCCATTGGAGTTGCTGGATTCGAGTAATCGTCATCTTTAGGCACTAAATTGATCATACATACACCAAATCCTCCTTAAAAATTACCTTTTTTTGCTTCTTCTTTCTCTCGTTTCCTTTCCCTTTCCTTTCCCTTCTTCCGTTCTTCTTTTTGTTTTTCTTTCTCCAATTCGTCTTTTCCTTCTTCTCCTTTTCCTTTCCGTTCTCTCTTTGCTCCCTTTCGCCTTCGTTTTTCCTCTTTGCGAAGAAGCTCCTTTTCGGCTTCATCCTCTTTTTTCGATTTCTGGGGAAAAGCTTGATAATACCTATATTTAATTGCGATTAGTACCTTGGCGGGTTGACTTTCCGCATCTGAACCACCGCTGTCCATGATGAAAGCCGGCGTTTTGAACTTGTTCCTAAAGGAGAATGCTTAGAAATTACGAGTGAAACTTTACTTGAATTTCAGCACCTCATCTGGACTTCTTGATACCCGTTTCATATCCTCTGAAAAATATTTGCACTAAGTTAAGACTTTGTGCTCTTACCTTTCATCTTTTTCGGCTTCCCAATTGGTGAAGAGACATCATGCTTAACAAAAAAGTATTAAAATTTGCTTAACACTCAAACCTTTCGTTTCCGCTTTTCATCATTTGGTTTCTTCTTTGGATAGAAGTCCTTAATAAAGTGTAAAGTCAAAATATAAAGATAACTCAAATACCTTTGCACTTTTAATCTCAATCGCCTCAAAGATTGTGGCATCGACAAGCTGTGTCCATTTATCGACATCTATCGTTACCGATTCTAAAAGGTTATTGATGAACGTTCCAATTTCTGTAGCAAACAGCAAAGATTTCAAATTTTTACCATATTCCCTCCGTCGATAGGTAACGACTTCTGTTTGTCGCTCATCTTCCTTTCCACGCGAAGTCTCCGGGATTTCATCCATCCACTGTGATGAGAGCTCTGAAAAAAGACACTGGACTTTGGTAAATTTACAAAATTGTCGAATACGAAAGTTAAAAACATTCATTGATATTAGCTTGGTACATTTTCAAAGTTTTCTCGATAAAAATGCTAACTTTTAAACTGACTTTCAGAAGCATATTAAAAGTTTAAACTGCTGCAAGCCTTGAAAAATACTTTAAGCTAAATCTATTGGGTTGTTCAGAAAGTCTTTCCGTTACTTTTCGTACTACCGTTTACAATCAACAAATGCACCAATTGAACTACGGTTTGTTTCATTAGAAAGGCCAATTATTTTTCTGCAAAATAACATTAAAACGGGGTTAAAATGTCTGGAATTTTTGGGAGGGTGAAGTCGGGTAGTCAAAAAGGGCGACGGCTCGATGATGCGGTTTAGACACTTTAGCTAAGGAAATCTATCTTGGTGTCAATAGATGAAAGATAGAGCACAAGAAGTTAGGTATATAGCCAAATTTTCAGAGAAATTCATTCAGCCAATTTCTTCATAGAGGTTTTTTATAGATTTTTACGAAAAACACGTTTTCACTCTCGAATTTGCTTGAAAGTTAACCCAAATTGACTTAAAAAGATGGGAAATTGAACAATAAACACTTTTTATTTAGAGCAAACCATAGGATAATTGGTGAATTTGTTATTTTTGGGGCAAAGGAAGGGGGACAATCTGTAAACTCGTCTTGGCATACTGAAACTTTACACTGGAGGGCTTTTGATGATGCTGAATCGATTGGTGATATTTTCAAACTATGATTTCTTGTTATTTTGATTTTACAAGAATACAATAATAACTTTAATAACAACAATAAAACGATGGTAACAAAAGATTTTTAAAAAATGCTATTTTTAGCAGTTTCGTCCCAAAAGAGGTACAGCGAGCTTTCAGAGCTATGCTGCCATTTCCACAAGACTTCATAAAGAATAACAGAAAATCATAGTTTGAAAATATCACCAATCGATTCGGCATCATCAAAAGCCCTCCAGTGTAAAGTTTCAGTATGCCAAGACGAGTTTACAGATTGTCCCCCCTTCCCCAACTACCTTTGCACCTTATTTTTCAACGGAAGTACGAAAAGGAAGAAAAAGACTTTCTGGACAGTCTAATAAAATTCAAACGTGAAAATAATCTTTTGAACATTTTACTACGTAGACACTTGGTGGCCGAGGCAAAAGCCTCCGTAACTCGTTCTCTTTCCTTTCAAAACCCCTACATCGACTACACAAATGAACGAATAAATACGGGCTGTAATGAGGTGCCAAATAAACTTTCTGTCGATGGAGACATGAATGCATAAAAGCCAAGCCAGCAAAATCTCGTGTCATCCACTTATTAATCAAAATATATTGTGCATTAAAACAGTAATTGAATGCAGAGACTATAGGAAAAATATTTTATTAATAAACCGATACCAGCAACAAAAAATTAGAAAAAATAAAGTAACATCACATAAATACTACATTGGAACATTATGATCATCTAAGAATTCAATTTTTGTATAGACGAATATCCGCGGATATGGAAGCTCGTTTCTTGGGCACAAAACGGTCATCTAAATCTCAAGAAAAATGAAATGTTTATAGTCGATGTGATACCTTCTTTTCTATCATATCCACTTCTTTAACGACAACAAATCCGAACACTGGTGTCTAAAATTTATTAATGAACATTTATCGTTAACAACTTCAACAAACCGTTGAAATTTCCTGAGTGAGACTATCAAATGGTGAAAGAGCAAGAACGTGATGTCGTAGTTCGGGCGAAATCGGGAAGGGCACCACCTAAAATATAAAGTTTATACTGTTTTATGATAACTTTTAAAACAAACCTTTGCACTGTAGTCTTCTGGTTTCATTCCTACCGGCAAACACTCTTCGGGAACACTTTCCGTACCGACTTTTACAACTGTTACCTAAATTCAAACATAGCTTAAATGTGATACGAAAATATGCCTCATCAAACGGGACATCAAATTGATGTGGAAAATATTGTTCACCACGCGTTCCGTAGAAATACTAAACAACACGAAATCTCCAATGCTGTATTTCTAAATTACCCGCTGCACCGCCATATTTCTCGACTTCAGTCTCACTTCCGAGGATCTGACCTCAACACCGCCAGATTTTGGTAGATGAACAATCTAAAATAAAATGTTTTTTTTTCAAATTAGGCAACACACCTTCACAAATTTAGGAAGAGTTTTCTGTAACTCATTGTAGAGACGTTCTTGATCGAGAACCGCCACTATATCCACCTCAAAATGCTGTGCCGCTTGAACGATTGCCGCATACCTAAATAAAAGTTCTCTACTCTTATCTATCTCCAGAGATATTTTTGCCTTTTATCCAATCTTGAGAATGTTATCAAGTTCTAAAAATCTACCCTCCATCGGCAATCCATCCGCATGTATTAATGATCACACCCGAAATTCCAGTCTCAACGTTCTCGACTGTCTGAACATAATTTGGTTTTTAGAAAAGAACGGAAGCAATTACTTTTGCGCTAACAGCTTGTGAAAGAGTGATGAGCAGTTTCTCGTAGAGAGCATTGTTGTCCCCGGGTTGAAGTGAACCATACTAAAAATCTCAAGTAAAATACCAAATAATTAACTCACGTTATAGACGATCGGTTTTGTCCTTTCAAATCCGTCAACGACATCGGCTGGTCGATTGATGTGTATGGCTCCAATCGTTCCCGGCGCTGATATTGAGTTCTGAAATTTTAATAGATTATCTCAAATATTTAAACGCTTCTGAAAATTTCTAAACAACAAGCTTTACCTGTCCGACATCCAGATCCACAAAAATCGGTGATCGATTTTGTCTCACCGCGTAGTTGCACAAGATTCTTGAGAGCGTGCTTTTTCCCACATCGGTCGGTCCAACTAACATAATTCTAAAGATAAGGATATTTGGATTTCAAGAAAAATGAACCCAACCTTGGTCCTTGTCCAACTCGATCTTTTTCTGTGGGATTATCGGCAATTCTTCGCAATTGTTCTAGCGCTGCGTGCAAGTTGATGTACATTATCTAAATAATTTTAATGGTAAGCAAAGACAGGGTCAACAAATTAATTTTCAGCCAAAATGAGTACTTATTTCTTAATAAACTTACCATTGGTGTTTCAGGTGAAACATAGGCATTTGCTGTGCCGATCAACTCAACGGTCGCCTTTTTCCACGTGAAAACGGCCACTCTGGCACCTAAAACAAACATAAATAAACTTCTAGCCAAAAGTAAACATGGTTAATGTTTTTTAGCTTTAATGTTTCTACAAAAGTTTAGTTTATACCTCAAAGACATAACAACAAACCTGGTGGAAAGATGTACTTCTTGTTCTTCTCGACCACACTTCCAAACACTTCAGCACTCCCGTTAATCAATTCCAGTGTCACTTCTTCCCGTCCCGAAACGACAAATCGCAGCTCGTTATCCTCTTCTAATTCGAATTTCTGAATCCTCGATGATGAAACGCTCGTTGTTTCCATTTTGCTAAAAAGAGAAATTCTTTGTAACCCAATTACAAAATTGCAAAACACAGAACAACGAAAATTAAAAAAGAAACAGGTGATAAATTGAAACTTTTATCTATAAAGAACTAAACAGCGAATTGCCTTGCATAAGTGTCAGTGCAGCTTTCCTTTCGAAAAGAGTACCCATCTTTACAAATGACGCTGGGCTCGCTTGAATTCTAAATTATGGTTAGCAGTACAAAGTCGAGTTTCCACCCATCATTCAACCATTCTCAAAAATCACGCGTAAAATTAAAATTATAAAGAATCACGATTCAATTAGGTTTTAAACCGTTCTCTTCAGTGATAAAGAAAGTACAAAAATCGATTTATTCTGAATGCGAACAATTTGATCTTTTATTGGGCTACGCGATGAGCCAATTGATGTAGATAGATCAGCATATATGCATGAACATCCTTCAGCATTCACAGATCGTCCCATCATCACAAATTTTTCGGCGAGAAGGCTAAAACAGAGAAAATGTGAGTTAGAAAGAGATAAACCTTTAAATTCGCAATTTGCGATAAAAAGTGACATAGGCAACTGCACTGCGACAGAAAAAGCGGAAAAAAAATTGCGGAAAAGCGTAGCTGTCCCATTTGTCGACCTCTAATAAAGTGGTTTTCGAGCAAAAAAAGTACCTAAAACTATTAGTACCATTAGTACCTAAAACTACCTGCATTAGTACCTAAAACTTAAACCAAAATGCATATCCAACTAGACATCAAACCCTTACTTTCTGTGTTGACTTGACTCTGTCCTTTCCCATCAGCATTGCTCGGAAATGAAAAGGTACAAACTTACGAAAAGTCAACCTTTTGAGAAGAAATTTAAAAATGAAATGTTTGCCGACAATAGCTTATTTATTTCAAAGTTAAATACTAATTTTGATACGCAAATTTGTGTCTCATTTCAACATGCCTTTTCTCATTCACATTTCCAACATTGTTTGAAGTTTTTATTGAAAATAATCAAAAGTGAAAAAACTCAAGTTACAAAAACCTTCAAAATATGGGCGTTTCTCAATCGGTTGAGCTGAATCTCGGAAAAATTCAAGGAGATTAAAATAATTGCTTTTTCTTTTCTAAAGAGCAAGAGATTTTTGAAAATCTGGCAGTTATTGTGGTGAAAAAAAAATCAAGAAAAATTTCAGTTCCTACACATGCACGGAAAATCACATGAAGAAGAATTTGTAGGGTTTATCGTGAAGTGTGTTTCATGCGTTTTTTTAAAACGTGGCAACTTTTGAAGCTACCGTAATCTTGCCTACTACAAGACTACTGTAGTTTTCGTAAGTTAACACATTTTAGACAGCATATTGGGAGAGAGGAAGATTCAATCTAGATTTACTTACTGTAAAACCCAATCTATTTTCTCACTACAGTATGCCGGAAAGAAAAAATATACGAATGGTAGACTGAATATCTTTCAAAGCTTCGATTGAATCTAAAAATATTCAGCCTTTCATTTTACTGTAGTGGGAGAAAAGATCGGCATTTTACAGTACTTTGCTTATCTAGAAGTTTAGTGCAAAATAGGATTTTATAGCCCCAAAATAATGAACTCATTCTAAAGTGTAACCCTTTCTACCGTAATCTCTCTATTTTGCATTTCATTTCTCAATAAACAAGTCTAATTTTCAGCAAAAATTCTCTCAAATCAAATTTAAGGAATGCTTCACTGAAGCTAACAATCAAAAGTCGACAAAAAAGAAGACAAATCAAGGCAATTTATAACAAAACGAAAAAACACAGCTTATAGATAATCTAAACTATTTTTCGGTGATAAGAAATGAGGCTTTTCGATAACTACAGAACCCACAGCACTCCAGGATACTGTAGAACGACAGTATCCTAGTGTGCTCGTCCTAGACAGTATCTTAGAGTGCGCGTCTCTCAAACGATTCTAATCTCAAACGATCTAAAACGTGAAAAACTTTCGAAGCTACCGGATCTTGCAAAGATTATTAGTTTTCAAAAGTTGACGTTAGAAATTTTCATTTCAAATCTTCCATAAATTCAATTTTATCGATTTCCCCCCATTTCTTATCACCTCGACTATCATTTTTCCTCATCATTTTCTCAAAAAACGATTTTCGTTAAGGCGAACATTAGGAGCAAGAAATAAGGAGATGTTGATGAGACACCATTACAGTAATCTTGCGATTTGCAAAAGTACGATTCACCTAAAGATATTTACCTTTAACTTATTTGTTTCTTTTTTTACCAGTCACAAATTCATCCTTTGCCCAATAGAGTGGCACCGAGAGGGTTCGCATCTGGAAATCGATCAATAGATCAAGATAATAGTGCATTTTCTAGCGGCAAAACTACCGCAATCAAGCACAGTACATTATCCATTTAATATTTCCAAGCAAACCTTCATCGAAGCATCTTCTTCATTGGCCACAGTGCATCCCTTGATGATCACATCGTGCTCTAAATTCGAGATTTTATTTAAAATTGAGAATTCTGAATGCTTTAGATATCTCAAACTTTTTTTGCTTTAAATACAGTGGCGGACATAAACTTATCACACCCCAAAATAATTTCTTATTTCTCCTCTAACTTTTTCCAAAACCCCCCGCAAAAGTTGGAGACACGTAAAAACAAACAATTTAATATTTTAAGTCAAAAAACAAATACTCTGATGAAAAACTTTTTTGAACTTTTTATTATAAACTCGAACGACATTGACTTATCACACCTCATAAAAACAACACAAAACATTAAAATTTCGTTTTTATTTTGGGTTTTTTTCCGACTTTTGAATCTAATCTCATTAAAACTCTTTCTAGGTATATGGGAAAGAAGAAGCAAATTTCGTTGGAGAAAAGGGAGGACGTTCTTCGTCTTCACCGCCAACAGAAGAGTCAGAAAGAAATTGGGAGTGTTTTGGGAATCGATCGGACCACGGTCAACAAAATTTTGGCTCTACACTGTCGGACGGGACGCTCGAAGCAAAAGAATAAGGGAGCCTTACGAAAACCACCAACGGACGACAATCGGATTCTCGAGCTCCCAAGGCGGACCCATTCAAGACGACGGTCGACATTCATGCGGAGTTGCCAAGAAACGTTAAGGATTCGATCTCTCCACGGACAGTCCAACGGCGCCAAACCATGCCAACCGATTTGGTCGTCGTCCTGCTCACAAACCGCTCATTTCCGCAAAGAACGGAAGCGTCGAGTGAAGTTCGCCAAGGACCACGTAAATGGACTAAGCAACAGTGGCAAAATGTGCTTTTCAGCGACGAGTCCAAGTTCAACTTGTTGGAAGTGATGGAATTCAATATGTGAGACGCCTCCCAATAAAGATTCGACCCGAAATATATTTTACCGGCTGTTAAATATGGGGGCGGAAGTGGACATTTGGGGTGGCTTTTCGGCTCGCGGATTGGTGGCGCTGAAACGAATCGACGGGATCATGGACAATTTGTCTACTTGGATATCTTACAGAACCAATGTTACCGTCTGCTACTCGGTTCATGCCTCCAAACTTCATATACCAGCAAGACAACGATCCTAAGCACAAAGCACGCCGCGTCACTCAATGGTTCACCCAACAAGGGCTGCAAGGATGGACTGGCCCAGTCAAAGTCCGGATCTCAACCCAACGAACACCTGTGGGATGTGCTTGAGAGGAGTTGCAAAGGGTATAAGACTAAAAATGCTCAAGAGAAATTCGACTTATTGGTCAAGAAATGGACCGAGACCCCAAGCCACACTAGACACACTCATCGAACCATGCAACGTCGGTGTGCTGCACTGATTGCTTCAAAAGGACCCAACGAAGTATTAAGTTTTGTTCCCGTTTTGATTTATCAGCCGTTGTTTTTGGGTAGTTTTAATAGCTTTTGTGTTGTTTTTATGAGGGTGATAAGTCAAGTCGTTCGAGTTATAATAAAAAAGTCAAAAAAGTTTCATCAGAGATATTTGGTTTTTGACTAAAATATTAAAATATGTTTGTTTTTACGTGTCTAAACCAACTTTTAGCTCAAAGGGTTGTTTAGAAAAAAAGGTAGAGGAGAAATAAGGAATTATTTTGGGGTGTGATAAGTTTATGTCCGCCACTGTATCTACAGTATTTATAATACTGAAGTGTAATAAAAGGTTGTAATTAGACTTGCTTATCGATATTATCGATATAAACGGCAAGCTCATGTTCAGTTCTCCGTTGCGTATTGCAACTGTCTTGTAACCGTATTGGAACCGTATTGGAACTGTATTAGATCAAAATGGGAACCGTATTGGAACCGTAATGGAACCGTTCAGATCTCAATTTCTAGAACAGCTATCAATCTGAAAATTGTTTCATTGGAAAGTCAAGAATGTCAGCGTTTGATTGCTATTTTATACGCTAGCCAGAAAAACCCGCCTAACGGCGGTCAACCTATACGTCAAATATTATTAGATTTTATGAAACTACGTAAAAAATTAGGTTTATAATGTCAAACTTTCAGCTTGATCGGCTCAGCCGTTTTTTCTAAAATCGCATAACGGACGCACATACACAGACATATACTCTCTCTCTCTCTTACACAGACATACTCTCTCTCTCTCTCTTATAATAAGTAAAGGTACCTTTAATGAGTAAGCACCTTATAAACTTTATCAATACTTATCGATATCGATAACTTATCGATAAGTATTGCTAACCTTTTAAAGACATTCACCTATGAGAGTTTGCTATATGTGAGATAGCAATCAAAAGCTGACATTCTTGGCTTTCCAATGAAACAATTTTCAGATTGATAGCTTTTCTATAAAGCGAGATCTGAACGATCAAACATGAGCTTGCCGTTCATCGATAAGCAAGTCTGATTGTAATTTGAAAAGCTACTGTAATCTTTCCTTCAGATTTTATCCGTTTTATTTACAATTGTTTCCCCCGTTCATTGTTAATTTTTATCTCATTCAATTCAGAGTTTAATTCTTCATTGAATAAGGACAAAAGTTAAGTAAATCGGACAAAATCTAAAGGATTATCTAAAGGATCAAAGTATTTACCTTTTAGAAAACAGATTACTTTCAAAATCGAATAACTTTATTTCACTTATAATTTTCAAACAAAAAAACTATAACCCTTTTCCTTGATTTTCTCCTTAAAACGATCCCTAATACTGATCATATTTCCCTCTTTTTTTTTCCCTTTTCACTCACTTTTGTCGACCAGTTTAAAGCATGATCCTTTACAACAAGATAGTCCGTGCTCACAATTCTCCAAATCTCTTCCCAGACATCTAAAATTTGAAATGTTTTTGAAGAAAAAGAGAGAAAGCTACGTGTAACATGAGAGTGTTCGGCCATCCTTTTGATCACTGCAATTCCGCAACTGTTTCTCGTTTTGTCGATCGGCTTTCATAATCGCTAAATAATAATTGAATGAACATTTGAATGATTATAGATATTTGATTGAAGAAGCTCAAAAGGTATAAACGATAGAACTTACGAACAATAAAGTCGACTTTTATCAAATTTAGATTTGTATGTGCTGTATCAAAAGCCTTGTTTCCTGTGTTGATTAATGACATAAGAAGCTGATTTTCTGGGGGTGGGACAAATGCGACCTTTTTTTGCGCACCTGGACATTTGCGCACCTTTTTTTGCTGGAAAAGGCCTTAGGCAAGGCCGTAGAGCTTCGAAAATATTTCCATATAAGGGAATCGTATGCGTAGATTCCGAATTTCGACGAATCAGACCTCGCTGACACGTCAAATTTGGGCTAAAAGGCAAAAGCTGCGGAAAAGCGTTAAGTTGCGTAGTTTTTGCCTTTTAGTCCAAATTTGACGTGTCAGCGAGGTGTGATTTGTCGAAATTCGGAATCTACGCATACGATACCCTTCTATGAAAGCATTTTTGAAGCTCTACGACCTTTCCTAAGGCCTTTTCCAGCAAAAAAAAAGGTGCGCAAATGTTCAGGTGCGCAAAAAAAAGGTCGCATTTGTCCCACCCCCGATTTTCTTTGAATTTCTTTGAAAGTAATAGCATTGCCTTATTTTTTACAGTAACCGCTTTGTATTGTAATCACCTGTTCCACTGTTTTTTTAAAACGTGTCAAAAACTAGTAAAAACTGCCAAGATTACTGCAGTAAAGGCAAGATTACGATAGTTTTCTAAAACTGACACTTTTTAGAAAACTCATTAGTTGCGGAAGGAGTTAAATCCGCCAAAACAGATCATTTTATGCAAAGCAATTTTAGTTCTCTTTGACTGAATAGCTTAAACTATGTCTACACATTTATTAGCCACAAAACTTTTCTTTTGAATCTTCTTTTCTTTATTCCCCTCTTATTCCCCCTTTTTCTTCTTCTCTTTGTCAATGCATAAACAATTGGCGGCTTTCTTTTTGCAAGAAGATGAAAAGTTTCCCCAATATTAGTTCCATTTATTGATTGATATATTAGAGAATAAACCAATGATTGATGAGAAGATGCATATCTCGACGAGTCCCTTCATTTTTGTCTTTTTTTCTTCAACCCGTCAACCCTTTCACAAGATGAGATTTGATGGAGAGAAATCTGAAGTTTTCAACTAAGGAAAACATTGGACAAAAAGTGAAAGTTGAAAATGATGAGGAAAAATGATAGTCGAGGTGATAAGAAATGGGGGAAAATCGATAAAATTGACTTTATGGAAGATTAAAATGAAAATTTCTAACGTCAACTTTTGAAAACTAATAATTTAAAACAAAACATAAAGAAAGAGTACCCTTTTCACAGAAATCTTTGGCACAGCTGTACTAGAAATACTGTGAATGTGTTCCTCTCGAGTAAACCTTTCTAAAAGTCATCGATTTTAGAAAACTAGCGTTGTCAAGCCGCCTTTACAGAAAAATAGCTCTTTTCTGTGAAATCTTATTTAATGTTTTGATTTTGAATATCTCTGATTCTCCTGTCCTTCCTCTAAAGATCGTTTTGTGTGATAAAAGGGACGGAGGCCACTTTGTATTGCTTTTCTTTGGTCTTTGAAACACTGAACCAACGATTGATTCTATTTTCTCGCTAGATTAGGAATTGTGTTATATTCGGAATAAATATCTAATAATCATTGCCCCATCGGTACCCTCTCACACACGCTGATTATAAAACATCAGCTCTTCTGATCTCTCATACCGCCAATTTTCATTCAATTTTATTATCATTTGTTGAGAAATCACAAAAATCAAATGAAAGCTGACAGTTTGATTACGATCTTTTTCTAAAATAGATGCTTTTTCAAAAAAGCATTAACAGAGAGGAAGATCTATTTGTTATCTAAAGTTTCTCTAAAGATTTTTATCTAAAAATTTATCCAAATTCAAAACATTTCAATAATCAAGACAAGATTCTTAAAATTGAGGTTTGACTCCATTGCACAAGAAAAAAAAATTGTTGAAGTCGAGGCGAGAGTCCATCAAAAAAAAAGGGGAGAAGAAGCGGGGATAAATAGGAGAAAATTGGATTCACCCCTTTTTTCGGGGATAAATTTGTAATCGAAAATCTGGAAGCACGAAGAGTCAAAAAGGAGTGAAAATGAGGGAAAAGGAAAAGGAAGGAGAAAGAAAAGGAAGGAAAAGGAAAAGGAAGGAGAAAGAAGAGGAAGGAGAAAGAAGAGGAAGGAGAAAGAAAAGGATGGGCAAGGATAACAAAAAGGACTCAAGCTCTGTCTTGGCGACTTTAGAAATGCAGAAAAGAGGCAAAAACCGTAGAGTATTTTAAATAGATTAGTTTATAAGTGGCATCGTTGTTGTATTGAGAAATATATTATAGCACTGCAACCAGGGATATTCCAGTAGACTAAGTTGCAAGCCACGTTAACCAGTAAAGCCAGTAAAGCCAGTAAAGCCAGTAAAGCCAGTAAAGCCAGTAAAGCTAGACAACGACAGAGGCCAGGGCGGCTGGGATTATTTTGCTTATAGCGTTATCAAACGTCAATAGATTTAGATTTTTTTACTATCAATCGATTCAGAATAAAATTCTGCGTTAATTGTTGCTAAAAATATCTTAATATGCTAACATTTGACAAAGTTATAAGCAAAACAAAAAAGCACGGTAAAATAAATGTTTCTGACCAGGGCGCATTCTGTAATATCTCAATCAAAGCAAGAGATCTGAAATCAAAAAGAGATCTAACAAGAGATCTGATAACGGAACTGGTTTTTTGTCTTAAGAATTCTCCGTATCTGAAACCTCTGAAATCAATAAAAGCCAAGGATTTAGAACAGTAATTCATTGTGACAAAGAAACTGACAACTCAGCTTTTATCACTACTGCCTAAATTCTTGATTCAATAGCCATAAAGTTTAACTTTCTGACTCAAAAGAATCCGTGCAAGAATCAAAAAGCTGACTTCAATCAAAAAAAGAACATAGTCTAGAGAATCAAAGGGAAAAGGATAAAAAAAGGAAGAGAAAGGGCCGAAGTTTGTGACGTCGTCGGGGAGCGACATTAGGCATTCACCCTATGGAATGGAAAAGGGGAAGGGGTGAAGGGACCAAGTCTATTGCAGAGAAGGAGTGCTCGAAGGGGAGGGGACATCAAAGGGCCCCCCTTGGCCCGACCCACAATTTGAGCCACACCTTTTGAGTTTTTTTTTGAGAAAATCGCCGAGAATTCTTTGTTTGATATGAAAGCCAAAGTGCTAAAAAATGAATGACTCTAAAGTTTGTGGGTTTTAGAAAAACGATTCAAGGGAATTGATTCATTTATTGACTAGAGAAAAGAATTGATTAGCTTATCTGTTATCTGTAATGCTTTGTGTTAAAGCTAAAGTTATTCAGTATCAACTGTGAAAATACAATATTTTAGCCAATCGATACACGCAGTACAAGAACTAATCCAAACTAGAGATTTATTGGCAACTAAACGTTTACCAAAGATGCCTAAAGCTATAATATAAACCTAAAATTAACCATAATTAGAACGACTTAAAACTCACAAAAGCTACAATGAAAAATTTGAACTGATGACTACATCAACATTGACTGCAGATTTCTGGTCTGAAAGAGCAAGCCGCAGGACTTAAACATAACAAGTTGCTGATTTATTTGAATTTATACCAAACCAATCCACACATTCCATAAACCTAGTAATACAGCAGAACAAGTAACATACCCACAAGACAGCCATTGTGACTCTGGTAGTACTGGATCGCTGATATGAACTATTTGCTAAAAACGCAATATCAATGAGCCTAACCTATGCGATGGATCGGACCAGGATCACTCTTTGAGTCAAACCCAACCAAATTTTGAATGACTTCAAAAAGCTGACCTGCAACTCTAGAGGCCTAGCCACTTTGATATAAGCTTGTGTGTGAGAGGGTCATTCTTTCTTTGCTAAACTAATTACGGTAGAGTTACGGCTTATCTATTATCATGAATCGATTCCAGCTTCCTCCCCTTCTTCTTCCTCTTCTCATTCTTCCCTTCCTCCATTCGATCGTTTGGGTTTAGCCGTTCTTTTCTATATTTGGTGTCTCATGATGACCGCGGCATCGTCCGAATATTCGTGAGTTATGCAAAAAGAGTTCAAATTGTGCAATAAATGAATAATCTTCAGTATATCGGGTCCTTTAACAAGAGCGATGTATGGCTGGGATTCAGGGGAATTCATTGAAAAGCACGGTTTCATTCAATCCGCTCAGTGTATTCTCTCGGCTGTCGCGGCAATCGTTTTGATAAAAACGAGGGTCAAGAAACTGTGAGTGCATACGATAATCTATCACATAAATAGCTAAACTTCTGGTTTTATATAGTAACGTATTGCCTCTAACAAACGCCGCGTTGTTTAGGTTAGGATAAAGATAAAAAACCTATTTTTATCGTTGATAAAGATAGGTTTTTAACCAATTTTTGGCTCTATCTTTTTAAAAAATCGAGTTTTTAGTCTTTTAAGTCAGTTATGACAGCAATTAAATCCAAACTAAAGTTGTATCGAATTTTGGATCGGTTCCAGAGTATTACTATCAATTACAAATGTTACATAAGAGAAAATGAAAGGATTACTTGCTTAGAAATGCCGCATTTTATCTCATCGCTTTGTTTCTGATTTGGTTTTGTCGAAAAAGATTGATTCCGTTACGGGTTATGTGGATATTTTTGAAATAGAGTTGAATAAAATTTAAGTAAAATCGAAAATGTGAACTGTTTCTTGAGAACTTTTTCGTGATTCATTTGAACAATGAAATTGAATTGGAAATTGAAAGGAAATTGAGTGACGCGGATTCTTTGGAATCGAAATTTCTGTGGTAGCTAAATAACGAAGCTCAAAAAGAAACAACGGTGGCTCTGATAGGTCTGGAAAAAGTGTAGTTTAAAGAATTCGTTGATGATGGGGTAAATGAAGCTGGAGCTAGACAAGAAAAAAAACGAGGAAAAAGGGAGTTGAAGAACTGGAGGTTGAAGAGGTACAGGGAGGGGTGGAAGGGGCCCATCAATGGACCCATTTGGGGGTGGCGGGTCGGCTGGGGGAAAGAGAGGCCAAAGGGGCCCATATAGAGAGATGGCTTGATCGATCCCCAACACTCTCTTTGACTCTCTCTTCAGCCCGTATGGACCCCTTTCACACGACCCCTCTCCTCCCTTCCAGGTGCACCCCTTCATCCAGTTAGCCGCCCTTCTCCTCCGTCTTCAGCTTTCACTTACTCTGAGAATTTCCTCTCTTTTTCTCTCTGCAGATCTTGGCTACTTGGTGAGCAATGGGAGCCACGTTTCCGCTTTGAGAATTTGTCAAAAAATGATGACTAGGGGATTGAAGAGATTTGATGAAAGTTCTAGTGTTCACTAATTTGAGATTATCGTTCATTATCGACTGATTGATTTGATTCCATTGCAGTTCGGAGAGAAGTTTGCAAGTCTAGCAACAGTCTAGCAACAGTTCTGCGTTTGGTCAATACAAGAAACACATCTTTCTGATGGTTTAGATCGAGCCGAAAATAGCTTCGAAATATTCAACAACAACAACAATAGCCACCGAAATTTCGACTCGAAAGAACTCAATTTCCGCCAATTCCTTTCAATTGCCCTTCATTGTTCAAATGAATCACGAAAAAGTTTTCAAGAAACAATGAAAATTTGCCATTTTACTTCAATTTTATTCAATTTTATTCAACTTTATTTCCAAAAATATTCACATAACCCGTAACGGAATCAATCTTTTTCGACAAAACCAAATCAGAAACAAAGCGATGAGATAAAATACGGCATTTAATGCAGTAACCATTTTCATTCCCGTCCATTTGAATAGATAACTGAAATCAAGGATATTTGAGTATTTTTTTATTGAGTAATTTTATAAACCTAGTCGCTAAAGGCCAAAGAAATGAGCAGAGGCTGCCAGCAGCCGTCATCCAACCCTGGATTATACCCTAAAAATTGAGATTTATTTTGAAAAGTTTAAACTTTACGGAGTAGGCTACTTTGCGCCAAATTTTTTTTTACGCAACTCGCCATAACTTTCTTCTAAGTGAGCCAATCTTTATGATTTTGGTGTCATTTTGTTGCACTTATTAAGATCTAAGTCTTTGCTAAAAGGGTGACTGGGAAATGTTTTTATGCGGTAGCCTAATTTCGTTTTTATGCGATTTATGCGGTAGCCTAATTTCCTCCATTTTATTTGTGCAACAGGGTCATTTGTGCAACTCACCGTAACTTTCTCCTAAGTGGGCCAATCTTTATGATTTTGGTGTCATTTTGTTTCACTTACTGAGATCTACAAAATGACACCAAAATCATAAAGATTGGCTCACTTAGAAGAAAGTTATGGCGAGTTGCGCAAATGACCCAGCAGCGCAAACGACCCAGCTGCGCAAACGACTCAGTTGCGCAAAAAATTCGGCGCAAAGTAGCCTATCCGAACTTTACAGCTTACAGTACTTTATTAGCTTATAGATTACAGTTTATAGAATTGACTTTGGGCTAAAGATATTCAGAAAAGAAAATAGTTTTTGACAAATAAGTAGAATGCACTTTTTTATTCTAGCAGCATATATACTTCGTTTTCAAAAATGACAGTATTCCTGTATCTATGTTTTTATCAAATCTACGCTTGGTTGAGCTACATGGCTACAAAAGCTGACATTAACACGCCAGAAAGAATGCGTTTCTATTTTTGACTATTTCCATAGGCAACCTGTTTCCTTGGTCCTATGATAAGCGATGCAAGAGTGTTCGTCACTGATAAACCAATCGAGGCACCCGGTCCATAGCAGAACGCCAAAGCAATTATGTACAATGTCAAGGGGACTCTGAAATTCAATGAAAACCTATAGATCAAACATAACAATCTTTTATCTGTATACTTTGAGCTCTAACATAAACACACCCCTTCTGAGGCACTCAATTCTTCACTAAATCATTACTGTAAGAAAAGGACAAATTGAGTGCCCTAGAAAGGGTGCTTTACATTTTTTTGAGTTTAAAGTACAGCTAAAGTGGCAGTTTTGAAGCAAAACGAGTTCTAGGTTCAGTTTTTTTTGTTTTAAAAACCAACTTCCTTGTGACAGACGGTTCCACATCGGGATCACCGTCCACTTCCGTTGTCCCATTCTCAGTCCCATTCTCAGTCCCATTCTCAGTCCCATTCCCATTCCCATTCCCATTCATTGAGTTTACTGTAAATGATTCAATTTCTTTTCTAATAGTCATTTTTACCGAGTGTTTCATTGTGATGATGTGACAATCTTTGATAGAATGGCCACGGGAAAAGGGTGAGACTCGCAGTGATCAAAAGCGATAAAGCGATGATCATTTGGAGGCGATTGTCACTGCAATTTCGATACAAATACAAACATTGCCTCTAGTAAACGCCGCCTCTTTATTAAAATTTTCTTATTTCACGATAAACGACCGTACCAGCATAGCCTTTTCTGCTTCAACTTTGGGCTTAAATTGAAAGAAAAAGATGTAGATGTAAGTAATCCTTTAATTTTCTCTTATGCAACATTTGTAATTGATAGTAATGCTCTGGAACCGATCCAAAATTCAATACAACTTTAATTTGGATTTAATTGTTGCCATAATTGACTTAAAAAGCTAAAAACTCGATTTTTTTAAAAGATCGAGCCAAAAATTGGTTAAAAATTTATCTTTATCCTAACCTAAACAACGCGGCTTTTGTCAGAGGCAATACGGTACTATATAAAGCAATACGGTACTATATGAAACCAGAAGTTTAGCTATTTATGTGATAGATTATCGTATGCACCCACAGTTTCTTGACCCTCGTTTTTATCAAAACGATTGCCGCGACAGCCGAGAGAATACACTGAGCGGATTGAATGAAACCGTGCTTTTCAATGAATTCCCCTGAATCCCAGCCATACATCGCTCTCGTTAAAGGACCCGATATACTGAAGATTATTCATTTATTGCACAATTTGAACTCTTTTTGCATAACTCACGAATATTCGGACGATGCCGCGGTCATCATGAGACACCAAATATAGAAAAGAACGGCTAAGCCCAAACGATCGAATGGAGGAAGGGAAGAATGAGAAGAGGAAGAAGAAGGGGAGGAAGCTGGAATCGATTCATGATAATAGATAAACCGTAACTCTACCGTAATTAGTTTAACAAAGAAAGAATGACCCTCTCACACACAAGCTTATATCAAAGTGGCTAGGCCTCTAGAGTTGCAGGTCAGCTTTTTGAAGTCATTCAAAATTTTGTTGGGTTTGAGTCAAAGAGTGATCCCGATCCATCGCATAGGTTAGGCTCATTGATATTGCGTTTTTAGCAAATAGTTCATATCAGCGATCCAGTACTACCAGAGTCACAATGGCTGTCTTGTGGGTCTGCTACTTGATCTGCTGTATTACTAGATGAATGGAATGTGTGGACTGGTTTGGTACAGACTCAAATAAATCCGATATCAATGGATTTCAATAAACCTTTGTTTCGGGACGGGTATCATTTTCCAAATACCTGATCTGACCAGAAAGAAGCAAATTTCGGTACCAGAAAACCAAATGGAACTGATATCAGATCTGGGTACTACTTTTAAAAGTTCGGCTTTCACTTACGACCATAAATATTTAGGTATTACTTGTAGATAATAATTACAGTACAACATGATCCCTATCTATCGACCTCTCTATCAGTTTGTCTACCACTCGTATTTCTGATTCTTCTCTAATCTCACAAGCTACTTTTAACCACTCTTGAATATCCCCATTCACTGACCATTATTATTCGGATCCTCATCAATGACTCCCGATAAATTCTCTTCAAAAAAGAGCAAAATGATCATAATGATGAGCAAAGAAAGGAATGACATCACAAAAGCCGGCACAGTGTATTCATTGAAGACAATCACATCGAAGATTTTCCTCTCTTCACCGATGAAAAGAAATAACATCTGAAAAGATTTTGAAGTGTCTTTGAGGTTGATCGAGTATCTCACTTGTACAACGGGTCCTAATGACAGTCCCAATGTCAATCCAATTGATAGAAGCGCTCCTCCTTCAAGCCGATCCTCTTCCAAACTGTTCATCGTGACGAATGTTCGTAAAATTCCGATGGCGCCTAGAATTTTGAAATATTTTGCCTTCTGAAAAGTGCTCTCTAAAAAAGCTACTGTAATCCCACTGTCGTTTTAATTACAATAATCCCGTCCACTGAATCCACGACTTTTTAGGATTTTAGGACGCATTGACACACAAAAATTATAGTGCACTTAATTCTTTCTTATTTAAAATAAAAAACAAAGAAAGTCTAAAGAATCAGTGCACCAGAAAGAGCGCTTTTACGCTTTTGAGCACAAAGTTCACACCAGTTTTCACTTGACTCACTTGAAGCGAATCCTAGACAAATCCTCGAGAAAACCAGGACATAAAGATCCATTCCACTGGGAAATATTGGAGCTAAAGCATAAAGGAAATTGCCTAAAAAAAAGATATTATCTAAATTTTCTCATTTAATACCGAAAAACGTGACGATAAAACCGCAAATGAGTGGCTGTTTCGAGTTGATTTTTTCTTGCCACCAACCGAGAAGGGGATCCGCCTGCAAAATGGGGATTGGATTAGGAAGCTTAAGCTTTAAAGTTACACTAACTACACTGTAAGTATCATATAAAAGTATTCCGTAAAAGAAATCGAAAAAAAAACGCACGAGAATCGATCCGAGACTCGTCGACGCCATCGCCCAGCCCAACCACTCGACGTTTGAGCGACCCGTTAACTGAAAATTCAATCTTTCTTTGTATTCTTATAGCTAGTTAAGCTTTCTATAGCCTTAAAACTAATGTAGTGTTTTGTTGACAAAAATGCGCTATTTGCAAACTTTTTCCGAACATCGATTTGGGTAGAAGCCTTAAAGAATGCCTAGCTACCGTAATCCAGCCCGGATCTTCCTAGTATCATATAAAACTGTCATAACCCTTATAAAAACCGTAGCAACTATACGGTTTGATGCAGATAATAGTTGGGTTACGGGTTACGGTAATCGAAGCACTTTTAAGACACCTACAGTATTTACTCTAATAAAAGCCTCCCCTCGAAAATTACGTTTCGACGTTGCGACGCAATTACGACGGGCACTTCGTTCTTCTGCTACAATCTCTTCTCTTGTTCTTCTGCTACAATCTCTTCTATTGTTCTTCTGCTTTATTCTACAATCGATAGCCCTTGAATTCAGCTATCTTTTGATACCAAAATCATAGTTGGGAAAAATCTGGGGGCTGTAAACAAATTTGTAAACAAATTTCTCGACTACGCGACTGTACGAAGGGAGCTTTTATTAGAGTGAATACAGTAACTGAGTCGATATTCGGAGAAGTTTCCTTGACGAACTATAGGTTACGGTGACTCGAGACACTTTTTAAAGCCCCTAGTCGATAGCGTTCAAAAATCAGAACCAAAAGAGCGTTTACTCAAGACAAAACCCACGAATTGAATATAGGGCCAAAGACTCGTCGCATAAAGTGTCATGTTGAGTGCGGCGATTCCGATGATTCCACACGAAAGATAGATCGATCTCCATCCCGTTCTTCGTTTCTTCTTCGATGTCGTTGATTGCTTTGAGTCTCTAAAAGGCCACATTTTAACAATTTCCACTCAAATGTCTCAATTTCGATCTAAAATGCACTTTCTCGGTGTTCACATAACCATTTCCATTTCTTCTGCCCGCCAGACTGAGCTTTTTATCAGTGAAAAGGTCAAAAAGCTTTTTTTTTCAAAACAAACAAACAAAATTGATTAAGTGAATAGCTTAAGATTATGGCAAAATCCCAATCAAATGAAAATTTCCATTGAAAATTACAGGTTTTTTTCGGTTGTTTTCCCCAATCGAACCCTCAAAATCGATGAAATCAAGCGTAAAATGGAATGTTTATCTTCAAATCATTAGTTTTAAACAAAAAGTTTAACTAGTTTTAAAAAAGAAACCTCGTATAATACTAGATTTTCATTTTTCTCTAGCTACAGTAAACCGGGAAAGAATAACACTGAATTTGTTTTTCATTGAGGAAATGTTGATTGAAATTGAAAGATGTTCATTTTGGAATAATAATAATAATATTCACTTCTGGAATATTGTAAAGAGGGAAGAGACTGGCTATAGTAAGAGTAAAATGACCCTGAGGAAAAGTCTCTGAAGAAAATGTGCCAGAATGAAGCGCGTTTAGGCGAATAGATTCAAAATAGAATCCTCTATAGAATGTTTGCAAAAAAAACCCCTCAAAGCTACAATAATCCAAGTACTCGAAAAGCTCTCTGACCTCAATCGATACGAAAAAAGTCGGTTGGTCATCTGAAATACAAATGAAATAGGAAAATTTGCCGAAACGTTAACTGAATATTTTTGAAACAAAAAAAAATGTTTGAGAGAGATTGAGGGATCCTATTTTCGTGTCAAAAACAAGGACAACCCCTCAAAAAGTTGATGATTTCTCGTGTCGGGATTCCCCTTTACTATTTGCTTACATAAATTCAAAAGAATTTCAATTACCCTTCCACTTTTTCCTCAAAATTCTCCTTGTCTTCATCACACAATCTGTGTTTATCTTTTGACCTTTTCTTGTTTTCTTACTCGAGAAAAGGAAATATTTATAGGTCTTTCATCATTTCTTTTTTTGATTTTTTGAGATTGTTTGTGAGTTTTTTTTAAAAGTTTGAATCGTTTAGGAAAAATGGAGTAATCTTTCAACGAATTTTATACAAAATCGTTCATTTTTCTAAAAGGTATCTATTTTAAGAAATTTGCTGTAATCAAACTACCAATTTTCATTCAATTAGCTCAATTTTTTGTATCATTTTGACATTGATGAGCTTTCGTGATTCCTCATTGAATAAAACTAAATCGATTTAATTGAATGTAAACTAAAAACTTTGATATGGTAATTCACACAAATAGGTATCTATTTTAAGAAAACTGCCGTAATCAAACTACTAATTCTCATTCAATTAGCTCAACTTTTGTATCATTTTGACATTGATGAGCTTTGTGATTCCTCATTGAATTGATTGATTCCTCATTAATACTAAATTTCCTTTGATTCCTCGTTGAATAATACTAAATCGATTTAATTGAATGTAAACTAAAAACTTTGATATGGTAGCTCTCACAAATAGGTATCTTTTAGAAAAATGAAAAACGCATTCTTATCACCAAAAGTATCTCAATAACGGAAGAGATTTTTGAACTGAAAAAATGATCGGTTTAGAGCTTGAGAACATTGGAATATTCAAATAAAGAATTAAAATGACTGAAATAGATAACAAGATTACAAATTAACCCTATAAAATCGACAAAAGCAACAAATTTTGATTTGATATTGGCTAAGTGTTTTTCCTTAAATACCCCCTTGAACGAATCATCAGAAAATCTTACTCATCTTCATATTTTGTAGTTGAAAAACAAGCTATTCTTTTACTTTTTGTGTTTAAATGTTTTTGAGCTACTTTGTGACTTTACACACAGAAAAGTTAAAAATATCTCGCTTTTTTCCCTTCTTAGAATCTTTTATTGACCATTTTTTCTATGAACTTTTGTCAAACAATCAGTGCATTTTTCTTTTTATATTACTCATCTGTTTTGTTAAAATTTGCGGAATCGACGAGTTCAAGAATTTATAAGAAAATTTTTCAGCTCTAATAGATCTAAAGGTTAAAATTCTTGAGTTTCACGTTTTCCATTCGGCGAAATGTAAGTTCAACGAGAATTCGCAGACAGGCAACGATATGGTGTCTAAATTTTAACATTCAAAAAAGTTAAAATTGATCCTTCAAGCCCAGCTGCAGCTTTGTACAGCGGTTTGGGCTCTTTTTCTTCTTGGAGTCCTCACAAGTTTTCGACTTTAGATCAGCATTCTGAAAGGGAACAGACATTTGAAAAATTTATATGTAAACTTACCGATTTTCTCGACAAAGCCTTTCTTCATTGTCTGGTTTCTGTCTGGTGTCTGCAAATTTCCCTTTTTTTGATTGCTTATTGCTGGCTACAAATAAACAAATGAGTATTAATCAAACAGAAAATGTGAGCTAGTTTAATGAACAAAATTTCCTAAAATCAAGTAATCAAATAGTACCACGGATCGGTGGTAGTGGCAGTTGACTAAAGGATCTCCAAAAACTACCCAAACCAATAAAACTCACGGTTTAAAAACTTTTTCATGAAAAAAACAAAAATTAACATTAACAAATTAATTCTCTAGATTGCTTTCAACAATTTGGTTTAGTTCTTCTCGAAAATATCTCCATGGACAGCTGCGCAAGCGGCGAGACGTTTAAGCCATCGATCATGGCCAGAAGACACACAGGATCGAGTTCAGCCCAAGCTTTCTGCAGTGATTTTTTTCAGTGAATCAATGCTTGAATGCGCTTCTGAGCAGGCCGTTGCTTCGAAAACACCCCAGTCTGAGTAATTCATCGGATTTAAATCGGGACTTGATGGTGGCCACTGCTTAAAGCTGATGAAATCCGGGAAGTTTCGTTCACAACACTCTTGAACAATTCGGGCTTCGTGGGCAGGCGCCCCATCCTTTTGAAAGCACCAAATTTTGTTTCCGAAGTGTTTTTGTGCCTAAAAAGTAGCAAAGATAGTCAACCCAAAAGCGCGGCAAACGTAAGGTTGGTTCGGGCAATTTTGGGGCACTCCACATCCGCACGAAAGTGCGTTTTCTCATGAAAAATTTCTGTTTTCAACGTTTTTTATGTCAAAATTTTGTCCTAAATCCAAAAATCAACTTTATTTTGAAATCCCTCTGAAAGATTTTTTGAAAATTGGGTTTTTCAAAAAAAGCAAAATTTTAAAAACTTACTTTGATAAAATTGCTTTAGACTGAGATCTCGTCGACCGATCTTTTTCAATGAAGTATATTCTGAAAATAGACAATTTAATTGATATTTTGTTTATAATAAGTCAGAAAGTCATACTTATAATAGTCGAGATTTTTCTGCTGGAAAAGTATCAAAAACTCAAAAACAAAGTCAAAGTTTTGGGGTCTCGATCTCAAAAAATATCCACTACGCAAAAAATTCTGTTCAATAATTTTTATTTGTATACGCTTCGTAAAGCTTTCACTTCAAAAAGTATGAAAAAAAATTCATTCTGCGCAAAGTTATACCTTTTTTTTTCTACCTTTAGGTCAAAAAAGGGGTTGTTTTTCTATAATGTGCCCCAACTACCGTACCCCTCAAAAGCTTGAAGTGGCAGGAAAGGCTAATATCAAATTGAAATTTTAGGATAAACAACGCCTTTATCGTCGAACGATCTTGCCTTCCCTTTATGCCATCATTTTTTGATTGATAATCACACTTTGCAGTGTGATTGGCAATGAAAGCGGCAGTTAATCAATGTCCGGTGGGGTACTATTGGGTTGGGGAGAATGAGTCGGCGCCGAAAATGAAAAAAATGTCTAAAACTTCTATTCGACTTCGTCAAATAATATGCGTTTGATACTGAGTAGAATGGTTAACTAATTCTCTACAAAATCACATTTAAAAGAAAATTCAAACAGCGCCTCCGCTCAAGAAAAAGCCATTTTTTCACAAAAACTACAAACTGTGATCTAGAAAAAACCATTGGTGGGATCTTCCTGCAAATTTGGCAACTTAAGTAATTCAATGTGCTCTATCTTTTTTATATAAACACCAAAGAAGGTTTATGTGAAAGAAACTGTTCAAATGATGAGTCGGACTCTTTGCCATTTTAACCAGCTGCGTTTGGAAGTTCATAAACTCCACGAAAGAAAAGCTTTGTGGAATCTCTCAAAAGTCATTTTGTAGAGAAATAGTGGATCCTTTTGATGAAACCAAACGTATGTTTAAAGAAGGCTTTATGTGTGCAAAAAGTCCCTTTAAAGCTTGGCGCCGACTCATTCTCCCCAACCCAATATTACAGTATTTACGGTAGGGGTAATTGAGTATCAGGGAACACGGGGAACAGCAATGGTTTGTCATGAGTTTTGAAGGCTTTCCGATTATCACTTACCGTAAATACTGTAATAGTACCCCACCCCCTTTGTACAGTCGCGTAGTCGCAAAAGTTTTTTAGTATTTCATTTTTTTTTCAAAGCGCCCGTACTTTCAAAAAACGCGTCTTTGGTATCAAAAAATAGCCCTGAATTTCAGCTATTTTTTGATACCTAAGCGCGCATTGTAGCATAAACCAGTGTCGAGAAAAACGCGTCCAAAGCTAGACTACGCAACACTTCGCACCGTCATTATGGGGATGGGGTCCAATTACAGTATTTACGGTATATGCTTTATTCAGTTGAATAGCGACAAAACAAAATCACAATAATTACCCGGGACACCACTCAAAACGCACCCAAAAGATAAATAGATACCTCAAGAAAGAGTCAAATCAAAGCAGTCAAATCAATTGCCGAAATTGCGGCTTTAAATCTAGCTAAGGTGGGAATATCACGAACATGAGGGGGTAAACATGGACATTTTCCAGCATAATAATAAAAAAGCATAAGAAAAATCTATATCACTACTCACAAAACATTTTATAACATTTATAACAAAATTAGGGGAAATCGACGAAATGCTGCCGTTTTCTATATCACTATTCACAAATCTAGACAAGGTGGGAATATCACGAACATGAGGGGGTAAACGTGGACATGTTCCAGCATAATAATAAAAATCTATATCACTACTCACAAAACATTTTATAACATTTATAAAAAAATTAGGGGAAATCGACGAAATGCTGCCGTTTTCATTGCCAATTTTTCAAAAGCAAATCTTCTTTTAAATGAAATTGATTTTCAATATATTCTAATTTTCAGTATGCCAGAAAGTAATTACATTTTTGAGTATAAAGTACACATTTTTGAGCATAAAGTCCACATTTTTCGTTACCATCTGTCTTTTTTTCTTTTTTACTCTAAGAAAAGCAAAAACTCGCTCTTTTCATTTATCGATTGTTTATGAGGAAAGCTTTATCGGATTTTTCTTTTCTTTTCGAAAAATCCTGATAAATATTTGCTTTTCTTTGTATTCTTTGTATTTATTTGCTTTTCTTTGCAGAATCTTTGCCCTCTTCAACCTAGTAAAAACCCAAAATTTTTATATGAATTTGTGAAAAAATTATCGAATCTATCCAAAATTTTTTTGAAGTTTAAAAAATTGTTCAATGATTCCGCAATTTTCTCATCAGACTTCATGATGAAATTTTGGGGAATTTCATTTTTTCGTCATCAATTTTCGTATGTAAAACCTTAAAAATCTGATTTTTCAATCTTTTTGTGTCCTCAAAAGTTTCTGAAGTCTCCCAATTCTCCCAATTCTCCAAATGATTCCTTTAGATTCACTTCCTTGATTCCTTCAGAGTCTTGATATTTTTAGAACTTTGAATATCTTAAAAGTTTATTCATTCGATTTTCTCTGATTTTAATTTAATCTTGAAAAGTTTATCTACCAGAAGCTGCAGTAAGCCAACTAAAAAAGCAGTCTGAAGGTAAAGGCTCGATTGAATACTTTATTCTAGAATACTGCAGTTAAACAAGAACCTTCTGATCTGCTCCTGGCCTGAACTGGAAGAATTGTCAGTGAAAGAACAATCCTGATACTTTAATATCCTAGCATCTTTAAATTTATTGATCTATAGGGTTGGCCAAAATTACCGTTACATATAAAAAAGTCTCTGTATAAAAAGCAACTCAAAAGGTCAAAGGTTTTTCTTAAAAATAACTTTTATTGTACAACTCATAAAAACTATTCTTTTTCAAAAAGATCTCCAATAGCTTTTACACAGGCGTCCAAACGTCGTAGAAAAGCGTCGATCGTGGCGAGGAGGTATAGGAGATCCAGCTCTTCCCAAGCCTTTTCGAGCGCTTTTTTCAAACTATCAACAGTTTTGTGTGATTGATAGCGTCAACTGATAGCATTTGTGATTTATTTTTCTTGTAGGCCTTTCTTGTTTTTGATGATTCTTCTAAGGGATGTTCGCTCTGTATCCCCATTCTTTTTGTGGCATTTTCCGCACCGATTAGTTTGGCGTTTTCAACAGGCGATTCCTCACTTTTTTTTGACATTTGATGAAGTTTTTACCGTTCGCTTTCTTCCATTTCGCTTTCGCATTTGCGCGTGAGTGAGGATTGTAACGGTAATTTTGGCCCACCCTGTATGTGACCCTTAACCAAATGTTTTATTTGAAATGAAGTTGAATGCAGAGAACGCTCTCCTCACCGATCCATCGATTCTTCTCCAAAAGAATGGTTCATTACAAACTCCATTACTTTGATTTGTATGGCCGAGCCGAACCAATTCGCATGATGTTCCATTTGGCTGAACAAACATTCGAAGATAGACGATTCAGTTTTGCTGAATGGCCAGAGATTAAGAAAAGTGAGGAAGACAGCCAGTGAAGAGAAGAATTTGCATTGGAAATGTTAAAAATTAAGGCTATAGTTTGAATTATGTACTTCTTTTTGTTCAAAAATGATAAAACACCCCATCTAGAGCACTAAATTTTTCACTTTTCTGAAGATATGCACAGAAAATGAAGATTTTAGTGCGCTAGAAAGGTTGTGCTTTAATTTTTGACCACAAAGTACACATCAATCAAGAATAAAGTATTTGAATAATCAATTTTTTTTTGAGAATTCAAATTTCCAGATGAAACTCCGTCACTTTTCCTTTTTGGTCAAGGCCCAATTCTAGAGGTGGATGACAAGAAAATCGCTCAATCTCTCGCCATTTATCGCTTTGTGGCAAACACTTTTGGTAAGCAATAACTTAAAAGTTAAAAATTATTTCTCAAACTTTCATCAAAGGTTTTACAGGTTTTGCCGGGAATTCTCTTATGGATCGAGCCCAAATGGACATGATTGTTGATTATTATACGGTTAGGGAATTCGAATTACCGTATTTTCTCTAATAGTAGTGCACCCTGAGCGTCGCCTAAATTCCTTGAAATCTCGAGAACCGCTTATCAGAACCTATCAATGTGGGGTCGAAAAATGTAGCTGACGATGAGATCTAGTGGAGGATTTGAGTGTTCAGTTTCTGTGAAAGCTTGGAAACCGTAAAATGGGCATCAACTCGGCTGCACTACTATTAGGGGAAATAAGGCAAAATTCTCGCCGATTGGTATAGTTTGATTAACTAGGAAAAGGGCAAACAGTTAGCACCCATCAATCTGATTCTCAATTTCAAAATGGCAATATTTCTGAAATTTCTGAAATTTCTGACTTTTGACTATTTCGGATAGTTTTTACCGTATTTTCTCTAATAGTAGTGCACCCTGAGCGTCGCCTAAATTCCTCAAAATCTCGAGAACCGCTTATCAGAACCTATCGATGTGGGGTCGGAAAATGTAGCTCACGATGAGATCTAGTGGAGGATTTGAGTGTTGAGATTCTGCAAAAGCTTGAAAACCATAAAATAGGCATCAACTCGGCTCGCTCGAGTGCACTATTATTAGAGAAAATACGGTAACTGAGCTCTCTCCTTTTCCTCATCTAAATTCTATTTTTAAAACCAATATTTCAGGATTATTTGACAAAAATTGCCGATTGGTATGTGGTGAAAGCGGGCTACAAGCCGGGTGATGAGGTTCGTTGCTGGTCAAGCTATTGCAAAGTTTCAGCCAAAGAACAATGTCAGCCTATACCTTCACAGCATTAATCTAAGCTTTCTATCTGTTTTCAATGTCTCGTTCCGGTTAAACGGGTTATGATAGCTGGGATTACGGTAGTCTGGACAAGCTTTAGAGAGCACACTCGGCGTTCGGATAAAAAACAGAATCGAAATTTTCCAGGAAGAACTCCGAAAAACCCTTCTTGATCCAAATCGGAAGATTTTCTTCGAGAATCTTCAAGGATTCATCGAAAAAGAAGGCACTGGATATATCGTGAGTTAAAACGTTTGTGTTCTTGTAAACCAAACCTTTCTGGCACATTCAATGCTTCATTTCTTGAAAAAAATGAAGATTGAGTGCGCAAGAGAGGGTGCATTTCAATGTTTGAGCATAAAGAGCATGAACAAAGGGGCAAAGGGTACGGTAGCTTAAGGCATCTTTTATCTTTTAGATCTTTTAAAAAACGGCTTTAGCCATGATAAACCGCAAGATCTAACTTTGATCTAACTCTATGAAAATACTTAAAAACAGATTTTATATCTAAAAACGTTATCTAACATTGTCTCTTAATGCTAAAGAGTTCAAATTGCAGGTCGGAGACAAAGTTTCTTACGCCGATTTGACTCTCCTCAATCACATCGATATTTTCACGAGAAATTACGATGAATATCTTCACGGATATCCTGTGGTAAGTGCCAAAAGCTATACAGGGTTTCCGGAAAAAAGTGGTCATCGGTTTGAGGCTGGAAAAATTTTCTCGTTAATTTTTCAGGGTTCATCGTGGTGTCAAAAATGGTTTTGCCTCAAGCGTCACACAACAAGATCTAGTTTTTTTAGAGGATTTTGTGAATGCATCGTGAATGGGGGTCATGCATCGGCCGGAGAGCTCAAAATCCACGTATAAAGTACATGAAAAAGTACTTTTGAATTCCTCTATTTCAGCACAAATCTTTCGACTTTTTGTTTCTATAAATTTGTTTTGTTCTTTGAATGTTCTTTGAGTGTTCTTTGAATGTTCTTTGAATGTTCTTTGAATGTTCTTTGAATGTTCTTTGAATGTCCTAGCCACAATTTCAGTTTGCATTGTTGGATTGGTTGTTTCAAAAATCTTCAAAATATGGTTAATTTTTGAACGAGAAAACCTTCTTGTTGCTGCTTTCTCAGGACCGACTTTTTAGGAGTTCTCTTATTTTCAAGATCCTAATATCAAAACTAATTTACAGAAACAAAAAGTTGAAAGATTTGTGCTGAAATAGAGGAATTCAAAAGTGTGTTTTTCATGTATACCTTATAAGTGGATTTTGAGCTCCCCAGCTGATGCATGACCCCCATTCAGATGCATTCACGATGCATTCACAAAATCATCAAAAGAATTAACTAGATTGTTGTGTGACGCCTGAGGCAAAACCATTTTTGACACCATGATGAGCCTTGAAAGATTAACGAGAAAATTGTTCCAGACGCAAACCGATGACCACTTTTTTTTTTCGGACACCCTGTATTTTGTTGAAAAGTCTCAATTTTCAGATGCAAGACTACGTGTCCCGTCTGCGAAATCTCCCGCTACTCCGCGAGTATTTGGCCGAAAGACCCGATCGACCAAGATAACAATTTCGATTTCTTGTTCAAAATACTTGACTCTTTTTGTCCAATAGAATAATTTTATTGTTAAACTTCATGTTTATATACAAATAATAGTCATTTTTATCGTTTTCCGTTCACTCATCCACTTCTGAAAGATGAGATTCACCCTGAAAGTAGTTATTTATTAAAATTTTATACTTTTTACTCAAAAATGCAAACGTACCATCCCTAGCACATTAAAATCTTCAATAAATCTTCGTTTTCAAAGCTTTTACTGTAAAAAAATGTTGGTTTAAATTTATGAGTAAGCCAAAAATTTGAATACAAACCATTAATGAGGCTCGAATCTCGGGAAATGTGCGTCCCTTTGTCTCGGGCAATTTCCAATACAAAACGATTAGGCAAAAAATGAGTGATGGAAGAAAAAGGAGAATGTATGTCACCGAGGCACCGATTGCGATCTTCATTGGCAGGAAAATGGCGAGAAGGATTGAACGACTGAAATTTTGATGGCTAGATCTTTCATCTTTCAAATGAACCCACGTCACTCCTAACACCAAATTGACCCATGTGGCGGCCGCTGGTCGAGCATTTGAATCGACCAGCTCGGAGACCAAAAAGAAACAAAGTGGACCAATCGAGATACAACAGAGAAAGATGAAGAGACAAATCGTCATCACAAGAGCCCAGCCAAGGGTCGAATTCTGGAAAAAGTACAAATATTTTACTCTACATTGATCAATGGAAATTATCCAATAATTAAAAGGAATCCCTATCTCTTTTCTCCGGAAGAATCTACTGTATCTAAAGGGGCTAAGACGTCTGTCTGTCTGTCTGTCTGTCCGTCTGTCTGTCTGTCTGTCCGTCCGTCTGCCTGTCTGTCTGTCTGTCCATCTGTCTGTCCGTCTGTCTGTCTGTGCGCGTTACTCCTCAGCCTCCATAGGACCGTTTGCAATGATTTTTGCGGCGTTGAATAGGGAATTATATGTAGTTGTGCAACGTGCTTTTGTGTTTTGAAAAGGCACAATTTGAGTCGCACGGGGAGGTCGAACCCGGATCGTATGGGCGATAGCCCGGCGCGATCGACTGCTCCACGGCGACAAAAGCCGTTGATCTTAAAACATCTAGAAAAACCCGTTAGACGGGTTTCTCGGCTGGTTGTCAATGAAAGAACAATCCTGATACTAAAATCTGAGTCTTTTCTCTTACCATAAAGTAGCTGCTAAGACTGAATATCTTTCTTGTCCTTATCCCAATTCCAACCTTCTTAAGTTCTTTTTGTTTTTAAAGTAAACAAATAATTTCTAACACATTAAACTCAGCTTTTAAGTATCAAATCCAATAGAAACACTGTAAAAGTGTACTACAATATACTAAAGTGAATATCTTTCAAACAAATGCCACGTTTTTTTTCCCCAATTTCACCTGAGTTTTCTCAAAGCCGAACATGAATCCAAAAATAGCACAATTCGCAAGCGAACACCCGAGAATCCCCAGCAACACCAGCGGCCTTCTTCCCATTCGATCGACCACAAAACCAGCTGATAAAACACCGAACTGAAATTAAAGCCTTTCAAATATTTATCTTGAACTTCTCACCACAGAAATCACACATATTCCCACATTTGCATACGAGGCCGCGTCAACGGAGAGACCCGTATTAATAAGGATTTCGACGGCGAAAGCGTTCACGACTGAAAGAACACTCAGTTATGGTACATTTCACTAGAATGTCTTTTAGTTACGATAGTTCTATTTTAAACGAAAAGAATGGCCTAACTTCAAACAATTTAGACTCTAGATACTGCCAAAGTTGGAATATTTCCAATCAAACTTCTCACTTTACACAATGATTTTTCTTTTCTTCTGTAAATGACTCCTAAATCACATTTATTGTTGGGAATTTGTGCCCCGGGGTTTTCGGAGTCGTCGAGAAAATAACGGATTCTTCCCACCACTTCTTCCACTTTACGGATTCCACAAGACCTAGCTATGGAGAGCGATTACGCAGGTGCATAAAGAACACCTCGCCATTCACTTTACACAATGATTTTTCTTTTCTTCTGTAAATGATTCCCATTTAATGTTAAAAATTTGTGCGCCCGGAGTTTTGAGGTTTGTAGAACCTATTGGCTGAGTTTATTTTAACACTTCGTGTTATTTTAACACTTCGTCCCAAGGAAAGTCCCAAGAGAATCGAATTGGCTTTGGGTTTTGCATGATAGCTTTTCACACTGAAAAGACCCGGATTTAAAACCCTGATTTCTGAGAAGAACTCATTTTTGGATACTAGTAACTTTAAAATGAAATGCGAACCGACAAGCCCGCTGAAACACATCGCAAACATCACCAAACACCCTAAAATCGTGCCGATCGCCGCCGATTTGTGCTTGAACACCTGAAATCGGATTTGAAGTTTAGAATTATTATAGAAAATTGGATATAGGAATATCATTGAATTGTATTTCAATTTTAGACCTTAACCCCAAAAATCTTTACCTCAAAGAGTCCCAAATCTCTCGCGTCGTTTACACGATTTTCCGCTTTGAGGAGAAGACGTGCCTGCAAAAATCACTTCTAGTCTGCCAGAATGGCTGTGTTTCTAATTGTGAGCATAAAGTACACAAACAGTATAATAATTCTTATTAGTGTACCTCATCTTTCGATATTCCATGATAGAATTGAATGCTTTCTTCAGCCGCTTCTTTTTGGCCTTTCAATTGAAGAACGCTAAAATCATTTGAGCATTTTTTTTGCTTTAAATTTCACACATTAATATTTTCTTACTTCTTTCATAAATTTAATGTTCTCAATATTTGCTTGAAGACTTTGATGAGCTCTTTTTGAGAAGCTCTTCCTCAGCTCTTTCCTCAGCCCTTTCCTCAGCTCTTTCCTCAGCCCTTTCCTCAGCTCTTTCCTCAGCCCTTTCCTCAGCTCTTTCCTCAGCTCTTTCCTCAGCTCTTTCCTCAGCTCTTTCCTCAGCACCCCTTCCCGTATTTTCCAGAATTCAATAAAACGATAAACAATAAATATTCAATGAATCAGTTCTTGTTTTTTCTTTTTTCCTTCTTTTCCATAAATATTTCCCAACCTTGGACTCTCAGGCAAAAAGAATGAAATCGAGATGACAAAGATGAGTTCGATCAACTCGATCGCGTACAACTTCCACCAGGAATCTGTGTTTCCCCAAATCTGAAAGCTTTCATCTCTAGAAATCCCACAATCGTTTTTTCAAATTTCTGAAACTTTGCCTACACATCGGATAGTGCCGATTTCTATCTGTAGACAAAGCTTCAGAATAATCTGCCAAGAAATAACCAGGAAAAAAACGATGGAATTAGTTTCGGTTGAAATTTTTGCATTTTTATTATAGATATTCGCACTATAAACTACAAAAATGACGACCTATCACACTACAAACGCTTCTAAATTCCTTCAAATCTATCGGATTGACATGATCTATAGCTCAAAAAATAGAGAATCTCAAGAGCTTTTGAATAGACACACTTAGAAATATGAATGCTAATGAAAGTTACAATGGCTTGTAGCCTGACTCGATGGCTTCGACTACGCGCAAGTACGATCCGTTTCGAGTCAGGCTACAAACCACTGTAACTTTCATTAGCATCCATATTTTCGGTATGCTTTAGTTTATTCAAAAGCTCTTGAAATTCTCTATTTTTTGAGCTATAGATCATGTGAATCCGGTAGATTTGAAGCAAATTAAAAGCGTTTAAAGTAAACCCCACTTTCGGCAAGGCGACAATCGCCGCGACGACGATAAACGATTGCATGATGAGGCCGGTTGACAGGGAAATTACTCCGCGACAACGCGTTGGACTGAAGATCATTAAAGATTTGTGAAAGATAAAGTTAATTCAGCGGCTAATCGAGTCAGTGAAAATGTATGAATGAATCTTTTTTTCTCACCTGCATTCCACAATGTACATCGGACCGATTCCCAAGGAAATCGCTTGAGCGACACCCAAAAGAAGCCGCGAGATTCCGTAGATTATATAATCATTCATCTAAAAATATATATTTAAATAGATTTCCTTTCTCCATAACTTACATAATATGCAAAAAGAGCTAAAATGATAGCCCCAACTTGTCCCACATTCACGACTGTCAACGCGTGTTTTCGACCGAGTTTCTGCGAGAGAGTCTAGAATTTTTTTCAAAAATTTAAACAACTACAAATAGTAACAATATTTGATATTTAGTTAAAGTTTGATATTATTATTACAATACCTGAATGAAGTATTATTACAATACCTGAATGAGCAGCGCTCCAACGATCGTCCCCCAATACAAAATCGAGACGATCAATGACCAGAGAGTCTAAAGTTGAGGAAATACAGTACTGGACAATGAAATATCATATTTGAAAAAAGATCGTCACTTTCGCGCGTCTGTAACTCCGTTGTCTTTGAGTTTAAACTATTAGTGTTATACATTTTCTGAAAGCTCTTTTCAAGGGCTACACAATGGTAATATTAATATTTAGAAATACGGCAAAGACAAGGGAGTTACAGACCCGCGAAAGTGACGATCGTTTTCCAAATATGATATTTCATTGTCCAGTAGTGTAGCTTCTTTTTAAGCTTTTCATTACCTCCAATTGATTTGAATCCAATCTTTCTTCGTGTTTTTCGTAAAAAGATCCATTCAGAAATTGAATGAAAGCTTCTTGAGCGGGATTTGTGATGATCAGATGATAGGCGAAATTCGCTGGAAAGTAGAGATTGAATGGCGATGCTAGATCACTAACAATAAGATCATTCAAATTTCCCATTCAACACAGCTTTAATACCTTTCATTTTGCTATTAGAGCTAAGTTCTTTAGTATACTTTACTAATAATAAGCCAGAAATAGAGTATAATATATTGGGTTGGGGACTATGACTCGGCGCCAAACTTTAAAGGGACTTTTTGCACACATAAAGCCTTCTTTAAATATACGTTTGGTTTCATCAAAAGGATCCACTATTTCTCTACAAAATGACTTTTGAGAGATTCCACAAAGCTTTTCTTTCGTCGAGTTTATGAACTTCCAAACGCAGCTGGTTAAAATGGCAAAGAGTCCGACTCATCATTTGAACAGTTTCTTTCACATAAACCTTCTTTGGTGTTTATATAAAAAAGATAGAGCACATTCAATTACTTAAGTTGCCAAATTTGCAGGAAGATCCCACCAATTGTTTTTTCTAGATGACAGTTTGTAGTTTTTGTGAAAAAATGGCTTTTTCTTGAGCGGAGGCGCTGTTTGAATTTTCTTTTAAATGTCGTTTTGTAGAGAATTAGTTAACCATTCTACTGATATCAAACGCATATTATTTGACGAAGTCGAATAGAAGTTTTAGACATTTTTTTGGTTTTCGGCGCCGAGTCATAGTCCCCAACCCAATAATATTGTATCTGTAAGCCAATATAAAAGTGTTCGACACCTTATAAAGTCAATAAAATAGTGTTCAGCCTTATAAAGTAAATAAAATATTCAGTTTTATTGCCTAAATACCTTTTATTTTGGGTACTGTAATGAGATCGACTGATAGGCTTATTTCAAAGGCAACTTTCTGCGTCAGACAAGTTCAGGCCTGATTTCTGCTTTCTTCTTGATTTCTGCTTGATCTGGCCCAGTTTACAAACCCCTTTCTTGACCTTACAACTCGACTACAACTCCTTAGATAACCCCTGCATACTAGAACTTTAGATAATTTTCGATTAGCTGAATCTCTTTACCCGATCCACCCAAACTGACGACAAGTGCCGTCAATGCAAGATTTGTGCCTGGAATCGACGATTCTGATCTGAAATTTCGAAAAGAATTAAAACCCAAAGAAAAAAAGTGAAATACCTCTTCTCAGCCATTGAAATTTGATCTAAAAATCTAAATTTAAATTGAATTTTGAAGAAAAACGCTAAAAGAAAAAAGGCTTTTTGGCTCAAAGAATGGCATGTCAGATAAGAGGAAATTCGCAATTGGATAAAAGCCAACATGTCAAAAAATCTTAAGATTTTCATTATTCAAAGTTGTGTCTGAAACATTGAAGCCCATTTTTGTGAAGTTTATCACTCTTTTGTTTTGACGAACTTTCAAAGATGAACTTTTTCGTATACAATCACTTCAAAATATAATTTGATAAAGGGGAAAAAGCTAAAAAGCTAAAGATTTTGTTTATATTCACGGATTGATAGGGAAAGAAAAGAAGTCTGCAATGGAAAAGAAAAGAAATGGGAATGTGATTGGGAAAACAACAGTTGGTCAGACGAGAGATTCGGAAAAGAAACAACAAATCGAACAATCAAACGAATGATTGAGTCTGAACAAAAAGGCTGATCTGTCAATCTGTTAAAGGTTTCACTTTATGGTGTACTTTGTGCTTATGAAAGCACACCTTCAATCTGGCACACTTGGTTCTTTATTTTGCTAACATCACCACATTGCTTTTGTGAGAATTGAGTGCGCAAGAAAGGGTACGTTTGCAAGTTGTAAGCACAAAATACACAGATAAACACTACTTGCTCGGGAACTTTAACTCTTCGGATTCAAAGTATAGAGTTCAAATTATTCAAATTCAAAGTATTGCGACTTTTGAGACAATTTGTTTTCATTTCACGTTACACTACGACACATTACACTTAACAACTCCATATTAATACCAAAAAAGCTGATCTAGTTGAAGATCCATCCTTGAAGATGAGGAAAATTGTGCTTAAAACCGGGAACACATCCTTTTTGGTGCACCAGTAGCAGGTTTGTTCCAAAAGATGATTTCTCTGGCACAAACCAAGTCCGAATTCAGGTTCTGATTTTGCTTGGCTTTACTGCAAACCTTGTCCACAAGAAACGGTCCAGAGATGATTTCTAGACTGGGACAGGCCTGGGCTAAGCCTGGGCTAAGCCTGGAAGCTTAGGGGCCAATCTGAATATTCCTTCTCAATGCTCCAGAAAACATTTTTTTACTTGTTTTTGAAGGCCAAATACACTATAAACAAATTTTTTTGATTAAAAATATGCTTCCAAAATAGTCGATAGTTGAAAAGTGGCTCGATAACTAGCTCGAATTTCAATCTGAAGAAAATCCCCTTTTTTGACGCCTTTTGTTTTCCCAAATTTCTTCCAAAATATTTATTTCCATGAAATTTTTGATAAATCTTCTTTTGTCCATCGTTGAACTTTGATTAAATTTAAATGGAAAAAAATATTTCTCTAAAAATTAACCTGTACCAACACAAAGGAACAAAAAACCCGTTGAAATTTGAGGAATGACAAGAAATGAAATGATAAGCAACCATTTGTTCGGAAGATTCTGAAAATTTTGAGGATATTCTAAAGTTCACTTGCTTACAGTATCTCAGGAGCTGAAGTAATGGATAAACTTCATAATTTGCCAATGACAAAGCCGATGGACCGGAGAGATTTCCGAGAATGCCGTAGATTGGAGCTGAATTTTGATTGGGATTGAAATGTAAACACACTCTTTCTCACATAATACCCAAAAAGGTATAGATTTTAACCTCCTCAAGAGTTCAAACCAATCGATGTGAGAATGCCGGTGAATTGAGTGCTCATTGAGAGGATCGATGTGAAATGACCGGGAAGAGCACAGGGAAGAGTTGAAGGGATTACTGTGGCTTGGTGGTTGTTCCAAATCACTTTTCTGGAAAGGCCAGAGCTTGGCTTAGCTTCTGTTCTCTCTGATTTGCAGGATTGTTCCACCTTAGAGTTCGTAAGTCAGGTCAAAAAAGCCAGAGCAGTCAAAACCTGACTTCTGGCAAATTCATATACTTTTTGTGGGTGAAGCCACGACTATCTGGCCTAGCTTTGCTTTGCTTTTGTCCCTGGCTCCACTAGAAGCCGTGGTGGGGTTTTGGCTTGACTTCACCTGACTTACAGAGACATCTCTGATTTGGTGATCAAACTAACTTTCAAAAAAAACCTAGTTCTTTTAGCATACTGTAGACTTATAGCATTTTATAAAAGAGTACTCACCAAAGAATATCAAAATAGGCACAAGTGGGAGAATGCCAGAATCATTCGGTAGAACAAATGGCAAGATGAAGGCAAGTGATGTGCCAAATAAATCTGAAGGGCTATTTTTCTTTTTAAAAAGTTAATGTAACTGATTGTTTGAAACATTTTCCCAAAAATTGTCGTCTTTTCCGTTTCTTTTTAAAGTGATCGGCTAATGGAGAGAGGAGATTTTTGGCAATCAATTGAGAACAAAATGGGATCATCATCAGGAAGTCATTCCAAAGTTTGATCCCATTTTAAGCACTTCTTAAGTATTCTTTTTTAATACAGTGAACCGGATTGAGGTATTCGGTCATTCCTAATGTATGTTTTCTCGATTAGGCTTTTCTAAAAGGTACGTTTTCGTAAAGCCAAGCTCGTGAAGCTTTCGTAAAGCCATTGTACTCATAGCCAATTACTAAATCGTTTGGGCGAACAAGGACAAAAGTTATTGGGTTGATGGAAAAGTCTTTTCCGATTTTTTGGGAGAGTACCTTAAATTTGCTTTTTTCTTTTTTCAGGAATGTCGTGTCAAGTTGGGAGCTGGTGCTCCTCCGATTCGGAGGAGCACCAGCGACACCTGTTTTTGTATGCATTCAACCGAAAACTCAATGCTGCACAGGCTCATCGAGAGATTACTAACGTTTATGGACCCGATTTCGCGACCGAACGAACTATCCGGAATTGGTTTCAACGATTTCCTAAAGGAAATTTCTCACTTCTCGATAGTACAAGAACGAAGAAACGAGAAAAACGAAGGAAAATTGCGAAAAGCGGCGAAAAGGCTATTGATCTGAGGGTCGCTGGTTCGACTTCCACTGGTGACAATATTTTTCAAAAATTTTTTGCTAAGATTCTGAAAATGCGTGTCTAGGGGTTATTTTTGACGCTGATCACGAAACACATGTTTTTAGCCTAGGTTTCTGCACGGAAAACTAACGAAACGTGAAAACAGCCATTTTTTGGCTCTGCCGTCCTTTACTAAAATAGCTGTAAAAACTTTTAGAAAAGAGATATCTCAAAACGCTTTTTACCAATCGATCCGTCTTGAATTCAGCTTTAGAATGAGCTATAAAACGTCAAAATTTGACAAATTTAAGGTACTCTCCCAAAAAATCGGAAAAGACTTTTCCATCAACCCAATATATAGGTATTCGTGATCAGCATGGCCGATTCTATAAGATCCATTTGGTCCCAGCTCAATCCCAGATGCCGACCTGAAGGACTTCCCTTGTAAGTGTGCAAATTCCACCCACACCACCTCCAGCTATCAAAAAGGTCAGTATTTCGATAAAAAGTATTCAAATCTTTGTGCTAATATGCTAAATCGTTAGCAAATATATGTGGATATTAAAATCATCGTATGGTTAGTGTTTTTGATGATTAAGCCTGTATTTGAATAAATCTTTTAATTTAGCCACCGTCGTCGTGAGCTTCTTGAAGACGGTATCATCCGCGATTACCCGATGCCGAGTATGAGGACGTGCTGATTTCCCCTGCATCAATTGGATCCACACATAAATTAGTTAGTTTGATCACCAAATCAGAGATGTCTCTGTAAGTCAGGTGAAGTCAAGCCAAAGCCCTCACCACGGCTTCTAGTGGAGCCAGGGACAAAAGCAAAGCAAAGCTAGGCCAGATAGTCGTGGCTTCACCCACAAAAGTATATGAATTTGCCAGAAGTCAGGTTTTGACTGCTCTGGCTTTTTTGACCTGACTTACGAACTCTGTCGAGTATGAGGACGTGCTGATTTCCCCTGCATCAATTGGATCCACACATCAATTAGTTAATGATATAATTGTTCGATTAAATAGATTTTTGTACTTTATTATCAAAAAAGCAAGCTTGGATACAATCAACAAAAAATTTTTTTGGGAAAACAATCTTCATGAGTCATTTTTTCAACAAAAATTCTTCTCAAAGTGTTGTTTTTAGAGAATTTTTAAATCCATATTTCCCCCCTCTCGTTTTTACATACTTTAACACGCTGTGGCTTTTCTTCCCATTTTTTTCTGGAGTTACTATGGAAAGGAGAAAATAAATAAAATGGGCAAAGGAAATTGGGGAGAGGAGAAGAGAAAAAGAATGGGGAAAGCCCAAGTGAGGAAAGGGCGACCCGGTGTTTTTTGCCCCCTTCCCCCTCCTCTCTTTTTCTTTTCCCATCGAGAATTCTCAGCTTTCCCCTCTCGTTTTTACATACTTTAACACGCGGTGGATATCGATTTTTAAAAAATTCATAGCTATAGCCATTTGTTTGCGTACTTTAGCTTTAAAATTGTTAATCGTTTCACCGTTTCACTGGGTATTTAATAGATTAGAAAATTACTGTAGTTTTTCAAAAGTTGACACATTTTAGAAAACAACAGTCCTGGATTGCTTTGTTTTACCAAATGCGCATATTTCTGTTGTTCCAAAGAGATCAATGTGTTTATTAGATATAAGAAACGAATCCCATTTGTTATTCGATCAACGGGAACATTGCACATCTTTTTTTTCTTTCCTCTCCACAAGTGGCCGATCTTTGAAGCTTTCATTTGGATGATTTTGTGATCTTTTCCCGTTTTCTTTTCCATTCCCATTTTAAAGAACACTCGATTGAAAAAAGAATACAATCCACATGGGCAGCTGTCCATTTTCACTTATACATTTTTGTTTTAGCATTTTTTGCAAACACTTTTCTTCATTTGAATCTTCGTGAGTACAGTAGATTTGTACAGTTGGCACTTTGTTCACAAAAGTTTAAAGTTAATGTTGCTATTTGAGTTGGAAAGCTTTATCTAGTATCTACTAACTACGGTATTACAGTACTTGTAAGTCTGCTACAGTACTCGCTAAAGGCGGATCCGACGAGATCTTCATTGCTGATTCTACTGTAGAAGTACCATAATGCCGCTGGATCTCGAGTCAAAAAAGCGATCTTGATTCGGTACCATCCATTGTTAGACTCAAAAGATACTATGGCATTACAGACAAAGACCCCATGAGTTTAGCTTACTATTAGACTAATTCAGGTGTATAATACTGTCATACTCTAGCCGATTTTTATTTTCAAGTACTTACTTATGCCAATTTGCCCAATAAACGAGTTTAGCTCTTTTATAGATCCCAAGGTCCACTAACTACTCGTAGTAATGACCACTAAGGGGTCAGTGGATGACAATTCTCTTTGAGAGATCCAGTGCCTCCTTTCCTCCAAACCCTCGACTCTTGTTTTTCTGGGCTTTCCCCCCACAAAAACTGACTCTTCTTTTTCGCCTGTCTATGGGATCCCTTTGATCTCTCTGATCCATTTTGATTTCCTCAAATCATCCAACTCTTTACGTGCACTCTAGGAAATCCTTTATGTCCATTACTGAGTCCGAATCGTTTACTCGAGCAAAAGAATGGAGGAGAAAGCGATGAATGAAGAGGAGAAAATTCGAGATGAACGAGGCCTCTTGCCCGATGATGTACTCGATCAGATTGGTGAGTTTGGGGGGAATCTAGATTATAAAATTTACTGTAAATCTATTCTTAACAGATTTGAGATCTTTAGCATAAATGTAAATGTTTTTGACTCAAAATTTTCACCCATTGAACTTATCCGCGAGGTCTTAAAGTTATCAAAGATGGGTATAATAGCTTTTTGCAGACAAGATATACAATATACTTTGCTTACTGTATTGTAACGTTGAAATACTGTACCTGAAATGTGTTCTACCCAAATTTCCATTAAGAAAGATACCTCAATCTCTCAATTTTTTTAATCCAAGAAAGGTTACCAACTCGGAGCGACCTTTTGAATCTAACTATAAGAAAAAGGGGCACGAGTACTGTAATATAACAGACTTATGATTGTTTAACATACAACTAGTACTTTACTATTGAAATACTGTACAATCTGTCTCAATTTTCAAGTAATATTCAAAACACCTCCAATAGTTCTTTCTCAAAATTTTTCAACATCAAAATGAACCAGCTTTATCACTCAAGTTTTTGACTCAGGATCTGAGATAAAGTTTCTAAGAAGATTTCGCAATCTTCTAGGTGCCGGCAATCGTCGTCTCTTGTTGTACATGTGTGGAGCGGCTACTTGCTGGGGTTTAGGAGCGATGCCTTTGATGGCCTCATCCTTCACCTCTGATACAAATAATGCGACAATGATCACCCTTGTTGAAGAAGTAGAAGTTGATCCAAATCTTGATGCAATCTCCCATTTTAGTTTAATCTCACCAACGATCGAGCCTATCTAGCTGACTTACCCACGTCAGCCTACATGGCTGGGAATATGATTGGCGGCACGTTTCTCACAACTGCTTCGGATAGGTCAGTGTAAAAAGTAGACATTCATGTAGTTTGTGCTCGTAAACATCTTCTTTCTGGTGTACTCGTTAATCTCGTCAGCAATTTCAGATGGGGTCGTCGTCCAATCTTGATCTACACTCTGATTCTTTTTTGGGTGTTCGGTCTTCTTGCGTCGATGTCTCCCTCAATTCTCGTCTACGGCTTGCTTCGTGCGTGTCAGGGATGTTTCTATACGGTGAATATTTTAATATATTTTCAAATATTGGGTTGGTGAATTGGAAACTTCGGGACTTTGAACTAAAATTTATTCAACATAAAACCATGCATTCATTCCAAATAATTTCCATAATTATTGACGACTTCTGCCCATTTTACAGGCAATTTCCTCTTTCGTATTCCGATTCCTCTTTCGTAGTAGGATTTGGTTTGTGTGTGAGACAAGTGTGAGACTCAAAAATGGAGGACTGGAGATGTCCCAGTTTGAGCACTTTCTTCAAAAGAAACCCATTTTGGTGTCAATAGAAAAGTTGTAGAGAATCAAAAATTAGGCTTATAGCGAAATTTTCAAAAAGATACACTTAGTAGTTTCGCTTAAAATGCAAGTTTTGTGAAAATTCGTAAATTTGGCATTTCTTGAAAACCAGTTTTTGAATTGTTCTGAAAATTTGGATATAAGCTTGATTTTTGATTCTCTACAACTTTTCCATTGATACCAAAATGGGTTTCTTCTGAAGAAAGTGCTCAAACTATCACATATGACAATAGCCCGCAGTTTCCAATTCACCAACCCAATACAAGTCTAATTAATTGTTCAGGGTTCGACGATCACTGCTTGGGTGGCTGGATACGAGATGACACCAAGGAAACTCCGACCGCTCACCACTTTACTTTTCGGGATCTCGTGGGTGAGTGGATCGTTTGTTTAAGCTTCATTCATTATCTAAGATGCGCCAGTTCTCAAAAAAACTACCGTAATATTGGCTCTAATTTATTTCCAAATCCGTTAGAGGTTTATGAAGAACACAAAAAGTGATTGATTATAGAAAACAAGGAAAGAAAGTTCAGAAACTTGAGAGTGACTGCAGCAGCAAAGTCCTTTCCATGAACTCCCCCCTTTTGAGGTGATCGGCTACTCCCTCGTCGCCCCACTCTCCTACTTGAGTTCTTCTTGGCGATCTCTTCTCATTTTCACCTCACTTCCCACAATTCCGTTCTCGATTTGGGCATTCTTGTTTGAGCATTTCCTCCCCGACTTGCTCAATCCCCATTTTTCAGTTCTTATCCAGAGACTCTCCATTATTTGGCGAGTCGATCGAAAACCGAACAAATTGAGGAATGGCTGCAAAAAGTGAAGGAATTTCAGCATGCTTTGACTCGAAAAGTTTAGATTTCAAACGTCGAGAAGTCAAAGATTCGAGCCGAGCAAATTTGCGGTCAAATCAAAAAAGAAAAGTTTGTTGGGACATAATTTGAAAATTGAAAAGCTGAGATATCAAAGTTTTATCTAATTTTAGGGTAAACATTTGGAAAGAGATGTGGTATCACAAAATCTTTCTTCTCTACTCGGTTGTGATGATTTATTTATGGTAAAAAAAAATTTGTGCCCGTAATTCTAAAAAAAAGATGAGTAATTCGAAAAACTACCGTAACCTTTCCATCATTTATCCATTCTACTTAATTCGATCCCTTTCAATTCGCCGATTGACTTCCCATCTAATAAGCTTAAAATTAAGTAAATTGGACTAAATCTGAGAGAAAGGTTACGGTAGTTTTAAAAATTAACCACTTTTTAGAAAGCGCATTATTCACAATGACCACAGACAAATAGAGGTGTACCATAAGCTTCAAAAGCGTCATTCTAGGGTCTGCGACACATTCACTTATTTCGGCCTTTCCCTCTACAGTACCCAGCTCTCCGGTGACAAATATGTGAACTATTTAATGATGGGAATCGTTGAGTTGCCAATTTATATCTTCACTCCATCACTGCTTGATCGGTAAACAATCAAATGAATGAAAACCCCAAAAAAAATCCAGATTTGGTCGTCGAACCCTTGTCTCGGGAAGTCATCTGGTGGCCGGACTGGCCTTCTTATCTCTACTAATGAAACCCGGTGAAAGACACTAAAAATTGGATAATTTAAAATTTAGGCGATTCGGTTACATTGGCAATTTGGTTGATCGGCAAATCGGCGATCACCCTCTCATTTATGGCTTTGTTTGTGTATGCGAGTGAGGTAGGAGAAATTGATTGATAAAAAGTGTCCTGATTTGAAATATCAGGTCTAACTGAATATCTTAAACTATAAGCGGATTCAGGTATTCCCAACAAATATCCGAAATGCCTCTGTGGGAATGTGCGCGGTGATCGCAAGACTGGGAGGCATCGCCGCTCCGCAAATCAAAAATATGGTAATCCCTGGAATTCAAATTACTAATCGGTATTCAGTGACCCAAAAACACCATCAATTTCAGGGTCTAATCTTCCCGAGTCTCCCCGAAATCGTCTTAAGCGTTGTTTGCCTCACCGCTGCCATTCTCACACTGATCTTACCAGAAACGGTCAAGAAAGCATTACCATCTTCGATCTCAGAAAGTGTTTCCCAAGAATCTCAATCGGAAAAGTCGAAACTAGAGAAACCATTATTGCCATGAGTATTTGACTGATTAAATAAAAGTCTTTATTAAAAAGTTGAAAGTCAAAGAAGACGAAAAATTTGTGCACAAAGAAAACACTTGCCAACCACTAAAATTTCTTCTTTTTATTCTCCGGGTCATCGTCATCGTCGTCTTGTCCGGTGGCTCTTAGCAGCTTCTCACGACCATTTGGGGCACACTCGTTAATGAAAGCCGGCACTTCAATATTCCTAAAATTTGCTAGGTCTTGAAAGTTAAAATCATACAATTTTGACTATCTCTAAGCCATATAATTAAATATTCTCAATGATTATAACATTTATCCATGAAACACCAAAATGATCAAACCTATAATCGACAAGAATATCCGCACGAGCGCACGTCTCTTCAAACTCGTCCATCAATATAGTTGGATTCGTTCTCTAAAACGAGAAATAGACAATATTAAACTAACATAAACATACTGTAACAGCATCAACTCGAACAATTCCAATATACTCAATTCCTTTCACCAGCACGAAGAATTGATCCAATGGAGGCGCCCATTGATAAACCAACAAATTTTGACGATGTTGAATACGGTTTGCCTAAAAATTCATTTTTTAATCTTATTTAACTTCAAGAAGATTCTAAATTTTACATATTTGATATAATTTGAGAAAAAAATTACTCACATCAAATCCCAGCAACAGTCTTGTTCCAAAGTGTTTCTTGTAGGCTCTTGTCTTGAGTACAATAGAACGAGGCATTGACAGACACTCTACTTCATTGCGTGATTGCCACTAAAAAATGTGAAATTACAAATGGAAAGGAATTTTTTTTGAGCTTCAAAGGGAAAACTTTTTGTAGTCGTTTTCAAGATACAAAAGTTCTTGTTAAGTTTAATTTAAAAACCCTACATTCAAAATGTAAATAACGAACGCAGTTGCTGGCCACATCATTTGTTCTTCACCAAGCTGGTTTATAATTCTTGTTTCCTCAGAAACTTCTTCTGGCATCAAAATAACCGTATCACGTTCACGAATCTAAACTCAATATTAAAAAAGCAGCTTATTGTTCTAAAAACCTCTTTCACATCGAGTCGTTTTAGCAAACATTCATGACAAATTGCAAAGTTTCGGCTCCTTTTTGAGCACAAACACGAGAGGCGTGAGATGAGAACCTAAACAACGATTTTATTGGCTTTAAAATTTAAATTTACTCGATTAGGGAATTGACCAAATCGATTCAACTTTTTCAACAAATCGAACCATCCCTTCTCTTCTGGATACAGTCCCAAAATGTCACAATTCTCCAGAAACTTGTGGCCTTTCATCCGGTGAAAAAGTGGGTTCTAAAAGTAAATTATAAATTAATTTTTCTTGGTAAAATTTACATTGTGCATGGTAGAAGGAAGTTCGACTGCTTTCGTTGTCAATCGTTCCAAAAATTTTATCACAAATCTCGTTGCCATTTTGTAGCTGTCGACAGGAAGATAAATTCTAAAGAGCTTATTTAGGGCCAAACTTACAAACTATAACGTTTTCTTAGAAACTCTGACCCTCCGAGTAAGGCTGGTTTCTAAATCAAAAAAATAAGCATAATCAAAACGATAACCACTTTTTAACCAATATCCCTAACAAGTCCAGTACCTGGACTTTTGACTCCGACAAAACTCACCTGATTCCCGAAGTAAACTCGAATCGAGCCTCGTTCAGACAAACACCGATGGCTACGCCTTCTCCCCACTCGTCACGAATTACTAGTTTCTTGAAAAACACGTTATAGAACCATTAGACAAGCTATTACTTTAAGTGCACTCTTTCATCAAACAAATCAGAAACCTTTCAGATTCCCTGGTGTACAATAAGAACAGTGAAAAACAGTCTTACCGATGACATATGATCGTTGACGATCTTCACGATTTCCACATCTTCGGGCATATTCATGCAAATTTGCTGGATTTGCTCGCAATACTTCTAAAGATCAAAGTTAATCTGGGAACCAAATGTTAGCTTTACCTTCAAAAACTCAGCCGACACATCCTCGCTGATGAAACGGTTCAAATCCATTAAGTCAACCTGAAAGTTCAAAAATTTACCGGAAAAATGAAAATTTAAAGAAGAAAGACAACAAAATTCCTATGATCTTAACAGCTCTATGAATAGCATGTTGGACTCTTTAAAAACGACCAGCCGGTGCCTCGTCAATAAGCAACTTGCGTACTCCCTCACTACATATAAACTTGTGTTTTGCCGCTCCATATCTCTAACCCGCAGAAACTTTCTGAAAGGAATCAAAAGGTTACTAGTTTTTTTGCAAAAATTCAGTTTGAAGATATTCGGTTAACGTACAAAATAACAAATTATATAAGTGAATATTTTTTACTCTCACTTGAGCTATTTAAACGAACTTTTTTCAAGGTTCCTCATTTTGTAAGTTGTTGCTCGTTAGTCTTCGCGCTTGTTGCTATTATTCTAAGAATCTTACTTGGTTCACCTATTTAGGCTCGTTAATATTTGCCCATTCATAAAACATTAAAAATTTGTTGACCCCTAACTACTCAACGTATCATAATTAATGTGCAATGCAAAAAGCGCTGTCGATCCGTATACTAAATTGTTTTGATTCTTTGCATGTTAATAATCGTCATTTTTCTGTTCTTTTTGGTGATAACAAATTGTTCTTTTTTCAGGATGGCGACTACAACTCGCCCCGGGGCGATTCGCCGTAATGGACCTGGAACCAAGCGATCGGTAACTTTTTATTGCTTTGTATACCCAGTCGGAGTTATGTTATTCGCTATCGCAACGTGGTAAACATAGGCCTGGTATCATGTTTGCTTTTTCGGTCACTAATTGAATGTTTCTAGGAATGGTCGAATTGGGAAACATTGTCCTATGAAGACATGGACAGCTCGCTCAACGTGCAGCAATACATTCAACAGACGATCAAGCAAAACCCGCTCGATGTGGACACAATCCTCAATCAATTACCGGGTATTTATTTGAGACTGCTGGAAATTTGATCCAATGATTGCTTTTTAACTAAATGGAAGCCATAAGCATGTTGTAGCTAAATGAAGTTATTGCTCTTTTTGACAGTATTCTTTTAGACATCGATGAAGGCGTGTGGAAATATGAGCATCTCCGACAGTTTGTGTTGCAGTTGAACGGGCTGGCACTTTTGTTACAGGTATAGCGGTTCTTTTAATAAAATAATAATGTATACTTTAGGAAGAGTGTTATCCCTCTGCTTGTGCTCAAATGACGGCTACAGAGCAATGGATCTTCCTTTGCGCCGCTCACAAGAATCCGAAGGAGGTATATTGTCGAGTCGTTACTGTCACTATTGTTTACTCAAAATATTGGCAAAATTCTTTAGTATAAAAGGTAGTTTAAACAGAATTTATATTTTGTTTTTAGTGCAGCGCAATTGACTACACACGCCATACATTGGATGGAGCAGCTATTCTTCTCAACAGCAGCAAATACTTTCCAAGTCGGATAAATATTAAGGTATCATTACTTAACCAAACTTAAATGACACCGTTTATTAGAGGCAGTGCTTGATAAATTGAAAAGTATTTGGCTATAAACATAAAGTAGAATCGAAAATTACGCTATCTATTTAGGAATCATCGATTTCCAAACTTGGTTCGGTGTGTCGCCGTATTTATCGAATCTTCTCACATGCTTACTTCCATCATAAACCACTGTTTGAGAAGTTTGAAGCAGAGACAGCTTTATGCAAAAGGTTTAAAGCTTTAAAACTTGAATTTCAGAACTTAATTTAGAATGCACGTTAGGATTAAAATTTATTTCATATTATGCTTTTAATCTTTACATTTTAGGTTCACAGTCTACGTGACACGATACAACTTGATTGCCAAAGAACACCTCATTGTTCCAATTTTGCAACAATAAATGTCACTTTATTCGGCGATCTCCAGAAAAATTCCAGTCTAAATTATGCGTTACTCATTTTTTGTTCTCTATTCAACTTTGTACACTTATTAGTTTGTTCACATTGTTAATGTTTTCTGCTTGACTATCCATAGCTGACTATATTGGTTTGAAATAAAAGTTTAATTTTTTGGTTTTGCTATTAAAAACGTTTAATTTACAAAGCACGTGTATTGATTGTACTCACAAAATTGGTCGAATAGTAAATACCTAGATGAATGTAAGTCTCGTAAGAAGTAAGGTATACGAGGAATATGGGCTTCACTCCCTCGTTTTGAAACTGGGTGAACCGAGAATTGATGCGATAATTGGTAAGCTGAATAATTTCAGTTGCTTTGCTATTTAAATGGAGCCGGATGTGGAGTAATGAAGACACTGGCTTATTTTAGGAGGTTTTCGTTCTGGACTACTCTACGAAGCTGCCGGCCTATCAGGATCGGGAAAAACTCAGGTTGGCAAAGTTTTTTTTGTTCAATTAACTCGGTTTATCCATTTTATTTTTAGTTTTTATACACGTTACTGACGCAATTCCTACATGATCAACCGGAGAAAAGATGCATTTGGGTGGACACGAATGGATCTTTTCGCCCTTCTCGTTTACTACAAATCATGCGAAATAGAGGATATGCGGTAATTCTTGAATCATTTTGTTAATTTTTTACCTTTTAGACCGCGGAAAAAGCGATATCGAAAGTGGCAGTGGTTTCCACTTCTTCAGGCTACGATCTGCAACTAGCACTTGAACGGATATTGGTAAGGCTCTTGAATTGCCCAAGAATTTATGTGCCTGCGCTTTATGAAGTCATAGCTAAATTTTAGGGCGTGAGTGATATTTTAATGCCGGCTCTCATTATTATCGACAGTTCGATCAATGCACTTTATGAGACAACATGCGGAAATGTCACTTATGGTTTGATTTTACAAAACAGTAATTAGTTCAATTGGTTTCTTTAGGGCAAGAACGTATTCGAAAGATTTTGGCTCTAATGAAAATGATCTCGACATCGGGAACAGTTGTTATTTCGGTGAATGGAATTACGATGTATGGAGGGATCCCTCGACCACATCTTGGAAAGGTTTTTGATACTTCATGGTTGTCAAATGAGTATTTTAGCAATGGATTACGTCTTTTACACATCGCCTCGTGTTTATTCGCACAGGAAATAGATATTCGATTCGAGTCAGTCGTTTCACTTTTTTGAATGTTTAGTTTTTAAACTTTTTATATGTAAAGCTAAAAAAATGGGTGTGAATTATAGATACCGAACGAAAGACCGGATGGAGAGCTTGATATACGAGAAGTCACTTTTCAAATCACCGATTCTGGAGCGCAAGATGTATGATTTATGAAAGTTTGATTATTTTTTTAAAGCTTTTGACTGGCATTTTTTAATCGTGTCTATACTGTTTATGAAGTTTTTATCTCGTCTTTTTGATTGTAATGTCTGTGATTCTTTTTCGACTCGGGTTTTAGGCTAATAAAGTTTGGTTTTGAACGCATTTGACGTTTTTCAAAAGCTTCCCCTTCAGCCAAATCGGCCTTGGGTTATCGGGTAGAAAGATCTATATTTGCAAAAAAAGCCGAAATCATTATGGGCATGAGAGTTCTGAAGTTTTTTTGCAATTTGCAAATGGGATCCGCATTTTATAATTTGATTCTATTCGGCTTGCATACTAAATCATTGGTTGAAAACTGCCTACTCGCCAAAATTTAAACACGATACCGTTTCTATATTCTATAAATCACTCACCAATTTGAATACTGTGTGTAGCTGCTCGATATCCGACATTTCATTTGTTTTTCTTTTTATGGGAACAATCGGACTTGTTTTCAATAAAAAATCCAGCACAACCACGTTGGGAATCCACACGATATATTGATAGAGGCAATATTGAATTGAATCCGGGAAAGACTCTTCTCCTGCCCGGGATATCCTCTCACAATCGAGATGAAACGACCCGATCCGTTCACTTTTCTCATCGGTTTTCTCTTTGGCATAAACATCTACTATTTTCTTATTTATTCGAATGAAACGACCAGTAGACCAGCTGTAAGTTCATTAGAGTCGTTAAGCAATTAGCATTTATGAAGAGATTACTGTATTCAGACTGATCCTAGGATTACCATAATAATTGTTGTGTATCGGCTTATCGACCGAAATTAGCGCTGAATAGAAAATGGATTACGGTATTTAGAAAGGGCTTCACATACTAAAATATTCGATGTATGTATCTATACATTATTTGACACTAAATTGACCGTTTGGTAAAGTTATTGTGCATGTTTTGACATTGAAAAAGACTACGGTAGGATTACTGACAGGGTGCGCACTCATAATCGAAAACAAAGTGGAAAATTTTTCCGAGTGGTTAAAATCTCAAAATTTTCTTCATCAGCTTTATAGCAGGCATCCAGACGTTTCGGGAACGGACGCGTGGCACATAAGTAGATAATGTCAAGATCTGCCCAAGCTTTCTGCAGGGTTTTCTTCAAAGAATTGATGCTTTTATGAAGCTTTTTACAAGATTTTTTCTCAAGGACTGACCAAACAGAAAAATCCATCGGATTAAGTTTCGGGGAGCTCGGGAGCTATTGATCAAGCGCGATGAAGTCCGGAAAGTTTTGTCGGCACCAGTCTTGGACAAAACGAGCCTTATGAGCAGGAGCCCCATCCCATTGGAATATCCAATGTCGACAAGACAACAAAAATCCCATATTAATACAAGAAACTTCCAAAAAACGCTGCTAGTACGTTTATGAGTAATTTTGACGCACCCTGTAGTCATCCAAAAGTTGCATTCCAGTATTTTATTAGGTTTAAGTACAGGAAACGTTTAGAAATGTTTTAAATTTAAATTTAGACAAAAACGTTTCAGCAACCCCTTATTGTTTCTTAATAAACTCAAAATCTTTCAGAACACGACAAATAAAGATGATTCTCGAAAAACGAAAGGAAGTCAATACTTTATCCCCGACGATACTCTTGACAAAGTTCTATTGGTTTGGCTAAAATGATAACCTTTAAAAGGGTATTCCGGCGAAGTCCGATTTTTGCTTTGAACCATTATAAGCCGTTCTCAGCAATCGGCGGCCGCTACCGGCTTGGCTGAGTGGTTAGTGTTCATGCCAAAGGGGCCAACCCTCGAGGGTTCGGATCCCGCTCGTTTTCTTTTGGGCCTTGCTTTTTTTTTTCATTAGATTTTTCAAGGAGCGATTCGTTGAGGCCAAGGTCCTTACGGATATGTAGAATTATTACCTTTTCATTAACGAAAGCTAAGGAAAAGAGCAAGTTTTTGATTAACACCTTCCTATCATTCTACCTTTTAGAAATTATTGAAAATTGCGGAAATTTTGATTCGAATTGACTGATAGTATAATTTTCTTAATACTTTTGTAAACAACTTGTTGATCTGTAGATATAGAACATTGAAATCAAAAAAACTATTTTCTTGAATACCTTTCAAGCACAACTAAGAAAACGTCAACTAGAAACTTTTTTTTTGCTTCGGAACTCATTATTATGTGTGCTAGAGAGTGTTAAAAGGAAAAAAGATATAGAAAAGGCAAAAAAATAGAGGTGACAAAGGTGAGAGAAGAAAGAAAAAACTCGTTAAATACCCCAAAACAAAACCGTTAAATAACTTTCATTTGCTTAGCTGAATATCTTTAACGGTCTTTGCTGGTTTTTGGGGCGAGAAATTGTTACCGTAGTCTAGACTAAAACTACCGCAGAATTAATTATGGGATATAAAGGTTCCGTCACATTGCATTTTAGACTCCCAAACGCATTTTTTGACAGTTTTTCATACTTTTTCCGAAATTTTTAGTGTTTTTAAGGTTTTTCTTTATGCAATCCTTGTAGAGGAGACTAAAACGCGTCGATTAGTATACAAATAGTCGTGGTTCTAGGAAATAACTTTCGGGCCCGAATACCCCTTTAAACAAATGATATTCAGCTAAAATTCGAGAGTTTTTTCGCGTTGAGTAAAGCCGAGAAGAAAACTCTCCAATCGGCGGTGGAAAAACTCGGAAATGAGGAGTTGGAGAATGCGATTGAGATTTTCGATTTCCTTTGTCCGACCGAGAATCACTGTGGAATTCATCCACCGTTTTTCCCTACAGAATCACATTACAAGGTAGGATTCAAGAGTTAAGCCAATTTCTGATATACTGTAACATCATATGTACACTCCCGTAGCTTCATTTTAAGACTTGGAAGCTTTTACATATTACTGAAAGTATTGCTAGTTACAGTAGTACATAAGGTATGCCTCTTACTCGCAATTCATTCTTTTATTGAAACTCAATTTGAGGTGGCGAACAAGTACGGTCTTGTGGCGTGTTCGATCTTCAAAAACATGTCGACAATATTGATCGCCATCATGTGTTATTTACATGCACCCGAAAGGATTCTCAACTCGAAATGGTCTTTTTTCGAGCAATGGGATAGACGAAGGTGGAGAAAAAAAAACATTTAGGCAGTTTGATAATTGAGATAGTAACTCATAGCCACATTTGGATAGTTTAAAAGTGAGATTCGGCCTAAATTCATTTGGTCTAGACTCAAATAGCCGAAGAAGATCAACTTCAACCACGAAACAGGATCCATCCCAAAACAGCGCCAATGTAGAAACGCCCAAAACGTTTTTGCGTTTTTGCATTGGCGCTGTTTTGAGTACGGCGCTGTTTTGGACGGCGCTGTTTTGGGATGGACCCACAAAACGTTGTATTTGTATAGCTGATCTAGGATTTTCAAAGTCCAAAAGTTAGAGACCCAGCTATTGTATTTCTGGCTTTATTGTATTATTTTAAAACAAACTCTTAACTTTAGAGCTTGTTACGGCATAAATGAGCCTCGAAGCTGGACATTGGTGAAGCAAAAGCTGAAAAGAGAAATGGATGAGATCACAAAGTTCGCTCTCGTTCGCCACCCGATGGAGAAATTCATGTCCGGATACACGAATCAGTGTTTGTGAGTGTAAATGAAAGTGATAATAACATTTTTTAGTTCAAATTAAAATCTAGCTCTATTCCAGATTCACCTTTTAGAACAGCCAATAAATGTGGTGGTTGCCAGAATTTGACGTGCATTTTCGAGATGCTAGAGAAGAATTCGGTGGAATTGAGGCTGAAAGGGCTTTGGGGGAGATCGGGACAGACACGCTCGCACGTTAATGCTCACTTTTTGCCTCAAAATTGGTGAGAAACTTTGGATCAATGCCTCAAAGTCGTTTAAACCAAAGTTGATGGATTAACTAAAGCCAAGATTACGGTCGATTTTCGAAATTCGGGCACAACAATTTTCAGAAATGGATTCCAGTTTCCACTATCAGAAAATTTTCAGGCGCTGTGAATTTGGGACGATGTTGGATGACTATGTGCTGATCAGCTATAACAGCAGTGATTCAGAGTCACTCATTCGTGATCTTGAGCATCTTTTTGCTGAAGTTGGCGTCGATGAGGCGAGCATAAAATATGTGAGTAATGGATGAAGTTTTGGACTTACATAAGTTCACATCTTCAAACCATTTTCAGATCAGCGACAAGTTGAGCTCCGGTCGAAGCAGCCATTCGACAGCTGGAGGAAAACAGAGACAAATGGAGAAAGAAATTCTTGAGGCGAGTCCGCCACTGATGAGAAGATTCTTGAATCTTTTCTATTTTGATTATTTGGTTCTTGGATATCCATTGCCCGATGCGGGAATGATTATAGAATAAAGAAAAGATTTACATAGAGATAAAAGGTACATAAAACACGGAAAACGAAGACGAGCTTGAATGAGATAAGTCAAAAAGTCACAAGACTTGGTTCACTGCTAGAGATGTGCGAAGTGATCTAGACACGGAACTGGCCAGGGATGTCCGGCTGGAAGTCCAGCCAGGCCAGAGCCAGGTCAAGAGCTAGGTCTGGTCTTTTTTTGTTTTGGCCTGGCCTTGGCCTGATTTTGGCCCTGTTTTTTGGTATTACATGGACTGACATTACTGAAGGCAAAGCTAGATATGGCCCACAAGCCACAAGTCTAGGTTTCTGGTTTCTGATCTGACCCTTGCCTGGGTTGGTCTATAAAAATTGCTCTTCGAACAATTCTGGATCTGATCCAAATCAAAGCTCGGTTTAGTGCTGCATTGTTATAGTATTGTGAAATGAAATGTATTTGTCATGGTTCTATTTAAAATTCCCTAATTCACCGATTGACTTACGTTTTGTTCTCTAAGCATTCTCGACAAAATTGCTTTTAGATTTTCTGAAAATCTTTTGTTTTTGAGATTTGCAAGTAGGAAAGTTGGCAAATTCAATGGCAAATTCAAGATGATCATATGATTTGAACACTTTTGTCCACAGAAACATATTTTCGTGTCAATAGAAAAACGATAGAGTATAAAAAGTTAGGTATATAACTAAATTTTTGCAGATTCAACCTATTTTCTTGTATGCGAGTTTTACGAATTTTCAGAAACATGAAGATTTTTCCTCACGATTACTTTGAAATAGGCTCAAATATGCTTAAAAATAACAATACGTAAACGTTAAATGTTTCTAATAAAGTAAACCATAAGTCAATCGGTGAATTAGGGAATTTTAAGCAGAATTAGGGCAAATAGTGGGATTTTATACTTATGGACTCAATAATATACAAAATTCCAGACCTGGGACTGGGACCAACTCTGGCCTGACCAACCCTGTCCGACCCTAGCTTTGGATACTTTGATTTTTAATGTAAACACAGTTAGGACACAGTCTAAAGACTAAATAAAGACTCGCGAAAACCCACGACTATGCAAATTTGGATAACTTTTCTATTATGACAATCTTACTGTCTACGAGATATAAAATCCCCATTGCTGACTACTGCAAGATTTTTGAGCAAAGTTCATCAATTTTCAAACCGCTTACTCATTCCCAAAAACCCTAGAGCCGCTTTTCGATACTTTTATGATGGGATTATGGTGACGAATCTTCTCTCGCAAACCTCGTGTACCTACAAGTCCGAAATAATAAAGCCGCACTTTTTCGGGCTTTCCAAGGGGTCACTCTCTCACCCACTCACTCATTTTGAGGGGTTTATAACAGGGCTCCCCTCCACTTTTCTCACACTCACAATGTCCTTTTCGCTGAATATTTTCATTCTTTCCTGTTTATTCTTTATTGTTTCTGCGAAAAATCACACAGCAAACTATGAAAAGGAATGCGAAGAATATGACAGATATTTGAAGGAATTCCAGAAGAAATATTCAGTGGATGAGAAAAACCGAAGGCTGAAGGTTGGCATCGAAACTTTTCTTGAAAACCTTTTGGCTAATTGTTTACGCTAAAAAGATTTGACATAACTTTGATAACAGAAAGATTTGAATTGAGTTCTCAAAAACACTTTCATTCTAGCGTACTCAATTCTTTCATTTCTCCGCTGACACAAAGCGTTTCTGGCAGGTAAATGGAAGAATTGAGTACCCAGAAAGGATGTTTTCGAGAGCTTAAAGTACAAAAGCGGTCACTTGTATGTCTTGTGCACCAGAAGGGAGATGTTTACACGTTTTGAGCACAAAATACACCACTCGAACAAACATGTATACCCAAATAGACTGTCCGAAACTTCTTTTTTTTCAGTACTTTATGCGAGCTCAACGAAAGATCGATTTGTGGAATGGAGAGGCGATGAATGTGGGCGGAAAAGCGAAATTCGGGCACAACAATTTCTCGGATTGGAGCCCGAAAGAGTTACGGGCGTTGATGGCGAATCAGAAATGGACAACGAATCAGGTCAGCGAGCCTTGTGAACTTTTAATGAATACTAGGGCATGCTGGCTCTATAGCATTTCCTAGACCTTCTTCATCTTCTCAGGTATTACTAGTTATATAGATTACTGTAACAGACACCAGTTAGCCTAGGGTTACGAAAGAAAATACTTGGACTACTGTAGTCTACTAACTGTCACGGGTTGCGACAGCTGAATCACACTATAAACTATATCCGAGTTAGTAAATCTTATCTCATCTGTTATCCAATTTATCCTAGATACATAATGAATTTTTCAGGCTGAAGACGATCTCGTCTCACTGCGACTCGTCCAACTTCTCCCATCAAATATGACTTATTCCGCAAATGACTCTACGATTTTCATCGATTGGAGGCAAAAGGGAATGGTGACTGCCGTGAAAAATCAGGTAACACAAAATTCAACTATATATTCAAGAACCGCTTTAGGGTGGTTGCAGTTGTTGCTATGCTTTCGCGGCGGTGGGGGCAGTCGAGTCAGCTCTTGCCATTGCTGGACAACCGTTGAGTGAGCATTAAAAAATAAGGAAAAATTGATTGCTCAGCTGTACTTACTCTGTCCTGTAAACACTCCCTTTCTGGTGCACTGAGCTCTTCAGTTTTCTCATGAAATCGTTAATTTTGATGTAAGAAAGGAAAAGAATCCGGTGGAATGGATTTCAAAGAGTGTTTTCGAGCAAAAGTACAGATATAAAAAAGTCTGGCAAAAAAATCCAGCAGATTATCTCTGTATCATTAATTTTCAAGTTAAAAAACGAATATTCAGGGAACTTGTCTGTTCAAGAGATGCTCAACTGTGTGGGCGGTGGTTGCCGGGGTGGAGCGCCGTATAATGTGTACAAAGTAAGTAAAAAAAGTAATTTAACTTATAAATTTATATGTAAATCAATAAAATTCCAATTTTTCAGTTCATTCAACAAAACGGGATCGTTCTCGATACAAAAATCGCGTACACGGGAAAACGACAAACTTGTACGATCAAGCGATCCAATATCACCATTTCACGTAGCTTTTCAAGCTTTAAACCTTTTGATAATCTTATAAAATGAATTGTCCATTAAAGATATTGTAAACTGTAGATATACAGTACAATAGGTTTAATACAATAGACCAAAGAAAGCCAACATGACAGCCAACATGTTCTTTAAGTTCTTCAATTAAAAAGATAAGTATTGAGCCTGGATACTTTTCTTTCAGTAGATTTGTGAGCCGGAGGCTGCAGCTTTTCAATATCTTTTAAAATCTAAACTCATTTTGTCCAGCCTGATTCTTGGATTTTCAGAAGCCCCAGCACTGCGTGGTGAGGCCGCCTTGGAGGGTTTCTTGAACGCAACTGGTATGTTAAAGCAACAAGACTTCTTCCAAAGTCTACTCTGCTCAAAAGAGTAAACGTACTCTTTCTGGCATACTCAGCTCTTCATTTTTCTCAAAGCAACGCTAGACGGTGCTTTGAGAATGAAAAAAGAATTAAGCGCGCCAGAAAAGATTTGTTTAAGCTGCTGAGCACAAAGCGCAGTCAAGCAGCACTTTTGCCAATGTCAAGTAAGGTATAAGGCCCTATCCTGGCGGCAAAGGAACCGTGTCGGTGTAGCTCATTGGTAGAGCGTTCAGCCGGTAAGGGAGAGGTCACGGGTTCGAATCCTGGCGCCGATCATGTTTTGTATTCCCAGCCCATAAGTTTTGTATCCCCAACCCATAAAAAGACCTCCATACTAACACAATACATCTCCACCACTTTTCCCTTGATTCCAGGCCCAGTCTCCGTCTGTTTCAAGGCTCCATGGTCTTTCATCAAGTATCGCACCGGTGTCTATGCACCAAATCCCACTGAATGCAACAAAACAAAAACCGGTTTGCTCTTTCATATTTCAATACCAAAATGAGTCAGCGCCTGTTTAGATGAACTTAAATATTCTTTTTGAATCGTCAATTTTCAGCTCATTGTGTTCTGGCTGTAGGCCATGGAGTCGATGGTGGAGTGCCGTATTGGATTCTCAAGAATAGTTGGGGTAAGTGAATGTTTCATGTTTGAACCCGAAGAGGTAAATTTTCGTTGTGTCAAAGTCTGACAATGAGGAGTCGTCTAGTACAAACTTGGGCAAAATGGTTTCCTAAAAGATGCCTAGTAAAAGACTATTGTATTGCGGTTCTACATTTAAGCTGCCTCTACCGCCAAGCGACAAGTAGTTTAAAAAGCTAAATTTAGTTATTATCATCGTAAAGCCAATAGAGTTACGGTTGGAGCACTTTTCAGAAAGATTGCTTTGCTAAAAACACTTTTTAGAAAAATCTCTTCATCCACATATCTAAAGATATAAACCTTGTCAAATAATATTTAAAATTGAAAGAGTCAAGGCCAATTTAGGGCTTCGTTGGGGCGAGGACGGGTACGCAAGATTTATCAAAGGGCAAAACGCTTGCGGAATCGAGAATCGCTCCGCGAATGGACCAATCGTTAACTCTAATTGATTAACTTTACAGCCAATTTTTGCATTTAAACTTTGTTTCTAGGTACTTTTTACTTTTAAGACATTTAGTTAATTTATTATGTACCTTTTGTGCCTCTTTTTCTTGGTCTCTCCTACCTCTCTAAACGGGTTTTCTCTTGATAAGCACAGGTAAATGTTGAAGAAATAAATCAATGTTCAGATGCAAATTTTATGCAAATCAATTTATAATCTTTAATCCCTCAAACAATGGAATCGTGAAAGCACGAAAATCGTCATAAAAGAGTTCAACAATTGTTCGAAGAATTGAGCAATTCGAGTAAATCTCTTCGATGATTTCCTTTCTCATCTCACTTCTCAATCCATTCTTCGTTGTGTCACGCGATAGAGAATCTGGAGATAAGACTGAATTAAAGCCATTGCATAGACATTCTGAAAGCAGTCAGGTGTGTTTCTAAGGACCAGAAGAGTTGAGATTCCAGTTCAGAACACTTTCATTAACAAAAAGGCCCTTAACACATATTTTGTACCATCAGAATGGTACAAAAAAGATATTCAGCTGTAAATTTGTACCCGGGGGTTTTCGGGGTCGGCGAATTGCTTGGAGCTATTTATTTTATTGAGTCTACAAATTGGAATCAGGTTTAGTTGGTCTAAACTTTTCGATGAATTCGGGAACTTATTGTCATGGAGATTCAAAGCTTTTTAATGCTCTATAATAAGCACTTTTTATCCGGGATTTTAGTCACTTGAACTCTAACTACAGAAACCAAAACATTCTCTACCCATTACCTCATCAGAAACGCTCCTCGGCACATCGGCTTCATCAAAAATCTCTTGTAAAATCTCTCGGCATTTTTCGTGTGATTGTGGGAATAGTTTATCTGCACCCAGTTCTCCTTTGTTTCCGAGTCATCGCAGAACCTATGATATTCAGTTAACGATTACAGTAAATGATGACAGTGATGTGATGACTTGACATTGATGAATTCAATTGTAATACATTTCAGATTTAGTGGGCTTTCTAATAACTTCAAAAGTTCTTTGTCAAGTCAAGCTGTATCGTTAAAACTTTAGAATATGAAATGTTATAGTATCAAATTTCCCTCAAGTAATCTCATTTTTTGAACTCTTTCTTGTTAATCTAGAAAGTTTCAGAATGATTGAAGTTAGCTTAAAAAAATGGCTTGAAAAGCTTAAATCACAATAATGGCTCCTCTAGCTCCCCAATTCTTAATTTCTCCTGTAGCAGATTCGGTATTGCAAGAAAAATAAAGAATTGAAGGCGCCAGAAAGGGTATGCTTATGTTGTTAAGCACAAAGTACGGTTGACTCAAGCCCAACATGTTCTCTCACTATCATTGGTGCACTCCTCGGCTCTGTCTGAGTACTAAATCTGTCTTTGAGCTGTATTTGTTAAAATTAGCATTTAATTTATAAATTTATTGATTGAATTGATGTTTTTTATAGTGTTTAACACTGAGAATCGCTCTATGGCGCAACAAAAAAATGCTCAACAAGGAAAATGAATAAATAGCGAACAAGTGATCTTCTTTTTGACTGAGACATTGATTTGCATTTACAATTCGTCTCTCTTGATCAATTTCTCGAGCTGAATGTCGAAATAAAGTCTCGATTTGCCGGGGATTTGTGGTGGTCGACCGTCCTCTCCATAACCCAATTCATAGGGAATGATCACCTGAATGCGAATTGGTCAAATATTTCATTGTATTTAAATTACTGCCTCAATACGGTATGCTAACTAGAGAACCTTGTTCCCATTTGTTCACTTATCCAATCCAAAAAGAGGCTCTTAAGCGTGCCTCATACTGCTCAGATCTTGCTAGATCCTCTCTTTTATAGAATTTTGTTTCCTAGTTGATGTTAAGTTCTTACAACTATGGTACTAACTACATAGATTACTGTAACTAGAGTGTATTCCGCTCAAAGCAATGCGTCTTCTAAAAGAAATCTATTAGAAAACTACCGTAATCAGACCTTTAGTTTACACTCAATTAATCCAATTTGTATTTTTGTATGATTTAATGTGCCTAGTAATTCTTCATTAAATGGTACCAAAATTGGGTTAACTGAACTGAAGTTGGTACTGTAATAAGGAATAACAAACCGTTAGTCCTTACGAGTTTTCTTAAAGACTGTAAATACTCTAATAGAACGCCACCCACATAATGATGGCGTAAAGTCGTGTAGTCTAACTTTGAACGTCCCGTTCTCCGCGCTGCTTTTTGCTATAGTGTGCGCTTGGGTGTGAAATGATAGCCCTTGAAAACTAGTATTTTTTGATACCAAAAGTGTAGTTGGGAAAATCTAGAGGCTGGGTAAATAAGAGTTTCTAAAAAGAAATTAGATTATGCGAATGTACGAGGGAGTTCTATTAGGAGTATTGACGGTAGATGAATTTTAGAAAACGCATTACTTCAGTGGCACTCTAACTGTAACATCTACTAATTAGGATGCGGGTTACGGTAGACGAGACACGCTATAGATTGTCTATCAGTTTCCCATCAAAATGCCACCTTTCTCCTCTCTCCCTCACACATATTCGTCATTGCTCGGTCCATTCCGGCGATCACCTGAAAAATTGAATGTATTACCAATATGGGATTTAGAGTGTAGAACAACAATCCCTTGTATAGTTGACAGTTTAACTGACACTACAGTACACTACAGACACTTAACTACAGTTATCATTTAGGTCAATATTTGACCCATATTGTCCTCAATCACTGAAATCTACCTCTTTGTTTCCAAGTTTAAAGACGAATGGCGCATTTCGTGACCACGACGAATCGACGAAAGTCCCATCCTCGAGATGCAGTGTGTATTGTTGATGAATCGTGTCTCCGGGCTGCGATTTGCGGCATTCATTTTCAGCGATTTGATGGGTCACCTAAAAATGTACTTTAGGTCAAAGATTCTTAAACTTATTTACGCTTTTTGCTGTTACTTTCAATGCTCTGACCTCAATGACGAGTCCATCCTCATCGGTCCATTTGTCTCCGGGGATTGGGCGGAAAAGATCGACCAATTGAACGGTGTAGTAAAGGGATTGGTCCGCGGCAATGTTGTCTCTGAAAATTTTTGATTGATTTGAAAGAATAGTAACTACTTTCAAAGAAAGTTTTGAAAGTAGTTACTATTGTAATGCATTTTTATTTTCCACTTTTGATCAGCAAAACTACTACCGACAAGTCAAGTGTTGGAGTAGTATCCTCTAGCCTAGAGACTCTAGGGTTCAGAGGCTTCAGCTCTGAACTGATAGTATTCTGTTCTACTAGGCTTCAGTAAATCCATCTTTCGAATGCCCTCAATCCCCATGCTTTCTATTTGACCCACCTTTCCCTTCCTTTCTCTCCAAAACCGAGTGCGGGAGGGATGACAACTTTTCTCTTTTCTCCAATGCACATTCCAGTCATCGCTCTTTCCATTCCTGGAATCACCTGTCCTTTGCCCAATGTGAACGTGTAACTAAAGTGGAAAGTATAAAGTGAATACCCAAAACAAGAATTTCTTAGCATTGCTGATGAAGCAAGCTCGAGTTCTAAGCTGTCTAAGCTCAAACCTGGCCTGATTCGGAAAATTTTGGAACAACTCGGGTAATGTAATCAGTAATTGAAACCTCTCCTTTTCCCTAACCCATTATACTCATTCTCTTGCAACTTACGGTTTCTTTCCAAAATTGCTTCCAATTTCTTTTCCATCTTTATCTGTCAATCGATAAAATTGCTCAAGGGTGTCTCCTTCTTGCGATTTTTGCTTACACTTCTCGGCTTTGATTGGGCGGATGATCTGAAAGAGTAAAGGTAAATGAATGAATTGTCCACATTAACTTCTCAACTCCTTTTTCTATTCTAAAGAATGACTAAAGAAATTGATCAGAAACGATCAACGGTATGAAAATCATAAATTTAATAGTTTAGAATAAGAATAAAAATGTAATCTTTGCCAGCTTCTGACCTTAACTTCGAGTCCATCATCGTCTTTCCACTTCAATTTTTGTTCTTCTTCTTCGGCCAAAGCCGAGACGATGAAGGCGGTAATAATTACCCACTTGATCATTCCTGAAAGAGATTTGGATTCATTTTTGTGCTGAAAAATGTTAGAAACTGGATGGAAAAGGTTTGACAAAGATTGGCTTATAGAAAAGTTATCAAAATTTAGCCAATATATGAAATAAGAGAACTAATAGAAAGTCATCTACAAAACGGGGCAACAATATCCAAGTCAGGATTTGAGATCAGTCATATAGATAATTGAATGACTATCATTTTGGAATTCCTTAGGAATTGAATCAAATCTAACAAATCGTTGACAAATGAAATATCAAAGACGATTCTTGAATCGGAAAAAAATAGTACACGTAGCCTTTCCAAGTTTTGAAAGGAGATGATGAGAGCAATACAGAGAATGAGCTGAGAGCTGTGAAAGGAAAGTGGAAGAACTGGATTTCTTGAGGAGAAAGAGGGGGAGAGGGGAGGGGAGGAGTGTCGGACTGCAAGACACCCATCCCATCCCCTCTTCCCCTTCTCCTTCCCCTTCTCCTTCTCCTTCCCCATCTCCTTCTCCTTCCCCTTCCCCTTCCCCTCCTCCCTTCCCTTCTCCTCCCCACCACATGTCCCCTTCCAATCTCTCAACTCGATTCCATAAAAAGCTCAACTTTTTGCTTTTCCTTTTCTAAATGACCTGAATCTTTTTCTTGAGGAGTGATGGGCGGTAGGCTTGCTTCAAATTTGATAAACAAGCTTAAGAGTTGTATCTTCAATAGAGCGTGTTCCCCTCGGTCTTCTAAAAGACACCTATTAGACAACTACTGTAATCAGATCGTTTTTCATTCAATCAGCTTATTTTTACTATCATTTGAATCACAAAGTCAATGAAAATCGGGTTTAAAGTCAGTGTTGATTACAATAGTTTGAAAAATAGGTGCATTTCAAAGGGAACAGAATCTAGTTTTCAATCGTATTTTAAAAAGTTAACTTTATAGAAAGACTGAAAGAGAAACTCGTCTCATTCTTTGTTCAAAAGTCGACCAAGAATTGGAAAAGAAAGAGTATATGGTTGGTTAGGAAGTACACTAGCTAACCAATCGTATAATCTTTCTTTTCCAATTCTTGGTCGACTTTTGAAAGAAAAATGAATCAAAATGTCGACTCACGGTACAAAATAAGCAAGCAATTGGCAAAAAGTCTGTTGGTCGAATGCGTAGCGTTGAGTGGACGATTACAACGGAGATTCGAACAAAAAGAGAAGGGAGAGTAGGGAGAGTGACCTCTCGATCCTCCCCTTTGACCCCTCCCCTCCGCAAAGCCAGACTTTCCCCATCTTCACCAACCCCCAAAAACTAATTGAGGTCAATAAGGAAGGATCTCACATTGAAATCTTTTCTTATTTAACCAAACAATCAAATGTAAACTATTTTTTAATCAGCTGTATTGGAGCTTTGTAAACTTTCCATAAGATTTTGCATGCCATAAACACACTAAGTTCAATAATGCATCTAAAAGGCACTGAATATACAATTGACATGATTTTGGGTGCGTTCCAGTGTGCCAGATTGTACAACAAGAGAACACACACTTTAAACTTTGAACATTTGTCTTTGAAGTCTTTGTGTCTTTGTCTTTGAGAATTTGAAGTTCTTTAGTACAAGTTCTGTGTATTTTGATTGATATTTTGTAAGCAAAAATCTTTATTATTCTCTCAAAATACTATCTTCTTTCTTTGAATTGACATTTGTATGGAGAGCAAACCATCGTGAAACCAGCCGTTTTCTTTATTGAAGGAGTTTCGTCGCCTGAGATCTGAAAGAAATCGAAGCTGAAGCGATAGCCCGAAAGACCACCAAGCCAGGCACTGGCTTAACCCTGGCTTTTGACCGGACTGATCTAAGTTGGTCTGTCTTACACATTTGCTGACTCACCTCAAATCTCTGAAAGATATTGGCCAAGAATAGAAACAGTTCCATCCTTGCCAATCCTTCTCCTGGACATTGTCTTTTTCCAATCGAAAATGGCACCAATTCTTCGACTTTTTTCAGCGATCCATCATCATTCAGAAAACGCTCTGGTTTGAAGGAAAGAGGGGAGGGGAAAAGCTGGAAATGAAGATTTTGATTGATTGATTGATTGAGTCATTTCACCAAGAGTAACACGATGCATTAAAATAGCTTAATTCTATGTAGAATTTGAAGGAAAAATGCAGGCAAATTTATTTAATCCCTTCCTTTAAGCCAACCTTTTCATCAAAGAGCACCACGGAAATCTGTGGAATGACGATGGTCCCTTTCGGGATTTTGTACCCCATCACCTGCACCTCTTCTGTCGTTTTTCGGAAAAGATTTGTCGGCAAAAGATTGGCCATTCTTTGAATTTCCTGAACATTTCCCTTTCTTTTCCCACAATATTCCCTTTCCAACAAACATTAATCGTTGCATTCAAATATGGAAGATGATTTTTGTCGGCCAACGTGATCAAACGATCCGATTTAATCACTGAATCCAATTCGGAGTGAATTCTCTTTTGGACTTCTTTATTGTTCAGAATATAGGCGATTCCCCATGTCAAGGTGTTCGACGTGGTTTCCATGCCTGAATACAGGATTTATAGGTAGTTCGTCTGATAGTCTGCGGTTTGTCTAATTTTAGGATTCTAATCTTTATCTCAATCTGTATTATATCTACAACTTCCAGGCCTTACAACAGTTCCAGGCCTTACAACAAGGTCTGTAAGTAGACAAGAGGCAAGATTTGTCGGCAAAAGATTGGCTAGATCAAACTAGGACTAAACCAGAAGCCAAGTCTAGACCTGGCTTGGTCCTAATTTCATTCCGATCCACAAAACGTGGCGGATCGCAGACGTTTTGTGGATTGGACGCGGCCAAACCAGGTCAGATCAGTCCAAGCCAAGTCAGTGCCTAGATTTCTAGCTTGGCCTAAAAAGCTTATTCTGCTCGACAATAACTTAAAATAGTCGAATCAGTGTGTAAGCTCAACAGTTATGGCAAACAGCTACCGTAAGTACTGTAATAGTACCCCACCCCCCTCGTATAGTCGCTTAGTCGCAAAAGTTTTTTAGTATTTCATTTTTTCAAAGCGCCCGTACTTTCAAAAAATGCGTCTTTGGTATCAAAAAATAGCTGAAATTTGGGGTTATTTTTTGAAACCAAAACGAACATTGTAGCAGAAACCAGTGTCGAGAAAAACTCGTTCAAAGCTAGACTACGCAACACTCCGCACCGCCATTATGGGGGTGGGGTACTATTACAGTATTTACGGTATGTAAAATTCAATATCCAAGAGTAATGATGAATCTAGGGAGCACAGCAAGTTCGGAGCCAATTTTAGATCAAGGTCCCCTCGAAATTCCTACCAGCAATCCATAGATCAAAGACGAGATTCTCTAGCTGAAGCATGCTGAAATGGAAATTTTGAAACTTGAAACACAATCAACATTTCCTTGTTGCCCAGTCACCTGTAATATCCATTATCCGGCTCATCTCTATGTTTTTTTTGCTCTTTCAAGAAAGCTTCCACCAAATCGATGTTAGTCTGAAATCAAAGTATTTTTGAAGAAAACCCATCTCTAACCTCGGATTCATAATCGATTGTCTTTTTTCGATTCTCGATTTGTTGTTGAAAGTACTCAAAGAGGCGATTCCGCACATTCAGTACTTTATTCCAAGCGTCTGAACTTTCGGCTGATTAAAAAAAAAAGATATGTATCATACTTTGTGCGCCCTTTCTGGCGCATTTGATTTATCATTTTTCAATCGAATTAGTATCATATTTTACAAACCGTTAAACATTGGAATGATTCGTGTCCACGGCTGCGTGAAGGCCATCCCCGCCGAGAATGTCGCAACGTTTTTCATGTGATCATTCAACAAGTTCTTTAACTCGCGAAACTCGGCTTGTTTATCCTAGAATGGTTCATTCGTTCAATGATACGACTTATACGTAAATATATTCAATAAAATTTCATATCCGTTATCTTTGTGGCCTGATAGATAGACCTAATAGACCTGATAGATCTGATAGATCTGATTAAGATAAAGATAAAGACCTGATAAAGACCTGATAAAGAACCTGATAGACCTGATAAAGATAATCAGCTATTCAACTAATGGTAAACTTTGTCCATCTGGCGTACAAGTTTCTTGTTTGGTGTTGCAGATTGAAATTTCTACAAAGAACATCCACAAGTCTTCTGCTTCAGTACACGGTGCGAAAGTGTGTAAGTGTATAAGTGCATAAGTGTTGCGCTTATTGCATCTTTTTGGCTTTCTAAGAAAACCCATTAAACTAAGCTGAAAAACAACAACTATCATAAAATCTACGCGTAATTTTACATAAAGTAGAAAAACCATAACATTTTTTAATGACTTTGACAACCCTAGCCGAGCAGTATAAAAAATGGTCTGCTATGCGGCTGAAGAACAGTTAAATTCGAGTTTGGGGTCTCTAGAAATCGTCTTTTTCCCTCTTTTTCTGCATTAATACGTTTTTAAAGTTAATTAATATAAAAGTAGTGCTTTTTGAGCTCCATTTTTGCAAATACGAGCTTATCTTGGCTAACAAAAATCGGCACATTCTTGAAAAATTTCATTTTTCAGCAGAAATCACGTTTAAAGTCTTATATGAAACAAATAAAGTTTGAAATTTTTACACAAACTTATAAAATAGTGAAAAAATGTTCGTAGATTTAAAATATCTGAATGAAAGAACGGTTAACTCTTTTGGTTTTTGAGAAAATCATTTTTTGGTAGAGTGCAACACTACAGGGTGCGGTAAAACTATTGAACGGATATTTATTGATGCATTAAAGGAAGAAAATGAAGAGAGTACTTTGAGTGTTATATATTATTGGAAAGCTCTTAAATACGATAAAATGGAATGAAATAAATCAACAATTTGTGCTAATCGTGGAAAAATTTAAGGACCTAAACGTGACCTGAACCAAGGTAGTTTTTAAAAAGTGAAACTCCTGTGAAAGATGATTTCCTGTTTTGACCTAGACTAGTTATTAAACTGTTTTTATTTGCATTAAATACAAGAATCAAAACCTCATCAATTAGTAAATACAGTTGAGTAAAATTTCTGATAGAAATTGTAAGAAAAACGTGAATATCGAAAACTAGAGAAACATTCAAATGTTTAAAAACATTTTTAAACAGATTAACCCTGAAACTTTTATTACTGTTAAATTAAATAAATAATTATCTAAACGTTTAAAAAAAACAAAACTTTCAGAACAAAATACAGTTAGAAATGTTGGAAATCGCTATTTTTAAAAACTACCTTGGGTCAGGTCACGTTTAGGTCCTTAAATTTTCCCAAAATTGGCACGAATGGCTGATTTATTCTATTCTATTTTATCGTATTCATTAAGAGCTTTCCAATAATATATAACACTCAAAGTACTCTCCTCATTTTCTTCTTTTAATTCATCGGTAAGCATCCGTTCAATAGTTTTGCCGCACCCTGTACCGGATGAATTCTATTCTTGATACTTTTAAATCAGTTGCACGAAGATTGTTTTAAAAATTTGCATATAAACTGTTTGAAATGAATTTTCTAAAAACGTTCGGAAATACCTCTAACCCTTAGTAGCTTACGTTCCCTCAGATGTAAGAATGTGGTCCGGGGATGCCGCATCACACCTGGTTTCCCAGAGCACCTGCGGTGGGCCAATAAAAACAAACACGGTGTGACGCAGATCACTTCCCGGCATCACGGGCTAGCACGGGCGTCGCCTACGGCGCAATTCAAAAGCCTTTGAAACCCTTTAGCAAGTTTCATATTTACACATATTATATGTAATGCAAATTCTCAAAACAAATCCCTAATTAGGTAATCTGCTTGCAACAGTTTCACAAGTACCCTATTCCTAACCCGTTTTCCCAAACAACCTCCTCATATCGATATCCAAAAAGAAGATTGTTGATGATTGATCCAACGGCCACATCAAACTCCCATTGAGGAGCAGTTTCTTTCAAAAGAGTGAAACGATCCATTAAAGACGTCACTTCACTCATCACCTGAATAGCATTTATAACCAGAAGCTTTCTTAAGCAAGACTGAACCACGAATCAATTAGCCACCAAGTATGCTTCAAAATTAGACTTTCTTTATAAGCCATTCCCCTCACCTTTTCCTCCATCAAATTTTTGCCCATCCCAAAATCTCTCAATGTGTGCAGAGTGAAACGTCTCATTTCTCTCCAATTGTCCCCGGATGTCTCAAGAATACCAAAATCACCACCTAAAACAAATATTGAATCTGTTTTGATTTAAAAGTTTTAAAACCTCTAATTTGATGAGTGACTTCTGTAGTGAAACGATCCGTGTATTTCTCTCCATCTTTGATAATCGTTTCTTTGATTGTTTCATAGTCGGCGATGATCACTGTTGGGAATGGACCTGAAACTGATTCGATAGTGGAAAGTTGGAGGAACAGTTTACTTTAAAGGGCGGGTATTAATCGCGGCCGGGTGACGACAAAAATTTTTTTACGGCAACCACCTGTTTTTTTATTTTAATATCGCTGATTTTATTATAAAAAAGAATAAAAATCACCCGGCTAGAGTGATTTGATGGGTTTACAAATTTTTGGAGACACGGCAAGGCTTGGAGAAAAACAAGATCGTCACTCATCAGACACCTCAGCACAGTCTAGATCGATTGAATTTTAATTGCAGATAAATTTAAAAACAAAATAAAAAGCACAAAAAACAATAAAAATAAATTGTTAATCTACAATTCTTCCTCTTGCTCACTTTCATCTTCGCTCAAGTACAGCAGTTCCTCAAATCGGCTTCCTATCTTATCAATTTCCAGCGCATCTTCACCAGAAGTGACTGAATCTCCTCCACCGTAGGACATCTTCAGCGCTTTAATTGACACAATTAGATCTTTTTTCCATTTGTGGTCGCTTGTGGTTTTAGTTTTCTCAAATAGGTGCCTTTTAGCTGAGGTGTCTGATGAGTGACGATCTTGTTTTTCTCCAAGCCTTGCCGTGTCTCCAAAAATTTGTAAACCCATCAAATCACTCTAGCCGGGTGATTTTTATTCTTTTTATAATAAAATCAGCGATATTAAAATAAAAAAACAGGTGGTTGCCGTAAAAAAATTTTTATCGTCACCCGGCCGCGATTAATACCCCCCCCCCCCCTTTAAAGTGTGTTCCTTATAAGTAATTACTCGAGTAAAATTTGCATGCGTAATTTTTACTCAATTAATCGACCTTTTTAGTCGAATAACTACAAGTAATCCTCTTTACACGTCGAGTAAATTGAATATCTTTACATTTGAAGGGAATTTCCCACCAAATCAATGAAATGGCTGAATATCTTTTGAGTATAAGTCGGCGCTCGTCATTTTTTCGCGTCAATTTTCTTGCTAAAATTACGGTTTTTCTAAAAAACGCATTACTCTCGAGGAAAACACTCTAGTTATTAGGTTGTTCGGATATAAACAATTTTTGCTAAAATTTTTGTTGTGAGAGAAGCTTTTAAAACAGGTCTTTCTGCATTTAAAAGTACGTTATCTTGTGTATATTTGGAATTTTTTTAAACGGATAATTTCTTATTTTTAAGAGCTTTTTTCTTGCTTCAGATGACCGACTTGAAACATCAAGTTCGCGTCTGTCTACCTTACGACTTCAAACTGGGCAAAACAGTCGCGGAATCCCATCGAGATTTGGTCAAAGCATTTGGGAATGATGTAGCCGATGCTGAGCCTGATTCCGACGCTTTCGGAATGGTGATGAAAGTCTCGAGGATGATGAACACTCTCGTCGACATCAAGCGGTAGACAACGTTATTTTGAGGGCTGCAATCAAACCGGATCCATGTCGAACGACGCGCGAACTTGCTCAACAGTTTTTATGTTCAAATTCTACCATTGATGACCATCTCCACGCCATTGGAAAGACGATCAGATGCGGGAAATGGCTTCCTCACAAGTTAAGCAGTGTAAGCAAGGCTTCACGGATCGCTATTACCGGAATCCTCATCCGCCACGCTAAAGATCATGGCTTTTTTGATTCTCTCGTTACTGGAGATGATAAGTGGATTCATTTCGATAATACTATTCGAAAACGGAAATGGCTAGAACCAGGAGAACGGCCAAATCCGACCTTGAATTCACATTTATACGGAGAACATTGAACGGTGAAGCCGAAAGATTTTTTGATCGATGGCAGTGAAGTGGATGAGAGCTGAAGTTCGATTGAATGGGAGATTTCAACTCGACCTTAGTGCTTGTAAGCCGGGTAGACCAAAGTTTGGCCAACTCCCTAACCCTAAATTAGATCATAACCAGGGTCTGTCCCTGGCATCTGTCTTGATTTGTCCCTGAAAGTTTGCCTGGAACATCCCTAGATTGAAACTAAAACCCTATGAGTTAGCTCATTGTCCGAGATTTTTTAGCCGGGACTTAGGGTGGTAAAAAGGGCGCATCGGGTTTGGCTTAAATAGCTAGGTCTTTCCATTGCTTTATCACCGAACACTCACCTCAAATCTCTGAAAGATATTGGCCAAGAATAGAAACAATTCCATCCTTGCCAATCCTTCTCCTGGACATTGTCTTTTTCCAATCGAAAATGGCACCAATTCTTCGACTTTTTTCAGCGATCCATCATCATTCAGAAAACGCTCTGGTTTGAAGGAAAGAGGGGAGGGGAAAAGCTGGAAATGAAGATTTTGATTGATTGATTGAGTCATTTCACCAAGAATAACACAATGCATTAAAATAGCTTAACTCGATGTAGAATTTGAAGGAAAAATTCAGGCAAATTTATTTAAGCCCTTCCTTTAAGCCAACCTTTTCATCAAAGAGCACCACGGAAATCTGTGGAATGACGATGGTCCCTTTCGGTATTTTGTACCCCATCACCTGCACCTCTTCTGTCGTTTTTCGGAAAAGATTTGTCGGCAAAAGATTGGCCATTCTTTGAATTTCCTGAACATTTCCCTTTCTTTTCCCACAATATTCCCTTTCCAACAAACATTAATCGTTGCATTCAAATATGGAAGATGATTTTTGTCGGCCAACGTGATCAAACGATCCGATTTAATCACTGAATCCAATTCGGAGTGAATTCTCTTTTGGACTTCTTTATTGTTCAGAATATAGGCGATTCCCCATGTCAGGGTGTTCGACGTGGTTTCCATGCCTGAATACAGGATTTATAGGTATTTCGTCTGATAGTCTGTGGTTTGTCTAACTATAGATTTATTCATAAGTAGGTATTCGCAGAATATAAGTGATTGGTAAACAGTAATTGATCTATTTATAATCCTGAACTTATTTGGGAACACCCGACTCCGTAGCTGCGGTATATCTTTGCTCTGAACTTATTTTTCAAAGTTCCTAACTTTGTTTAGAGATAGTATTATTGTTAACTTTTTATATAGTATTGTAGAGATAGAGGTTGATTAGTCTAACGAGCCATCAAGAAAATTAAGCGACAAAGCTTCAAGACAAAACTTTATAAGTAGTTCGTCTGATAGTCTGCGGTTTGTCTAACTATAGGATCTTTATCTCAATTTGTATTGTATCTACAACTTCCAGGCCTTACAACAAGGTCTGGAAGTAAACAAGAGGCAAGATTTGTCGGCAAAAGATTGGCCAGATCAAACTAGGACTAAACCAGATGCCAAGTCTAGACCTGCCTTCTGGTTTGGTTCTAACTTTATTCCGATCCACAAAACGTGGCGGCTCAGAGACGTTTTGTGGATTGGACTGCAGCCAAGTCAGCTCAGATCACTGCAAACCAAGTCGGTGCCTAGATTTCTAGCTTTCTAGCCCAAAAAGTTCATTGTCACATATCTGCTGGGCAATAACTTAAAATAATCGAATCAGCGCGCAACAGTTATGCAAAACAGCTATGTAAAATTCAATCTCCAAGAGTAATGATGAATCTAGGGAGCACAGCAAGTTCGGAGCCAGTTTGAGATCAAAAACCCATCGAAATTCCCACCAGCAGTCCATAGATCAAAGACGAGATTCTCTAGCTGAAGCATGCTGAAATGGAAATTTTGAAACTTGAACACAATCAACATTTCCTTGTTGCCCAGTCACCTGTAATATCCATTATCCGGCTCATGGCTATGTTTTTTTTTGCTCTTTCAAGAAAGCTTCCACCAAATCGATGTTAGTCTGAAATCAAAGTATTTTTGAAGAAAACCCATCTCTAACCTCGGATTCATAATCGATTGTCTTTTTTCGATTCTCGATTTGTTGTTGAAAGTACTCAAAGAGGCGATTCCGCACATTCAGTACTTTATTCCAAGCGTCTGAATTTTCGGCTGATTATCTTTAAAAAAAAGATATGTATAATACTTTGTGCACCCTTTCTGGCGCACTTTGTTTATCATTTTTCAATCGAATTAGCATCATATTTTACAAACCATTAAACATTGGAATGATCCGTGTCCACGGCTGTGTGAAGGCCATCCCCACCGAGAATGTCGCAATGTTCTTCATGTGATCACTCAACAAGTTCTTTAACTCGCGAAACTCGGCTTGTTTATCCTAGAATGGTTCATTCGTTCAATGATACGACTTATACGTAAATATATTCAATAAAATTTCATATCCGTTATCTTTGTGGCCTGATAGATAGACCTAATAGACCTGATTGATCTGATAGATCTGATCAAGATAAAGATAAAGACCTGATAAAGAACCTGATAGACCTGATAAAGATAATCAGCTATTCAACTAATGGTAAACTTTGTCCATCTGGCGTACAAGTTTCTTGTTTTGTGTTGCAGATTGAAATTTCTACAAAGAACATCCACAAGTCTTCTGCTTCAGTACACTGCGGTAAGTGTATAAGTGTTGCGCTTCTCTTTTCGGCTTTCTAAGAAAACACATTAAACTGAGCTAAAAAACAACAACTAATTATAAAATCTCCGTAGTTTTACGTAGAATAGAAAAACCAGAACATTTTTTTAATAACTTTGACAACCCTAGCCAAGCAGTACCAAAAAAAATGGTATGCTATGCGGCTGAAGAACAGTTAAATTCGAGTTTGGGGTCTCTAGAAATCGTCTTTTTCTGCATTAATACGTTTTTAAAGTTAATTAATATAAAAGTAGTGCTTTTTGAGCTCCATTTTTGCAAATACGAGCTTATCTTGGCTAACAAAAATCGGCACATTCTTGAAAAATTTCATTTTTCAGCAGAAATCACGTTTAAAGTCTTATATGAAACAAATAAAGTTTGAAATTTTTACACAAACTTATAAAATAGTGAAAAAATGTTCGTAGATTTAAAATATCTGAATGAAAGAACGGTTAACTCTTTTGGTTTTTGAGAAAATCATCCTTTTGTAGAGTGCAACACTACAGGGTGCGGTAAAACTATTGAACGGATGCTTCTCGATGCATTAAAGGAAGAAAATCAAGAGAGTATTTTGAGTGTCATATATTATTTGAAAGCTCTGAATGAATACGATAAAATAGAATAAAATAAATCAACAATTTGTGCTAATCGTGGAAAAATTTAAGGACCTAAACGTGACACTCTTGTGAAAGATGATTTCCTGTTTTCATCTAGACTAGTTATTAAACTGATTATATTTGCATTAAATACAGGAATAAAAACCTCATCAATTAGTAAATAGATTTGTGCAAAATTTTTGATAGAAATTCAAGAAAACGTAAACGAAAACGTCAAAGAAAACTAGACAAGCATTCAAATGTTCAAAAAAAGTTTTTAACAGATTAAAACTAAAACTTTCAATTATCTAAACGTTTAAAAAGAACAAAACTTTCAGAACAAAATACAGTTAGAAATGTTGGAAAATCGCTATTTTTAAAAACTACCTTGGTTCAGGTCACGTTTAGGTCCTGAAATTTTCCCAAAATTGGCACGAATGGCTGATCTATTCTATTCTATTTTATCGTATTCATTAAGAGCTTTCCAATAATATATAACACTCAAAGTACTCTCCTCATTTTCTTCTTTTAATTCATCGATAAGCATCCGTTCAATAGTTTTGCCGCACCCTGTACCGGATGAATTATATTTTTGACACTTGTATTGGGTTGGGGAGAATGAGTCGGCGCCGAAAATCAAAAAAATGTCTAAAACTTCTATTCGACTTCGTCAAATAATATGCGTTTGATACTCATAGAATGGTTAACTAATTCTCTACAAAATGACATTTAAAAGAAAATTCAAACAGCGCCTCCGCTCAAGAAAAAGCCATTTTTTCACAAAAACTACAAACTGTGATCTAGAAAAAACCATTGGTGGGATCTTCCTGCAAATTTGGCAACTTAAGTAATTGAATGTGCTCTATCTTTTTTATATAAACACCAAAGAAGGTTTATGTGAAAGAAACTGTTCAAATGATGAGTCGGACTCTTTGCCCTTTTAACCAGCTGCGTTTGGAAGTTCATAAACTCCACGAAAGAAAAGCTTTGTGGAATCTCTCAAAAGTGATTTTGTAGAGAAATAGTGGATCCTTTTGATGAAACCAAACGTATGTTTAAAGAAGGCTTTATGTGTGCAAAAAGTCCCTTTAAAGTTCGGCGCCGACTCATTCTCCCCAACCCAATAAATCAGTTGCACAAAGATTGTTTTGAAAATTTGCATATAAACTGTTTGAAATGAATTTTCTAAAAACTTTCGGAAACACCTCTAGTAGCTTACGTTCCCTCAGATGTAAGAATGTGGTCCGGGGATGCCGCATCACACTTGGTTTCCCAGAGCACCTGCGGTGGGCCAATAAAAAAAAACACGGTGTAAAGCAGATCACCTCCCGGCATCACGGGCTAGCACGTGCGTCGCCTACGGCGCAATTCAAAAGCCATTTGAACCTTTGAGCAGATTTTATATTTACACATATTATATGTAATGCAAATTCTCAAAACAAATCCCTAATTAGGTAATCTGCTTGCAACAGATTCACAAGTACCCTATTCCTAACCCGTTTTCCCAAACAACCTCCTCATATCGATATCCAAAAAGAAGATTGTTGATGATTGATCCAACGGCCACATCAAACTCCCATTGAGGAGCAGTTTCTTTCAAAAGAGTGAAACGATCCATTAAAGACGTCACTTCACTCATCACCTGAATATCTTTTATAACGAGAAGTTAAGGAAGACTGAGCCGCGAATTAATTAGCCACCAAGTATGCTTCAAAATTAGACTTTCTTTATAAGCCATTCCCCTCACCTTTTCCTCCATCAAATTTTTGCCCATCCCGAAATCTCTCAATGTGTGCAGCGTGAAACGTCTCATTTCTCTCCAATTGTCCCCGGATGTCTCAAGAATACCAAAATCACCACCTAAAACAAATATTGAATCTGTTTTGATTTAAAAGTTTTAAAACCTCTAATTTGGTGAGTGGCTTCTGTAGTGAAACGATCCGTGTATTTCTCTCCATCTTTGATAATCGTTTCTTTGATTGTTTCATAGTCGGCGATGATCACTGTTGGGAATGGACCTGAAACTGATTCGATAGTGGAAAGTTGGAGGAAACAGTTTACTTTAAAGTGTGTTCCTTATAAGTAATTACTCGAGTAAAATTTGCATGCGTAATTTTTACTCAATTAATCGAGCTTTTGATTGTTCGGATATAAACAATCTTTGCTAAAATTTTTGTGGTTAGAGAAGCTTTTAAAACAGGTCTTTCTGCTATTAAAAAACGCATTACTCTCGCATTACTCGTTAATTTTGTGAGTTGCACTCACCCATCCAATATGTAAACACAGGTCCAAATTCTTTTTTCCAATTGATAAACGCATCATATCCGGGTGGATGTAGGACGGAGACTGAGATGATATTCCCGGCTAGTGGAAGTGGTATGGGACCTGGGAAATGTAAAGGAAGCTTTTATTTAGAAGTTTAGTTTTGCTTTTGATAAGACAGGCCTTTTAGAGCTTTAGTCTTTTATTCGTTTTGGAAAATTGATCAATATTTTAAAGACTGTTGTTTTAGAAACTAACCTGGCGGTAAATGCCTTCTTTTCCAGTACATTTCGTAGAAAATAAAGCCCACGATTAGGGTCAATATGAGAAAACCCAGCATTGCTGAAAATCGATAAGTTGCAAATAAAATCTATTTGAAATGAAGTAAATCGTGGAAAAACTTGTTAGAATCGACCAAAACTGGCTGAAACAAACAAAAACATTAAAGATAAGAACTGTATAATTCTTATTGTTGAGCAAAATAGTTTTAGAAATTCAATTTTAAACTTCAAGAATATTTCTCGATAGCCATTTCTCAAGTTCAAAACTTTAGAGTGCTTAAATTCTCTCAGAAAAATCGCTGATAAAATTTGTATTGTGAAATTTCAAGAGATTAGATGTTTTTGAGAGGAAAGCATCAAAAAGAAAGCAAAAAAAGCGAAAAAAAAAGTTTTAGGATTGAGGAAAATTGGAGGGTTGGGTCAATGGGAAAAAAGGAAAAGAGATAAAGGAAAACGAGAAAGTAAACAAAAACTGGAAAGAGATGGAAAGACGTTTGGACCAAGTGTTGGTTACAATTCTTCGATTTAGATTCACTGAGTTAACACGAATAATCTTTGTTCAAAACATTTTAGAACCATAATCTTGTTTTTAGTTTTTATCGAAACCACTTTATATCTTTGAGTATCCTTATAAACCCAGAATCAATCACAAAATCGAATCAATATAGACAGATTTGATAAAAGATGATGAAAAGAAACCTGATTATTTTAGGTCTTAAAAATTGGCACACTTTAGAAAACAAATTAGATGAGATGGACACAATTTAGTTTTTTTGGGTATACTTTAATTCAAAGGATTGCGGTCAGAAATGCCAGAGTAGTCGAGAAATGTTTTGGAGTTGATCTTCTGAATAAGTTTTTGTGTAAAAAATAGCTCTAGAGCATTAAATTTGTCGACTTGGTACAATTAAATGCTTCGGATTTTAAATCAAAAGCTATCTCTGAATAGTTAAAATTTTAGACTTTTAAAATATCCACATTGATCTCTGTTTCCAAAAATATCACCGTGACATACCTTTTGTGCAAATTTGGGGAAGAAATCGTCCATTATAAGTTACAATTACAATTACAAGATAAAGATAATGAGATCAATGATAAAGATAATGTGGAATTGAAATGATAAACAAAAATAGAAGGAAAAATAAAATCTTGAGAGCAAACATAAAAAATTGCCCTGACAAGTCAAACACTTTTCTGTGTGAAACGGATCTGTTATCATTTTTGTGTGTCATTTCCCTTTTCAAATTCTGAATGGGTCCATTTTCGAAGAGTATCAAGGCACTTTTGAGTACAGAATTTATTCTCTTTTTCTTTTTTTTTCTATCGCCTTTCCTTGAATTCACATTTATATGGAGAACATTGAACGGTGAAGCCGAAAGATTTTTTGATCGATGGCAGTGAAGTGGATGAGAGCTGAAGCTCGATTGAATGTGAGATTTCAGGGACTTAGGGTGTGTCCTCGGTCAGCAGACCCGTCGACATTTGGTTATTGGACATTTGATACATTTGATTGGACATTCCACCCCCTTTCCCATCGGCAATCTAACATTAAGATCAAATATCTTGGTGTTGGGCCGTTCAATTTAAATATTCTTGGTATCATTGGATGCGCCAAGTCTTTCTCTGTCGATTGGTACAACAACTATTTAAATTGAACGGCCCAACACCAAGAAATTTGAGCTCAAAGTTGGATTGCCAATGGTAAAAAGGGCGCAACGGGTTTGGCTTAAATAGCTAGGTCTTTCCATTGCTTTATCACCGAACACTCACCTCAAATCTCTGGAAGATATTGGCCAAGAATAGAAACAATTCCATCCTTGCCAATCCTTCTCCTGGACATTGTCTTTTTCCAATCGAAAATGGCACCAATTCTTCGACTTTTTTCAGCGATCCATCATCATTCAGAAAACGCTCTGGTTTGAAGGAAAGAGGGGAGGGGAAAAGCTGAAAGATATAAAGATTACAGCCTCAAAGGAATAGTACCTTTTCATCATAGAGAACCGTTGCGATCTGTGGACAAATCCCGGTACCTTTCGGTATTTTGTACCCCATCACCTGCACCTCTTCTGTCGTTTTTCGGAAAAGATTTGTCGGCAAAAGATTGGCCATTCTTTGAATTTCCTGAACATTTCCCGTACTTTTCCCACAATATTCTCTTTCCAACAAACATTAATCGTTGCATTCAAATATGGAAGATGATTTTTGTCGGCCAACGTGATCAAACGATCCGATTTAATCACTGAATCCAATTCGGAGTGAATTCTCTTTTGGACTTCTTTATTGTTCAGAATATAGGCGATTCCCCATGTCAGGGTGTTCGACGTGGTTTCCATGCCTGAATACAGCATTTATTCATAAGTAGGGTATTTGCGGAATATAAGTAATTGATAAACAGTAATTGATCTATTTATAATCCTGAACTTATTTGGGAACTTCTTTCCGAATACCCGACTCCGTAGCTGCGGTATATCTTTGCTCTGAATCTTTGCTCTTGCTCTATATCTTTGTATACTTCAAAGTCCCTAACTTTGTTTAGAGATAGTGTTATTGTTAACTTTTTATATAGTATTTTAGAGAACGCTTTAGGATAGAGGTTGATTGGTCTAATGAGTCACAAGAAAATCAAGCGACAGAACCTCAAGCCGGATTGCACTGTTCTCTCAGTTTGACTGCTTGTTTAATCCTCAGAAAACGGACTTTCTGTGTTCTCGAGGATGTGGATTTTGTACAAAAAATACGGCCAAATTTAAGGAAAAATTTTTGGAGCTTTCTGTAGCTTTTCAGCTGATCCGTACGATCTGGGCCTAGTGCTTTTAACTTGATAACCACATAATTGTAAAATAAAGCACGGTTTATCTCTTAAACATCACCAACCTGCTACCCAAAGATCCAGCAACAAGTTCACGAGTTGCTTTGAGCTGAAAGCTTCTGGATAACTTAAAGCAAACCCTCAATTTACCTATAAAATCCATTATCCGGTTCATTTTCGTGTTTCTTTTGCTCCTTTAGAAAACACTCGACAAGGTCCTCATTTTCCTATTTACGATTGCTATTTCTTTTTTATCTTTTGATTACTTCAGAATCATAATCGATCGTCTGTCTCTTGGCATCGATTTGTTGACGGAAAAAGCTGAATAAACGATCCCGGATGTAGAAGATTTTATCTTTCGCCTCTGAAAAATGGACCTAATTGTATCCTTGCCTTGTAATTATTAGGTTGTTAACCCAAAAAGGGCGCTTTTTGTGCATGAAGGTTTTTGGAATAATTACAAAGATCGCATTCAAGATTTTCTTTGTTTTTCTTGTTTTTCTAATAACTTTTTACAATTTTTAATCAAATATTTTGGTTTAGGTTTCCATTCTCGGGAGCAATGCCAACAACAAATCGACCCACCCTGGAAGTATGGCACAAGGATTTGCACCATCGCTATCAACAACACAAATCTGCCGCCGAATCAGCTCGGGAAATCAACGATTTTTATGGATTCAAAGTTGTGACTACTCGCACAGCCCAAAAATGGTTTCAAAAGTTTCGGAATGGCCGAACAAACATGAAGAGGAAGAGTGGAAGCGGAGGCCACAACAAGATTAATCGTCGTATTCTTTGGCAACGACTACGGCAAAATCCTGAAGGTACGGCACGACAACTTGATGCGGGTCTTTTTTCGCACGTAACCATGTGGAAATATTTGAAAAAAACCGGGCGCAAGTGGAGAAAGCAACAACAAATTCCTCACCGACTGACTCCAGCAATCAAAGCCAAACGAGCTCTTCTGTGCGGCCGCCTCTTGAGCAAATATCGTCATGGACGGCTTCCATTGGATACAATAGTAACACACGATCAAAGCTGGGTCTTTTATGATGGAAGAGTCGTTCGAAAACAATGGTTGAAATCTGGGCAAACTGGAGCTGCGGTCCCAAAACGCGATGTTCATGGGAAGAAACAGATGTTATGTATGTACTGGTGTTCGCGAGGACCATTGTTTTGGCAGCTACTCCCAATCGGTCAAACATTTACCGCTGACGTTTATATTCGTCATATGCAAAGAGTTGAAAATGGATTGGTGACTATGCGCGCAAATGGACAATGGATTGGTCCAGTCAATCTCCTCGAAGACAATGCTCGCCCACATCGTGCCACAAAATCGACTCAGTTTGTGCAAAATACTCTGGGATGGAATCGTTTGGATCATCCCCCTTACAGCCCAGACGTTGCACCGTCGGATTTTTATCTTTTTCTCTCATTGAAAAACTTTTTAGGGGGAAAAAGTTTCAAGACCGAAGCTGAGGTCCGGGACGCTATCGACGACTTTTTGGTTTCAAAAAATGCCGATTTTTTCGAGAAAGGACTTAAGAAACTTCCAAAAAGATGGATGAATGTCAAAACCAAACGCGGAGATTACATTGTTTAATTATATGTTGTTGAAATAAATTGTTATAGTTTTAAAACAGTCATACCCAAAAAGCGCCCTTTTTGGGTTAACAACCTAATAATATCTTGAAAGTCTTGATATCTATAGGCTAAACTGTGACTGATTTCATTGTTAGATTGTACTCCTCGTTTTCTAAAAGGTGCCCTCTAGAAAAAGCTAACTCTCGGTACTGTAAATTGCAAGCTCAACTCATAGTCAAGGAAACAAAAACAAGCTTGAGCTTAGCTTGAACTTACAAAGAAAGCCAGGCTATGGTACCTTTTCCAAAGTTCTAAGGTACGATAGCTTTTCTTAAAGTGTATCTTTTAGAAAACACTTTGACCAAAAGAAACCCAATTCCATAAAATGATCGAACCTCTGACAAAGGGAAAACTCCGAGTCCACGGCAAGGTAAAGGCCAATCCAGCAGACAGGGTGGTTACCGTTTTCATGTGTTCTCCAAGAAGTTCTTTCAATTCACGGAATTGTGACTGTTTATCCTGAAATGGTAATTGCAAGCTCGCATACAATCTGTTCTTAGGTTAGAAATGGAACTTTAAATGGAGCTTTTCACAATGAATTTAAGACCCGGATTTAAAAGATCCAGATTTCCGAGAAGAGCCGGATTTTCAGTTAAAATCCTGAACAAAGTGATTCCTATTTTTAGCTCTTACAACTGATAGCGATTTTGAACTCACCTCATCAAATCGATATCCAAAGAGAACATTGTTGATGATTGACCCGACGGCTATATCGATTTCCCATTGTGGTGAAACCTCTTTCTGAGAAGTACGATCGAGAAGAGCTCGCACTTCACTCATCACCTAAACGAGAGCTGAAAGATTACTGTACTGGCCAGTAATTTTACCCTTTTCTAGTTCTGGATTAACTTTAAACCTCTTATTCAACCTTTTCCTCCATCAAATTTTTGCCCATCCCAAAATCTCTCAATGTGTGCAGAGTGAAACGTCTCATTTCTCTCCAATTATCCCCGGATGACTCAACCACTCCATACTCACCACCTGCAATTGTTGCTTTACAAATGCGGCTAACTTCTGCACCTCTATACAACGGAGTCATGTCAGTGATGAAGCGATCAGCGTATTTCTCTCCATCTTTGATGATTGTTGATTTAATCAACGAGTAATCGGCAATCACCACCAACGGGAATGGACCTAAACGAGTGGATTTTAAGTTCAATTTCGCTTTCTAACCCTACTCTTACACATTTTTAGGCCTAGCCTTTAGAGTACAACACGATTAACTTTCAAAACTTTAGACTCACCCATCCAATACGTGTAAATCGGTCCGTACTCCTTTCTCCATCGATCAAAGATCTCATATCCAGGCGGTTCGCTCAGTCCGAATGAAATCATATTCCCAGCTAATGGTAGAGGAATTGGGCCTGGAAAATGGCCATGAAACTTTTAAAGGAAAATAAAGTGCTGAGTTTAGCTAGCTTGTGAGAAATTTAAATAGATTCTTGGTTTTTTTTCTTAGCTTTTCTTAACTCTTTAATCACCTGGTGGATATGCTCGTCGTTTCCAGTACATTTCATAGAAAATATAGCTAACGAAAGCGATAAACAGCAAAAGACTGATCATTCTCTAAAGGAATTTCTTTATCTTTTTAATTCCAAAGACTAACTATAAGAGTAAATTAGATTTTAAGAAAGAAACATTCATGAAAACTTCAAAAGAAAATAAAGCTAATTGTTGGGGAAAGGGTCGTAAACAAAAAAGAAAGGCAAAAGCGCTGCCAAAAATCGATCTCCAACAAGAAAGGGGGAAAAAGCAGTATACAAAAAGGGCAAAGCTCATTTTTCTTTTGAATCAATCTTTAAAAAGTGTATTTAAAATCAATAGTAGATAAAGTATTTGGGAAATTTTCAAATTCTAACAACCAAAATTGGGCGAATGACCTTGAAAAGAACGATTTTTTGAAGAAAAAGATCAATTTTTAAAGTTAAAAAGCAAAATCTTTAACAGAAACATCTTTTTCAAATGTTTACAAAACAGATAACCCAGTTTAGATTGAACTTTTATAGAAATGAACTGGGAAAACAACGAAAGAGTCTTATCTTTTTCCTTTTTTTGTCAATTTTCACTTTGAGAACCCACAAAAATCAAAGCAGAAATGGGACAAAAAAACAGAAAAATCCCTTTTTGATGATTTTCCTGATGAAATTTGGATATTTTGATCTCGTTGATGAATTTTTTTTTGATCAATGATGAAATATTGATGCAATTACTTTAGAGTTTATTAAAATTAAAGATTTCGCTGTACATTGCGATCAAAGAAATCTTCGTCTGAAAATGAGCCTTATTCTATTTACGTTTCACAAGAAATTATTTAATTTTTACATATAATAAGCATTAAAAATATCATCAAGATAGCAAAAAGAATATGCAAGTTGATCAAAGAAAGAAAAAAGGAGAAAAGAAAAGATGAAGGGAGAGTCGAACGAGACAATTCTCGCTTCCCATGCTAACCCACTACCACTCTGACACCTTAACTTTTCAAAAAAAAACTAACTTACCATAATTTGAGTCCAAAAATGCCTTGTAAAACTTTAAACTCTATAACTTTTGATAGGGTATCGCATAGCAAAAACTGAAACCAAATTCGGAATTAGCGTGAAAATCTGCGTCGAATGGTATATAGCAAATGCCATTTGATGGCACCGTGCCCACTTAACCTTTCCTTGTGAGTACTGTAGATTGTATTGTAGGGATTTATTTATATTGTATTGTAGAGATTTATTTGTATTGTATTGTAGAGATTGAAAGATTTATTGTGGAATAAAATGTTCAAATCACAGGCAAATTTCATGATTTAATTGAGTCTGTTTCTCAAAAAAGATTCCTTAAAGCATCTAGTTTACATTTGTATACACAGACAATCCATTATTCACTCGATGACTCGTCAGCCTCTGTTACACTGAATACTGTCGAGTACAATGTTCGAGAAGTAAATCGATCTATGCGGTAGCCTAATTTCCTCTATTTTATTTGTGCAACAGAGTCATTTGCGCAACTCACCATAACTTTCTTCTAAGTCGGCCAATCCTTATGATTTTAGTGTCATTTTGTTGCACTTATTGAGATCTACAAAGTGACACTAAAATCATAAAGATTGGTTAACTTAGGTGAAAGTTATGGCGAGTTGCGCAAATGACCCTGTTGCACAAATAAAATGGCGGAAATTAGCCTGCCCCGAATCGATAACAATCTAGAAGATTTTCATCTAGAATCTAGCGCCTAAAAAACATTTCCCAGTCACCCTTTTAGCAAAGACTTTCCTGTAAAATTGCCAAACCTGAAAAAAGTCACTATTTGGGTGCGTTACCCAGGGTTTTCTCTTTTGATTCATTCATAAAAGGCACAGGCTAGAGATCTTTTTAGAAAAGTTTTAAGAAAACTCTTTAAAAATCGTTTTTTTGTTTCAAAAGATCAGTCAAGAAGACAATGGCTAGGCCGAATTGAAAATTCAGCGCTGATCTTTACAAGAAAGAAGGAAAAAAGGGAAGAATACGGTGTTGGGTCGTAGAAGAAAAGTGAGAAGAATGGAAAAGATTCTTTTTCGAAAAAGATCTGGGTTAAACAGTTTCCTTTTTAGAAATATATTTGAGTTATCAATCTATTCTCAGGGGAAATGAAACCGATTTTGCTCTTTGCTATGCTTTTTGGACTATTCAACTTTTGCGATACGGTAAGTGTGTCTTGCTTTGCATCTCTTATAATAGTTTTGTTTTCTGACAGCTGCTTTCTAGAAAACTACCGTAATCCTATTGTCTTTAAATAGCCAAAATACGGTAGTTTTGGTTAGCGCACATTTTAGAAAATAAAAGGAAGCATAGACTAATTGGAATGAGTTTTCTGACGCGCTTCATATGCAAACAATGCGGCGTACTTTGTGCTCAAAAGAATTGCAAAGAAATCTTTCCTGGCGCAGAAATCTTTCATAAAATCAAGTAGAAAGAGTGTGTTTACATTCTTGAGCACAAAGTACACAAATGGATCCTTCAGCTTTCCCCCAATCCGGTGAATCCGCCAGTTGGTTGCCCGAATTTCGGTCTCTGTTCGGGGAACAATTACAACTTGTCGAACACTCTCTACTTTGAGTGTAATGCCTACTACTGCCAGGTATGAGAAAATATCCATATCCAGATCAATTTCTTTATCCATTCTTCAGTGTAACACTGGGACAACTTTTGGTGCGTACACCTATGATTATTATGGCTATGTGACGAATGTAAACTCTGCCTATTGTGCTGTTGGTTGGTGCCTTGAAAGATTGAATTGAGAACTGCTCTATCATTTCAAATTGTTCTCTTCCAGTCACTGATAACTGTAATCCGGTGAGCCCGTGTTTATCTAACGCCATTTGCACAAACCTCATTGACAATTTTCGTTGCACTTGCGCCACTGGGTACACAGGAGCTTCGTGTAATGAAAGTGAGTACTTGAAACAGTTTACCTGACTGTCAAGCATTTTAAATCCAAACCCAACTTTTCAGGAAAAGCGTTCGTAAAAGCATTATCCGCTAGTTTTTTCTTCTCAAAAGATTTCTAAGAAAAGTTTCAAGATTTAGATCTAATAGCTTGAAAATAGGAGCTGACAAGGTTTAGCAAAGATTTGTAAAAAAGTCAAATCTTTTACAATGTAAATTGTAAGTCACAATTTACAATTCATAGTAACTAATAACAAGATTGTTGATTAAATATCAAACTAGCCGTTCAACTATTTTGTAATTATTCTAGCTAAACTTTGCAAACTCTAGCCATTTCAACGGACCCATGCGATTCGTCTCCATGTCAAAATGGTGGCACATGTACGTCAAGTTCTGGCTCATTCACATGCTCGTGTGGAAGTAATGCCAAGGGGGAACGATGTCAATGTGAGCTTGCAATAAGTCAAGTAAAAACAAAAAATATTTCTAGATATAAACGCTTGCAACACGGGAAATCCGTGCAAGAATGGTGCCACGTGTGTCATGCTCTACAGTGGGGAACAGGTGTAAGTTTTTGAGAAAGTACTGTACCGTTGCTTTGCAGTACTGAACCAAATACCGTAACTAGTACTGTGGAGTACTGTAACGGACCTTACTTTCAATTTTTAACGACTGTTGATTGAAACTTTCAGCTACTGTAACTGCACAGCCGGCTGGCAGGGACTCAATTGTGATGTGGCAACGTTGGCTCGTAAGTTCCACCTTTTTGAGGTGTACTTTGTGCTCAAAAAGCTTACAAAAGCACCCTTCCTGGCGCACTTCAATGAATCATCGATCAAGCCCTTTCAGCGAACGACAAATACATGAATTGCACAAAAATCGACTGGTCAAAGGAGAGCTCAAGTTCGAACAATTGCACGAAAGTGACGAACAGTAACTATCCCTCGCTTTCATTGTGAGAAAAGTTTTGGGTAAACAGCTGAATTTTGAATTTTCAGATGTCGAAGTCAATTTCAAACGAAGTTGCTCTCCGGGCAATCGTTGGCCTATTTTTGTGGGTGAAACTTCAACTTTATCGGGAACTTGCATAAAATCAGCTCCAAACTTTAAAATACTAGTAGAGCTCTAGTTTTCTTTTCACTACAGTATGGCCATTTCTAGTATTACAATAGTCTACAGGCTACGGGTACTTAGTATACTGCATACTAGAGTCTGTACCGTAGTCTGCACCGTAGTCTGTACCGTAGTCTGTACTGTAGTCTGTACCGTAGTCTGTACCGTAGAGTCTGTACCGTAGTCTGTACCGTAGTCTGTACTGCACCTAAAGATACTGTAGAGTCCTAGTTTCTCATTACAATATAGCCTACAGTAGACCTTCGAGGATATTGTCTGTACGCAGAATTTTTGACTAAACTATGTTCAGGTGTTGTCGGTAAAGAGTGCCATTTTTGCCCGGTTTGGCCGTATGGAAATGGTGACATAAGCACGAATCCGTTATGTGGGAATAAATGTTATCTCGAAGACTCGTCGCTTCGTCTCAATTATTTAGGGTGAGTTCTTTATTTATCCTGTACTGTACCTGTAGTTTGTCCTCATCAAAACACATCCTTTTTGGCATACTTCATTTGCCATTTTCTTGCTGTGGTGTCAAAAGTGCTTTTTACATTTTTAAGCACAAAGAACACTTGAACCTATACATTTCAGAGCCAACGAAACTTGCGGTACTTCAGCTTCAAGTAACCCACGTGGACAATGCTATAAATATTCGGATATCGGTAGCAAAGAAATTTTTTCAAAAAAAACAATTCAATTCAGTTGATCTTGCTTGGTGCAATGCGACAACTTGTGAAAACGGGGGAATTTGCGTGGATCTTGTGAACAATGGGATAAAATGTCTTTGTCCACGCGATTACACTGGAGCTAGTTGTGAAACACGTGAGTTACAATGACATTTTGTCTTGATCTCGCTTGGCTTTACTGTAGACCTTGGCCCGGGCCCAGGTTTCGCTAGATCGGCCAGAAAAGCTGGGTAAATAGATGATCAATGTTTAGAATTATTTTGGTTACAATTCTGTCATCCAATCAAAATAATTTACATATACAAACGCAGAATTCCATCAAAGTTTCTAAAAAAAACAAACAGTTAGCAAAAATTTTAAATTTGAAAGAAGTTATTGCCTAAAGATTGCGAATTTTGGGGTAAAACTAGTAAATTTTGCTCGATATAGCGAAATCTGGACTCCATAAATTTTCCCTGGACCCAGAAGGCAGCTCTGGACTTGGCTTGGTCCTGGTCTAGCTTAGAACTCCTAGTATCATAGTGAAGCCCAAATGAAAGCCTTGATTCTGCTAGTTTTCTCAAAAAATTTAACCATTTAGCATTGAGTCCATGCTTTCCGAATCCGTGCAAAAACAGTGGCACTTGCTCAAACTCGACCGATGGAGATTTTTGGTACACGTGCACTTGTCTCCCTGGATACACTGGAAGTGATTGTTCAAGTAAGTTGGGACTTTTCATTTCATTTCATCTCTTTACATTGAAATTTTGGCTTTGACTTTGAACCTAGTAAGTCATAAGGTCAATAATAAAGTAGAGAAATGAATGACAAAGATGTTGGAGCCGGGGGAATTGAACCCTCGACCTTCTGCTTTTGCAATGAGTGTCAGGCTTTTACTGTAGTGTACTTTAGGCTCAAAATGTATAAATACACCTTCTGGTGAACTGGGATAGTTCAATGTCCAAAATGGCTGGCTCTTAAATCTTTTCTAGAACAAACTCAAGCCTTTTTTTCAGCAAAGCTCTTCTGCGCATCATCCCCTTGTCAATATGGGAGTAAATGCGATGAGAAAGATGATCATTCTGGGTATACCTGTGATTGTTTGAGTCTCTACACTGGAACGAATTGTGAAAGTGAGTAAAGCAGTAGGGAAAGTTGAAAATCCATTTCCTTGTCAGTCCCCAATATGTGCGCTTCAAGCCCATGCAAGCATGGTAACTGTTCGGTGGTTTTCCGGAGTTTCAACTCGACCTTCAAGTGTGACTGTGATGCGGGATGGACAAACTCGAGATGCAGTTCGGGTGAGCTTTCAATTTTTCAATTCTAATCAATTTTCCCCAAGTTTAGCTATCGATTTCTGCGAATCAACTCCTTGTTTTTATGGTGGAACATGTACAAATGTAAGGGTTAACTTCTACTTCCACCTGAAGACTTTTCCTTTCAGATCTACCCACCAGCTTCCCCATTCTACACTTGTGCCTGTCAACCGGGCACTTCTGGGAGTCTTTGTGAAATTAGTAAGTTAAAAAAATCTTGTACTTTGTACTTGAAAATGTAAATTCAGCCTTTCTAGCGTCTTGAATTCATTATTTTGCTTTCTTCTTGCACGCTCGGTATCAAGAAGAAAAGTGAAGAATATGTTTACATTTTTAAGTACAAAATACCGTTCTAAAGGTCTATTAGTTTAGCTGAATATCATTTAATTTCAGACTCATATTTTAATTTTCAGATCCCGATGATTGTACGTATCACTGGAGTGGTGGGGTGAAGTACAGTGCGTGCAATGAAACCGACAAAAAGGTAAGCCAGCTTTTTTATTTAATCAAGTACCGGCTTTAGGAAATATCTTATTTATTACATATTTGAGCATATTTAGACAAAAGTATTCAGTATTTCATGGCCAAAACTCTAGGCTCAATGCAAAGATGGTTTCAACTCATATCAATGTGTTTGCGGACCAGATTACACTTCGAGCGATTGCAGTATTCGTTCGTTTTTTTGAAAGACTGTTTTTAGCTTTGTTTGATTCTAAAGTCCAATAAAGTCCAATCGACTTTTAGCGATGATCGTCTACAATGCGACAATTCTCATCTTTGGACCAGATGCGGCTGTGAGTGATGACATCATTCAGGTATCAGCTCGATTACAGCAAAAAGCTGACCAAATCACTGCTAAATTCGTTACTTTCCAGAATATGGCTTTCTTTTATAGTTTCAATTCAATAAGTCTAGTCATAAATTCTTAGAATTCATAAGCTCAGCAATGAGTGAAAAGAACACTAGCAAAGGCAAGTGAACAAAAAATTGTCTCATAATTTTGGCGTACCTGAATTCTAGGAATTGAAAAACTATTGGATATTCAAAAATGATTCAGCCGTGATTTCAGCTTTTGAAAGATTTGCTCAGCAATCCGACGAACATCAAAGACATGGTGCCGTTCATTTTGGGATTAGAAGATGAGGATGAGAGGTTCGGTATTACAACAAATTTGATTGTGAATTGCAAATAGATCAATGTTTATATGATTTAGAACGGATAAGAGTTGGGATTACACAGATATGTTCGATTGGGTTGCTTACGAGGAGAAGACTCTTGACTTGACGTCAGTTGACTAGCTATTTACCAGAATTTTTAAGTTTTACCAACAATTATCGAGTTCTTTCCCTGATTTAGACGAGATCTATTGAAATGGAATGATGTCACATTGGGCAATTGCTTTACATTCAATCACCGAAATAGTACAGCGGCTACCTATCTTCATCGAATCACGGGGAAATTTGGAAGTGAGCAAGAGAATTCCAATTTCCTTAATATTCTTTTAATACTAGTTACTTGTTTGAAGCTTTAGTAGTACAGCTTTGAAATCTTTTGCTTTGAAATTGGAGTAGTAGTCTAACTCTTTAGCGGGGAAATCCAAAATGTCCGCATTGACTAGATTGGGCTTATTGGGTTGGTGAATTGAAAACTGCGGGACTTTGGACTAAAATTTATTGAACATAAAACCATGAATTCATTCGAAATAATTTCCATTATTATTGACGACTTCTGCCCATTTTAAAGGCAATTTGCGGATTCCTCTTTCGTAGTAGGATTTTGGTTTGTTTTGGTTTGTGTGTGAGACAAGTGTGAGACTCAGAAATCGAGGACTGGAGATGTCCCAGTTTGAGCACTTTCTTCAAAAGAAACCCATTTTGGTGTCAATAGAAAAGTTGTAGAGAATCAAAAATGAGGCTTATATCCTAATTTCCAAAAAGATACACTTAGTAGTTTCGCTTAAAATCCAAGTTTTGTGAAAATTCCTAAAATTTGGCATTTCTTGAAAACCAGTTTTTGAATCGTTCTGAAAATTTGGATATAAGCTTGATTTTTGATTCTCTACAACTTTTCCATTGACACCAAAATGGATTTCTTTTGAAGAAAGTGCTCAAACTGTCACATATGACAATAGCCCGCAGTTTTCAATTCACCAGCCCAATCAACTTGTCTAAAGCTTTAGTAGTACAGCTTCTAGTCTAACTCTTTAGCGGGGAAATCCAAAATGTCCGCATTGCCTAGATTGGACTTATATTAGGTTGGCAAGAAAGTTCTCGGCAAAAGTTTGCGCGGTGATTTCTCAAAAAAAACATCAATTCTTCCCAGGTTTTTTGATAAACTTGACTATATTTCAAAAGGTTTTTCACAAAAAAATCAGAGTGGACTTCAGATAAAAAAAAGAGATTTCTTCAGCTGAAGTGACTTGATCACTTTTTGAGTGACCAGCCTTTAGACAAGTTTTTAATGGGTTAATGAACAGGCAATTGGTCCCATTCAAAACCTAAAGTCAAGTACTTAAAATAGGGAAAATTTGTGATAAAGGCAAATTTAATCGAATGCTTTAACTTTTCAGAATCACCAATTTTAGCAAACACTCAGTGCCAAAAAGATGACACTAAAAAATGATTTTTTTGAAATACAGCTTCTCTGTAAAAAAATTTTTTGGCCAAAAATAGAGATTATAGAGCGGATTGCTCATTTATGTTAGCTTTACCTCATAAAGAATCGTTTTTCTGGAGCAAAAAGTGATCTGAATTTAAGCTGGAAAATAATCATTTTTCAATCTCTAAAAAATCTCTAAGATTTTATGGGAAAGCTGCACTCATTTTTTTTACGAGTAATTTCTTGGAGTCGACTTGTAAATAATAGAACAAAATGTTCTCGAATTGGTGGATTCATTTTGTTAAGAAATTTCAGTCAAACTTTTTCCGAGAACTTTCTTTCCAACCTAATAGTTACGTAAAATTTAGTTCAAATGTTTAGGTCTTGAAGCGATGATCAAAATCAACAGCCAAGAGTACTGTCCATGGGTGGATACACAAGCGATACAGGTACAAAATGTTAAAAGAAATTTTAGAGAATTTAATAAAATCCTGCAGGTTTTTGTTCATCCGGCTGAAGAGGACATTTTCTCCGAGTCTGTCCGTTACAATGCTCAACCGGGTGGGGAAACGGAGCTCTTCCCAAGATTGGTTAGTCTAAAAATCATTCAAATATGTTTATAAAAAACTTTAAAGGTATCAGATAAGTTATAGCTGCTATTTATAAAGCTTTTCTACTTTAGACAGCCTATTCTCGTTTGGGTGGTCGATATGGTGTGTGTGTAAATGAGGCCAGCCAAGTCAAACAATATTTCTACTCGGGTGCTTATGCTACGGATGTTAGTTTTGGATCTTTTGCTTTGAAATTGGAAAAGTCAATCTAACAGAGAGATTACCGTACTTTAAAAAACTTTATTTACTTTGATTATCGAGTAGCAATCCTTTAGAGGTATCAGCTCTAAAAGCTTTAAAGGTAGCCTGGATATGATTCCTTTTCAAACTCAAGTTACCCAAGTCAACCCAATCGCAAACCTACTATCAAACCCTATAAAATCCTATAACATTTATTTGGGTTTAGCTTTGATAAGGCTTGACAAGCATCCCTAGCTTTACAACGCCTAAAACGAGCTACTAAGCTATATTTACATCAGTCCTACCAAATCTGTAATATCTAAAGCCATTGACTAAACAGGATTGGGTAAAATTACCTAAACAAGAAACTGGTTTGAATGTTATTCGGTCCATAAAACTCCTATAATTCTTTTCTATAAACTCTTAATTTTCCTCGAAAAAAGTAGTCACACTTTTTCTAATCTTAATGTTGTTTTTTTTCGAGTTTTTTAGAAACCAAAGAAACACGAAGTTCCCCACCAAGATCAATTTTACCCGATGCTTTGTGGTTCGAAAGAAAAGCCGGTCAACGGATTTTTCTTTTCAGTAGTCTCCTAATAGGTTAAAAAATGAATAAAGTTATACTATAAAGGAAATTATACGGTTAAGTTGGTTGGCTGAATAGTTACAACGAAGAACTCTTGTTCGGGTTAATTTTTCCCAACCCAGTATATAAAAGGGAAGTGTCTGTCAGTCCGTATGTCTGTACGCGCGAGTTCTCCCGATTTACATGATTTTTAGTTTGTTAGGCTTAGAATTCTATGTAGTTGGTACATCTCAAATTTTCTTGTTTTAAAAAGCAAAGGCACGACACAGCCGGGAGTCGAACCCGGGTGGTGTGGACGGTAGACAAGCGTGTTCTCGACTATGCCACAGTGAAGAATTGTGCCTCAAAACATTCAGCCAGAAACACCCACCATTAGGCGGGTTTGTCAGTTGGTATTAATATGGTTTGCAAAGACCTCTGAACACTAATCTTCACCTACAGGGATGCCTCCGCTCTTGCTATCAACAAGCCGTGCAGGACTCGTGTAAATGCATGGATCCACGTTATCCAATGGATAAAGGAGTGACTGCTTGTGGATTGACAAAGAGTAGGCTTAAATAACAATTTCTATATTCATTCGCTTTCATGGGGTTGTGTCGATCAAGTTATCCTCGACAAAGGCGATCCGTCAACCTGGAAAGACTGTGTCTGTCCTTTACCCTGCTCGAATCGTGCCTACACTGTCTCGTGGGCTAAAACGATCTACACAGCTGAGGTGAAAGCTTTGAATCTTGATATGCATTAGTTAGTTAAGGATTTTAATGTCAAAAATTCTTTCAGAAACCCCAATGCATCGGCTCGGGCAACTACAGTGCTTGTAAAACGAGTTTTCAGGTGAGTGAGTAAAAGAGAAGAACTTGTAAATAGTGTTATCTAATAGGTTGATGCATAAGTCTTTTCGTTTTTTTCGTACTTCTGTTAAAAAGTAACAAATTCACCAATTAATCTATAGTTTGCTCTATAAAAAAAGTGTTTTTTTGTTCAATTTGTATCTTTTTAAATCAATTTCGGTTCACTTTCAAGCAAATTCGAGAGTGAAAAACGCCTTTTTCCTAAAAATCTATAAAAAACTCTACGAAAAAATTGGCTGAATGAATTTCTCTGAAATTTTGGCGAAATATCAAACTCTTTTTTCTCTTTCTTTTATCTATTGACACGAAGATAGGTTTTCTTTAGCTAAGGTGTCTAAACCGCATCATCGAGTTAGCCCTTTTTGACTTCCCGACTTCATACTCTCAAGAAAATCCAGGCATTAAATATTTTTAAACCCGTTTTAATGTTATTTTGCAGAAAAATAATTGGTTTTTCTAATGAAATCAACCGTAGTTTAATTGGTGCATTTGTTGGCTTGAAACGGCAGACGAAAAGGAACAAAAACACTTATGCATCAACCTAATATGATAAAACTCTCGTAACTTGAAACTGCTACAATTTGGAATAATTTTTAATCTAATCTACAGTTGTACAGTTTTCCCAGTCACTTCCAATGTTACATTTTCAGGATTCAGTTCGAGTACGCGTAGCGCTGGCTGACTTTACCTTTCAGCTCTTTGCCGAGGTGCCGGCGATGTCGGTAAGTAAATCAGACAAATTTCTATATGTACTATAATGTTTTAATAAAAGATCAGGATATTAAAGATGTGCAAAACTGATCCAAGGGTCAGCTGGATAGATCATTGGATCTGGACTTGGGTCATGATCTGATCCGACCACATGGTCAGCTCCACAACCCGGACAAAGTCCAGTCGAATAACTGTACTGGGTCTAGGCTGGCCCGGGTTTGGATCCTCAGCTTCAGCAGAAGATCTTTATGTACTGCATATTAGTTCTTTGTGTTTTTAAATGGTGGACAATTTGGGAACTACCGTAATCTTTCCTCTAGATTTTGTTCAATCTACTTAATTTTGATCCCATTCGATGAGGCTCAAACTCTAAATTGAAATGGGATCAAAATTAAGTAGAATAGGGGAAACCTGAAAGAGAAGATGACGGTAATGTTTATAAATTGTCGACCTTTTAGAAAATGGATTGCTTAGCCCACTCATTAAATCGACTTTTTCAGTTCAATTCATTCATCGGAAATCTCGGCGGTTTGTTGGGTGTATTGATGGGCATCTCCACGATTTCTTTCATTGAAATCGGTTTTCTTTTCATCGCGATTCTCGTTGTGATTATGGGATGTCGAAAGAAATAAATTTTACGTATATTGCTCTTTTTTGTGGATAGAGTTTGGTGTAAAAGCTTTCAAAATACGCATTTCCTTGTCTTTTCTTCGAAAAAAAAGACATTTTTTTGGAAAGAATCTCCTAGAAACGAAAATAAAAAGATGAGGAAAAAACTCTTTTGTTGTCAGAAAAATACCGAAGATTTTGGATTTTCTGGGGAAACGATCAAAAATCGAGAAGATTTTGGTGAAGAGAGGCTAGTTTTGCAACACTAAATGCTAATGTGCTAGGTTTTTTTAGATTTAACAAGTTTAGTCTTTGTCGTTTTGAAAGTTTAAACTTTTTCCGAAAGCCGACTCGGTTAGCTACTCTAAAGCGTGTATAACCCGGCTTAAATCTTGATCTTCATAGATCAAATTTTCTAAGTTAGTTGGTGATGCAGTAAATTTTACAATCTAAGTGCTGACTACTCGGATAACTGTAGGATTAGTTGACATCTTTTTCCTTTTCATCACAAAATTTTCCTTTTGTTCCGCATGCACTTTGGATCTCTCTAAAAGCTTCTAGAAAAAGAGAAAAAGTTTTTTTTTTCCTTGTTTCCAAGGATCTCCAAGGAGTGTCTCGATTTTTCGAAACAATACACAGTCTGACGTTCGAGCAAAGATTCTCCCGCGAGCCGACGAGACCAAGAAAGTGACCCTGAAAAATTCATTAGCATTTTGAATTTCGACATTTTTGAGAAGCATTATCCTACTGAAAGAAAAAAAACTGATGAAACTTTAGATATGAACATACAAAATAAGATTTATCATTTCAATTCAAAAGCTAGAGTTATTCTTGTTCAACTCACAACACATGTTCGCGGGGAAAGCGCCCGGCAAAAGGCAGCTGAGTTTTTTTTAAGATATAGTTTACTGTTTTATGTTTTACTATTAGTTTTTGCATAGTTTCTTGATTGGATTGATCGGATTACGGTAGCTTTCGAGTCTTACGGTAATTTTAGTACCGTATTAGGCTGTCCAGAAAGTCTTTTCGTTCCTTTTCGTACTTTCATTGAAAAAAAATAAATTCACCAATTAATCCATGATTTGAGTTTTTGTTGTCTTTGTTGTTCAATTTCCGATCTTTTTAAGTCAATTTCGGCTCACTTACAAACAAATTCGAGAGTGAAAAAACGTGTTTTTCGTAAAAATCTAGAAAAACCTCTACGAAGAAATTGGCTGAATGAATTTCTCTATACCTAAATTCTTGTGCTCTATCTTTTAGCTATTGACACCAAGATAGGTTTTCTTAGCTAAAATATCTGAACCGTATCATCGAGCCGACTCTTTGACTATCCGACTTCGCGCTTTCAAAAAAATTCAGACATAAGACATTTGAAAACCGTCTTAATGATATTTTGCAGAAAAATAATAAGCCTTTCCAATGAAACAAACCGTAGTTCAATTGGTGAATTTGTTGATTGTAAACGGAAGTACAAAAAGCAACGAAAAGCCTGGACAGCTTAATACAAATAGCCTTTGACCCTGGCTTACCAGCTTAGGGTCCGTTTGGAGCTGTTCACAAGGTTACGCGTTTTTCCATTTTAATACGTCTTCTAGAAGCTCCTAATGGACCCATAGACAAAAGCCAACAATATGATCAGGCAATACGTACTTACCATTAGAGTTGTATGAATAAACCTGTTCAGCCCATTTAAAAAGATACGTGTACTTTCAAAAACTCTCCCAAAATCAGAACACACTTGAAAAACAAAACAAATCCCGGAGTTTCTATGGAAAACCCTTAATTTTTGAACACTCTAGTCGGTTGTGACGTTCGAGCGCAAAAAATTTCCCTTTTCCACCCACCCATCCCATTTAAAAGTACAGGAAATTGAAAAATTTATTACACAAAACAAAGCTTTCAAAAGAAGAAAAAAAACTGCCAAAAGCATTTTATGTCCTTCGAGACAGGGAATACGGTGAATTGAAAGAGAAAAAGAAAGGTTCTCCATAAAGAATAGCAGAGTTTGCTTTAAAGCTCATTTCCACGCTTTGGTTTTACTCAAAGCACCATAATGAATTTTTTGAATTTAATACTGACTTTGATTTTCTCGGTGATATGCAGAGGACAGGTATGTTTTGTGTTTACCAGAATTGTTTGAAAAGTAATATGTCCGGTTGCTGTACTCAAAGTCAAGCCAGAACCTGGGTACAGGCTTGGCCTGGCTGCGAGCTTGATCTGGTCCATAAAAGCCCCTAGGGTCTCGGCTCTGGCCTTGCCTTACCGGATCTGTCATGGCATCAGGATTTTGCATAGCAAGATTTTCTTCTACGATAAGAACTACAGTGGCCAAGCCAAAGCCGGGTGTTTCCTTTCTACAGAACCTTTCCAGACTATGTCAGGCTAGGTCACACTAAGCTTAAACTGGCCACTAGATCAGACCATGATTATGCCAAAAATCTGAAGGCTAAGCTAGAGGCCTGTCCAGATCCAGCCTTTATAAAGCAAATCTGCAGCAAAGCCAGGCAAGATCAGGGAAAAGCAGGACCTGGCATGGCCCAGAACACAGTTAAGACAAGTCAAGTCAAGTCAAGAGTCAAGGCAACCCGGTTACCACAACCAGAAATCATCGGTTACTGTAATTATTTTTCAGCGACAACCCATGCTCGTAAACCCTCCAGTTGGCTGCTCAAACTATGGTCTTTGTTTGAACAATAACTACAATGTCTCGAATCTCGATTTTTATGAGTGCATGCCTGGATGGTGCTCGGTAAGTTTACAGGGAAAAACTAGCAGGAGAGCTTGAATGTGTCATTTTTATTGTCCGGGCTTTTTAGTGCAATAAGGGAACGGCAAAAGATCTAACTGCCTACGATCCGGTCACCGGCAACTATTACCCTACGAATATCCAAGCTTGTTACACAGGTTTCATCGAAAATCAAAATAAATCAACTTTTATGTGATTCTAGCTACAAATGCTTGTGCAGCCTATCCAAGTCCTTGTCCGGGTCTCTATGCGCAATGTGTCTTCCATATTAACAATTTCGAGTGCCGATGCCCGGATGGGTACACTGGACCGACGTGTAATCTAAGTACGGTAATTGAAAAATGAAAAGCATGAATGTTTTTAAAGGAAAAACTATTCGAATAAGTTGCAAATACCAAAAAATTATCTGATTTTAGTTTCCACCGACCCGTGTGACTCGTCACCATGTCGAAATGGTGCCACGTGTACAATGATCACTCCATCACCGAGTCCGTCTTTCACTTGCACTTGTGATCCGAATTATACTGGAGAGAGATGCCAATGTGAGTTCTATTCAAATATTATGTTTACCAATAATAACTTTAGCTTGATATGATGTATGCAGCAAAAAAAAAGACCGCTTAATCTAAAGCAAAGGCCTAACGTAATCGAAAACATGTTTTGCGCAAACTTTTGGTTTCCGGCATACTCAATTTTGACTTTTAAATGGTTTCAGTATTTCTGGCACTCTATTCAGTTATTTAATTCAAAAATTGTAGATGTGAACACTTGCGTGAAGAACCCAAACCAATGTCTGAATGGTGGCACGTGTGTGATGCTTTGGCATGGCGAGGACTAGTTCGTTTTCTTGGAAAAATTTACAAATAAAGGCTTAAATGTCAAATAAAAACACTTTTCAAATACGGAAAGATAACATTTTCTGCAAATTTTTTGATGTCTAATTGAATTTAGCTACTGCAACTGCACGTCGTACTGGCAGGGGCCGGTCTGCGGGGTGGCCACGTTGACAAGTAAACTTTTTCGATAAAAATCTTTAGGATTTTAATATCTATAACTTTTAGAAATAAAATAGATATGCTTTCTTTATACTTATCCAAATATATTCAGAAGACGACTCCCTTATGGACGATTGCATTCGAATGAACGACTGGTACAATGCGACGAAAGTCACAAACTCGGCTACTCCATCGGTGGATTGGTAATGAAAAGGAAATTCAGCTAAATCTCTAAATATTAAGTATCTAAGTGGATAAGATAGTTTGAAATTTTCCAATCCACCAAACTTAGGTGCCGAGGCCAGACGCAAAGCGGGATCTCTGCTGGAAAAGACTATAAATATTACTGTAAGTTCCTTGCATTTACTGAATAATTTGATTACTAAATTTATGATATCCTAGATCTAAAAAATTCTATATAGGTCTTGCTGGAAAGGATTGTCGAATGTATGACGCGTGGCTGTATGGCAGTGGAGATCATTGTGATCAATCGGGTTGTGGATGCGCGAATTTGTGCAATCTCGAGTCGTCGCCGAAAAATGTCAGCTATTGGGGGTGAGTTTTTCATTTGCTCGACCTATCTCGACCTATTATGTACTTTGAGTTCAAGAATCGAAACACACCTTTTCCGGCACACCTATTTTACGGTTTTTAATACAACAATCTTGGTTCTTCTCGGAAATCCGGGTCTTTTCATTGTGAAAAGCTGTCATATACAAAACCCAAAGCCAATTCGATTCTCTTGACTTTTCTTGGGAAGAAGGATTAAAATAAACTCTACCAATAGGTTCTACGACCCTGAAAACCCCGTTGCACAAATCTTTAACATTAAAGTCCATGGTGTAAAACGGTCTTTGCTTTCGAGGTGTTCTTTGTGCAGCCGCGTAATCGCTTTCCATCCGGCACACGCCCCCGATACATCGGTGTTTCATTTTTCACCTCCCAAGGGGAAAGGAGCGGTGAGCCTCGTCGGTCCAGTTGACGTCACCATGCCCAAACTCCTGGGACCAATTTTTGCTACAAACTGAAACAAAGGGTTGAGTGTGCTAGGAAGTGTGCGCCTCCGGTCCAATGAGCACAAAGAACATTCGTCAACGTAACATCCGCTCAAATTCCAGTGCCAATCAGACCTGTGGAGTCTCGTGGAACGGAGTCGGCGCTCGCGGGCCGTGCTATGAATACAGTGATATTGGTTTGTTGACAATTCAAATATTGAAAGCACCTAAATTCAGTCGATTTCCTTTTCTGCAATTCGACAATTTGCCAAAATGGTGGGGTTTGCTATGACGTGAAAGGGAATGGAACTGGATGTAAATGTCCACGGGAATGGAAGGGAGGGACTTGTGACGTTGGTGAGGAGTTTCGGGAAAAAACTGATTCAAGTGAACAAATTCAGCCAACAACCCGTGCCCCAATGGAATGTGTAAGAATGGAGGAACTTGTCGCAATGCTACCGATATTTTCTATTTTGAATGCGATTGTGCCCCCGGGTTTACAGGATACGATTGCTCAAGTGAGAAATCACAGATTTCAAAACCATTATCCCAGCAAAGTTTGGCATAGTAAGTTCTGGAGACTTTAAGATGATTATATTGGGTTGATGGAAAAGTCCTTTCCGATTTTTTGCGAGAGTACCTTAAATTTGTCCAATTTGTCCAATTTAAGGTACTCTCCCAAAAAATCGGAAAGGACTTTTCCATCAACCCAATAGATCAATGGTAGAATTGAAATTTTGTAAGACTGGATTCATATTCTTTTTGCATTGGATTGAATCTGCATTAGATTTCTTTTCCAAGACTGATCCAAGCTTTGATTTGACATAAATAAGCACAGAAGTGAAATGCTTTAGAAACTAGATACATCTCAAAATTGTCATTTCAGCTGCACTCATTTGCCAACCACCCAATCCGAACAATTACCCGTGTAAATACGGAGGAATGTGCATCGTTTCACCGGATCCACCCGGCTACACGTGTGACTGTTTGAGTGGATACACCGGATCCCAATGTGAAAGTGGGTAATAGCTATGAGTTGATATTGTTGCAGTACCTCAAGAGGAACATACCGTATAATCTATGTTTTTTTTGAGTAGGCATTGTCGAAAATGTGTCAACCTTCGAAAACTACCCCTTAATTTCTTTAATCAACTACTTTTGTCTTCCAACCCTCATAGACTATTGTAGGTTAAATAAAATTATTAGCAAGGTTACGACAGCTTTCAAAACAGATTTTAGACAGAAATAGACGAATTTTAGAAAACTTTTCATATCCATTCATTTCCAGTTCCCAATATGTGCAATCCGGACCGGTGTGGCAAATACGGAAATTGCTCGATTGTTGTGGATTCATTCAATTCGACTTACATTTGTGAGTGTGATGAGGGATGGACCGGGAAATTCTGCAATAAGACAATCGATTACTGTCAATCACCACCGTGTCAATGGGGTGGAACGTGTTCAAATGTGGGTTTTATTCGAGGAAAATGGAAACACACCCTTTCTGAAGCACTGAGTTCTTTATTTTTAAAACAAGGAAAAGAAATTTCAGCCTGAAAGGGTGCTTTTGAGCAGAAAGTACAAATTAATACAATTATAAGTTTGCCTAAAGCTTAAAAATGTAGAACAGGGTGAATTTTTGAGCCGAACTTTCAAAGTGGTAGTTGGATAAAGCTTTAGAAGTATGCTAGCAGTCTAATTCTTAATTTTGATCAATATTTTAGATCTACCCACCGGCCGACCCATTTTTCCTTTGCGCCTGCCAGCCGGGAACCTCGGGAACCCTTTGTGAATTCAGTGAGAAATTGTTGTACTGATAAAATCGATCCATTTCTAGATCCCGACGATTGCCCGTATAAAGAAATCGATGGAAAGTGGTACAGTATGTGCAATCAAACGGATAAACAAGTGAGTTTTGCACTCCAGTAGTACTCAGAGTTGTCTTTTTGTTAGCTGAATATTTACCGAATCATATCTAGGCTCAATGCATCGATGGCTTCAACACGTGGCACTGTCAGTGTGGACCCGATTACACCTCAAATGACTGCAGTATCCGTGAGTTTTTTTTATCACCCAAATGCAAGTTCAATTGTTTGTTTACAGCAATTGTTGTCTACAACGCCATCGCTCTTATCTTTGGCCCGAATGCAGCCGTTGGACAAGATATTATTGAGGTGAGATGCTTCGATATCACTTATTGCTTGATGTAAACACTGATTCAAGTACCCGCTCTAAAGCGTGTCCAAACTACCGTAACTACGCTAATCTTTTGAAAGAATGGGTACGGCTACGGTAGTGCGCTTTAAAAGGTTACCTACTCAAGTACCTAATTCCTAATTCCAGTTACCTAGTTCCCATATTTGATACTCTGATTATAAGTGCTTCTAGCTTCCTGTTTTGTCAACAAACATTCCATTTTAGCTTTTGAAAGATTTGCTCAGCAATCCGACAAACATCAAAGACATGGTGCCGTTCGTCTTGGGACTAGAGACCGAAGAGGATCGGTGAAATCAAACATCAACCTATTTTCAACCTCAGCTTTTCAGAGCCGACAAGAGTTGGGACTATTCGGATATGTTTCATTGGGTCGCTTACGAGGAGAAGACGCTCGTTTTGGAGTTGGTTCTTACAATTAGAAAATTAGAAAATTTGCCGATGAAAAGCTCGTGCACTTTTTACTGTAAGCAAACTCTTCTTGGCGCACAGAATGAAAGTGCGCCGGCAAGGGTGTGTTTAAAAATAAAGCCCGCTTTTAGACGAGATCTGTTGAAATGGAATGACGTCACACTGGGCAATTGCTTCACGTTCAATCACCGAAATAACACCAATGCTCAATATTTGCATCGAATCACTGGAAAAGCTGGATGTGAGTGATTGGTTTAACTGAATAAAATTGGAAATTTTAGCTCTTGAAGCGCTTTTGAGTGTGAACAGTTTGGAGACCTGTCCTTGGGTCGATACGCAAGCGATACAGGTAGAAAGTTGACTAGAGAAGCTTAAAGATTTCATCTACCTTCAACTGCAAAAAATATCTTCAGGTATTCGTCCATCCGGCTGAAGAGGATATTTTCTCCGAGTCTGTCCGTTACAATGCTCAACCGGGTGGGGAAACGGAGCTCTTTCCTGAATTGGTCAGCTTAAGCAGTTGCTACTAGGCATTTCCTATCTTTTAAAAATTGAAAAAACCCAAGAAATGACTTGAAACAACTCTGTAGACAAGTCATGGAATTTATAAGCTATAAGCTGTTCCAAACTCTAGCCAGACTCAGTCCTCTTGTAGTTAGACAAGCCAAGCTCGACATCTAAACCAATCTATTGAGCTTTACCTAGTGCTTTTTCCTCTAGAAACAGAAAATTGAGCTATATCAAGCTAACATTAGTCAAAATAAAACCTCAAAATCTTACCTTTAGACCGCTTACAAACGATTGGGTGGTCGTTATGGTGTCTGTGTAAACGAGGCGAGCCAAGTCGAGCAATATTTCTACACCGGTTCCTATGCCACTGATGTGAGTTGCCAACAATAGTCTATTGTAAGCAAGAAACAACAAAATTGCCCTTAATCTACCATGAGGCCTCACGTGTTGGCTCTGAAGGATGTAGAAAGATAGTACCATTTTTTTATTTTTACCATTTTTAGGGTTGTCTCCGCTCATGCTATCAACAATCGGTCTTTGAGCGTTGCGCCTGTATGGATCCACGGTATCCAATGGAGAAGGGCGTTCAGCCTTGCGGATTGCAAGATCGTGGGTTTTGGGAAGAAAGATATGCAAGCTTAGGATAAGACTTAAGCTAAGCCACCCTAATTTGGTAGCAATGGGGTACCTTTGGTGTGGTGACCGGACATTTGATCCTCCGTCCGTTTTGTCATTGACAACCTAACTTTGAGCGCAAATATCTTGGTGTTGGGACGTTCAATTTCAATATATTCTTGGTATCATTGGATGCGGCAAGTCTTTCTCTGTCGATTGGTACAACAACTATTTAAATTGGACAGCCCAACACCAAGAAATTTGAGCTCAAAATTGGATTGCCAATGGCGGAGGGGCCGGTGGGTGTATCAAATGCCCCACAATCTGTCGGTGTAGCTCATTGGTAGAGCTTTAACCCGGTAAACGAGAAGTAGCTGGTTCGAATCCGACCATGTTTTGTATTCTCAACTCAGCTCATAAAAGGACCCAGTCCATAAAAGTGCCAAATTCTTTATTTTATCCTTCAGGAAATTGTGTCGACGATGTGACAATCGAACGAGGAGATCCGTCAAAATGGAGTAATTGCACTTGTCCATTGCCGTGTGCCAACAGAGCTTACACAGTGTCCTGGGCGAAGACAGTCTTCTCTAAAGTTGTACGTGGTATTTTAAACAGAAATCTAATGTACTTTGTGGTTAAAGATGAAAACGCAGCCTTTCTGAAACACTCAATTATCAAGTGACAGGAATAAAAAACTTTGGAGTGAAAAGCAAAAGAATCGGCGGCGAGAGGAGTCGAACCCGCGACCTCTCTCTTCCGTTCTCTTCCGACGCGCGCATTAACCACTTGGCCATGCTGTGTTACATGTAGATGGCGTCGATCTCTTCTGTGTGTAGATGGCGCAGTGCGAGCGCATTCGTCTCTAGCCCACACGGCTCGGGTTCGATTCCCACCCGCGGCGGCACTTTTGGTTCTTTAAAAATTTAAAAAGATGTTGCACAACTACATGGGATTCTAAGCAAAACTAACTATAAGTCATTTGAAACGGCCCACTGGGCGTGGAGGAGTAGTGCGCACAAGAAGAAAGACACAGCTCTTTTATCTAAAGTAGATACCAAATATCCACAAGCCAATTCCAGCAGCGATGCGATAAAAACGATCCGAACCTGAACTACACGGCTTGCGAGATCACAATGAGGGTAAAGATTTGAGAGAATTACCTGAAATAGCAATCTTTTAACTTTTGGTTTCACAAGCATAAAAATTTCAGGATGAAGTCCGCGTTCGTGTGATTCTTTCCGATTTCACATTTCAATTGTTCGCTGAGGTGCCGGCTATGTCGGTGAGTCTAGAAAATTGGATTTACTGTTTGGAATGGATCTGAAGCCTGTTACCATTGAATACAATTTTCCAGTTCAATTCCTTCATCGGTAACCTTGGTGGTTTGCTGGGTGTTTTGATGGGAATTTCTACCATTTCTTTCATCGAAATCGGTTTCTTACTTCTGGCGATCTTTGTCGTTATACTTGGGTGTGGCAGGAAAAAGAAATAGTTATTGAATTTCGGGTTTGTTTTCAATAAACTTCTTTTCATTGTTTCAATATTGAAAGGGCACCTTAAGTTTTTACAAGCAGGGTTTTTCGAAAACTCCAACTCACAGCAAAAAAGCTCGTAAAGATACATAGAAGTTGAGGCTATTTTGGTGTTGAACTTACCGGTGTGTGAAGCTGAGGAAACTGAATAGGTCACTCCCAAAGTGATTTGAATTAAGTACTTCAAAAATGTCTCCATTGAGTGAAATGTGATCGTAATCTGATTCCACTCTTGTATTAGATTAGCACATAAGTTTTGAGCGTTTGATTCTCAAGCTTTTTCTAAGCTTAGAGCTGGCAGGAAACTACCTAATCCTTATCTATCTATTCGAAAGGTTTACGAGCACATTAAATAATGGCTTTTAAGAAATTGGAAAAAGCTTTTATTATGAGATTTTTTCAATGGTGGAAAATGATTGATTTTGTGGCTTGTTTTGAGTGGGCTTGTATGAGCTTTATATAGGCTTGTATGGGCTTTATATAAAGAATTGCCTATTTGAGCCTTTATAAACAATAATCCACAATAATTCTTCATCGTTGAGCTTTTTTATGATCCAAACTGGATGTCTTATGTCGATTTTATGTGCTCTAAAAAAATTAGTGAAGTGAACGATCAAAACTTATGTGCAAACCTAATAATATTGGCACCACTAATAGCTGATAACGAATTCCAGAGATGAATCATTTGCAATGAGAAAAGCAACGATTTCCTTTTCTTCCAAAATCAATCATTGCTGCTTATTTTCTTGCACAAAAACCACACTTTTGTCCTTTCAAAAGTGTTTTTATCGATCTTTTTATGTAGCCAACATCGAACCCTCCTCAGAGATGATTCATAAAAAACATAAAAATTCCGCAGCTTCACAAAAAGAAATCTTCCTGAACTTTAAGATTTCCAATTTGATTTCAATTTCAATCTTTAAATTATTTTTTTATTTTGAAAAAAGAAAGACCGGTTTTTAAACGCTGAAGAACGTCCGCTGAAATCGAATGAAATTTCTTCGGCGAAACTTTCGGAAGAAAAATTCCCTTCTCTACTTTGTTGTGTCGTTTACTATCATTTTTCTGGGTTAGTTATCAAAAATTTGAAAGCTATTGCCTCCAGTTTGTTTTATTTTCGACATTCACCCATTCACCGAACCGCTTCCTTGTGACGGCCCACAGCTCGACTCTTGGTTGTATGCTCAGATTTTGAAAAACCATTCAAGGTAGGTCGTTTAAAGCTTTCCTCAAAATGTTTGCAAATTAAAAAGTGATAAAAATTTAGTTTTAAAAGCTTTAAAGTAGTTTGACAAGTCTGGATGTTCTTCAAAATCTTTAATCACAATTGGCTATGTTTTAGAATGCAAGCATTGTATACAAAGAATCCATCATACTTTAACTAAACATTCGATTACAGATTTTTGCGTAAAACCCCAACGCTTGGTGCGAATCTTTGGATCCCCGTGTTTGTGATTGTTTCCGGCGGAGATGAAAAGACGATCAGAGAGATAAAAGACACTTGGGCAAACAATGAGACATCAAAATTGTTACAGGTCAGAAAGTTTTGGAAATTTTGTGCAAAAGAAAAAAAGTATGTAAACGATTGAATAAGATTACTATCATAAATACCAAAAGTACCATAAACTTATCTCAATTTTTAACCAATCTACGTTTAGCTTGATGCTGTGAGGATTTAAGATATCGAAAGATATAAAATAGATAGCCTGGATCAAATTTAGAGGCAAAATTACGGTAGTTTTCAGAGAATTTTCCGCAACTAAACTTTTACAGTATTGTCCATTTAGACAGGTGAATCCGATGTGTTTTTTGTGATTGGTCGTCGAAACTCCAGAACTCATATCGATCGCTCAATTGAAGACAAAATTCTGGAAGTCGATGTCGAGGAGAAATATACAAATCTATTGCTCAAAGTATCCCAAATTTTCGTAAATTTTCGTAAGATTGCGTAAAATCCCAGATTTAAGCCCAATTCCAGGAATTAGTGGCTTTCCTTTGGATCTCTAACCAGCTCAACAATGGTTATGTCTTAAAGGTAGTCTAAAAAGATTAGACTTTGAGATCAGATTCAGGTTGATGGATCGGATACCGTAGTTGCAATTGATCGTCTACAAAAGGTGCTCAATTTGAAGCAAAACGAGCGTCGGCGGGCAATCGAATGCACGACTTGGAAAGAGATCAAACCAATTCGAGACCCGTGCTCGCCATGGTATATTACTCTCAAAGCAGGAGTTTGCTAAAACGTGTATACCTTTGAAAAATACCGTAATCCTGTTTCTATTCAATTAAACATTATAATAATAATTTAAACTTTTAGACAAAATCAGAGACAAGACTTCGGTAGTTTTAGAAAGCAAATCATTTGGGAATACACTATAGTATGGTTATTATTACAATAAGCGTATGAAATATAACAGTAAACTGTTTCAGGTACATTCCGAAGCCGGCTTTCAAATGGGATGTGTTTCCGGAGTACTGTAGCGGACCGGCGTACTTGATGCAAATTTCGACATTGCGCGAAATCCTGGACAAAGCTATTGATTTTCGGGTTGGTTCTAGTCTAAATCGGAGCCTGTATTTGTATGAAGTTAAAAACCAAATCCAGTTTTTCTGCATTTAGTTTTTATCCTGAGAGCTAAACGATTCACAGTCTGAAACAAGATATTTACAGTATTTTTATAAACCCAAGTTCAGCCGCTTGTTTGTGAAGACGCTTTCTTCACTGGAGTCCTAGCCGGAACCGGTAAGCATCATTTTGAAAGCCAAATGAATCCCAAGTTCAGCAAAAATCCCCAGAAACGATCGCGTCGACGTTTTTGACTCGAAAGGCTGCCAGACGACGGTGTTGAGTAAGATTGGCTCAATGTTACTGTCGATCGATTTGTCGATGGTGAATCAAATAAAAAGCTTTTTCTTAAACCCAGATTTTAGACTCACAAAGCTTATTGTGCTTCAAATGGTACGAAAATCACCGCGGTGATCAATTTTCATCGTTGCCGGGTATGATAGAGCTCAAACTTTAGCAAAAATGGATATTTCATGATACTTGAATGCAAATTAATTCCTCAAATAAAGCCACTTAACCAGTTTTCAAAATTTAGAAGAAATCACTCATCGAGCTCTGGGAAAACCTTAATTCTGCTCACTGTGACGTTTTTCTATGAAAATCTCATGTTTACAAACTTTTGAAACGGGTACGATTGATAATTTGGTGCTTGCAAAAGGAATAAAAACTTTGAAGCTTCTTGAAAAATACAGATTTGCAAAAAACGCATTGTCAGCTTTTGTAAAAACTTTCAAAAAGTCAAAAATGTTGCTTTTTAAATACCACTTTAAATATAAAATTTGATACAGTCATGTGCAAAAGTCTTTTAACACTCAATTTTCTAAAAAGTTACATCGATTTTCTCTGACAAAGTTCATGGCGCTCTTTAAGCTATTAATAGTTTTAGTTACACAAATATATGTACAATTTAATTACACAAACGCTGTCGCTATACAAAGCTTATTCATCGTGAAAAAAATATAATTGTCAATACCTCTGAAAATCGTGGTGCAAAAGTTGAAATATTTGAAAAAATTTTTGATTATTTTCGTTCGCTTCTTGTTTACTGATACTAATTTATTTTTTTTAGATGCCAGGAGTGTATTTGTCAACCCTGGATAAAGAAATGATCGTCAAGGCAAGGAAATAAGGGATGTCACGACAAGACGTTGCTCGCCTCTTAGGATGTACGCCCACAACAGTTTCTCTTGTTATGGCAAAATGAATGCTTCTGGAAATGTTCACAGATGTGGGAAAAAGGGATGACCGAGGATTACAGCAAAGAATGGAGGCCGATTCTTTACGAGAGCTTTCAAGAAGGATCCGAATTTGACGTTGAACGATGAAGTCATTTTTTTCAAGCAAGCTTTAAACTTTTTAGAAACTTGAGTGTTAAAAGACTTTTTGCACATGCTGAATACCTTTTGCTTTTAAATTTGACAATAAATTCGAATTTCGATAGTTATTTTTTCGATATTTTTATTTATATAGATATTTTTTCCCTCTTCTATCAAACCGAAGTAAAAAGGGATGGCTTTTTGCCAGCTGAAGTTTGTCTTTGCACACATTTGAAATGAAAAAACAGTCATAATGACTAAAGTGTGGTCTAAATTATATTTGGCTTATAGAATCTAGAACTTCTAATCTGCTATCACCTATTTTTTGGCGTGTAAACTAGATTTGACTATCTAGAGCGCATCGAGATCTCGATAATTAAATCTAGTGTAAAGCCGTAATTTTGATTATAAAGTCACTCTAGAACTGTTTACGCTAGTTATTTTGTGAAATTCTGTCATACTTCATTTTTTTCAATTTTAGATAACTTGGATGGATGTTCGAGCGAAATCTGATGAGATAGAGGCCATTGGTTTGCAACTTGAAGAGGTTGGGTGATTTATTTTGGCTTAGTTTTTTTAACCAAACAAAATTATGTTCGGCTAGTTTGTTTTTTTCATTTTCTTGAACGATTTTCTCTATTTTCAGATCAATCAGCAAATTCAACAGTTGCAGCAACAACGCAAGACACTCAGGGATCGAAGAGAAAAGGTAATTTTTAAGATTCCTTTTATAAATTTTGTCCTATGGTCTAAAAGCATATGATCCTAAATTATTGTTTTAGCTCGAGCGTTCTTTGGTTCAATCAAGTTCGAAGCAAGATCCGAACGAATGGGAGACGAAACAATGCGAATGGACTTCAAGGATGGATATTCTTTTAAACGACGTACGTTGTTAAATTATGGGAAGTAGCCAATTTCTACATCGTTTCAATTTTTTTTTGAAAAAATGCAGTTAAAAATTGTGGAAACTGCAACTGATAACACTAAAAAAAGTTGTGTACTTGTTGCACACACAGGAAATGGCTCAAACATTCATTTATTTAGGTATTCAACATGCAATCATTTCGACCACTTCAACAAGCGGCGATCAACTGTGTGTTAAGTGGAAATGACACTCTTCTTTTAATGAGCACCGGTGGAGGGAAAAGTCTCTGCTATCAAATGCCAGCCATCATTGCGAAAGGTTTGTTGAGTTTTGAAAAGAACTTTAGAATATTAACGTTTATGTTTTTGAACTGGAAAAGTTTAAGTTTAATAATCATAATTACTTGTTCAAATCTATAACACGACTAAACTTTCCTTACTTTCCAGGTCTAACACTTGTCGTCTCTCCGTTGCTTGCACTCATCGAGGATCAGCTCATTCAACTGCGAAAATTCGGTATTGAGGCCGCTGCATTAAATCAATCAACAACTAAAGAAGAGGTATTCATTAATAACGACACGAATTAAACTATATTTTAGTTAAGAAGAGTCGAAGAAGGGATAACAAAGAGGAACTCATCTTTTCGAATTCTCTACGTCACTCCTGAAAAACTCGCAAAGAGCAAACGTTTGATGAACAAATTGGAGAAAAGCAATGAAGTCGGATTTCTAAAGGTAACGTCTCGTACACCAATGGTTTCATTAAAGTATTTTAAACTTTTGTTTAGTTAATTGCAATTGATGAGGTGCATTGCTGCTCACAATGGGGTCACGATTTTCGACCAGATTATAAATTTTTGAACATTTTGAAGAGACAATTCAAGGTATAACTTGATTTACAAAGACTAATACTAATTGTTAGAGTTGCAGTCAGTTCCAATTCTTGGCCTTACTGCAACAGCTACGGCAGCCGTGCTTGACGATGTGAAATCGATGTTAGGAATCCCTGGTATGTCTTCAATGCTCCGAATAGTTAGGTATGTTATAAATTTTAGGTGCTATTGTCTTCCGAGCCAACTTCAATCGCCCGAATCTTCAATATGAAGTGGTATCGAAAAAGACGGACGGCGAATCTCTCGTTTCACTCATCAAATGTCGGTTTGCAAATGAAACTGGAATTGTGTACTGTTTCTCGCGAAAGGACACCGAGGACATGGCGCAAGTTTTGAGGTAAAGTTTGCGGTATTATTGGATATCGCACAAAAAATCCATAAACACGAGGCAGATGCTAGTTCGTTAGCTCAAATTTCGTTATTTGTTTCTACATTAAACTTATGCCTACTTTCAGATCTCACGGCATCAAAGCGAGCTGCTATCACGCTTACATGGAAAATGAGCAACGAAAGAAAGTGCACAACGCGTGGATCGACGGGAAACTTCTGGTGATTGTGGCAACAGTAGCGTTTGGTCGGTTATAAGTTTTAAAGGAAACAGAAATAGTTTTAATAATAGCCGTTTTTCAGGTATGGGCATCGATAAGCCGAATGTTCGCTATGTGATTCACTACTCGCTACCAAAGTCGATCGAAAACTACTATCAGGTATCAGGTGTTTGCAATGAAATGTTTGCACAGTGTTATTGCTTATTTGCTGGTGTTGTATGATTAATTTACAATTTTAAACAATCTTAAAGGAACTAAGAAAGTTGGCAATTTGAAAAGAAACAGATTTTAGGAAAGTGGTCGAGCGGGACGAGACGGGCAATCAGCTGTGTGCATCCTAATGTGGAAAATGCAGGTCGACTTTCTTATCTTTGAAATAATTTCTTTATTTAGGATATGTTTCGACAGAGCACGTCGGTTTGCGCTGAAAAGCACGGTCTCGAAAATCTTTACTCGGTTGTAAAATACGCTACAAATGTAAGTTTTCAAGTAGACTTTTTGCCGCTGACAGTGACTGATAGATTAAATAGATATTTTTAGCGCGCTCTATGTCGTCGAATCACCCTATCGGAGCATTTTGAGGAAGAATGGGATCCTAGTTGGTGTCAACAGTTGGTTTTTGCTATTTTAACTTTGAATTTATCTTTTAATTTAGAAAGTGTGATATTTGTGCTGGTGAACAAGCGTCTTGTGAGATCGATGCCTACGAAACTCTTTGTCACGCTGTAGATATAATCGAAAAAGTAGTCGAAAGCTTTTATTGTGAATTTGTTCCTTCAGGAAAAGAATTCGAGCAAAAAGTCGTCAAGCGGGCGAATCACTGGCGGGAAATTGGTGGAAATGTTGAGTAAGAATGGAGATGTACGAGAGACGATTGAAGAAACAGTGGCGCAACTGATTGTGATGGGATATTTACGAGTAAGTTGACTTTGTGATGGGTTATGATCAAAGGCAATTGCGTCTAGCTAGCTAATTTTGAATTTCTTTCTAATTTTATTTGAAAATTTTAAATTCTCAGTGCTTTAGGAAGACTTTCATTTCACACCATATTCCGTCCTCAGCTACATCGAGCCCGGAATTCGCTTCAACACGATGAAAAAGGGAGAGAAGAGCCGAATATCCATCACCGTTCCACATCAAGAGAAAAAGGCGGCCAAGGTTTGCATCAGTTTTAAAATCTAAACTTGCAACAAGTCTTGATCTTGTGTGCTATTATAATCAGTTTGTTTAGAAGCGAAAACTGGACGATGAGATCGTTTTGGACAGCGATTAAAAGCTTTTTTGTTTGTTGTACATTTGATGCGGGTTAAAGTCTGGTTTCTTTGATCTTTTTATTGTTAACTTTTTTAGATTCTGTCGATTGTTTTGTCAAACTTTAGCTCAAGTTGTTATTCCATATGAATTGTTGAAGAATAAATTTTTAACTTGCAAGGAAAATAAGTTTATATTAGCATTTACATAACAAGTTAACAGCATTTATATTAATTTGCAACCAAATTTAGACCGAAATTGCACGTAAGTTAATAATTAAAGAGTTGTTTGCCCTTGTGAACCCTGAATCAGTCCAAAAGTAGGTAAAAAAATGGAATCTTTAGGATATGGTAGCACATGGGAAATGGAACATCAATACGGAGCGGTTGTTGCGATTGAGTCGAAGACTTCGAGTGAGTAAATTGAAAACTGAAACATATTCAAAGCTAAAAATCTTGTTATAAATAAGAGACTGAAATCTGGGCTCAATTCAATTCGGTGAAATGGTCGATAGGTTCGGTGATCATCACGACGAACGCCAAGTGATTCCTCGAATCGGGAAAAGCAAAGAAGAGCTTCTAAAGATGAACAAGTTGAGTTGTCTTGAGTTGTCGTTTTTTATCTGATCTGATACTAGAAAAATTTAACGTAAATTTAAAATTAATGAAGATATTAATTGCACTCCAAATTGATTACAGTGAATCGGTCGGAGCTTTTTGAATTTCCAACTTCAGTTCTTTACTCTTTACAGTATACAACTTACCAGACCAATGTGTTGGGTAGAGGGATTCTTTTGGATTAGAGCTTCAAAAAGGATTCAAAGTCAACGAATTGCTGAATATGAGATTTGTGGACTTCACAAATGGGAAATCCGTGTCAAAATTTCTCGAGACACTTTGTTCGGGTTCCGGGGTTAATACTAACCTTTCACTTGGGGAATCAACTTTCACAATTTTATTTGTGCATCCCCCAACGGAGACGCGTTCCAAAATTTTTTCGAGACACTGTTGGAAGGTCTCGGGGTTAATGCTAACCTCAAACTTGGGTAATTAAACCGAAGACCGGGGTCTCTGTCGCGGTATGTGGACGAGCCGTGTGCCATATGCTGCTTTTTCCTACGAGACACAGGAAAGGTACACACTGTCGTGTCGCCCCGCGTCTCTGCGAAGGCTGATGCTCTCTCGTATTCGCTGGCGGCCGCCTACTTCAGCCGTCTCTCACAGCAACGCACCCGCTTACGACCATACCACGTTGAAAACACGGCATCCCGTGCGATCTGCCAAGTTAAGCAACGTTGGGCTCGGTTAGTACTTGGATCGGAGACGGCTTGGGAATCCCGAGTGCCGTAAGCTTTTTGAATTTTTGTGGATCGGTTTAGAGACTTGAGAATCAATTTTTGCCCAAATTAACAGGATAAATCGATTGCCTTTTGAATTTTCAACTTTACAGAGTAGTCGAAAATTATAGCAACTCGGTATTCGCTGGAATTCTTGCCAACTGCAATTTAAAACTAATTAAACCACTGATAAAATAGCAATTTTTATTCATTTTCAACAAAAAAATCAATCAGTGGGAGCCTTGAGCATTGATGCGGGCCTTGAGTCGTTTCGGGAACGTATTGACCGTGGCGACCAGGTAGGCTGATCCAACTCATCCCAGGCTTTCATCAACGATTTCTTCAAGGAATTGATGTCTTTGGGCGACTTCGAGCAAGCTTTTGCTTCCAAAACGCTCCAGACAGAGTGATCAAGGGGTTAAGATCAAGAGAGCTTGGTGGCAACTTGTCTCTACTTATCGCACAAGTCTACAAAGTCCTACAAACTTACGCTTAAACTAAGACTAAACTCAAACTCTACTTTCCCGACCAACCGCTCAATTGGGATCACAAGGTATCCTCCGACAACCTTTTCCCTGATAATACAAAGCTTTGAATGATGGATAAATCCCACTCCAATCTCCCAGGTCAGATGGGATTCCAACTCTTAGTTTTTGGGTACAAACGAGAGCATCAACTTCATGCAAATCACAGTGCTCATTGTTTGTGAAATCCGGGTATTTTGGAGAAATTACGGTATTTATGTAATTCATGACTGCAAAAAACTCAATGTGCTTACTGTAACTCCTCTTTTTCTAGCAAAAGATGAGTTGGCTCAGCGTTTACAGCTCAAACACTTGTTACAATAACAAAAACACCGCCAGAAGGGCAAAAGGTTTAGCTGGGATTTCAGTTCACTACGAAATCCCGCTGCTCATTCTTATAAAAGACCAAATCTGTTTACGAGTCTTATTCAACGAGCTTTTTACTAACTTTACTTTTTTAAAAGTTTGATTGCTTCTAGAACAATAAGAAGACTATATCTCATCTGTTACTGTAAGTAGTACAGTAATTTATAGTACACCTAAACTTTCAAGAACTTCAAAAAAGGAATTTTCGACGACCTTTAGCCGATTTTGCTGTCCTTAAACTTTTTTTGGCTTATGTCTCTCATTTAGAGTATTCTACAACCTTAAAATGTGTTAGCTATTGTAACAAAAGAGTTGATAAATCCAAAAAAGGGAAATTTTGCCTTGGACAACTTGGAACAACTACGATACTTTAGTTAATTCTAATGCTATGAATCACCTATACTCAATCGTTTTACGTTTTTGAATGCTAATAATGATTCACTCAAATTTCATACTCCGTTATGATTCATATGGGATAACTGGGCAATTTTCGATAACTTTTCCCTTTGAAACTCTTCGATTTCTTTCCCTCTTTTCCTCTCTCCAATTTGCCGAACCGGTTCCCCCTTTATAGGGATTTTTCGAAAAAATAATCGAGAGCAATTTACTTTTTGACGAAAATAAAAATAAAGATTTTTCGGGGGTAAATGTTATTTTGGCCGATTTTCCGCTGGAACCGATTCGGCTATTTTATCGGTTTTGACTCTCCGGCTATTCCAAATTTGCAAATATTTTTGTGCATAAAAACTTTATCTTTTAAATACCTAACCACTTTAAATCTTTATCTTAATCTCAATTTTGACCTCGAAACTTTTTCAGAAGTCGAACTCGAATAGGCGCTTTAAAGCGTTGCTCGTAACCCATAACGTTACTGGATCTAACGGCAAGCCAAGTAGTTGGTTCACCGTAAGACCATAAGATCACCTTAATATCAACTAATTTATAGTCAAGGATACACAAAAATCTATAAAGATCAAGTCCGTGGTAATCAAGATTTAGCCCCGGTTACGGTAACTCGAGTACGCTTTAGCTTTAGTCAGAAAGAAGTCTTCAGAAGAATTTTCATGCATTTCATGATAAATATAAACGTGCAGCTTCTAAATATTCATTACAGTCATTTGCATCATTTCAATTTTCAATTTCAACTTGCAGCCATGAAATTCCTTCTCCTTTCCATTCTTATCAGCGTCGCCGCCGCCAAGGTTTCCACCATCAAAGTCACCGGAACGGTACTGTGCAAAAAGCAAAAACAACCCGGATTGGAAGTCGTTCTCAAGGAGTCCGATTCTTGTGAGTTATCCGGATTTACAACACTTATCATATGGGTTTTGAAAAAGCACGTGTTGAACACGATTTCTCAAATAAATCAAGTAAAGAAATGAATGGCGAAGAATTTGGAACCAAGGGGAATTGAACCCCGATCTTCTGCTTACCGGGCAGATGCTCTAATTGAGCTATTGAGGCCTACTTTGCCCAAGAAGAAATAGGAAAGATAAGGAAGAAGAAAGAAAAGGAAGAAAGAGAGGGAAATAAAGATATGTTTTGATTTTAAACTCAAACCATTGAGTAAAGTTAGGCCAAAAGCTCACAAATAAGCGAGACATTTGGAGTGGATTTTCCCTGCCTCGTTTCGTTAAATATACAAGAGACTGTGGCCTTACCATATCTTAATCATCGTCAAATATCCAATTTAGTCACTCCCGATGACAAATTGAGTCAGACGACGACGAACAAAGACGGTTTCTTCGAGATCTCGGGACAAGATGATGAATGGGGATCGATTGAGCCATACGTTTACATCTTCCACCATTGTCGTATCCTGAAAGAGGTAAAGATTTGAAAACTACACATTTCTTTGTGAAGCCTGTTGTTTGAGTGAATGGAGCAGCTCAAGCATCAACATCAAAGTTACAAAATCACAGATTAGTTGATTGCGCGAGTGATTCTATTTGTTTTAGTGAGTCGCAGAATACTCAAAATAAAACTCATCATTAACTTTAGTTATTTGATTTGCAGTTATTTGCAAAACAGAGTGATGAGTGAAAATTTAAAGACTTAGAACTTAACAAATTTACTTAAAAGCTTCGGGATGACAAAATCGGGTGAAATTCTAATAAAAATTCTGGCTGAAACACAATAAAAGCGAGCTTAAATAGAACTTTGAGTTACAGTATACCTATTTCTGTCGGAATTTCAGTGTAGTGTAACTTGTAATTAAATCGGTTTTCTTGCAGAAAGGTTTTGCAAGGAGTATGGTAGATACTGGTGAAAAATCCAAAACGCCTGTGTGCTTGTTAGTCTGATACAAGAACACTAAACTTGAGCAAGTAATCCTGATCGTTAAGGGTTGCGAAGACTACGGATGATTTCAATAGAATAACTACAGTAATATAAATCTGCATATTTGAAGCTTTACAAGAGTCACAAATCTTTTTAGGGCTGCCGAACTCGTTCCCGATACGATGTCCCACAGTCGGCGATCAACGGTGTTTACGAGATGAGCTACATTGCTCTCGATATCGCTCAATCCAGTGAGACTTACGAATGCTAAATGCACACCGGAATCTGCTAGTTTTGACATGCATTTTTTGAATAAATCTCTTTCTTCTATATACTTCACTCTTTATACAGTAAAACTCATTTGTTTTTGCACGTTATTTGTCTTCAAAAGTGACTTCATCGAACTTGAGTATTTCCCGGAAAGACTCAGTGAAACCCCGTCAGTAGAGCCTTCGTTAGTAGACTGGAATTTCGACTCGGATAGGTGCATTAAAGTGACCGGCTATCGTACCCAGTTAGTTGATTTTAACCCAAATAGTTACTACCGTGGCTTGCAGTCAGTTCAAATCCTGCTTCTAGCCTTGTTTGATGTCCTAGCCTGTATTGGCTGGAGGTCTGGCTTTAACCTAACCCACTAGATCCCTGGGTCCATCAGAGACCAGGCTTGGACCAGGCTTCTGGCATGGCTTGGGCTACCTTGTCCTCAGCCTTGGACTACTGTAACTGGTCTTGATCTTAAATATCAAAAAAGCTTTGTTACGCAGATATAGGGTAACTGGGTCATACTTTAGATCCTTGAGTAGGCGTTAGCTTTCTTGTACAATTTTTTACGTTGTTTTGCCTGATCATAAGCTTTTCACATCCACGAAAGAATAATACTTTATTCATAATATAATACTTAATGAAATCTTCGCATATGGCAACGATTCAGACTAAGTAATGATAATTGAATGGAGAATAGCACACAAAGAGGTTCTAAGCTTGCAATTCATCATTGGTTGCCCGTAACGGAAAGACCCTCAGTTTTCTTGTAAAAGCTCTTAGTACATAGAAATGTTTGGAAAAAATGACAAAGATAAGCATAAAATCCAAAAACAAAGAAAATGTTAGAAAATGAGCAATTCAAAAATGCCACAAATGGTGAGAAAATGGGAAAAAGCTAGCATATTCAGATTTATGAAGTGAACTTCACTTTGAGATTCTTTCGGATGGCCATCTCGTCAAGAACCTGGAAAATTTGAATGTAAAAATTTGCACACAAGTTGTAAAGTTGACATTTTAGGGGAGAAGGGAAGCTGGCCTCACTAAGCCATGGATACTAAAACTGGTTGTTTAAACCGATTAAAGTGCACCTTACTATCAGCCCTGCAACTTACAAGTAGTACTGCAGTATTCCTAGGTCATTTCAAAGCCAATTTTTTGGGTCAATCAGGTCAGCTCAGGTCAAGACTCAAATTCTGGCTAGCCTAGACTTGGCTTGGGTCTAGCTCCGGTCTGGACCTAATCATAAGCTCTGGAATAGACCTGGTTTGGGCTGGCCGGTTGGATTATAGGATTTTAGAAATCCATATTCAACTAAACAAATTAAACATTTCGTTTAGATACAGTAAAACTTGGCTAGTGTCTTTGATTCATAAACCCATTGTCAGCAATTTCCCTATTTAACCCATTTCTAAGTTTCATCACAATCTCGAACCTCGTTGACGTGTTTCCCGCTCGTCTCCGGGCACATGTACCACAAAAAGGGCAAAGAGATGAGTGTCGGCACGAGAAAGATCAGAATAGACCAGCCGCCGATCTGCAAAATCAGAAATGATCAGGGAAGAGCAAGGTTTAATCAATAACGTAAAACGATTCAGGGAAATCTTTATCAAAGCGTTATCCTACCGCATTTCCGAGTGGGTAGAAAGCGAATTCGACGCCGATTTTTGCCAACGCTTCAATCATTGTGAGGTAAGAGGTCGCGTTGATGAGGAGGGATCGGGGAACCAATTCGGCCGCATAGAAACGAGAGATCGCACCAATTCCCATCGCTGAGATCAAGAGCAGAGCCGCGAGGGCGATCAGGGTGGCAATCTGGAAATCGTGGTGATCAGTGGCAAGAACAAGGACATCTTGAAACAAGTATTTCAGAGTTGTACTGACTACTGTATTTTCCGGTGCACTGTAATGATTCAAAAGCTGTTTCAAAGTTGTATTGACTCTTGTACTTCCGGCTGTAGTGCTGCAGTTTTACTTCTCCATTTTCAAGTACCTTCATCGATCCTCCAATGAGTGTGGCGACGAGCATGACAGCCAGCGAGAGAACGCAGATCACTGTGCTCAAGTTCATAAGCGGTCTTCGTCCGACTCGATCCACCAAGAACATGCAAATGAGTGTGACGGGTACTCTGGCAACTCCTGAAATAATAATGTTAACTGATTACTCCTGAGACTTCTACTTAATTCAGTACTGGACCCTAGGATTAATTTGCATTTAATCTTGTATTACCTAAGCTGTCTATGTAAGCCAAGTACTGAATCCTCTTGGGTTTGCATTCAATTCTTGATCTAATTGTAAGCTATCTATTTAAGCCACAGTACTGGATCTTAGGGTTGATTCCAAACTCAAGTCTAGCTCAAATATTTTGAGTGAACCAAAGCTTTAATCCAGTAAAGAAAGCTTTTTTAGTATCAATTCAGCAGAATTCTGCAATTTTGCCAATCTTCTTGACTGTTTCGATAATCTTATCAAAACCCCTGACTCACTTACGATTGTAACCTCAATTCCCCCCAACCCCAATAATCTTTGGTAGTCTGCACGTTGAACAAACAGAAAATAGAGAAGAAATAGAAATACAGACAATGTTTTTGTGGTCTTTTTTTTTGAAGTTCACAAAGGAATCACATTGCATTGTTGTTTATTTGAGGGTGATTCTCTCCATTTTCTCGATTAAGCCCTATTGTACCGCTATTGAGGAAACTAGGTCACGAGAGAAGCCAAAAAAATACTATTATAACCCTGTGTACCGATTGAAGTTGGTTTAAGTGATTTGTTTTGGGATAATTTTAAAAAACTACTGTACACTGTAATCTATCCTTCATATTTTGTCCGATCGACTTAGTTTTGATTCCATTCAATTCACTGTTTGATTTCTTAGTAAATGAGATCAAAATTTATTGCAAAATCTGAAGGAATGGTTATGGTAGTTTTCTAAGTTAGCCACCTTCTAGAAAACAAGTTACAAAGCTAGGATACTTTGAACTACTTTAGTCATTGATTAAGCCCAAAGAACTTTCGCAGAGTGTCAATTTACATTTAAATTTTAGATAGCTTGTCTAAAGTTAAATCTTAGATTGTTTAAGAAGTTTTTATCAAACAAACCAATTGCAAACGATCCCCAAATGGCCGAATCTTTACTCCAGCCGGCGAGATCGGAGAGAAGAAAAGTCGAGTAGGCACGAAGAGCCCTGGCTCCAGTGAACACGTACAGTACCTAGAAATTGGTTGAATCCTTTAGATACTTTTGCTATCTAATCAGCTTATTCCTCCTATTCCTCATTTGAGTTGATTCAACTTCACTCACTTTCACGAAAAGCCCCAGCCAAGCGGCGTGTCGGATCACTTTACTCATGTCGTCTTTGGCTTTCCACGGCATGAATATTATCGTTAAACCGTCGTGCTCGGCTTTGACACCGTTTCCGGCCTGAAATTCGAGTTTTAATTCCATCCATTTTATTTTGAATCCCAATCGGCGATGCATTCTAAAATTTTTCGAGATACTTTACACGGGTCTCGGGATTAATACTAACCTCTAACTTGGGTATCTAAACTGACTTTGGCGATCTCTTTCTCTCTATCTATCTACCCCGTGTGCCAGAAGGTGCGCGGATCGTTGCGCAATCTCCCAAAGTACACCCCACACTCATATTTGAGCCATTTCAGCCCACACCACCATTTCAGCTAGAAGCTTCGGTTTTTAGAAACGTCTATATTCGGACCGTGTGCCAGATGCCGCTTTTTCTCACGCAAAGGGTGTTCTAGTTCTAACCTTTTTCTGAAGTCTCTTCTCACAGATGGCCATCTCTTCATCGAGACTCGGATCATCCTCCTCTACTCCGTAATAAGTGGCCAGGGACTTTCTTGCCTGAAAGTTTAGTATTGTTTATTGATTATAGTTATTTTATTGATACAAACCTTTTTCAAATCCCCTTCTTTCTCGATGATTGAAGCCGGGGCATCGTAGACGAAAATGAACATGAACATGGCGATGACCGAGGCGATGATGCCGGGCACAAAGACGAGCGGCCAGAGTTGATCCGTCGAGAAGGGAACACCGGCTGCTTGGGTGGCCAGCGAGCCTGGAATTGAATCGGTTCTTCAAGTGATACCTTATAAATTCATCCATCATCAGAAACTATTCTACTTTTTAAGGTCAAAGACTGTAGCTTTTGAGTGTAATGAATTGAGATTAGCTTAACTCTTCTGTCAGTAGATTTATTTAGAATTGTGTAGTTTTTTTCAACAATTATTTCACGTACCAATGCTCATGAACATCTCCTGCATCGAGGCCATTCGGCCGCGAATTTTCGGCGGTGCGCACTCGACGATCCACACCGTTGCCACAACGCTGTTCAATCCATTGGCGAATGACCTAAAAAATTGATCTTTTAAAAGCACAATTTATAAACTATTTTATATTTTGAAAATATTCACTCACCAAATGAATCTCCCAACGTAAAGCAGCTCAAAAGCCGGCGGGATGAACTTTGCGATGAAGGAGATGATCCCACCGGGAATATAGAGAAATGTCGAGATAAGGGCTGTCTTCTTTCGGCCTGAATATTCATTATATTATTAATTACAAGGTTAAATGTAAACTTTTAAATAACTTGAACCTTACCGTATCTCTTGCACAAGTACGGGGCGGCGAATTGGCCGACGATTGTTGCCACGGGGAAAGTCACGTTGAGGAGAGACCAGAGGAGGTTCTGAAAGTTCCAAATATTATCTAAAGCTATAAAAATGTCCAGATATAGATATTTGAAAATTATATGGTAATTTTGCCATAAGCCAAGCTTTGAACTGTTCAAATGCTTTATCTCCACTTGTTCTTGAAATGAAATTCTTTGTTGTATTTTGTATTTGTTGTTGTATTGTCTTTTTCGATTCAAAATTCTTCTCCAAATTCTACAAGTTCAACTTTTCCCCGACTTCTCAAAAGTCCAAACTATCCCAAGTTTGGTCATTTGACCATTTCCCGCTTTTTTGATAGACTCTCTTTTGAAAGTTCCGCATAGTTAGCCTTTTCTTTTCCCTTTCCTTTTTCAATATCTATTTGTTAGCAACCAGTTGGGTACATTGAAAAAAGGTAAATAGGTGTAAAATAGAAAAAAAAAGAAAAAAAACAGGTCACTTGTCTGGAAAAGCGAAAAGAGAGATCCACAGTGGGCGGGTCATGGATGGATGGGTAAGTTAAACTTTTGCAATGGGAAAATGGGTTTATGTAGTGGACGTTAGTTGAACTTTAGTGATGGTTGCTGATAGCATAATATGTATTCAAATAAGTCATTTAGAAGTTAAGATTCATGTAAGGGTTTGAAAGGAAGCTGGATATTAAAAACTATCGCTTTTTGATATGGGTCAAGATTTGAATCTGGCTAACAAACAATTTGAGTGTAGACTCATAGTCAAGTTTGGAGAAATCCAAGAGGCTGTATTGGATGGAATAGGGAACAAGCTACGGTAAAAGTTTCTCAAAAAAAGCCATTGTGAAAGAAGCTTTAAGTTTAAAGCAATGACTTTAAAACTGTGGGATTTCAAAAGTCTAGCTAATAGCTTTTGATTAAGCTTTGCATAACTTAGATTGACAAATTTGAGGTCTTGATTAAGTTCTGTAAACATCTATCTGATCCAAAACCAACTTTTGTTGTATCGCTAAGCTCATGTCCCGTTGTCAACAACCAGCTGTTCTTGATGTACGCCTCGATCTCTTTATAAGGTTGATTGAGAACAGCGGCGATGTAACCCTGAATTTGTAGTGTCATTAGCTAAAAACATAATAATTCAAAGATTTAGCTCATCTATAAGTTTTATTTGAAAATTCACCGACAAATGAAAACCTCGTACCTGATGAAATCCCGAGCTGAGACAGAGCGCCAAGGCGAGCATGTGAATGTGCCAGGATGGCTGCTGAAAGTTTGAATTCAATGCTGCAATTATATTCCAAACAGATCTTACAGTAATCCTTTTAGCCTACAATTGTCTTAGAGTAATCCAATTTCAAAAGATTCACTCACCAAACAGATTCTCATAGCTCTCTTGACAAATTCCTCGATTCTCCCCATTGAGTTTTTGAAGACCAATGGAATTCAGGAATAGTTTTCAGAAAATGCTAAAAATCAAAGCAAAGTTCAGTCTTTCCTTGCTTTTTTTCTTTTAAATGAATCGTTTTTGAAGAAATCGGTCCAAATCTTTTGATGTAGAGTACTCTAAAGTAAACAAATCAGTCGAGACGATAAATTGTTGGGTTTTGGCCTTATTTTTCGGTTCCGAATAGTTAGGGAAATGGATAGTTGAATGAATTCTTTTAAAGTTTACGTTTTAAACAAGGCTCTGTAATGTTTGTGATCTGTCGACTTATAGAAGTAACAAATAGAATAACAAATAACTAATAGAGTCAAGTTCCAGTTTTTCTAAAGAATTTTAAGGATTTAAATAGTAATAGAAAGAATTATTGCATTCTATTTGTAATACTCACTCAGTATCATGTAAAAGTGAACACTATGAAATGGGTTCGATGAGTCCAGGTAATTCCAAATGAACTCTGGAGGTGTAACTGTTGACACTTACAATTAGGAAAAAGAGATTAAAAAGTAGACAGACAATAAATTGTTTAGACAATGAATGACAATAAAGAGCAATTACATTTCAAATTTATCACTTTCTTAATGTTATGAAAGAGGATTTAAAGGGTTTAAAAGGTCCAGGTAATCCCGATCCCAATGAGATATTGAAAAATGATGATATTGTATGATTATTGATATGTTCGATAATGGATAACAATTTGTAAGTATTTAAAGACCAACCTTGTAATTTGAGTCCTAGTTGAATGAATGAAGCTAGGGTCTATCAAAGTTTGACCCAAATGTCAAAACCCTTTCAGAATCTCTTCTGATTTCAGTCAACCTTCCCGCTCAACTTTTATTGTGCATATTATGGGGTGGGTGGGGTTGAAAGGGATTAGCTCTGTGGGTAAATATCATCTTTGAGAGAAGAGTCATACGGTAAGTTTCGGTCCTTCCATCGCAAGTCCAATCTGTGACCGGGAATGCCCAATGCTCTGCACAAATGTGCAGACTCATCCTTCTCTATTTTTAGGGAAAAATCTCTTCCACGCCTGGAAACTCTGGATTCTGTTTTAGCGAACTGTCTCTTCGATAACTTTTCAAAGTTTTCCGTTTTCTTTTTTCCCTCACTCTCCAATCTTTCGCTCTGAAATTTTATCGGACTTCGAAATGTCTACGGAGTTTTCTCTGTAAAAACCTAGTAAAAACCTAGTAAAAACCTAGTAAAAACCTTTTCTGTATCTCTAATAATATTACTTTTAAAAAACTCTTTTCTTTATTTTTCAGCTTGCTTTTTTCTTTACCTTTACAAAAGTTTTACTGTTCTTTTTCGAAGAGAACTGAACATTTTTGTTTCTCTGTAGAATGCTACGTTTAAAAAACGCGGTTCTTTCCTTGAAAAGTGGTCTTTTAAAAGCTTCATGGTCTTTTGGCTAATAAAAGTCAGTTTCGTGGTTTTTTTAAAAAAGGTAGTTTTGTGGGGGGGGGGTTTGAAAAGTTTGTTTAAAAAAAAAAGTTATGGGGGGGAAAAGATACGCGAATTCCACTTCGAAAGCGACAAACGCCGGGCCAATAAGGGATTTTCAACGGGCCCGACAGTGATGAGGAGGGGGAAGAAAGAAAAGAAAAAGATAAAGAAAGGAATTTTTTTAGGATAAGGGGAAAGAATAAAGGGTTAAAAGGAAGGGGAGGGAGAGGAGAAAAATAGGGAAAAAAAAAAAAAAAAAAAAAGAAAAAAAAAAAAAAAAAAAAAAAAAAATATTTTGAAAATTTTTTTATTTGCCTTCTCAAAAACCACTGTCTCCTAGCCAACTTCTAGGGCAGCTCCCTACATTTTGGAGTTCGAGTGTAGGACAAAAGAGAGAGAGAGAGAATATGTGGAGAACACAGATTTACTCAACAATTCTCCTTTTCGCTGTCTTTAACCAAAATTTTGTTACACTTTCAATATACAACATACAATCAGAAAACCAAATCTTGTCCGTTTCCTTTTCTTCATATTGCGTATTTTTCCATACATTACCAAAATTTGAAAACATTTTTTGGTTTTCTGAACAATATCCCTTCAATTCTATAATACGACAATTTTTGAAAGCTCATCCTCTTCTCTTCTCTCTTCTCTCTTCTCTAACATTTTCCCCATTCATCATATTATTCCCTTTTCCCCATTTTCCCCTCACAACTTTGTCAGACCAAAGTGAACCAATTGCTGACCGAAATCAGATCAATATTTGTGCACGATGGGAAAAGAGGCAAAAGAGGCAAAACCATTATTGAAACTGATCGGGTACAGACACAATCTAAATTTCTCGCAACGACAGGCGATCAAAAATGGAAATGTTCTGATGTTTGAGGGGTTTTCCTAAATTCATTGAAGCATTTTTGTAATGTGGCTGAGGAAAACTAACAAGGTCTGCATTTGAAAATTAAAAATATGCAGATGTTATGAATTTGAAGTTTCAGGAAGCAATTTGCGTTGCGAAAATGATTGTTATAAACAGAGTTAATCTCTCTAGTTAATCATAAACAAATCTCTAGACCAAGCCAAGCCAACGCCAAGGTTTTTGTCCAAATCCAACGGTACAGTTGAAATTCGAGGTGAAGGGAATTGAAAGCCATTGGCTTTAGCATGACTAGCCTTGGCTTTTGCATTTTGCTTTCTAACAATGAGGGAAAATCATTTGGATTTAGTCAATGTATAGGTTTAAACTAGTAGTTTATTGGCATCGAACTTAAACCGACATGGACATTGGTTCATTCAACCAATTTTCAACCAATTTCAACCAATTCCATTCGCCCCATGGCCTGAACTCAAGCAACCCACCGAACTCGACTGGGCCGACCGGACTGAATTAGCTACTCCAGATAATTTTTGATATGAGAGTGCTACGTTACTTTCGTATATCCCTAATCAGTTTTTAAAAAGGTTAAAAAATCTATTCAATCAAAGTGCAATCACGCTTATCGGGCTTTACCAATCTGGCTTGCTTTTGATAAGGATGAGCATTTGCATCGTTCTTATGGCTTAAAGCTATTGGGCAAAGCGCATTGTCAGATATGTTTAGTGCCTAAATGATTTTAAAATGAGTTCAAAAGATACTTAAAAGTTTCGATCAGTTCGAGGGGCATACTAATTAAATCCGTAAAATATCTTTTTAAAAAAATCGGTGCTCAAAAATGTTTCATTGAAGTGTTTGAGTGTCTGTCTGTCAGTGAACATTCTGTTTTTCAATATCTTTCTTTGTTTTCCTTTTGTAGAACGAACGCCGATTGAAACTCAAACATCATTGAAGCACTCATGAGATTCAAGGGAAATCAAAAAATATTATTGGCTTGTGCTTGAACTTTTTGGAGCAATAGAGTTTTTCGAAAAAGAAGCTGAAAACAAGAGACTCGTCTATCGGGAAAAAGTTAAAACACCAAAAATTAGAAGCTGTCTGACGAATTTCAAAGCTCTCCGACTTCTATTCAATTTCTTTATTACCCCTATTGCTGGAGTGTGCGCCAATAAGTGTCAAACCACATTGGTTGCTTAATTCATTGATTCATTATTTGATTAATCTTGTTGAGATTCAATGGAACCGGAAATATCTAGTGTGGAGGTGTGCCAGATGGGTGGCGATGGCGCTAGCATCAAGAACACTTAATGGCTAGGATTTGGCTATCAACCATTATCAAATCCAACTCCAATTATAACTCCATATTTGATTTCAGGAAACACAATCTAAAATGCATTTTGCAATGCCTATCATCTGGTTCGATTAGTAAGCTTTCTGCAAGGTTCAAGCAAATACCGCTCTGCAAAGTTTTTCCAGCCTTGTCACGTTTCCAAAGCTCTCACATGAGTATTTCATCTCAAAATTTCCCTAATCGTTCGCGTGGGTGTGGGTAGATAAAGGTGACGCTTGTTCCCTAAAAATATCACAATTTCTTGTTCCTTTGATGTTTGACAAGCAATAGCACAACCATACACAAATATTGATGTGATTCTGGTCAAAAAATGGTCCGCGATGGTCGAAACAATTTTTAGAGAAAAGTGGGGGAAATAATGAGAAAGAGAACTTTGAAGGGCAAATACGTTCATCGAAAATCCTGCGGGTAAGCTCTTTGAGAGACAAGTTATTTCGGAGGTACGGTAGGGAAAATGATGGGGGAAAAGTTGAGGGAGATTTTTCGATGAAAAGCTTTGCTTTACTTTCACAATTTAAATTTGATTCAAACGTCGAATTTCAGAAATAAGTTTCGATTCAGTGTTTGTTCTAGTTGCTTGGCTTGATTTTTTGAGACAAAGATAAATCTTTTTCAAGAAAAATTGCGCTGATACCGCTTTTTGTACAAGATTGTACTGAACTGCATTAGACAAAAGCATGAGTTTTTATCGGTATTTGATAAATGTATTGCTTGAATTATCCCAATTGATATCCAATGTGATCTTTGTAAAGTTCTCAAGTGTCTTTGTGTCCACACAATCTGGCATATGACATACATCTCCTAGATTTGAGTTTGATAGTGTCTGTTAGTCCAAGTCTAGTCGCCACATGTACCTGCTTTGTATGCTGCTGACTAACTATTAACTAACTATGATTAAGATCATTGTGTAGTCTATGATCTTATCGGCTTAATCTCTAATTGGCTAATCGGATCAATCGGATCAATCGCTTAATCGAATCAATGTGTAGTATATGATCTTATCGGCTTGACAAGTTCCATTTAAAATGGTTTGTAGAAGCTCGCCGTACAGCGTCCACCCGTTATTACGCTTATCGGTGTACACTCTCAAAAATGGGGGTAACAAATGAGTTAAATAAAAAAGAACTACCATTTTCCCATTGAATTTCGATTTTGGTATACTGTAGCAAGACTGGATTCGGAGCCAATTTTGCCCGCTTGTCTAATTTTGTTGCGAAGTTGTTGTAAAAGCTGAAGAAATGCTTTATTCCAAAATTTGACAAGTATCTAGCGGTACTATTGGCTTTCGGGGCACTTTCTTTTCGTCAAAACCACTTTTCCCGGGGTAATTGAGTACGTTGGACACGAATATGACACTTTTAGGGTAGATTTCGGGAGAATCAAAAACGCAATTTTTAGAATTTTTAAAATTTTGTGAAAATAAGGAATTTTAAGTGCAAATTTACGAGTTTACATGCAAACTTTGGATTACTTTTCAAGAATTCGCAGGTAAACTAAGCTAGTTAACTTTAAAACGTATTGCTGTATCATTCTTTTCTACCAAATGACAGCACAGGCAATACAAGTGTTGAACGATTTGAACTTATTGGTTATCCGTCATTTAACGGTTAATCATCAGCTGAACTTCGTGAAGCCGGTAATCACATAAATGTGAAGTCTCTTTGGTATTGATTTAAAAAAATAATTAAATGATATCATGGCCTCAGCTGCTGATCAAATGACAGCTTCCTTCAGGAATTTATGTGGTGTCAAAAAATTTGGAAAATAATTTGTGGAACCAAGTCCGTCGACTTAAAAAATGCCCTGCAAAGCCAATATTACCGCTGTTTGTTGTAAAGCTTTAAAGCTTTCACTTCTGCGTGACAATCAGCACATACGCGGTGCACTTGGCCAACTCGAGGGTGTTCATTAAAAGGATTGTGTACGGCAAAATGGAGTAGGGAATTCTGAAGAAGGCATAAAACGAAATCTTTTATGAAATCTCTACTTACAATCCTAAGAACTTGAAGAAGAAAGTCATGAGAATCGTCTCCGCACTCACATAGGTGAACGCTAATGCCAAACGGGTGTCCACGTTGATTTCGAGTCTTCGGGTGAGTGGCTGAAATGGTTTTTGTTCAGAGAGTTGAGCACGACTGATTTGATCTTCCAGATTTTGATTTGTAACAGAACTTTATTGAAGTTATTGACATATTCAGCCGGATTTTGTTAATTTGCTTAAATTTGTCGAATTCAAAGCTTTCTTTTCTTTCCACCTTGACTTTTTTGGAATTCTCTCTTTCTCCGATCGACAATCCCATTCGCATCAAAACCGGCTTTTCCCACAGGCAATGTGCTTGAAAGATAACCCCAATTCTAGCTAAACACATTCGCGGCCAGTTGGTCTAGTGGTATGATTCTCGCTTAGGGTGCGAGAGGTCCCGGGTTCAATCCCCGGACTGGCCCGACGTTTTGGTTTTTTTGAGGGATATTTTAAATTATATTTTTTAACGATGAACTAAAGACGTGTGATTCACGGGTCAGCTGAAGTTTTGATTTTTTAGGGAAACATCGAATTCGCTGGAATTCTATTTTTGCTTGGTCCAGCTTTAGTTGTGGTTCATTGAAAGTGGAATCAAGAGCTCGCTTAAAATAATCTCTTAAAGAAAAGAGCTAAAGATTCGCCCATTCAACAAATTCTGTTCATTTGTGCATCCCTACCGGCGGCGCGTTCCAAAGAGGATGCGTTTCTTTCCGAGGCACCGTTGGAGGATCGTTGGTTAATGCTAACCTCAAAGTTGGGTAATTAAACCGAAGAGCGAGATCTCTATTGCCCTATGTGCAAGGCTCGTGTGCCAGATGCTGCTTTTTCCTACGAGAAATAAGAAAAAAACGCATAACTCTGTTTTTGTAAAGGTAAACTTTTAAACAATTCTTGATCTTGCTATTGTTTTCGATTGCCCGAATGTTCGTTGCTCAAAAGATTACAGTAGCCCCTCTTTTCATTTGATCTCAATTCGGTCTCTTTTGATTTTTTGATCCGATCAGTCACCCACTCCCCCTTTTTATACCTTTTTCTCGACTTTTCTCTTCTCAAATGTTTTCACCGAGGTCGCCTCAAAAATGACAATTGCAGATGGGGAGGCCATTGATTGAGCTGAAAAAACTTGCAAAAGTTCAGAATGGGCTTTCCCCTACCAGGCCTTGACATTGACATTGTTGGCCTGTTTTTTTGATTGGTTGATCGCATTTTGTAGAGTTTTGCAATGATGGCCAAATCGGTGCCAACGAGCAGAACGATCATTGTGACCTGAAAGATGGACTACATAGAGCTTTGCACTAATCCCAGGTCCGTTGCATAAGCAAGCCTCTAGATCGGGACCGATCTATGAACCAATCTATTAGCATGCTTGATTATACTAATTAACCTTTAGCCAAGCGTCAAAGATCTCGAATTTGTTCTCGACATCGGCTTTCTCTTGACGAATCGCCATGTAGTAACCGGGCACTTGATAATAGAGACAATTGCAAAGAGTCGTGTAGAGAGTGTCGTGGACTGGAAAGGAAATTTCAAGATTTAAAGAGATTCATCCATTCAAAGCCATAACAAAAAGCTCATTTTCTTTTAAACTCTCAGGATTTCAGCAAACTTTCAATCCCATTTCCACTTACTTATCGTGCAGACACACGGCACGGCAACGAAAATTGCCGTCCTTGGCCCGTTGAAATTTCGATAATGACCGGGCGCATAGATTGCAATGATATGGAGAAGAGAAATGAGACAAAAGAGGTACATTTGAAGCCAGTAACGGATTTGACCCAAATAGATGTAGATCCAAAGGATCGTTTCATCTAAACCTCGCAACTCTGCATCACTCTCAGATTCCGTAAAGAGTTAAAATCCTCTAGAGTAGTTGTGAATTTCAATTTAGAATCAAAAGTACTAAATAAAAAAATCACCAAAAGTCTCGACTTCCCAGTATTTGGCCGCGTAATCGTGCCAGGTTGCCAAGAAAATATAGACAAAATCAGCGAAAACAAGCATGAAATTGCAGATTACTGTAGGGTTGTGATCCTAAATGAATTTGATATGTTTTCTTGCAGAACGAGTGACAAAGTGACACAACTTACAAATTATAGTCCTGTAAACGTTCTACTCACCTATTCTTGTTTTTCTTCTACTTAAAGCTGTAAACACACCCATTCTGGCGCACTGAAGAACGAAAGATAGCGTGTAGTTCGGGTTTTGACATTTTTCAAAGCCGATAACAGTCTGATTGTGCAACAGATAAAGTAAAAACTGCGCCAGAAAGAATGTGTTTACACTTTTGAGCACAAATTACACTGAACTACATTACCTTTATCCGGATCATTCTCCTCAACGCCATCATCGCTCCGAAAACGATCGGTACTCTGAATAGCAAATTGACGCAATCGATCGGGGTGATCATTTCCTACAAAATATATTACTTCAAAAATCCCTGTACGTTCTCCAAGAATAAAAGCCTTAAAAATGATGTAGTTTAAAGAAGAAACATATCGCTCTCCTCCCATTTTTCTCCCCTTTTGATCTCCACCAAAAAACAAATGTTTTTCGTGATTTTTAAGCAAAATCTCTGGCTAAATGACATTTTTCACACGATGATTTGTTGAAATTTGTTAAGTTTTAGGGAAAACTGATCGAAAATTGATGGGAAAAAAACGGGAGTGTAGTCGGGTTGATTTTTTGAAATTTTTGGAGAAAAGATTTTGAAAAGGAACTTTGAACATTCTAATGGAAAAGCTAGACTACTAATGACAAGAATGTGAAAGCGAGCTCTAAATCAGAAACTCTTTTGAGCAACGATCATTTCCTGTTGTCGAGGAACTTTCAAATCCTGTGGGGCCTTTCACAAAACAAGCTTACTTCTCAGTTTTTAGAAGCTTGCTTCTCAATGGGGTAACAAAGATTGGATAAAAAATGGAGAGCTTTTAAAATTCATTATAACTCAAGTTCACGTGATAAGATAGTGGATCTCATCGTCAAAGTTACCGGAGTAGAAGCGATTCTTCGAGTTCATGTTAAAATTTGGGACTTATTGGAATGACAAGGAAAACGCAAGGATGACGCACAAATTCGTGAAGCGCCCCAAATTTTTTTGAGTTCGGCTGTCTCTGGAATCAGAAGTCCGGGTTCAATCCCGGCCAGTGGACCGGTTCATGGCCCAGGTGCTTAATGCGAGAAGCCTATCTAGCCGTCTTCGTCTTCTCTTCACCGCCAGAACAAGCTATCTAGGGATTGTCCAATAAGAGTAGGGATTGGGGAGGCACTGAGGATGTAGGCGTGGGTTAAGTTAAAATATAGTATTGTGTTTGTGTCGAATTGTGATTATCGTGCCGAATAAACCCTCCGGAGTCACCGGTGTATATTTTTATCTTTATTGTGAGCCTTTTGACGCACAAAATCAACTCACTAGTATTACTAGGATAAAGAAGGACTAATCTGTGGAATCCGAAGTGGATAGTTCAGGATATCAAACAACGTTTGCCTGTGACTCAAATGCTAATTACTGAAGTAAAAGTGACATGTCTTCAAGTCAATGTCCTTTGGCGAAGTTATTATACAATCTGATGGTTCCTTTTGGCTCATAAAGTATTGCTAAGTTTTTCAAAAATTGGGTAGAGATCAATAAAATTTGAGGTTTTGCGGCCACAGCCAATTGAGATACTTTAAGCTCGAAGCCAGCTTCAATTTGCCAAATTGCATCCAGAGCAAGAACACAGTTTTTGCTTGTCTTATAGTCTAGAAGTCTAGAAGATTATCCGATAGTTTCGGACTTTTTTATGAACCAAATTTTACCCAAATTCAAGACTGAACACTATTCTCCGAAGAGTCAGTTCCATTATCTCCAGTTGCGATCTCGTCGCAAATCTCGATCCCCAAATTTCCCTCTTTCCCCTCCAATCATTTCCATTTCATTTCACATTCGATTATTTGACCTCAATTTAAAACATCTACATTTCCCTTAAGAAAAGCAATCTTTTTCCATGAACTATGAACTTCATAATATTCTGAAATTTCGGAATTTCGAGGTAAAATAACTCATTTGTTTTAACATTTGGAAGAATTTAGATCAAAAGAAAGCGATGGATTTTGGTGATTCCATGCTTTTTCTTTTTGGGATTTGCATTTTATCAAATTGTTCACAAAAATTCGAAAGGTGGTTTTTTTGAATCAAAAAGCTAATCCAAACTTTTCAGTCGAACTCTTCATTGAACCCGATCTGACATTACGAGAAAAATTTCACCAATTCCAGCCATATCCAAGACAAGAACCTGTCGTTAAACAAAGAATAGAAAGTTTTTTTGAAAAGTTTTTCTTTAAAAATTTATGTTCAGCGCAAGTCTCGATTGCGATTGTTGTGATGGTGTTGGATGAGGAAAATAATGAGAATTATCGCCTGGCCGTGAATTCGATTCGATGCTACGCGGAAGTACGATTGGAAAACACAGTTTTATCACGATAAAACTCAAGTGTTTAGGTCCAAAATTACACCTACATCTACATCGATTACAGCAAGAATGAAACTTTGCAACGGATGTGCCCACAAAAAGATGTGCATTTTTGATTTGAAAGAAGAATACTTTTTCAGCATGAAAAGCAAACTATTAGCTAATTTTGTTAGCTAATTGGAAATGATTGACAAGTTTCCGTAGGATCGTAAGGCAAAGGAACCCGGTTTAAAGAAACAAAGATAACTATTCATTTTAGTTTCTCTTCGCTCGCCATTGCGTCATGATCGATTTGATGAAAAGAGAGCAATTTGAGTTTTTCCTTTTCTTCGGCGCCGATAATGGAGTGATCAATCCATTGAGAAGGTGCCAATGATTAGATAATTCGATTTTAAAAGCAAAAAAACATAACTTCAAGACCCTAGAGTACACATTATCCGTAATCAAATTCAGAATCGAGGAGTATCTACCCGTGAACCCGTTCGTAAACATTTTGTTCTATCAGCGTTTCTACAATGACGAGATCATGGCCGATTCGTACTTGATTAGGTATAAATGAAAATCGCTTTTTAGCAATTTTGAATGTATTTTAGAAACACACAACAATCTCTCGATTTCCTACAACTTTGGGTCGATTACTATGATCGAACGAAGAATTTCGAGTGCAGTGGAACAGATAATGGAGCCATACAGGTCAGGTTTAGAAGATAAACGATTAATTCAATGTAAACAGTTTAAAGATATTCAATCAACAAAATAAGTAGGAAACATAGGAAACAGAGTAGATGATTCTTGTACCCACATTCGTTGTTCACTTAGCAATCTTCACTTGTTAGCACAAATATTCCAGAATTTTCGGGGCGTCTAAACACAACACGATCTTTCGGCATACTTTAGTGAAAATTTCGAGATTTATTGTTTATATTCCCTGTTCCCCTTGACTCAATGGAAGCTTTGAATGCAGATACATGCATATTTTACCCTTTAGAGTTTCGATAGGGTTACAGGCCAGGCTTTGGGAGAGGGCATTGACGGTCCAAGTACCAAGCGTAGATTTCAACAATCGATCAATCAATAATCGTTCCCAACCGAGTCGAGACGTAGAACTCCCGGCTCTGTGTTGTGCGGTCTATCAATACGAGTTTATTATAAAAGAAAACGAAAGAGTAGGAATGGTGGGTGGAGAAAGAGTGTGTCGATAGTGGGCCGCAGCGATGCTTGGTTCAGCCAGTGATCAAATCACTTTTGCGAACCACCCACCATTGCGCAACTTTATCAACTGAAGAATTTCTCGAGGGGAGAATTTAAATAGAGACAAAAGAAAAGATATTCAGTTGAGTCCACTGAATATCCAACGCAAGAGAATTTAACACAAAAAGGGCACAGAAAAGAAACTATAAGACATTAGCATTTGGCCTTATCCTTAAAATAACATACCAATGTGTTATAGAGTGTGGTCATCGAGTTTTTCGCACCCGAGTTCAACGCCTCGATGGCAATCTGTAAGAGGGAATGGTCGCGCGGGAGGTTGGATAATAAAAGAGCTACTTTATAGATAACATATAGCCATGTGAGTTGTACTTTTTGCTCAAAAAGGACCCTTTTCTTCATTTCTGTAAAAAAGTTAAGAGCTTAATGCCCCAGAAAGGGCGTGTTTCCAGTTTTGAGCACATATATCCACTCAAATATTCTCGAATTTTCAGCAAATATGCTCATCTATTCCGGTATGAGGCTTGTGCTCAATATTTACTCTCACTGCTTCCCGAAAGTGAACTCAACAAGCGGGGATTTCATCTTTTCCAGAAAGGTTTTTTTCATCCTTTGATTTTTCGATGTTGACGATTTTTGAAAAGACTTAATTCCTTAAATTCTCTATTTGCATAATCACCGGCCGTGTGAACGTCTATTTTTAGGGCAAGGCTGGTCACGCGATGGATGGGTGACTGCAACAAAATGGTGTCAAAGAGATCTTTTCTTTCATGGGTGGAAGAAGGAGTGAGTTACTTTTTGAGTTAAAATCCTATGACATACGACACAAAATGGCTATCGAAATATCACTTGGATCATTGAAACTCCTGTAATACAGCCCTTACTATAGTTAGCAAAAACACTCATTTGAACCTCTTAGTGAAGTAGTTAGAGTGTGTTCCTCGCGAGTAATGTGTTTTTTAAAACACACGCTCAGGAAAAATCATCGTACTATTAGCGAAAACTATTGCAAAAAAATTGACGCAAAAATCACGAGGGCCGCCTTATATATGACTCCTTTTAAAGATATTCAACCGTTCAACCGATTTGGTGGCAAATTCCCTTCAAACGTAAAGATATTCGATTTACTCGACGCGTAAAGAGGATTACTCGTAGTTACTCGACTAAAAACGCCGATCTATCCAGCAAAAATTACTCATGCAAATTTTACTCGAGTAATTACTTACTCGCGAGGAACACACTCTAGAAGTAGTGAGTGGTAGTAAGTCGTTTCTCCAAAATCCCTTCAGTTTATCCAATGATGCAATGAGCCTAGAAATGCGCAAGTATTATAATTCAAAGTAGGTAATTCATAATTCATAAATATCGTTATCAATTTTCAACGTCCACTGCTCGACATTCAAACTTTGGTCTTTAGAAAACTCGGATCAGAATGGGAGCTTCCGTTTTCGAGTTGGAATCGATTTGATCAAAAATGCGAGAAGGGAGAGTTTTCCAGATGGAGGTCAGATCTTGTTTGATATTGTATTTAGAAGTAATACAGAAGTCTATGAGAATCTTTAGAGTTGTCTTTAAATGTTATTAATTTAAACTATGATGTACCAAAGCTCTTCATAGACTAGTGAAACTTTGCTGAACTTGAAATGATTCAAAAAAGTTATGAAGATAGATAAAAGTACACAAGTATAAAAAAATATGATAATTCCATAACTTCAACGAACTTTAACCCTTTCAGATATCGATCCGAATTCAAAGTCCCGTGTCTCGAGATCGATTTCCGTCTCCATCAATATTTCTCCGAGAAACGCCTCCTTTACTATAAAGCTCTACAAGAAATGTATGAGAAAAATTTGTTCCCAATTGAAATTTACAATAAATTTGGTTTTTGAGACACATTTTTAAAGAGCAAACAACGAAATGCAGCAAAGATGACTCTCAAAAATCGGCTAAGCGAACACCGCACCGATTTGCATAAATTTTGCCATGAAAAAGACCACTCGGGTTTAAAAGTTTTTAAAAAGAATCAAGGTTTAAAATTTTTTGACACTGAAAATGGACATCAAATGTCTCAGTTTGCTCATTTTTGCAAATGTTGTTTCTATTTTGCTCGCTGAAGATCAATTGCTTCTTGTACAAACGGTTAGTTTTAACTGAACTGAACATCTAGCACAATGAATTTCGAAATTCTTGTTTGAATTCAACCTTTACATCGCCTTTGAAACAATCTTGTTTATAAGTGAACTTTTGAGGTGTGGCGCCACGGTGACCGAACACCCGTTTGGAGCTATCCGAGCGATCCACTCAAAGACTACAAATGGCCGGTTAAACCCGGGGAATTGACACCGGTAAATATAGTTTTTTGCATCTAGTTACAATCTTTTAGCGCGGCTTCGATCAGCAGAGGCACCTGGGTGCGGCTTTCCGAGAACGCTACATCAACGGACCCGAGCCTTTCCTGTCTTCAGTTTATAGCCCAAAAGAGGTTTGTTGTACGAGATCAAAGTTTAGCTTTAAAAGCGAATTCCAAACTTTTCAGGTCTTCATCCGATCCACCAATGTTAGCCGAACGATCGCTTCAGCCAAAGCGAACATGCTCGGGTTCTTCCCGAATGACATTGAAGCTGATCTGACGATGAATCTAATGGGGTATGAAACCGTTTGAATCATCATTAATGAATAAAATTTCAGGACAAACGAGAAAACCACAATACCCATTCACGTTAACAATTTGGACACTGACTTCGTGAGTAGCGGACTGATTGCATTGATTGAAAATTTTAGGCCGGTTTTGTACCGTTGTGCCCAAACTTTGAAAGGGATTTGAAAAACTACTTACCTATCACGGATTTGCAGAAAGTCTATCAAAATCACAAGGTATCGCAAAAAAAATTCCCTCGTAACTATTGCTTTATTAGGCGGTGATTGATTTGGTCGTCCAGAAAACCGGCATTTCGATGGATTTTGAGACATTTGAGCCGTATATGGTCTACGATTTGTTGCACATACAGGTTGGCTATGTGATTATGAAAGAAAGACTACTCGTGCCTTTGGAAAGAACAGTAAGCGTGGGAAAGTCTAGCCATGTACTTTGTACTCAAGCAAACTCGTGCAAACGCGAGCTCGCATTTTTGAAGTACTTAGATCTGCCTAGGAGTACAAAGAAGCTACAGTTAATGGCAAGGCCCAGGACAGAGCAAATCAAGACAAACTAAAGTTTGGACCAAGTCAGGGCAGATCTAAACTTTGGCTTACAAGTTGATAGCTTTGGCTTGGCTTGGCCAGTCCAGTTTATTGGGTTATCGGACATTTGATACGCGCCCCGCTCCTTTTGCCATTGGCAATCTAACTTTGAGCTCAAATATCTCGGTGTTGGGCTGTCCAATTTAAATATTCTTGGTGTCATTGGATGCGCCAAGTCTTTCTAAATTGTGCTAAATTATCAGTTTTATCTGATTGCTATCTTTAGAGAGAAATCTATCATCTCCGCACTCCCGACTGGGCTACTCCACAAGTGATGTACGAGCTGAAACAGCTGACCATCTGGAAAATCGACTCATACTTGGGATATGCTGATCCACCCTCAGTGAATATCACAAGATATCGAGGTGAGCAATTAAAACTGAATTTGCATAAAAAGAGACTTTAGGTGAAATCCTCAAAGAGATGCTCGATCGAATGCAACAAAAGATCACTTGCCACCAAAATGGAAACAAAGGAGCTCAGTGTGCAACGATTGGGGATTTGAAGTTTTACGCATATTCAGCGGTAAGCGAACACATTCCGTTTTGAACACAGTCAATTACACTGCTCCACAAAATTATATGGACACTTACTTTTTTACCAATTTTATGCTCTTAAGAAACGATAGTGAAAAAAGTTGTTTTATCGTATTTTCCTTATTAAATTGGCGATTGAAACACGTTAGATATACTACCATAGTTTGAAATATGAATGTTTAAAAATAGAATTTTTAAAAAAATGAGCTTTGGCGCTTTTCACATAGTGATATGGACACTTTATTTTTCGGCCTTTTTCTCATTTTTGAGATAATTTAGCTCTTTTTGCTCAAAGATCATTTCTTTAAGGTACTCTGAAAAAGTGCCAAGCGGACCGCCGCTGTCGGAAAAGGAAACTGGAATCATAGAGGCAGTGAATCGCGAAGGACACTCAAATCGAGCAATAGGACGATTTCTGAACCGAACACCAACGTTAATCCTCCTAGCTGTCTGATCCTCTACGGAACAAAGAAGTCGACTGATCGAAAACCTTTGGTTTCTGAGCGAGTTAAGAGACACATTTGCGGAGAAGCATCCAACTCGGATATCAAGGCGAATCTCAAGCCCAAAGTTCCAAGCGAAAGAGTCCGTCGAGTGCTAAAGAAAAGCGATTTTATTGTGCGAAGGAAGATGCGTAAAGCGCTATTTATGTCGCAAGATCATTGCAAGAAAAGACTAGAATTCGCCGATAAAAACAGAAAAACTGACTGGAGCAAGGTGGGTGTGATTACTTGGCTGATGGAAAGTTATTATTATGTTTAGGTCGTGTGGTCGGATGAGAAACAATGGAGGTCCTATTAATTATTAAATGTTGTTGTTCTTTTTTAAAATCATTTTTTGTTGTTAAATAAAAACTTTTATGTAGTGTCCATATCATTATGTGGAAAGCGCCAAAGGACATTTTTTAAAAAATTCGATTTTTAAACATCCATATTTCAAACTATGGTAGTATATCTAACGTGTTTCAATAGCAAAACTAAAAAGGAAAATACTATAAAACAACTTTTTTCACTATCGTTTCTTAAGAGTATAAAATTGGTAAAAAAGCAAGTGTCCATATGATTTTGTGGAGCAGGGCAAATCTAAACTTATGCAATTTACTTTCAAAACTGAGACATTAACATATCATTTACTTACGATTTCAGCATGACATCACCGTTGCCGGTCTCCTCGCCACCTTGGGCAGCTACATGGCCGTGCCGGGGCGTTTCCTTCGCTACACCGTTTGTGCGACTCTCGAATTGTGGCTGAGAGATGGGAAACCGTATGTGAAAGTGGGTTGAATGAGAAAATGGCATTGACACAATAGTTACCTACGTTTCTTCGCCCACAAACTCACCACCAGAGATAGGAGCAAAAATGACTCAAGTCTACATTTAATTGCAAAACTAAGCAAAAGAACCAAAAAGTAGGGCTATGAATAGGAGAGGAATTCAAATCGATTCTAAAGCAAGAAGTAAACAAGCACAAAAGGGCACAAAATTCTCAAAGTTGACGTTTGATAGCTACCGTCATCTATCAGGTTTACCGTATCAAAACAGCGCTTTCAGTGGTTTAGCGAACAAAATTTAGGCAAAAATCAGGATTAGAACGACTTTAAACTCTTTCAACTGTATATAGGATATGTAGTTTTATCTGATTTCCCATATTTAGGTTCTTCTCCGGCCGACCCGTTGGAGCTCTTTCCACACGTTCACCCAATTCACCACTGGTTGTCCGCCCGGTGCCGAGTTTTGCCCCTTCGATGTGAGTTTTTCATATGAAATACAAAGTACTGTAGATATATAAACTGTTATTTAAATAGTATCCAACTTTTCATAGATATTTTTACAAAGAAGTGCCCCGTACCTACCAGCTGACATCAAAAAGGATTGCGGTGTCTCTTGACGGTTTTTGTTGAGTTTCAAAGTTTCGAAATTGAAAACGATAATAAATTGGAAATTTATTGATTTTTCACAGGAAATACTACAATATGAAGAAACTGACAAATTTTGGTTTTATCCTCATTTACATTTTGTCCTCTGGACGCTCGTCGAGCCATTTCTTGAGCGCCGGATGAGAGTAGACTTTCTCTTGATAGCCAGCCAGCTAAAATTTTTGAAACTAATTGAATTTGCATATAATTTATACCTAAAATTTAGATATTTTTAATGAAAGTAAAAAGAACTTCTTCTTATATCTTGAATCTTGCACAAAAATTATGTACTTCACCAACTACTGCAGAATTTTCTGGAAGACTCTGGATTTAACTCTTTCCACTCTAGAAAAGTTCCAGACATTTAAAATAGTCTTTTTTTTGAATACCTAGTTTTATTCAGTTTTTAGTTGGGTAATAGCTTAAAATTATCCCACCTTTGGATGTTTCTTTAGGTATTCGGGTCGAAGATTATTGAGCGTGACCATGTGATCACAGACAACCAAATCAGCGTATGAAATCTCGGATCCAACCTGGAATTTGAAGTTAGAACTTGAAATTTAGCTTGGTTTAAGTAAATCTGGGCTTGGATAATAGCTTAAAATGAGATCTCGGATCGGCTATATCTGCATTAAATGCAAGTTCGGTAACAAATTTGACTTTAGTTCCTTTAACCTCACAGAACCTCAAGAAACTCTGTGTCTTGTTGTCACTTTTCACTTGTTCAACTTGGATACAGTACCGTAGGGTGGGTGTATCTGGATATTTAACACTCACAGTATAATACGTTCCCTAAAAAAAACCTATTTTTCAAAGACTACCGTAATCAATTGCCAGTTTTCATTCAATGACGAATCATAAAACTCAGTCAATAATACAAAGATTAAATGAAAACTGGTGGCCTGGTTACGGTAGTTTTCTAGAGGTCTTTTAAAAACGCTATCTATTGTTTTATCATTTTTTTTAATCCCACCAAATATCCGTGTCCTTCTTTCTCAATTCTTCCCTCGACGAGAGCGAAAAATTTATCGGCAGCTGGCACAAGAACCGACTCGTACAGCTCATCCTAAAGCATTCTTTGATACTTTACGCAATCCTTTACAGGCAATCAAAATCTATCTCAATCTTTAGCTCAATCTTTAGTACAATCCTGTTATACCCCACAGAATGAGCGTTATTAAAATCTGCATATATCCAAAAGTCCAATCGCACACTGGAATCAGTTGTTTTGCAGCTTTTGAAATGCAAATTTTGTGGGATAAAAAAAGAAAGTACCCAATCTTCTACTATACCAAATTTCCTTGCAAAACCCCGAGCGCAGTGTAATAGAATTGACGGATCTCGTTGTAGTAATCCTTGTAGAGATCGATGAAACCATCGACTTTCGCTGCCTCGAGATTGTTCTTGCCCCAGAGGATCCCTGAAGTTGACTTTCGTCAGCTAATAAGTCAATTGGGGTACTGTTTCAAACCTGGTCTTCTACAATATTCAAATCTGCCTGTGATAACAGTTAGAAGCCATAGGATACGTTATTCTTCAGGCTTTACCCTGTACCAGCCGTCAAGTGTAACTTGATTGATCATGTAAGTAAGAGCGTAAAGTAGCTGTACCCGGTTTTGTTTGAAATCTTGATTTTCGTACCAAATTCTTTTCCCAAATAACGAGCTATTGCGGCGGATTGGGCGATCATCGTACCGTCTTCCAACTCGAGAACGGGCAGCTGGTTGAAAGGCATTGCTAAATTGCAAATATTTGAATATAATTATTACGATATAAGTTTTATCTTTTTAAACCATACTCGGTTTCACATCGGCCATCCATTCCTCAAAAGTGATCCTCTTGTCCTCAAAGTCTTTTCCTGCGATTTTGAAGAGTTGGCGCACTGGCTCACCGACAGCTCGAAGGGGGAAATAATGGAAAGTATAACCCATTGTTTTCTGCAAATTCGAGTGAGTGGGGGAGCTTTCGGAAAACTCGTTAACAGGGGTCAAGTCAAAGATGCAAAATTAAAAATGGGACTCGGACAATTTTGGGGAAACCTGTTTTCAGCTGATCTCAAGAGAGCAAAGAGTACAGGAAATTTAGTAGAAGAAGTCAGTCAGGATTTTAATATGCAAACTTTTTCATAAAATTATATGATACGGCAATTTGAGAAGATTCAAAAATGGTTTCACCCATGATTCCGGGGTTTGGAAAAAATCTTTTCTCCAAAAAATTGGGAGAAAACTTCATCAAAGAGCAAAATATTAAAGAACACATCCTTTTTTTGCGTTTTTCTTCTCCAAGATTCAAAGACCGTGAAATTGATTTAAGATTGTTTGAAGAATCGAAAAAAGGGGAAAAGATTTCTTTATCAGTTGGCCCGCTAACGAAATTAGCCGGGGCGCCATTGAAAAACGCTCAACTTTTTTCCTTTCCCACTTTGAGCGGAAAAGTAAACTTTAAAAATTTTGCTTTGTTTAGCAGTGCAAAAAGTAAATTCGATGCGCCAGAAAGGATATGTTCACATCCCTGAACCCAAAGTACACCCAAAATCAATTTGCATTCCTTTGATACATGTGTTAGCACTAAGCCAAAAAATATTGTAAAAACAAATGAATCAAACTAAAATGGAGTCTGAAACAAGACAGGTTTTTTAAAATTCATAAAATTTTCAAAGAAAAAGATGAGAAGAAAGGAATCGTTTTATTGGAATGCTTTAAATTTCAGAAATGTTGCTCAAAAAAAGCTTGAACTTGCCAGAATGTGAGCTCTTTGCTGGTCTCGAAAAGTAAACTTTAAAGTTGAATGTGCAAAGAGAAAAAAGAGGGAAATTCTTGAGAGTTTTGGAGAATTCGAAGAGTGAATAGGGGCAGAAATAGCAAAAAAGTCAAAAACTACTCTATAGTTTTGTTTTGTTTTAAAAAAATCACTCATTCAAGTTAGATTCAAGTGTTAAAATTGAGGGCTAGTCCTAAATTCTTGGATAATTTGGTATTGCTGAAAAAAATTGGGTTTAAAAATGAAATTTGCAAGTGAAAGCACCGGTTTTATACCGTTTTTGGCCTAATCATTGAGGGATTTTCAGAACGAAAAACTTTTTGCGCTCAAAATTTATTTTATATCAAATTTTCAATCAAATACAATACTCAAATCAAAATAAAATTAGAAAAAGAAGAAAATTAGAGAATTGGAAACAGTTAAATGCAAATTTCATCCAAAGAGTAATGCACAAACAAATTTGCATTTAACTATAAGCTTTGTTTCCAAATTTGCACTAAAATTGACCTGTTTAAGGCCAAAGAATGCAGAAATTTCAATGGTAAATTGATTGAAAACAAAAAGAAAGCATCAGAAATTTCTTTGAAATAGTGATAACAAAGCCGACTCATTGCCGGCAAATGTATTCAGAGTGTTAAAAATCGTCTCATAGCCTTTTAAATGTCTAAAAACTCCATAATTTTACGTAAAAATATTTTGTTTTATAATACTTTGTTTTACCGTTTTCATTCAGAAATTTCAATTTTAAGCAAGAAAACGCGAAAATTTTGAGCCTCCTTTCATCCAACGAGATATTCAATAAAAATGGAATTGGAACTGAAATTCGAGCCCGTTTGGTCATTGAAAAAACGTAAAAAAGAAATAAAAATATTCAATAGCACAATACTTTTTCTTTGTTTACCCATTTATATATTATATCAATATTAGAATTCTCGGGGGAAACACCCCTTGATTGGATGTGTGAATGGGGAAAGACTCGGGACTAATTACCACCTGGGATCCTCTCCGTGAAATAAAAGAATCAGGAAAAGTTATGAATAGAAAATGGATTTAGATTTGCCAAGCTTTGATTGAAGAGATCAATTTGTGAGTACTAGTTTATTTGGGATCAAAGAATTGAAAGCAAGCTAAATCAGTCTTGATTCGAGTGTGCTAATGTTGGAAGTAAAGTTCTCCACTCAGACTTTATATTTTTCAGATTTAATATTCCTATCGTGTAGCTGAGATCAAGGGCTGCAATTTGAGGCGAAAAACACCAAAAATGGTGCCGTCGGTGACTCTAGAATTCATCTGCCTCAAGTGCCGTTTTGTACAGCGCATGGCTCAAGTCTCATGACTTCGAAATTCTTTAACTTCGTAGCAATTTTCAATGTGCAGTCGAATAGCCAAAAATTACTTATTGAAAGCGATCCGGTTTCCAAGAGTCCCTGGAAACGCTAAAATTAAGATTTGTTAAGAAGTTGCAACAAACTGGGAAAGTGTTGCATACAGTCCTCTTCACGTTCACCAATTCCAATATTGAGTAATAGTGGCTTTCCTTCTGAATAGCTCAAACTACATTCAGTCTTCTTTCCCATTTTTGCGTATTCTTGATAAAAAGTCAGAAAGCTCACTTGTGAAAATCAGTGAAACAAAGCCACAATAACACAACACTTGAACATTTTATGGGTTTAGTTTGATCGGTGATTGTATAAAGCTGGGCTTGTCACTGAATCGAGTATTCAAACCTTGAAATTTTTGACAGAGTGGTCTTCATTGCTGTAACTGTTGCTTGTTTTTAAATTGCGAAAATAGTTTAGATGACTTATTTGTAATTAAGCTCAAAAATGAAAACACATCCTTTCTGGCGCATTTATTTTTTGTGGCTTGTTTTCAGAACTCTTTGATCAAACACTTTCACATCTCTTAATATCATCATCAGTTTTTCGTCAGAAAGAGCATTTCCCCAATCATCAACGTGATGCAACAAAGTTTGTATAAAATGGAGAAGTGGATTCATTCAGTTTTTGTTGAATTTCTGCTACAGTTGAAAACCAAGGCTGTTTTGGCAGAGCTTTACAAGGAGTTACCTATCTGACTGGAAGTTCAGTCTACGTTTGATTCTATCATTTATGCTTTTTTTGAGATTGAATCTTCCGAAGAATTGGTCAAGAACTATCATTGGCTCCAGTAGAATGTGCAAAGAGTTTCAGTCTAAATCCAAGTCTAGTTTCCTCAAACCTAAAAGATTGCAAGATTTCATCAGATTTCTTTTGATTTAACTAAGGAATGGAGTCTAGTTAAGGCGTCCTTTTTGATTTGAATGACCCATAGAGTTGGTTAGTGTATCCATTTTTGACCTGGTTCGATCTAGGCAGTGTCCTTTTTTGCCAAAACTATCAAAAATTCATCTTGTGCTCATCAACGGTAAGCAACTTTAGCAAACTTTTTAAAATCCACAGCTGTGTTTCAATGTTCAAAGCACAAAACTCCAGCTGTAGACTTTTTTCTCCAAAACTCTCAATTGTCAAATGACCACCGATTTCTCCTCTTTTTCCAAGCATTTCCTCTCTTTTCCAAACATTTTACTCTTTGTGTCTGCCTTTTTTCTTTTTTTGTTCTTTCACCCGGCTGCCGAACATCGATTTTTCTCTCCTCCTCTCAACGCATTTTCTGATCGGTCAAAGTGATAAGATATTCTTTGTTCTATTGAGTGTTTTTCAACTCCTGAAATATCGACTTATCAGACCATCTAGAGATCTTGTTTACCCTAAATTTGAATCCATCATCTTTAATTTTTCTTGAAAAACTTTATATTTCTTATTTTAGCTGAAAACACTAATATTGTGATCGTTTTTCTTTAATGAGCTCAACGATTTCGAAGAAAGACTGCGCGGCGCTGGTGGCCTGTCTAGGCGGTGCTGTTGCCTCGTATCAAGTGAATATTTTGTTAAAATAGATATAAGTATTATGCAAATTTCCATTATCTCAATTAGCAGTTTAGCTCTTAAAATATTTGTACTCCAAACAACAAAGAAATCGCGATGATTGGGTGCCGATTGGACGCGTGAAAACCCTGTACATCTATCCGATCAAATCGTGTAAAGCCAAACCGGTAAGTTTTCCGTAAAAGTTTGAAATGGCTACGTTAGGGTCAAAAAAACAGAAATACAAGTTTTAAGAATTTCAAGTCTTTTTGAGATCGCACTAAATTCTAGGTATTCTCTTTGCATTGTGGATATTTGTGTGCCACTTCTCACGAGAATTTTGATCGCAAATTTTTAGTGACCGATCCGAATGGACAGTGAGTGTGAAGCTTATTAAACAAATTTTTAAACGTTCAATATGACAATCAACACTATTCAAGACTATATTTGTATTTTGGCATACCGTAGCGAAATAACAGACATTAGTTTTACAATGTTTTAAGCTCTGTTTCAGCTTTTTCACCGGTCGAGTCAAACCGCAATTGATTTTGGTGGAGTCGGATGTGAGAGACGGGATTCTTTATCTTTCGTATGAAGGAGAAAAGGCTCAAGTACCGCTAAATGGAATCAAAGAGACAAATTCGATCATTAAAGCAACGTAACCACAAAGTTTCTTGAATTTTGTAAAACTTGTTGACTTTAGTCTTTTCCGAGATGAGCGACAGGATGGCTTCGATTGTGGAGAGGTGGCAGCGGAATTTTTCACGAAAGTTCTCGGAGAACGTGAGTCACAGTAATCAAATGTTTCTAGATTTATGAGTTTAAATATTTTAAAAGCCTATATTTAGCCGCGCGTTTGGTGATGCACGAGCCCGGATTATACACCGAGCGAAAAATCACAACCAAAGAGGATTGGTGGAACAACAATGAGGTGCCGAAGAGGACGGATGATGTGGGTTTTGGATAATTAAACCATGAACGGTTAAAGCTGTAATGAAAGAATATTTTTCAGAAACCGTATACAGACAACACTCCCTACATGGTGACCACACAGGCGTCGCTTAATGATCTCAATGAGAGACTCGACGAGAAAGTGGGTCAAAGGGGATTCATTTTATTCCAATAGATTTTTCTCTATTTCATTGAGCTTTTTGGCTTCTATCTATTACTTAAAATACTTTGAAGCCTTTAAAAAGTACAAATTTGTTGCTATTTAGGTTGAGAGTGTACAATTCCGTGCCAACATCATCGTCGATGGATGCCCGGCCTGGGACGAGGATCGATGGGCTGAATTGAGGTTTGAGGCTCTTAACTTCTTTATTGAGGTGTACTTTGTGCTGAACAAATTTAAACACACTCTTACTTGTGCACTGGATTCACTTTTCCTAGCCAAAAGATGAATTCAGTGCACCACAAAGAGTGGGTTTGCGCACAGTAGGCTTCAACAAGTCCAACCTACTGCATTTCCAGATTCGGTGATCAACCGACAAATGATGCCCCGGAAATGCAGTGCTATCGACCGTGTGACAGGTGACATTTTGTTTTAAAACCGAACTGATTTGACTTGTTGTTAGGTGTATCATGACGACAATCAACCCAGAAACTGGAGTCAGACATCAACAAGAACCACTCAAGTCGTTGAGAGAGTAAGTGATCAGCTTTGAATTCCTTTGAAGGATCGAATTCAAGATTTAAAAATGATAATATCCGATATTCAACCGTTTAAACGATCACCCGGACTTTGACATGAGATCAAACAGGCAGCCAGGCCATACCAGGAGATCAAGGCAAGGGCCGGATGGAGCCAGGGGGTCGTTTGATGTTTACTTTTTGGGGCCTAGGAGGGAGCTGTAACTAGGTTCAGGCCTAATCCTGGCCTGGTTTGACTACGCCTGCAAGCCAGGCCAGACCAAAAGCTAAGTCCAGGCATGGTTTTTGTTTTAGTGCCAGGCCAGTGGTACAGCTAGGACTAGGAGCATGTTTGGTCCTGGCCTGTTTCGGTCGAAAAGCTGGAAAGTTTCCAGAAAAAAATATGCATTAAAGTAATGTCAATGCAAAAAGGCTTTTACAGATTCCGAATGCCGACAGGTCGAATGGCGGGCGTGTTCAAATCGCCGATCTTCGGTGTCCACTCCGGCATGAATCGACCTGGCTGGGTGACCGTAGGACAGACAGTGTGGGCGCGATACAAATCCTCTGCTTTCTAGTGGGTGCAAGTCACATTTGGGGAAATGGTGACTGTAGTTCTTTTGCTACTTCTATGCTTTCCAAATTTTACGCTAATTCTTCAGACCTTTGCATCGACGTCGTCGACGAAGAAACACCGAATTTCAAGTGTGCTGTTTTTTATATTTTCTGATTCGTATTTTATGACACTGGTTGTGAATTAGGCTTGTTTTTTTTGTACTTTGTTGTCAAAAATGGAAACACACCGCTTCCGGCACACAGAACTTCCTGTCCTTGCGACTTCGGATCTTACTCTGGAAAAGGAGTGCACCAGAAGGCGTCCGTTTTCAGATTTGAGCATAAAGTACACTGGAAATGTCAATTAAACATTAAATTATTAGAAATAAACAGTTCAAATAGTGATATTGAGACTTTCTTGTGGTTCGTGGATTTTCGGTTTCTCGTTGAGTTGAAGTGCCGAGTTGGAGTTTGGGGCCACTGATGAGCCCTTATGCAGAACGCTTGGCATTTCCATTTTGAAAACATATCGACGGAGATTTTGAATAGCTTTGTGTTGAATCGTTTTGTTCAAGAAGAGATAGACAAAAGCAGGAGTTCCTGAAAGAAATGAGGCTTGAGATTGCGAAATTTCATCAAGTTTTCTATAATTTTTAAGTTAGATTTAGGTAACTAGTTTTGATCCAATCTATCGATGTATCAAGCTATCCAGCCTATCAATAACATTTTGAGTTTTTGTATTTTAATCATAGAATGTGATGCTCTCGTTTGCAGCGATTGCTAAAGCATGTCAGCTTTCAAGGCTTACCGTAGCCTGTCTCTAGTTTTACTTAATTCCCTTACTTTGTCATCTGATCCTTTGGAACTCGCGAAGAACTAGGCCAAAAATAAATAAATTGGATAAACTAGAGGCAAGATTACGCTAATTTTCAAAAGTTGGCACGTTTTAGAAAGCACTTAAGCCACAGATCTTTTCATTTTACCGTGCATCAATTGCCAACTCCCATGCGCCACGTGCAAAATGAAAGTGGTCGGCGTGACGAAAAGCATGACGATCCACGTGATTGCCGTGATAAATGTGAACAGACACACCAATGAGGCTTGGACTAAGATCTGAAACTTGTCCAATTACAGGAAACGAGTTCCCTCACTCACTTGCATCTGTGCCTTATCATTTTTCATCTTCAACTTGTGCATTTTCCACATGTGCATAACATAAAGACCAAAATAGAAGAGAATGATCCCACCACAGATCAAAACGTTGTGAAAAACTTGATAGACACTTTTGAACTAGAATTTAAATAGCTTTGTTGCCTTGATTTTGTACCTCGTGCGGAGGATTTTCTTGAATCATTGGGTAATAGATCCAAGTGCCGAAATCGAAATTGAAAAGAACAGGAAGCGGGAAAATCAACCAGATCAAGCCATACGCGAGTGCGAGCGCAACGAATAGCCAGGTACGGTAGCCCTAGATGTATTTAAAGCTGAGGTTTACGGTATATTCTGTTGAGTTTTTCGATTATGCATTGTATGCATATTCGAAAAAAATCTTCAGACCCCTCAGTGGCTTCTATTTGGCACTCTACAGTATACTTTGCTACAGTACCTAGAAGAGTCAGTTCCTCATGAGTTTAGCTTCCTAAAAGGTGCGTAATTTTGAATTTTGAATTTGAATTTGAAAAGTTCTTAATCTTTTCTTCAGGCTAAAGGATTAAGCCATAGAAAAAACAAAGCCTGGAGAAAAGTTACGGTAGTTTTTCAAGTTATCCGTCTTTTAGAAAACACCGTGAGGAACACACTCAGGTTATTTGCATTACCTGTATATATAGCTACAGTACCTGATTTTAAAACTCCAAGAGGCTTACCACAAAATATTTTTAATCTTTTTGTTAATTTTGCAAACTTTTTCACTATTTTTTCTTGCAAACTTTTTCACCAAGATCATTATTTTTAAGGATCAACTTTTTAATACCAAACATCCAATTCATTCAAAAGTTGCAAATCGTGACGCTCTTTTTGTTTCTTTTCAAAATTGTACTTCCAGAAATCTCACTGATCTGTCTGTTAATAGCCATGGGAAAATATTTCTTATACATTGTGAAAACTCACTGCAAAAAGCACCTCCTCGAGATAGGGTTTCCAATAACTGACGAAACGATTGAATACCAGAAAAAAGCACAACATACAACATGTGTTGAAGAAGACTAAATTCTGGTTGGTAGCACCTTCTTCTTCAGGATTTGTGATTTATAAACTGCACTTGGAAAAAGAAATCGTTACGGCGGCTGAAAGGCAGGATGGTTACGGTAATTGAAAGAGAAAGATTACGGTAGCTGTAAATGAGCGGGTAACGGTAGCTTAATGATGAACTGGTTATGGTAGCTTGTAGATAAAAGGGTTAGGGTAGTCCTTTCTTGAGCATAGTCCTTTCAGAAAGTACTTCAAAATGTTGGTAAGATCACCCACAGTTCATCCAGCATCCACAAATGTAGGTGATCGTCGGCAACATGCAATACTCGAAACCGATGTAATAGAAATAGCCGGTCAATTCAGAGCTCACCGTCACACAAATCACATCAAGAATGCCTAGGGTTGAGTGTCAAAAATGTTTCTTCAAATTAGAATTGACAAAGTGTCAATTATAGCATTCTTGCAACAAACCAAGAGTCAACATCAACTTGTAACAGGACATTGAACGGAACTCTTTCCTTGCGATCACCGAGAGCGATAAAAGGTAGCAAATCTAAAAATTGCGGGATTCTTCTGAAAGTTTTTTAAGGTAATAAGATTCTTCTAAATTAAAATTTCAAGAAGAATTCAAAGTGATAAATCAATTTTTGGCAGTAATATTTAGTATTGCAGTGCCTGGACGGTAATTCCATAACAAATGTACAGTGCTCCAAGAAGTCTTTGCTTGTCGTGCCTCGCTGAGAGCTCCCAAAACGTGAGTTTCGTGTTGCAAAAATTTGTCTATTACAGTGCTCTAAGACTTAAAAAAATCCCACTTGCAGCTGTATAATGGATTTTTGTTAAGATTGCCATAGACCAGGAAAGTCTCCATTCCAAAAATTTGCAGAAATGAGAATTTTGGAAAACTTACCGCCACCTGATCCCTGAGAAAATCCATGAAAATTTGTATTTTCTAGTAAGAGTTACGATTTTGAAGAAATTGGACTCGTGAACTTTTTGTTCCAAAAAAAAACGGTAAACACGTAAATGTGAAATGATCGCCGTGCGTTCTTTGCGGGTTTGCATAATCGCGCGCTTTCTGGCACACGGAAAAAGGGCTGTTCAGTGCAGAAAGCACAGGCAAAATGGCGTTTTGGCTTTCTTTTTTCAATTTTAAAATTTCTTTATGTACTATTTTTATCTTTTATTTACAAATCTACCAAGGCACATCATTTTACTGAAAATTTACCGAAATTTTAAACAAATCAGAACTCGCATACAAGTTTTATTAGGTTGATGCATAAGTCTTTTCGTTTTTTTCGTACTTCTGTTAAAAAGTAACAAATTCACCAATTAATTTATAGTTTGCTCTATAAAAAAAAGTGTTTTTTTGTTCAATTTCCATCTTTTTAAATCAATTTCGGTTCACTTTCAAGCAAATTCGAGAGTGAAAAACGCTTTTTTCGTAAAAATCTATAAAAAACTCTACGGAAAAATTGGGTGAATGAATTTCTCTGAAATTTTGGCGAAATATCAAACTTTTTTTTCTCTATCTTTTATCTATTGACACGAAGATAGGTTTTCTTTAGCTAAGGTGTCTAAACCGCATCATCGAGTTAGCCCTTTTTGACTACCCGACTCCATACTCTCAAGAAAATCCAGGCATAAAATATTTTTAAACCCGTTTTAATGTTATTTTGCAGAAAAATAATTGGTTTTTCTAATGAAATCAACCGTAGTTTAATTCGTGCATTTGTTGGCTTGAAACGGCAGACGAAAGGGAACGAAAAGACTTATGCATCAACCTAATAAAATGATGCAAATCAAATATTTATAGAGAATTCAATATTCCATCTTTACTCTTTGTTCTCACAGATTTTAAAGAACATTTGAGTGATTCAAGGTTTTGTTTACTTTTTTGCATGTTTGTTGTTTGGTCCATTGTTTTTTTTGCAAAATCTATGGTTTTTAATAATTTTTCTTTTTAGATGCCCTTGCTGAGGCTCACCTCGGGAAGGGAACTGCATTTCATTGACGAAGAAACGGTCAGGCATTTTTGTTATTGAGTACTCTTTAGCAGTGAACTTTTCAAGCTTAAGGTAAACTTACAGTTTCTTTGAAGCTAAAGTTTAAAGCAAACTAATATTCGAGTTTTTGAAAAGCTCTTGCATATTGAGAAAACGTTTGACAAAGATAAATTTTTTCAATGTAACTTCAAATCATTAAACTGGCTTTTAAAATACCTTGTAGCATTAAAATTTAAATATACTTTCGAGTTTAGAAATCTTTATGTTACTTTTGTATTTTAGGTAAAAGCAAATCTTCAAGAAAGAGGCTTCGAGAATGACACGGCTTTCATTCAACTTGGACACTCCGATCTTGAGCCAAATCAATACGAGGGAGGACTTAAGGTGAGACTTTTTGATGAAATTGTTGAAACTTTTATTGGCAAAACATATCTATTGCTAGCGTTTATTAGTGTAAACTCTGTTATCTAAATTATTTTTGGTTTAAAAGCATTTGCAAATTGTCTTAAGTAGGCATCTCACTCTAGTTAAAAACTTGGAAACTCATTTTGAATCAGATTTTATTAGCTTAATTCTCTTCTTTTAGGTTTGGGAGTGCACGAAAATTCTTTGCGATTTTATCGAGGATAATGCAGAAAGGTTTCAAGGGAAATCCGTATTAGAAGTTGGTTTTTAAAATAGACTTACACACAAAACTTCAAGCAGCTTTTTGCTTTCGTTCTTAAAGAATTCAAATAAGAGCTTAGCTTTTCTGAAATCTCTATTCTAAATGTTTAGCTCGGATGTGGTTCAGCGTTGCCAGCGATTTTATCAAAAGAAATCGGTGCCGAAGAAGTTGCTGCTCAAGATTTTGTAAGTTTTTATTTCAGCTTAACATTGTTTTAAAATTTAAAACTTTATAAAGTCGAGTCAACTTTATATTTTAGAACAGTTCGGTGATCGATTGCTTCACATTGGACAACGTTTTGGCGAACGGACTCTCTAAAGGATCGCTAAAATTGATGGCTGCAAGTTGGGCCGACCTCCGTGGACAATTGTCGAATAAAAGGTATTAGCTTCGTTATCAACTTCCCTATTTTTTAGTTTCGACATAGTGATCGCATCAGAAACGATTTACAACACAAGCAACTACGAGGCTTTCCATTTGGCGATTGATCATTCACTGAAGGAAGATGGTGTTGCGTGAGTTTTTTGCTAGTCTACGATGGTTGCTACAGATTAACCTTTGATTGGGTTCAAAAATATAAGTGCGACTGACTTTGGTGAATACTTTAATTAACAGTTACATATCATCTATTAAGTATAGGTAATATGTAACTGTTAGTTTGAATTCTTATGGTAGTACGCAATTATAAGGTTTCTAAATATATATACTTAGGGAAATCGGGACATTGCTGTTACTGTACAATTTCTTTAGGTGGATCGTTGCAAAAGAGTTCTACTTTGGCCTCGGTGGATCGGCGTTCGTTTTTCTCGATTTCGTCAAATCAAAGGGCATCTTCAAGGGAGAAATCATCGATCCACCAAGACGGGGAAACGATTCAGAGCAAGGATATGCAAAAGTGATCATTCAATTGACGAGACGATAATATTTTTGCAGATATTTTTTTTTAAGTTGTAAATATTTATCCGTACGTTGTGAATTTAGAAAAGTTGATGCAAGTTTTTGTTGGCTATCAATGAAAAGGAACATAGCAAATCATTTTTTTTGTACAAGCATTGACAAATAAAAGAAATCATTGCCTAGAGAGAAATTTTCAAATTTTCGAAATGTTCGAGCAACTCGTATCACAATTTTAAAGCACTTCGGAAAAGCTCACGATCACAGATTTTGCGTCAAAAAAAATTAGAAATCCTATATGGAAATGTATAGGAAGCAATTTGGAATACGAAAAGTCACAAATTAACCAAACCGATCGACAACCATGCAACTTTCAGGTTTAAAAATCAAAACGAGAGAGGGTGATCATCAAAACGCCCGAACAAGTGATCAAATAGGCGATCCCCAAACGGCAAATGTTTGAACGACCCTAGAATTGTTTTTTGGAATATCTAATCCATCTATCTAAAAGTGAATTGCAAGCATTTTAAACTAAAGCAATTTTTTACACACCTGAATTTCTTTGAACAAAAAAATCCCCCAAAGCGAGTTGATCAAACCGGGCATCGACGTGATGATCGGGAAAGCGATCACCTGGAAACGTTTGAAGTTCCGTTGAATAATGTTTTTTACAAACCTGTGATAAGTGATGATTGGCGACAAAGAAGAGAACCTCTCCCGTCCCAAAAAGACCACCCGACAGCATTGCCGGTAAACAAATTGATGGGTTGATTTGGGGCTCATTTTTTCTAAAATTTCTTTGTTACACTAATTTTCCTTATCTTTGTTTAGTGAAAATAGCTATTAAATAAGTTTTGAATCCACTTGTAGCTATAATTTGTATTTGCAGTGTGTTTAAAGATTGGGCTACTGTAACGTCTACATTAAAGCAAAACTTGACTACCGTAGCCCGTAGATGTTACAGTAACCCAAGCATTTCTACAGCACCGTAGAATTAAAAATTACTGTAAGATCGACTAACTCAAAGATTCGAAGCACTATTTCAAACTCTACCTGGCCATCCCATAGAAGATAAAGAGGAGAGTGCTCGTGAGGAAAGCGCCGAGAAAATGCGAGAATAGGTAAGGTTCGACCGTATTCGGAACATTCCACTCTTGACTGTGCTGAAAATTTTAAATTTTTCTAATAAAACTTGTATTGCTTACCGCAACGAGAGCCGAGATCGGAGTCAAAAGATTGCCGTAAATGAGACCGAGGAGAAGAGCGGTGATTGTGGCACTAAAAATGGCTAGATATTGATTTTTAAGCCATTTTCTAAAGCTGTTGGACAACTTAGTTATTGAAGACTTAAACATGGAATGTCTGATGCATCTCCAGACTTTCTCTTACAACCTCTTTTGACTGATCTTTAGAAAAAATGCTACTTGAGTGCACCAGAAAGGACGCATTTCCATTTTTGAGCACAAAGTACATTCATATCTACCTCCATCTCATTTTTTCACCAAACTCACGCGATTCTCGTTGACGAGCACCCACTTTCCGCTTCATCTTCACTGGGTGACCTTAGCAAAGATTTTGTTCGATTCTCGACTTGATCTTGTTCAAAAACCTGAAATAAACTGATTGACTTTGTGCTTTAAAATTTGATTGTTCAGAAATTTTCTTGATGTTCTTGATTCTTGATGTTTTACCTTTGAATGTGAGGTGAAATTTGAGCGCAGAAGTGGACTCGATCGGCTTTTCACCGTCGTGCAGATGGCACCGCTAAAATTTTTGATTATCTACTAGCTATATTAATTTGGCAGATGCTTCAATGCTCAATGCTTTTCTAAAGTTTGCTTTTCCAAGTTCCATGATCAGCCTGAGCCGGCTCACTTACCCAACAATGACAGCGACAAGGCCCGTCGTGTTCAACCACGGGATCAATGACTCCATTTGGGGCACACCGAACAGACCGAATCTGAAGGGTTTTGATCAAATTTGCATATAAACTATTATTTTTAATACTTTTTAATGTCGATTTTTCTAATCCAACCTTCCAACAGCCCATCCAACCAGGCAAGTGGTCGCATTCCATAGCAACGGCGCCAGCGTCATCCCCAGTTTGGTCATGATCGGAACGGTGAAGCAGTTAGCTGAAAGTGAAAAGAATTTAAAAAATAGCAATTTGAATTATATTGAAGAATTCGCATCAGGTGAATTCGCATCATTCTATGAGCCGGTGTTCTTTTCATGTAAATCTATTTCTAAAAGGTGCGCTTAGGAAAAGTCACCGTATTTATTTTAGGTGAAAGTAAGTGGATTCAGTCTGTCCTAATGATCTTTAGTACTAAGAGCTAAACTTTAAAGAAGACACCAGATTACTGTAGCTTTTCTAACTCTAAGTAGAGCACCCTTTAGAAAGCATTTTTGTATCCAGGGCATATCTCTTTTACAACAGTTTACCCAAGCTACAACATTGCAAAAGTTTACCTAGCACTCACCTATTGAATAAGCAACACCGCCTAACATAGCGATCGGGTAAATCGGCGGGAAAGCGTTCTTCCACGCCAAAATGAAAGCCGGCAACATTTGCCCGCACGACATCATCCATTGCACAAAGACACCTGAATATGTTTTTGAAAACGTTAACTATCCTTTATTTACCATCTCCTCCATCATAAATCTTCATCGGCGTGAAAGCGGATCCATAGAAAAGTACGCAGAATATCGTGGAGATTAACCCGAACACCGGGTCTCTTGTCGCTTCTCCAACGAATTCTGTTGAGTTCACAGACAACATTTGATGAATATTTTAGAAAAGAAATTGATTCCTAGCTTTAAAAGCCTGAAATTGATGTGATAATGTAGCTTGAAAAATTTTAGACTTCAAAGGATGCAAAGCAAATCTACAGCAATCTAATCTTCTCACAATCTTCCGATACCATCAAAAGTTCAAAAAGATTCAAATAAATTTTGCAGTCAAGTTCTACAAATCAAGAATGTTTATCAGTTGCAAGATTCTACCAAACCATGTTTATTTATGGTATTTTTACATCTTTATCCCAACAAATTGGCATGAAATCATTGTGAGCAATTGCAGTTGCGCAACTGGGACAATTGTTCAAAAAATTTCTTGGGGTAAGAGCCTTTTGGTTAAATGTTATAAAAGAATATTCCTATTCAACTTTCAGAAACAGCAGAAAAAACCTATTCCAACTATAGGTCAAACCGGAAAAGATCGGGCAACAATCATTTCTTCAAAAAAGGCGGCTTTTCGGGGAAGAAAACGAGTAAAAAGGGGAACTCAATTTGCGGATCCCGCACATGTTCTTTTTTGTTCTTCAGCCCCGAGAATTCAGCAATGAGTCAGAAGGGATAAAAACAAAGAACAAAAAACGAGAGAATATTCCGATTTCCCGGTTTTTCCTCACTAATCCACAGGATCTTCTCGTTTTCCTTTCTTCCAAAGGTTAGATAAATTTGTAAAATGGAGAATCGAGAATAATTTTTAATGCCAAATGGACAAAAATCTGAAAATGATTGTAACTTTGATAAATTAAGAAAAAATTCACTCATAAGCGCTATGCCAAAAAGTGTGCGTTTACAAAATGCTCATTTTTCCCAGCTCAGCTTCCCGTAGATGGATTTTTATGAAATTTTGAGACTAAGATATTTGGAAGTGAAGAAAAAGTATTCTACTAATAACTAGAATTTAAAAACCAAACTCTTTTCCAACCAAATGATGTTTTTGGGAAATAACTCAAAAAGGGAATGGGGAGGGGAGTCATCCTTTTTGTCCCCGTCAAAAAAACCCGGATGTGTCTTCTCCGGAGATGTTCCCTATTCCCATTTCTTTCTATATTTTTCTTCCACATCATCAAAACATATCTTTACCAAAATATCTATATTTGTTTTTGGAAATTTTTGAAGAAATTGAGGCTAAAATGGCCCTGGGAAAGCTCGTGATCTCGTGAGAAAAGTTTAAATTTTGAAGAGGGTTTTGAGGCAGAAATGAGTCATCAAATGAGAAATTTTGAGCAAAATTCAAGTTTTTAATTGTTAAAATAAAATTCTCAAAAATTTTCGCTTCCAGATCCACCTTTTATCATGGCAAATGTTTCCGTGATTTCCAAAACCCGCAAAATTGCAAAAAACTGGTCATTTTTATGGCAAAATGGGTCTATCGGAGATTCTTCCCGTTTAATATGGAAATCCGATCAGTGGTTTTTTTGAGGAAATTGAGTGGTTTTTTTGGGGAACACGGCTTGAGGCACCGAGAACATTGGATTTTGAGCGGAAGGATTGATTTGGATAAGTGATTCGTACTTTTTGAATGGGTAATGACTGTGTAAAAATTGTGCTAGCAAAACCATACAGTATCAGTATGCCAAATTTGGTCAGGCTCGGCCTCAGCCGGCTTTTTTAAATTCCTAAACGAACAGGGCCGACTGGACCGGCTTGGAGAATTGGAGTATGTCAAAAGAGGTGCGTTCACCCTGTTTGACTATGTAAGAATTAAAAAGGCTTACAATTGAACTTTGGTTTTACCACAATTCAACTGAAAAATCAGGCTGAATCACTTTTTCACGTGAACGGTGGTAAAGCTTTGAGGCTTTGAAAGAGAAGAAAAGACATTGCTTTAAATGCAAATCTCCAAAATAGCTTTTGACTCACTCTTTGACTGAAAAGTCTTTATCGATTTGTAAAAGAGTCTGGTAAAACGTGCAGAACACGGCAAAATTTGAAACATTTTGTTAGAAAAAGTTTCTTTAAAATCTAATGATAAGCCGGAAGTGCAATGGGAAAAAGAAAGGGAAAAAGAAACTTGAAGAAAATCCCACTTTTTTGGAGGATTTAGGGTCAGCTGTGGGTCATGAAGCGTTTTTCCACAGACCAATCTTTCGCCTTTACAATTATAAGATCAAGATCAGGACACAGGATAAGCTTGAGAATAGTGAAAGATCAAATAAAACCCAAATGTGTTGGTTTTCAAACAGAATATAATGGAAGAGTTCCAACTACTTTAACTGCTTAAAAATTACTATAAAATAGCTAATTGCGTGATCAAACGCAAATTTAAAAAATAACCATTTGAGTAGTTAAATACGTTGGGTATTTTTTTAACAACGCAAAAAAACAGTTTTCTGGACAAAATATTCTTTTCGGACAAATGCGAGCAAAAATTACATCTCTACAATCGACACATGACAAGCCTCAAACCCATTTTAAATCACCCGGTGAATCGGTCAACAATGTCTCATTTTTTTGCCCAAAGCTGACCATTTATTTGGGATTTATTTACAAAAATGAGGAACCGTGAGCTCAACGCAGATCAAAGAACGATGATGCAGATTGCACAACGAAGTGCAAAAAGAGTTTTCGAACTTAAGGATGTTAAATTTAAATTTAGGTCACTATTTTACATGGACCAATACTTCCCGTACGCTGATTGTAAGTTTTCAGCTTTTAAAAGTACTGTAAAGTTTGTAAACTTTGGGATTAGTCCCCAGAAAACAAAACCAATTAAATTCAAATGGAAAAGACATTTTTCCGAAAAAGCCAAAAAAACGGTAAAAGATCTAGAAGCTGTTTCCGCGAGATTAAATGAAAAATACAATTCAATTTAAATTGAATTTGTGCAAAATGATTTCGGAATCAAGTGTGGGTCGTTTAGATCCATTTGCCAATGAAACTTTCTTGCCAGCTTCTTGGATGTATCTGGAAAAATCTCAAGAAATACAATGTCTAGAGAAAAATTTTTTTTTCGGTCTCGGATTTGATTTGTATTTCGATCACATTTCTCATATGTTTTAGGCTCGAATCTTGACAGTTTGATAACATTTTCTCTTTCTCTCATCCAAGAGGAAGTCATTTATTTCATTCGTTTTCACACCACAAAAAATCCAAAAAATCTCTTTTCATCGGCATTTGATCTCATTGTTTTTTCGAGAAAGAAAAAATTTTCTTTGCCAAAGATTTATTTGGTCGAAAGTTGTACGGATTGGGGCGAGAATTGTACGGGTTAAAGTGTTCGCATTTGTCAAAAAAATGGGACTTTTGCGTTTTCGTGTCATGTGAGTTCTGTAGCTTTAATTTAATATTAGAATTAAGTCCAATTTTCCGCCACTAAGATCAAACCCTTGGTCTTTGGAATGCTAGGCGAGAGTCCTAACCAACTCTTGTCATAGAATGAAGCATGGTCTTTCTGAGTCAACAAAGGCAAGCTAGATGATGTGAGGAACCTTTTTTGGGTAGTAAAAGAATAAATTTGTGCATTTGTGCATTTTGTGTAGCAGAAAAATAAAAAGTTTTGTTCTAGAAAAGGTTTATACTGACGAAGAAACCTAGCTTTTATAGGCACTGCAGAGGGCAAATTGCCCAGAGAAAATATTTACGAAAAAGTCTCAGAGTCTTCGAAAATGCACTTTAAATGGACAGCAAAACAAAGCTGAATTTTGGAGATGGTGGCGTGGTAGTGGTGGCTGTGGTCGGGATGTTGGTGAAATTTTTGTTAGTGAATAGGGGTCATGAAATCGGAAAAAGCTCAAAAAACCTAAAAAATTTGCCAGACCAAAACAACACTTTTTACACCATGACCAACACTAAAACTTTTAGGAAATGCTAAAGGAAAGGAGTTTTTTATTGAGCACTCTGCATGATAATTTGAAGCTGAAATCATGGGGAGCATTACCACACCCAAACCACCGTGATCAAAGCCAAAGCTTCACAGGAGTAGTGTGCTGGAGGCAAACAGTCATTGCGTTCACCTATTTGAACCTGTTTTCAATCGAAAAATCCTTCAAAAAGCCTTTTTAAATTTACACTTTTGTTTTAAGTAACAGTTCAGCTGTTATTTAAAAAAAATAAAATCTCTCGTCAAAATAAAAACATAAAATAGTCTCGAAAAACTTGTTATTCGAAAACATGCGAAACTGTGTTTGTCTCATGGGCGGTTTACCTCGAATGCAGTGCAAGGCTTCTGGAAAAGGCTGCAAATTTCTGATCCCAGTGATTTACTCGTGTTCATCAGAATCTCGGCTTCAAAATACTATAAAAACGGAAAATTTTGTTGTTTTTTAGCAATTTGGTGTCACAGGACGACGAATTAGTGCACTAGAAAGGGTGTGTTTCCTTTTCTTCTGCACAATGTGCGCTTCAAATCAAACTCTGATTCTGAAGTAAACTCACCGAAGCTGTCTCCCCACCGAGATCACTCCAATCACGTTTCAGGCCACTTAAGGTCCACTAAGAGAAATTGTTAAAAAAGTCTTATAAAATTAATCGTCGAGTTTTTCTTTCTATTTTCCCGAAGTACAAAAACTAGAAATAAACCTTTTTTTGAGATAAACCAGAAAACGTTTCAGGCCACTTAAGATCTCCGGAAAATTGTTTAAAAAGTCTTATAAAGTTAATCGCCTTTCCATTTTCCAAAAATGCAAAATAATCTTTCTTGTTGTGATAAACCAGAAATACCCATTGGATTGGATTTGAACGGCTCTTCGCTGAGAGATGATCGTGAGTCATATCATACAATATAAAATTATCGAGAAGAAATTCTCTTTCTATAAGCTCCTTAAAAACTTCCAATAGTCACTAATTTTACACGGAAAAATAAAAGCTTTAAATCTTTTCTTTTAAATCTTTAAGTCAAATCGCTGAATGCGTGTCGAACTGACGAAGTGGAAAAACAGATCGAGGATGATTGCGGGAAATTGGAAGAGAGCGCCAGTTGCGAGTAAGGATTTTCTCTTATAAAAGATACTTTATTCAACATGAATAAGTGGATACAACACAACGGAGGACACAATTTTTACCCCTACAATGTAGTTAAGAAAAAACCCAACTTAATGGGAAAAAGAACACACACTTGATTTCGCCAGCGGGATCGAACCCTGGATCTTCCGATTAGGAGAGAAGATTCCTAACCAGTCGGCCAACTGGTCCCTTCTTATGGCTAAAAAGAAATAGAAACACATGATTTGTTTTTAATTGATCAAATCACAAATGGAAGTTAAGCCATGATTGGGATTCTTGAAATTAAAAGTTACGCAATTCAGCAACTTCGGTAGCAGAAAGAGTTTTCTCGAAAAAATCAAAATTCGCCATACACTCTTGGTCGAATCTGAACTATTTTTTCAAAAACTTGAACATGTAAATAATAAAACTCTAGGAAATTCGGGGAAATCACAAGATGTACCATAAATCACCTCAAAACCCTTTGCCATATGGAGAACGCCGGCGAAGTGTTGCTCGGTGTCTACAAACTGATTACACAAGAAGTTCACGCTGACCCGGTCAGTTACGATAGCAAAAATAGGGGTAATTTTTCTTTATCACAGGAACGAAAGAAATGCCTTGAGGATTTCCATGAGTAAATATTGATGGTCAACATCTCTGCAAGTCATCAGGATAAACATTTTTCGAAAAGATTAATCTGAAAATAAAACTCTCTTATTCAATGCTCGTGTCATTTTTGATAAATTGGTATTCGATATTTCATCGAATTTTTGTCAACAGATCCACTCATGTAATAGAACAAGATAAAGTCAATAGAAAAGAGAGAAAATTAACTTTTTTTGGTTATCAGTTTCGATCACAACCTGTCAACGGCGTTAACGTTAACGGCGAATTTTATGAAAATAAGGTTTTTCTTTATCCGATCTCCTCTTTTATGATTTACAATAGTGAAGTGTCCATAGGGTTGTTAAATGCAAGCTAAATTTTAGTTTATTGGCAAGGCTTGCACAAAACAAACCATATTATTTTTGGAGAGCTGTGAATCCGGCTAAAAGAAACCTACGATAAAAAAGCGAAAAAATTGAGAGACAACGATGGTCTGTTATTTTCCATCGTTTTATTTTCTCATTTTGCATTTACAATGCTCATGGAAGCTGGATTCTCTTATCTTATCGGAAAAAAAAACAAAGAAAAAAATTAAGTTTCCTGGTTTCTGATCTCCATCGCTCTCGATTGCATCGTCACCCGAAGCACAGAGATCCCTCCAAAATACCCCCTTCCACCCATTTACAGAAAAGATGCGTGTTATGTGTTGGCATGTACGTTCAAGAAAAAGAAACGATTTCACAATTGAGAAAAAAAAATAGAAGATATCCGCTCTCTATCCATATCAGATCGACAAACCGAGATAAAATGAAAAATATGTAGAGAAGTTCTCTTAAACCAAAAAAATGATCTGGCAAATAATTTCCATCAAATCCCATTTCACTCTTTATTATTAATCATTTTCCCAAAAAGTGAACTTCGTAAAGAGCTTTTTTCTGTTGATACAGCAAAAGTCTTTATTTCAGTGAAGTCGAATGCAATTTCTCCGTTCGATCCCCCTCGTTTGCCTCGTGCTTTCGGTGATTTCGGCCATGAGGTTCGAAGTTTTTTGTGTTCGAAAATCTCTTTTCGAATCGAAGAAAAATCCACTTATACATGTTTATTATAGTTTTTTCCATTTAGATCTTCGAAACATATGGACCTATCTCGCTGATTTTAGGCTTAGGCGCCCGATCCGTGAGGCTGACTCTGAAGAAGTGCATTTTCCGTCAGCATGTTGAGTCTATCAAGTGAAATCATCACCAAGTAAATTGGAAAAAATCTTAAACGTAGATTCAGGTAGTTTCCCATCGCAAGCATTTTTTAGAAAACGATGGAGTTTGATAAAAAAAACGTGATTCTACTTAACGCCTAAAAACCCAGTGGAACTGGAACCATTTTTTGAGCGTTTGAAGGAGAAGCAGAGCATGAACGGCTTAAGAAATATGAATGGAAAGAAGAGAAGGATTACCCTGCACAAACAGTGTTTCGTGGTTATGGTAAAGAAAATATTCAAGCATATTTTGCTTTATGAAACTTTTCAGCTTTGTTAACTGAATACTCATTCCTGTTTACGGTAGAGAGACAGAAGACTTGATTTTATTGGGAGCTGTGGCCGGTGTAACAAGACCTGGATGGATGGGTTTAAAGGAAAATCACCGAAAATGGGAATCAATTTGAAAATAAAACTTGAAAAAGAGCTTAAAATCAAGCGCAAAGAAAATTCAGACCAATGACCAAGCGTTCATTTATTCATGGCGCTACTTGGACCAAAGCAAAGAACAATACACGCTTCGTTATGAATCAAAGTATCTCGAAGAGCTCGGAAAGGTTTTTTTATTTAAAAGCTTTAGTCAAATAATTAAGGCTATGGAATATCTTGCTACTGCTGCTGCAACCGCCGGAATTCAACAAGCATTGATGCAGACAGCTTTAGCGGGTAAGCTAAATTTAAAAGAATAATCATTTGACTGTTTGGCACAAAAGAATTGTCCAAGTTTGTTTCTCTAGAGGTTTTTGTAACAATGCTATTCTTTAAAAATAAACGACATTTTTGTCTATCTAATTTATTTAGGAAAATCTTCTTGGTAAGGACAACTTGACAAAGATCTTCGAAGCCGTGAGCGGTATTTCGATGTGGCCTTTAAATTATCCATTATCCAAGCAGTTGCCACAGTTGAAGGTTATTCCACGCTAAGATTTATTTACCATGTTTTTAGATGGTAGCGATTCCGTGGCTTGATGCGTTTCGATCAAGAATTGGCACAAAAAGGCCCTTTATTCTACAAACGGATATTTCGAGATGTTACGACAACATCAATCTAAAGAACTTGTTCGAACTCATTGAGAAGGCTGTGAAGGGGTTGGGTTTGATTATTCATCTTGAGAATCTGTTTTTAGAGCATTTTGACGGAACAAGACGCAGAGAATTTTGATGTTGGAATGCCAGCACAAATGCCGATTTTATTGTGCAGCTGCTTTCAGCCTGAAAGAGGTTTATATTTCGCATATCTTATTCTGGAAATTCTCTTACTTTATTCAGCTTGATTTTGGCAGGCTGCCTTGGAGTCAACTCGACCATTCATTCAATTTTAGGCGCAAGAGCGACTCTTTAACAAAATTAAAATGGGGGATCAGCCAACGTTTTCCAAGAGGAGCATTCAATCAATAGTTTTTAAGAAATTTTTTTTTTCGACTATTCAAGTTTAGGATTATGCGGCTACCTTATTTCGGCAATCAAAGATATGTTTGACATTCCAGTGAGCTTTTTCTTTGTTAGAAAAAATAAATTAGTTTAGATTTATTACGGAGGAAGATACTTCAAACAACTAATGGGCATTCCTCAAGGTTCTTCCATGTCAACGACTCTCTGCTATATTTATGTGACAGAAATGCGCGAGAGGGTATTTTTGAATTCAGCGAGCGCACCACCGAGCGCTTACTCGGAGATTACTCGACATGTTTTGCCGCATTCATTATATAGGTTTGTGTTACATTAAACTTTCGATTTGTGATTCCTTAATCTTTTGGAAATTCAAAGAATGGGTATAATTTTCCTATCTAGGCGTTTTTGTCTACGCACCGCGAAAAGGCACAATCGACTCTCGTCTCAACTCCGAAAACTCGCCATCAAGCGGATGACAAGAAGAAAGTAGAATATCATATTTTCAAAATTTAAAATATACCATTGAACTGTTAATTCTTATGCGTTTGTGCATTCAAATAGTTATCAAATTTTTCAAAATATTATTACTATGTATAATCTGTATAGTTTGTGTATACGTCTAATAAATATATTTATCAAAACAAGACTTCATATTTGAACTGAGACTTGGGATAAGCAATATGTTGTTGATTCTCCAAGTAAGCACATTTCTCAATTTCTTTGCAGGCAATCTAAATTTTGTCTTGAAGGGTTGATCTTGAATTTTATACTTACGTGTGAAATCCCAGTGATCTCGATGACTTTGTTTTGAAAACTTGCAAATGGGATCTCTTTTGGAGGGGCCTTGAGGAAATGATTTTGAAGATGTTGGAGACACGAGAAAGCTTACCTCCAAAATTTGACACAAAAACTTTATGTACTCGCTGATGAGGTGGATTATCTCAAGTTTATCCGGGTGGCCAGACACAAATGGAACCATTCTGGAATGTGGAATTAATCAGTTTAGATTTTGAACTTAAAATTTGAGTAACGTGTATTTGGTTTTGATTGGGAAATTTGGATACTATCCGAGACATAACCGGCATTTAGTAAACGGCTCAAAAATGGTATTCAAATTTTTCAAACTGCAAAATACCCAAGTGCTTGTTGTAGAGTGCTATTGAACTGATGAGAGCGTCGTTTTTAAAATAAAAATAAAACTAATCAATATCTAAAGGTTACTGCAATAAGTAACAATTTCAGACTAGGGTTTCGGGATTATGGCAACAAGCACAAATTTGCATCATCTAACTAGTGAAGGTTAGAAAGGACAACAGTGTTCGATAACAAGGACATAACTATGCATGCAAAATTTCAGATTACGGTACCGCATTCGTAACAGCAAGAGTTCAGTTCCAACTGCAAATTTGCGTCTTTTTTTCAAGACTAAATACGAGTCTTTCCTTCACGAACCTTTGTACATTTGTCCGGGTTGCAAAACCGATTTATGATTTGAGATTATCATGTTCTAGCTATCTAATTTGTTTTTTCCTTTTAAATTTTCTTATTGCTTTTGACATTCGGGTATAATTTTGAAAGTGTTGAGTACATTTTTGCCGTTTTCTAAAACGCGCTCGTTTAGCAGAGAAGGAGCCATTGATTTTATTTTATAAACATCAATCGATTCAGCATCATCAAAAACTCTCCAGTGTAAAATCTCAACATACCAAGACGAGTTTGCAGATTGCCCCCCCCAACTACCATTGCATCCATGGCCTTGGTAATCGTATATTTATTATTCACAAAAATAAAAGCTATACACAAAAATGAACCAAAAGCAATCATGGCAATGTTAAATCACAACGTAGAGCAAAATGGCAAAATCCTCTAAAAAAGGTTGATCTATCCTTGCTGAAATTCATTCTTTCTAGTCGGTTCTCGGCTTCTTCGCAGTTAAAAATGATTCAGCATAGATTTTTGGCACAACTTTGCAACAAATTCAACTGTTTCAGCAAGGATTCGTGCCGAATTTGCCATTGTAAGTATCAATAGTTAAGATAAAGTTAACGTGAATTATTAAGTTACGTAGTACGCCTGCTGTTGCTGAAAAGTTTTCTATCGAGGACAAGCCGCGTCCAATCGAATTAGATGACGGTTTGTATTATTTAACTCCTTTGAATTGTGATTATTTATGTTTTAGAGAAAATCGAGAGTATTGGTACTACGATGACCGGTTTCACCCTACCGGCGCCACCCAAATGGACAAACCCCTCGGTTAAAGAAACCGGTTTAACGAAAATTTTGGAAACAATAAGAGAAAGTTGATCTACCTTTTTTTAGATAATTTTGCCATTTTGATGTGATTTGACATATGAAGTGCCCATAGTTTATTGTTTTTTTCTTTTCTCTTTGCTCCTTTCTACGCCATTGTCGTAAGTTGGTGCCTTTCCCTTGGAGCTGAGCTCCATTAAAACCACCAACAGCATAGATATAACGATCAATTAGGGCAACACCACATCGGCAACGTCTTTGCGATAAAGGGCTCACTAAAGTCATTTTTAGAAAAAAAACTAATTGAAGACTAACAAGAAGACCATTGCATTGTAGTTGGATCATAGGCGTCAACATTATGAATTGCCTTTGGTGCCTGACCTCCGACGACTATCACAATCTACAAAGCATCATATTTCTGAATCATACACTAAACAAACCTTATTCGATTCAATTTGTTGTCGAGGTCGAACAAACCGCTCACGAATTGATGACGCAGATGGGGAAAGTCGCCCTCGACGTAGGTGTACTTTACTTGCCTCCAGAAGAATATCCTTAAAGAAATGTTAAAATAAAAAATCGTTATCAAGTTTATCTACCTTGCACTCTTGTTGATTTTTAATCACTGGCTCATTGAAAACCGTCTCCGTAAGAAAGTCTGCGGAGCAGAAGCCAAGTCTCACTTGAGACAACAACCTAAGAAATTCAGATTATACAATCGAACAAGACGTTTATATTTTCTAAAATCTTTACGCAAATCACTCACTTTGGTGTATATTGTTTGCGTTCTTCTGGTGCTGCTTGGATCCATCTGATGACCGTTCGATAAACCTCTTCTTCACCGCATTCACCACAAACTAGACGATCATCCGAGATTAAACTGCAGAGTCGTTCAAAATCCAGTGTTAAAAGCTCATCACAATCTACCAGATGACTGAAAATGAATGTTTTTGAAAGAAAATGAAAACATACGAAAAATTCTTGTAAATATAATTGCGAGCAGACGCTGCTAGTTGAGTACAATTATAAATGCAGGCAAAGTCGAGCAAAGATATGACATTTCCAAGCGTTATCGTATCAATCAAAAAGCTAAACGTTTGCTTTTTCGGTGAACCTTTAATTCATACTTTGCACAAGCATCTTTAACCGAATTTAGTTGCAACATCGAGGCTGTTGTTAAAAGGGCGTGGCTTAAATCTAAATAAAGTTTTGCTTTGACAATTTACGAATGTCCCACTTGAATTTATTGTGAGTTGACCTGTGTAAATAAAGTCGATTAATTGACGAAGAGCCTGAAACTAATAAAAAGTAATGAAATCCAAAGCTATCAACATGCACAGTGTAGATTGTGTACATTTAAAACTTGTGTTAATTTACGCTTATGTACTTATAATCCTATTTACGTAGTTGTTAAGGGAACCGGCGCGCTTTCTAAAGCGTGGATGCGCTACCGTACCCCGCACGAAATTACCACTTTCGCCATCCTGTTCATCTTTTTTCATTCTGTCGTGGAGTCGTGTGGTGTTTTATTTTATTTCGACTCGCCCACAAGTTTCCTTCCCCCATTTTTTAGCGCGTTTTGAAAGTACTTCCTTCCCCGTCCAATTTGACTAATACACGTTTGATATTTATAGTTCGTTTTAAGGCAATAGATTTAGTTTTAACAAATTCCGTTGTCTCAAGCTTCCTTAGTCTCTCGTGTTTTAACTTTCAATATTTCAATTGATAGTCTAACTTGATATTTCTGTGCGTCACCTTTTCTAAACCTCTCATTTATCTTTTAGATGCAAAAAGAAGCTGAAATCGAGCCGGAGGTCAAGCTGCAGGTCCAACTGCAAGATCACAAGGGTAACAGTGTTGGAAGCTTCAAAGAATGGACTTTTGGTGCTGAGGTTTGCTTTTAGTTTATTTAATCTTTAAACGGATTTATTTAGGCAAAAGTAGACAACTTGACGGAAATGATCAAGCTGGTTTTGACAGTCAAACAGAACTACCAAGAGGTTTACGACAGCGATGGCAATCAATTTCCTTTGGCAGCTTTGGCTTCAGGCACTCTTTTGAAGAACACTGAAATAGCAAAGACAAAGGATCACAAGATTTTTGTGGTAAGTTGAATCTTTTGTTTTACAGTATCTAGGCAAGGTTTTCGATTCAGTTTTACGGCTAGAAAAAAATCAAAATTTGAGAATCATGTCAAAGATCGTTTTAAAAGTACTGACTTATTAGCGAATGATTAAAATTTCATATTTAAGAAACATTCCATGTGTCAACGATGGGAGGAATATGTTCTGCTCATCGAAAGCCTTATGAAGCTCAGCGAGCGCGAAGAGAAAAGCAGTGAGAGCAAAGGGAGAGACAAGATTAAGAAGATGAAGGACGTTGCTCGTGAGGCCGCTGAGCACCTGGAAGCAATGGACGCCACCGATTTCTTTATGGCTTATGGTGGTCTCAAAATCGAACGTCAGAAGAATATCAAGAGATCCGGCTTTGTGCTTCTTTACCTGGAGGAAAATTGGTTCAGAAAAGCTGTTGTCGCTTACTTCAAGAAGAGCCCGGAAATGGAGGTGGAGGCCAAAAAGCCAGCAAAGGGAGGTGTGCAGGTAAATTCGTTTTCTTCAAACTATTCTAGTGTACTTAACTTTTAGCAAAGCTTGGTCGTTGACATCAATGGCCGGAAATCTGCTTATTACGCAAAGGTCCTGGGTACATTCAATAAGAACTATGGAACATGGCCTTTTGACAAGCCTCCTGTCGATTTGCGGGAGATTTTTGTGTATCGACTGCTCAGCTCGATTGGAGTCGGATCGAAAGAGGTGCACGTTATACCTGATGTGCCCAACTCTGGATACGTATATTTGGCGACGAAGATGAGTAGGGCTCATTTTTTAGAAGCGTAATATCTGCTAATTTAGTTGAGAATTTCTTCACGGCGGACGGGCATACGGAGGATTATTTGCGAACTGGTAAAACGAAATTTCTAAATAAAATTAATTAAATATATCTAGGTTCGACAAAGAATGATAAGTCGGTAAAAGGGTCGAAGAAGAAAGCTGAAGATCAGCTAGATATGCTTGGCTGGTTGTTACGCTTACACGATCTGGGTGTCGAAAATAAGGCAAACTATGGTTTTATCGCACGACTTATGAGTGATAGCTCGACCTCGTTCGAATTGAGGATTGTCGACTTTCGGGTAATTCTTTTTAATTACAATTAATAACAAACAAGCGATATTTTGATTCTAGGTGCTTGCCAAGAATGCCAATCAATCTCCTTACTTCCCGAAGGCCAAAGATAGCAAGATGAAATCTGAATGGAAGAAATTTGCCGAAGTCTGGAAGCTGACAGACAAAATTGACGAAGCTTGGAAAAAAATGGAGGAAGACCTTGCTATCAGAAAGAGATTCGAAGAGGACAAGAATGCCTACGAGGGCAAGAATCAACAGGACCAAAACCTCTTCGACTACCGCGACGGGGTCAAAGACAATTTGCAAAAGCTCGTCAAGGAGGAACAAAGCGGCAGCGGCGGTTGGTTCCTTGAATTTCTTTAAAAATCTATGTTGAATCATTTTTAGCTGCGAAGAAGCCGAGAACCGACTAGAAAGAATGAATTTGTGCCTTTTCTCCGGGTTAACGTTTTTCTGTATGATTTGTTATTCACCACGACTTCACCTCATTCATTATTATTTAATTTATGTCAGAATAAATATCTTTGTCTTTCTGCCTTTGTAATATATTATCCCGAGGTATCCGAAGCGGGTATTGTTTCTTGAATGAGTGGGACATCCAAAATCAAGGCGATCCGGAACGAATCGTTCTCTGCTTGAGGGCACAAAGTATTGTTTCCAGCGATCACTTGGAGGGTAAAAAGCTTTCATATTCAATTAAACATGAAACAGTTAGGATTTGGTGAGTGCAAGTACGCTGGATATGGTCAACTGATCAAGACAATCGATTTCGGGGCTAAAGATGCCCAACTCTTCCAAAAGGTTTGTTCGATATTAGGTCTAAGGCAAGTACTATGTGAATCGAACTTCAGATATTCTTTGCGGAGTGGTGTGCACCAATGATCAACTTGAGCTTCAAAGCCGGCGATATGGCAACACAAGTAAATATTTGAAAACGGTCAAAAAGTCCTGGATAGCTTATAAATGCCTGCTTCAGGTGTGCGAGTAAATTTGTGATTGTTTGGGAACGGCTGCTCGTTTTGAAGGGTGCCGGATTGCGACCAGTTGGCAAAGAAACTTCGATAATTTATAAGCTTCTTTGGGTTTTAAAAACGCTAAACAGCAACAAGTAAAATCCATATCTCGTTTGGGACAATAGGACTCGTGTTGAACTTTTGGAGTTTGTTGAAAAACAAAAGAAGTCAACGGGAAATATGGTGCGTTTGATCATTTATTGCAAATTAATTACCCATCTAATTTTAGAGCGAACTCTTTGGTGCCGAGTTCACGCCATCGGTTTGCGCAAACGACTTCATTTGGATCTAATCTTGAACGGTGAAAAATGTTACTGGTCGTTTGATGGTTGGATTGCGTTGGTGGAATTTCGTCGACAACGAAGGAAAGAATCATTGGAAATACGAAAGCAGCAAGGTCCATCGCTTCTAATAAATCAGCTATAACCTAAAGTTTTAGGACCCTTCAAAGTTTCCAGCACTCGATAGAAACTTCTTCTGACTGGCTCTAGTGGCAGCTCCGTTAGCATGGTCATTCTTTGTCGCCCTTGCGTTCATTTTCATACACTGGTAATAATTATTATACTTTTGAGGATTTTTGAACTGCATCCTATTTTAAAGTTAGGCGCTAAATTATTCGTTTTTCGTTATAGAGTTTTTTCCAATTTAGGCAGTGGTGTGTGGTGGCATTGCTTGGATTCGTAATGTCTTCTGCAAATTTGTATGGATATTTGCGAGGCCGTTGGGCTGATACAAATCAATTTACCAACGCTGTTAGCAAATGGGCTTTTTTGAATGTGAGTATAAAGTTTTAAAAAAAATAATCCTTAATTTAGCTGCTACGCCGTCAAACCGCTGCTCCTCAAACTCAATCCACTCAGTTGAATGTATAGCTACAGTTTGTAACTCATAACCTGTTCCACTCATTTTTGTATATTCACTTCTGTAGATCCTTTCGCCATAATGTTTCTGATCAATTTCTACTGGTTTCTGTGGTTGTTTCTGTGATAAACCGTATTTTTCTTGGCTTTATTTTATCCGAATTTTTATCGACGTAAACAAGCATTTGCTGAAATAAATATTGAAAGAGGTGCCTGGAGAAAGTGCACTATTGTTTAATCCATAACAAATTACTTTATACAAAACAAACAAACTTTTATAGGACCGAACCGCGCCTTAATGTTAATTAATACTTGCCTAGTACTTTGGAAGCTCGATGTTAGTTGAAAAGCCGATACAAGAGTCCACAAATAGCAGCCTCACCCCGTCTGGTTCACAAAATAATCTCGGTTTTACGCGTGCATCCTCTTCAGGTAACTTGACGACAAACTTGCTGCTGATACTTGCACTGAAATGATTGATGATTTTTGTTTTTAGATTCATCTCTTAACTCGCCTTCTAAAGAAATCGTCGGTATCAACTCGCTGATTGATCCTTCGACAAGGTTTAGAGTGTTACAAGTGTGCCAATTGAAAACCTATGTAGGTATGCGTTTTGCCAGCTGACCGCAACTGTATTGAAACTCGATTTTTTGGATCAAGATGATTCGACTTCAATGTAAAAGAAATTTCAGCAGCAACTTCATAATATATTTAGTTTGTTTTGCAAACATGTGTTACAAGCTGTTTTGGAATATCTGGCAATTCCTGTGAAGTCGCGAAAAATTTTCATAGCTTATTTGGAGGTTTTTTCTTTAAAAATCTGGGTTTGATTTTTAATTTAGGAAAATGTCGACCTTCCAGATGTGGCCACGCTGATAATGACGATTAAAGAGGATGTGGTAGTCGTTGAAAGAGGAACAACTTTGTTTTTGTCATACCTTCTTTATCAATTTGTTGCCACAAGTTTTAAAATTACTGAAACCTCTGTTTATTTTCACTTTAGGTCATTACGACAGCCGTACCCGCGTTTTGTTGCGACACCTATCCACCTTATTGGCCGTTGTATGGGAAGAATTTGAAGAAGTGAGAGTGGTTTATTTGAGCTTTATTGTTTTTGGTTTCGCTCATGCTTGATGAATTTGTGGAAAGTGAGTAAGTATTTATAATTTACTCAGAACTTTAAGTATTTATATTAGGTTGATTCGTTCCTTTTCGTCTGCCGTTTCAAGCCAACAAATGCACCAATTAAACTACGGTTGATTTCATTAGAAAAACCAATTATTTTTCTGCAAAATAACATTAAAACGGGTTTAAAAATATTTTATGCCTGGATTTTCTTGAGAGTATGAAGTCGGGTAGTCAAAAAGGGCTAACTCGATGATGCGGTTAAGACACCTTAGCTAAAGAAACCCTATCTTCGTGTCAATAGATAAAAGATAGAGAAAAAAAAAGTTTGATATTTCGCCAAAATTTCAGAGAAATTCATTCAGCCAATTTTTCCGTAGAGTTTTTTATAGATTTTTACGAAAAAGGCGTTTTTCACTCTCGAATTTGCTTGAAAGTGAACCGAAATTGATTTAAAAAGATGGAAATTGAACAAAAAAACACTTTTTTTATAGAGCAAACTATAGATTAATTGGTGAATTTGTTACTTTTTAACAGAAGTACGAAAAAAATGAAAAAGATTTTGGCATCAACCTAATAGTTTATCCAGAATTATCTAATCTATATTTACAATTTATAGCAATGATGAGTTGGTCAAAGATGGGTAAGTTATTGTAGTGTGGTCCCCAATAAATATCCTTAAATTCATATTAGTATATAGTTGTGGGTTCAGTGAACTTATTTATATTGTCTAATATACAAATCTTTTATTTTAGACAGTCGATTAAGGCACGAGAAAAGATAGCAAAAAGCAAGAAACTCAAAAGGTATCTAATGATTGGAGCTGCTGGCGGAGTCGGTGGAGTGCTGATAGGTGTGTTGAAATTGATATTTGAATGCTAGAATTGATTTATTTGATGTTAGGAAGTCTTTAACATGTTTTAGGTCTAACTGGTGGTCTAGCTGCTCCTCTTGTTGCCATCGGCGCGGGAGCAGTTCTTGGTATTTATATTAAAACTAGCATGTGAACATAGAGCTGTTCAGGAGGAGCAGCAACAGCCGCAATTGGAACGACCGTTGGGGCGGCAATTTCGGGAACGACTTTTGGAGTCGCAGGCGCTGGTCTAGCAGGATATAAAGTGACAAAATTGATTTAACTAAAACCATTTAAATTAGATGAAGAAACGAGTTGGAGCTATTGAAGAGTTTTCCATTGAACCACTTACAAACGGTCACGCGGTGAACTGTGTCTTGGCAGTAAGCGGATGGATCAACGAGTCTTCGGTATTTTTAAATTTGAGAAAGCGCAAAGAAAATTCAGACCAATGACCAAGCGTTCATTTATTCATGGCGCCACTTGGACCAAAGCAAAGAACAATACACGCTTCGTTATGAATCAAAGTATCTCGAAGAGCTAGGAAAGGTTTTTTTAATTAAAAGCTTTAGTCAAATAATTAAGGCTATGGAATATCTTGCTACTGCTGCTGCAACCGCCGGAATTCAACAAGCATTGATGCAGACAGCTTTAGCGGGTAAGCTAAATATAACCAGTTGCGCCGGGCGTCCGCTACGCGGCCGCACAGGGAAATGGTCTTAACTAATTTCGTGATTTTTCTCTGACAGAAGAACATTTCACAATTGCATAATTCATAGTAAAGACAGGTTTTTTTATTGAATAACAAAAAAGCAAAATATCCCGCGGTCTGGATCCGAACCCAGGACCCTCGGGTCGGGAGATGTTTCTCTAGAGGTTTTTGTAACAATGCAAGTGCTATTCTTTAAAAATAAACGACATTTTTGTCTATCTAATTTATTTAGGAAAATCTTCTTGGTAAGGACAACTTGACAAAGATCTTCGAAGCCGTGAGCGGTATTTCGATGTGGCCTTTAAATTATCCATTATCCAAGCAGTTGCCACAGTTGAAGGTTATTCCACGCTAAGATTTATTTACCATGTTTTTAGATGGTAGCGATTCCGTGGCTTGATGCGTTTCGATCAAGAATTGGCACAAAAAGGCCCTTTATTCTACAAACGGATATTTCGAGATGTTACGACAACATCAATCTAAAGAACTTGTTCGAACTCATTGAGAAGGCTGTGAAGGGGTTGGGTTTGATTATTCATCTTGAGAATCTGTTTTTAGAGCATTTTGACGGAACAAGACGCAGAGAATTTTGATGTTGGAATGCCAGCACAAATGCCGATTTTATTGTGCAGCTGCTTTCAGCCTGAAAGAGGTTTATATTTCGCATATCTTATTCTGGAAATTCTCTTACTTTATTCAGCTTGATTTTGGCAGGCTGCCTTGGAGTCAACTCGACCATTCATTCAATTTTAGGCGCAAGAGCGACTCTTTAACAAAATTAAAATGGGGGATCAGCCAACGTTTTCCAAGAGGAGCATTCAATCAATAGTTTTTAAGAAATTTTTTTTTCGACTATTCAAGTTTAGGATTATGCGGCTACCTTATTTCGGCAATCAAAGATATGTTTGACATTCCAGTGAGCTTTTTCTTTGTTAGAAAAAATAAATTAGTTTAGATTTATTACGGAGGAAGATACTTCAAACAACTAATGGGCATTCCTCAAGGTTCTTCCATGTCAACGACTCTCTGCTATATTTATGTGACAGAAATGCGCGAGAGGGTATTTTTGAATTCAGCGAGCGCACCACCGAGCGCTTACTCGGAGATTACTCGACATGTTTTGCCGCATTCATTATATAGGTTTGTGTTACATTAAACTTTCGATTTGTGATTCCTTAATCTTTTGGAAATTCAAAGAATGGGTATAATTTTCCTATCTAGGCGTTTTTGTCTACGCACCGCGAAAAGGCACAATCGACTCTCGTCTCAACTCCGAAAACTCGCCATCAAGCGGATGACAAGAAGAAAGTAGAATATCATATTTTCAAAATTTAAAATATACCATTGAACTGTTAATTCTTATGCGTTTGTGCATTCAAATAGTTATCAAATTTTTCAAAATATTATTACTATGTATAATCTGTATAGTTTGTGTATACGTCTAATAAATATATTTATCAAAACAAGACTTCATATTTGAACTGAGACTTGGGATAAGCAATATGTTGTTGATTCTCCAAGTAAGCACATTTCTCAATTTCTTTGCAGGCAATCTAAATTTTGTCTTGAAGGGTTGATCTTGAATTTTATACTTACGTGTGAAATCCCAGTGATCTCGATGACTTTGTTTTGAAAACTTGCAAATGGGATCTCTTTTGGAGGGGCCTTGAGGAAATGATTTTGAAGATGTTGGAGACACGAGAAAGCTTACCTCCAAAATTTGACACAAAAACTTTATGTACTCGCTGATGAGGTGGATTATCTCAAGTTTATCCGGGTGGCCAGACACAAATGGAACCATTCTGGAATGTGGAATTAATCAGTTTAGATTTTGAACTTAAAATTTGAGTAACGTGTATTTGGTTTTGATTGGGAAATTTGGATACTATCCGAGACATAACCGGCATTTAGTAAACGGCTCAAAAATGGTATTCAAATTTTTCAAACTGCAAAATACCCAAGTGCTTGTTGTAGAGTGAAATCTTCACAACGATTCAAAAACTGGTTTTCAAGAAATGCGAAATTTACAAATTTTCACAAAACTTGCATTTTAAGCGAAACTACTAAGGGTATCTTTATCTACTAAGTGTATCTTTAAAAGTTTACATTTAGCATTGTAATTAATAATATAATGAATATTCAGGCCGAAAGAAGACAGCCCTTATCTCGACATTTCTCTATATTCCCGGTGGGATCATCTCCTTCATCGCAAAGTTCATCCCGCCGGGTTTTGAGCTGCTTTACGTTGGGAGATTCATTTGGTGAGTGAATATTTTCAACATATAAAATAGCTTATAAATTGTGCTTTTAAAATATAAATGTTTTAGGTCATTCGCCAATGGATTGAACAATTATTTCACGTGCCAATGCTCATGAACATCTCCTGCATCGAGGCCATTCGGCCGCGAATTTTCGGCGATGCGCACTCGACGATCCACACCGTTGCCACAACGCTGTTCAATGTAAATAAATCTTAGCGTGGAATAACCTTCAACTGTGGCAACTGCTTGGATAATGGATAATTTAAAGGCCACATCGAAATACCGCTCACGGCTTCGAAGATCTTTGTCAAGTTGTCCTTACCAAGAAAATTTTCCTAAATAAATTAGATAGACAAAAATGTCGTTTATTTTTAAAGAATAGCATTGTTACAAAAACCTCTAGAGAAACAAACTTGGACAATTCTTTTGTGCCAAACAGTCAAATGATTATTCTTTTAAATTTAGCTTACCCGCTAAAGCTGTCTGCATCAATGCTTGTTGAATTCCGGCGGTTGCAGCAGCAGTAGCAAGATATTCCATAGCCTTAATTATTTGACTAAAGCTTTTAATTAAAAAAACCTTTCCGAGCTCTTCGAGATACTTTGATTCATAACGAAGCGTGTATTGTTCTTTGCTTTGGTCCAAGTAGCGCCATGAATAAATGAACGCTTGGTCATTGGTCTGAATTTTCTTTGCGCTTGATTTTAAGCTCTTTTTCAAGTTTTATTTTCAAATTGATTCCCATTTTCGGTGATTTTCCTTTAAACCCATCCATCCAGGTCTTGTTACACCGGCCACAGCTCCCAATAAAATCAAGTCTTCTGTCTCTCTACCGTAAACAGGAATGAGTATTCAGTTAACAAAGCTGAAAAGTTTCATAAAGCAAAATATGCTTGAATATTTTCTTTACCATAACCACGAAACACTGTTTGTGCAGGGTAATCCTTCTCTTCTTTCCATTCATATTTCTTAAGCCGTTCATGCTCTGCTTCTCCTTCAAACGCTCAAAAAATGGTTCCAGTTCCACTGGGTTTTTAGGCGTTAAGTAGAATCACGTTTTTTTTATCAAACTCCATCGTTTTCTAAAAAATGCTTGCGATGGGAAACTACCTGAATCTACGTTTAAGATTTTTTCCAATTTACTTGGTGATGATTTCACTTGATAGACTCAACATTTAAGTAGAACGGACAGAAAAGGAAAAGTTATGGTAGTTTTTTTTAATTGATCACTTTTTAGAAAGCACATTACTCACGAGGAACCCAGTCTAGTGATGAGAGAATTTCCCTTGAAATATAGGTAAAGAGAAGGGATGACCTCTCGCATTTCCCCTTACATGTTTCACCCTATTCTCCCAGATTTTCACTGTTGTGTGAAATGTGTGAAAAGAAATCACTTTCAGTGTAGAATCCCCTTCACAAATCCTCTCTCAAAACTTTCTCGCCCATTTTACGACTTTTTTTGTGTGCATCTTTTCTTCCATTTCCCCACTTTTGAGGTGATTGGCCTCAATTCATTTTGAATCTCAATATCAATTTTACGTGCGAATTGCTAGTTTTTAACACTTCTGAATTTCCTAGTCGAATGGTTTCGATTGACTTTTTTTCTACAAAGACCATTTTCCAGTTATCAGTTAAATTTCTTGCCCAATAGTTATTGGATTACGGTAGAAAATATGACTAGAAATGCGAGAATTTGTGATTTCTATTTGGCATTAACACGGGAATGGTCCGGAGCGACAGGACCCGTTTGGGATGAGTGATACAGTCGACTCTCTATATAATGGACTGCTCGGGACCGAAAATTTATTCCATTATGTAGAGACTCGACTGTACCTCATTCGATAGATCTTTTGATAAATATTGATAACCAAAAAAAATTAGCTACTGTATTTACTCTAATAAAAGCCCCTCCCCCTTGTACAGCCGCGTAGTCGAGAAATTTTTTTACAAAATCATTTTTTGTAAAATTTAAGTATTTAAGTATTTAAGCAGAAATTTGTCTTTTTCGCTAAATTATCAAAAAAATAAAAACGGTTTGAGGGTTCAAACCGTTGAACTACTTACCTACAAAAGTTGATCACTTCTCTTTTAAAATTGTAGCTATGAATTCGTTTTCTAATGGTTTTTCAAAATGTTTTAAACACATTTGTTGTAAAAGTGTTGAAAATAAATAACGATAATGTTGAAAGCAGTCTATTTTTTTATTTTTTTGACTATTATCACCCGTCTTATGTGTTTTAAAATCTACAAAAGCTACATTGTTAAAATTTTCAAATAGTTGTTGTTTTTATAGTTGTACAGCATTTAAATCTAAGTTGGGATTTAATAAAACAAATAAATGTTCTGCATTAATAGTTTTAGTTTCCACAGTTATATTGTTATTCTCAAATTTTTCTTGTTGTTCTTTTAGCGTTAATAAAAAGTTACTACTTAATTGAGATAAATATAAGAATTGTCCTGTTGATTAGAAATATTTGTCTTTTTTATTTTTATTGTCCTGTTTAGAAATATTTGGTTCAACAGCAGAATATATTTTAGAATATAAAAATTTATATAATTGGCGCAGTTTCTATAATAAAATTTTTTTCATCAGGATACTCTTCTTCAAAATCTTTTTTAATCATTACAGATAAAGAACTATCATAAATATCAGTTATAAAAACAATTTGTTGTGTTTCATTTATATTAATAGTATTAATAACAATATTATCATTATTAAGTGTTGTTTTTTAATTTTTTAATGTTTTAAATCAAGGAAATAAATATTACAAAAGTTTCAACGTAATAAAAAAAGAGCTCAATCTCTAACAATACAAAACTGCAAAATTCGTTAAAATCAATATCTGAAAATATCATAGGGATACTTATTTATTATTGTTATGCATTATGTGTAACAATGTTTTTTTTAATAATAAAATTATTCATATAAGAACTGATTATGTTCGATTGGAACTATAAAACAAAACCACTATTCCACACTCCAAATGTTAAGCAAGCCAGGAAATATGAAATGTCTTTTAAGGAAAGTAAAGAATTTCTAAAAGAAAAAAAGAACAAAAATAACATCTACTTCTGGCAAAGGAAGAAAAAGATCGATCGAATATGAAAAGTCCTGGAAAAAACCACCAAATTAAAGAAGAATCAATGCAGATTTGATATAAAGCTGCACTTTCTGATCACTGGGATCAGAAATTTGCAGTCCTTTCAAGAAGGTCTCGGGGTTAACGCTAACCGCAAACCTGGGTAATTAAATCGAAGAACGCGGTCTCTGTCGCGGTATGTCGAAAATAAATCTGCCAGATGCTGCTTTTTCCTACGAGACACAGGAAAGGTACACACAGTCGTGTCGCCTCGCGTCTCTGCGAGGGCTGATGCTCTCTCGTGTTCGCTGGCGGCCGCCTACTTCAGCCGTCTCTCACAGCCACGCACTCGCTTACGACCATACCACGTTGAAAACACGGCATCTGCCAAGTTAAGCAACGTTGGGCTCGGTTAGTACTTGGATCGGAAACGGCTTGGGAATTTTTCAATTTTTGAAGCTTTTTGAATTTTTGTGCATCGGTTTAGAGACTTGGGAATCAATTTTTGCTCAAATTAACGCTTCAACTTTACAGAGTAGTCGAAAATTATAGCAACTCGGTATTCGCTGGAATACGTAGTTTGAAAAAAACCGTTTGTCTTCAAATCAAAAATCTAAGCTATAACAATTCTAAAATGATGTTCAACTGAGAGAAAAAACGCAAAAATAGTCCATTTCGAGTTGTCATTTTTTTGTTGATAGGTCGAGAAATTTTGTCTTTTGACCTAACCAATTCTCCTAAGATACCCCAGTTGCAATTATTCAAATTCCACCTTCTGGGCCAATTTTTTGTGTAGATTCGAAAAAACACGCTTTCAGCACGATTTGACGACGGTATGCCGATGAAAAGTTACTTTGAAAATTCCTAGGTTTCAATTTTGGTGTTCAGAAGGGCAAAAATCCTGAATAAAATAGAAAACATATAGAAAAAGTGATACCATCATGTAGAGCTCAACCTGAGCTTTCAGAATTGATATAACACTTATGGATTCTGTCGAGTATTTCTGTAGATATGGCGTATCAAAGCTGGCGAACCTTTTCGATCAACAGACATGGAGAGCGTGGTCATTGTTGTCTGGGGATGGCGCATCACGCGGTTTCCCAGAGCACCTGCGGTGGGCCAATAAAAAAAAAACACAGCACATCGGACGAAAAGAGGGAGGTACCAAAATTTGCTCCAGGAGCTAACTTGTTTAGTGGCTTAAGACTGAACTTTTCTGGAAAAGCTCAATCTAGCCATTTCCGTGAAGGTGGAACGTGATTCTCCTTGAAATTTGCATAGATCGGTATAAGATAGGTCTAAGAATCTCTTTTATTATCTTTATATATATATATATATATATTTATTTATTATCTACTTATATTATATTATTTATGCTAACGTCGGTGACGTGTGTTGAATGGGAGATCATCTTGTGCCAACCGGTGCACAACTCGCACGTATAAGGACTATTGACTAGGGTTCGGCCTGAAATTTGCGTAAAGGGTCAATTTATGAAAGAAAGCATGTTCTTGAAAGAAATACAAGCGAAAAGAGCTGGTCTATCGTCTAGCTGGTCCAGGATTTCGTTTTCTTTGATGAGAACTTTTTTGAATCGTCGAAATGCCAGAAATTTACTCAAACCTGTTTTTGGATACAAGAAAATTTTCTTTTACTCCAAATTCCGACTTTTTCATTTAATTATCTCACGTGACATCCAGAATTCACTTTTCTTTAAAAAAGAAATCGCTTTTTGATCGAGCGGCGATAAATTGCCGTCATTCTCAAACCGTGTTTTCAGCGCCCACTCATTTCTTTTCATTACAAGCCCAAACCGTGTCACCACCTAGGATGCACTCCAGATCTCATCTTTCATAAAAAAAAAAAAATTTCGAATTTGATTGTCCCCGCTCGAAGAATCGCCTCCAACACGGTTCTTGCGGGTGGTCGGTTCTGTGAATCGCCTCTTTTTCCGCTCCCATTTCTTCAAAAACTCTTTTTGTTCACCATTTTTGGCGGGCACAAGTGGTCGGATCTTTATTATTTGAAAACTATTTGAAAATTTACATTTAATCAATTTACATTAATCAATTTAAAGCAATTTAAAGCTTTTCGTTTATTTGAGAGTAAACTTAGACTACACGACGTTCCTATAGAGTGGTCTTCTAATAGAGTTTTTACGGTTTTTTTTGCATTAAATCTGTTTTATTTTAATCAGATATTGAAATTTTTACTTGAATGACTCACTTTTCTATGCTATTATCTTTCCAAATTATTTCTTAAACATTTTCCATTTTGAAACATTTCTCCTTTATTATCGTTTCATTTCTCAAAAAGAAACGGGTTTCTTTCTTTTCTTTTCTCTTTTCTCTTTTCTAATTGACTGTCTGTCATTTATTTGAGATGCCATTAGCTTCTCGATGAAAAGCTTGATCCATTTGGAAAGCTTTCTGGAATTTTCGCTTCTTTATTCAACACTTATGAAGCTTTTCTTTTAAGCTTTTAAAGATGGTGTGAAGCTTTGTTTCCTCTAATTTTCCTCTAATTCTATTTTATTCTAATTCGTTTGATTTTTTTTTGATTTTTCGGGAGATTTCGCGATCATCGAGAAAAGAAAAAAAGGATTAAAAAAGGATAATTTATTCAACACGAATAAGTGGATACAACACAACGGAGGGACACAATTTTTACCCCTACAATGTAGTTAAGAAAAAGCCCAATTTAATGGGAAAAAGAACACACACTTGATTTCGCCAACTGAGTCGAACCCTCGACCTTCCGATTAGGAGACTCCTAACCAGTCAGCCAACTGGACAAAAAGAACACTTTATAGAATAGAATTTTCTAGAACATTTGTAGACATTTTATCTAATGGCATTTGTGAATTTTAGCTTCTTTTAGACAAGACTTTCAGCTAAATACATCGATTTTTAGTTGGTGAGGACTCGGATTTGTTAGGGAATACGGTGGAAGCATTCGAGCATCAAACGCCCGATCAATCGATTAATGAAGATGGAGGTGCGTTTGATTGAGGAAAAGGGAAAAACGAATATTTTGGAGAATAAATTAGCAACACTAGTTGTGAAATTACTAATACTTACTTTGAAAAATCTCTTTTCGAAAGTCTTTTTGTTGTTGTAAAAACAAGGGAATGATCGCAGCTCAAAGTTGGGAATCGATTCGAGTCAGGGTGCATCTTATAGAATCGGACTTGCTGATTCCGAAACAGCAAAAATTAGCCGCTAACTTGCACGCAAACGCAAGGAATTTGGCATAGAAAATTCCCTCAAATTTCGGGCTCTTTACGGGGCCGCCACAAGAAAACATTTCAACGGCTTCGTTACGAAACCTGTAAAGTTTCTCGGTTTGGGTTCGAGTCCTCCCCTCGTCAATTCTTTTTCTAATGTCACTGCATTAAAATCTTATGTTTTATGCGAGTTAGCTGCTAATTTTGTGCAGATTCGGAATCAGCAAGTCCGATTCTATAAAACTGACTGACTGCACCCTGCCTCAAGTCGATTCTCAACTTTGAGTTCCCTTGTAAGTCATATTGTAGTTATTTTCAATTCTGTTCCAGTTTTATAAACTTCTAAAAGCTGCCTAAGAGGCTTTAAATTAGAGCTTTAAAACATTTATAGCAGTGTTTGAAGCCTTGAACGGCCTTAAAAGCCTAAAAGTGACCGTAACTTTGGCTTTTTTTAACCATAACTACTAGTTTTTAGTCATTTCTCACCATTAGTTGAATGAAAATTTGCGCAAGAATGCTATAATTGACTATAATTATATAAATGATTTTTTTCCTATCCTTTAGTCAAATCTAATCAAATTTGCTATTTTTTCAGACCCAAACCTGTTTCTCAGTCGAGGAATCGAACGTTCGTGTAGCCTCGGATCCGTGGACAATCGAGAGGGAAATCAGTGGACAAATGATGAAGGTTTAGATTAAAGAATAAAATATTAATAATATATAAAAATGAAATTAGCAAAAGATCGCAATGATCGCAAAAATCGCAATGATATCAAGATCGTCAAGTGATTGATGCAATCCGTTAACGTTACAGGGTGCGGCAAAATTACCTTTTCAGCAGATTGCATCCCAAACCCCGCAATCAATTCAAAAACCCTAAGTGTTATATAGAGATTTGAAGCCTGAATTCTTGCCTACATTTCTGTACCAAAAGATTTTTGACTCGAGTTTTGCAGCCTATTTTTCAGGCTCTCAAAGAAGCTCAATCCAAACAGTCTCCGGTCCGCTTCCATTTTTAGTTGTTTTCTAACTAAAAAATTTGAATTGATTGCGGTGTTTGGCATAAAATCTGCTCAAAAGGTGTATCCGTAATTTGCCACATCTTGTAGATCATGAATACGTTGAAACTAGTTTTTTTCTAATGTTTTGGGCTTACAAGAGTTCTCAGGGTCTAAAGATTTTAGTGTTCTTGATTAGTTAATGAATTTGAAAGGATTTGCTTTGGATTTGCTTTTATTCGATTCTATTAGGTTGATGCAAAAGTCTTTTTCATTTTTTTCGTCTGCCGTTTCAAGCCAACAAATGCACCAATTAAACTACGGTTGATTTCATTAGAAAAACCAATTATTTTTCTGCAAAATAACATTAAAACGGGTTTAAAAATATTTTATGCCTGGATTTTCTTGAGAGTATGAAGTCGGGTAGTCAAAAAGGGCTAACTCGATGATGCGGTTTAGACACCTTAGCTAAAGAAAACCTATCTTCGTGTCAATAGATAAAAGATAGAGAAAAAAAAGTTTGATATTTCGCCAAAATTTCAGAGAAATTCATTCAGCCAATTTCTTCGTAGAGTTTTTTATAGATTTTTACGAAAAAGGCGTTTTTCACTCTCGAATTTGCTTGAAAGTGAACCGAAATTGATTTAAAAAGATGGAAATTGAACAAAAAAACACTTTTTTTATAGAGCAAACTATAGATTAATTGGTGAATTTGTTACTTTTTAACAGAAGTACGAAAAAATGAAAAAGACTTTTGCATCAACCTAATACTTACTAGGTTGGTGCAAATGAAATTTCGTTTTTTTACAAACATTAAAGTCATCCAAAATTTTTTTTGATAACAATTTATTTAAAACAATAAGCACCATTATTATCTATGACATCCCTCCAACGTTGCTTCAGATTGCGGATCCCCTTCTCAAAGAACGCTTGATTCTGTGATGCAAAGTAGTTGGTCACCCAATTTTCGACTTCTTTTGCATTCTTAAACTGGCAATTCTCAAGGGAATGTTGCATCGATCTGAAAAGGTGAAAATCGGAGGGTGCTAAGTCTGGACTATACGGCGCATGTGGTAAGACCTTCCATCCTAGCTTCTCTAGTTCCTTACAAGAGGTTTTTGCCGTGTGAGCTGGAGCATTATCACGGAGAAAGTTGATAGTTGAGGGATTTAGGCCTTTTTCACGCAAAATTTCGTCAACCTTCTTGAGTTGTTGAATAAAATAAGATGAATCGACTGTTTTTCCGGGCTCTAATAATTCAAAATGAACAAGTCCATTGATATTCCACCAGCAAGACAACATCACTTTGCGCCCATGATAATCCGGCTTTGGAGTTGGAATTGGCGCTTGACCTTTGCTCAGCCATTGTCTTTTTCGAGAAGTATTATCAAAGTGAATCCACTTCTCATCCATCGTCAAGATATTCTCAAAAAAATGGCTTCTTTTCGACTTATGGAGCAAGATATGGCTGATCGAAACGCGTGCTCCCAGATTCTCAACACTCAATTGATGTGGAGCCCATTGTCCATTACGATTTGTCTTTCCAATTATTTCCAAATGGCGTACAATTGTTGAATTGGAGATGTTTGGCAAGTTCTCGTGTTGTTTGCATTGGATCAGCTTCAATTAATTGTTCCAATACATTGTTGTCGATGGCTGTGGCACGATGTCCATGCGATTCGTCTTCAAGGGATTCATTACCATCTCGGAATTGGGCAAACCAGAGCTGGCATGATCTTTCGGTGATAACCTGTTCTCCAAAGGCGGAACAGAGATCACGATGTGAATCAGCAACGTTTTTGCCCATTTTGAAGTCATAGAGAAGACACGTGCGCAGAACATACTTTTGATCCACCATGATCTAAAGCAAAAATCAATTAAAAAGTGAAAGCTCTGACTTTGAAAAAATGCGAAAATAAAGTAAATATCCAAGAGTACAAATGCACAAAAGAACATCAAATAAGCTCTTCAGATTAAAAAAATAAGAACATTTTATATCGACCGAAATTTCTTTTGCACCAACCTAATATAAGTCGTCTAAGGCTTGTATAAGTTTAAACGTATGATTTATTCTTGGGTAGATTGTTAAGGTTTAGATTGTTTAGAAAAAAGTTAAAGCAAAGCCAATTCAAGCCAAATGGCCTTCAATTACCCTCGAATTTCAACCTTTTATCATTGGATTCGGCCTGAAATCTTGACCTTGGCTTGGGATTTACGGAAAGTTTATAGTTTGAGTGCTTTTTAGCTCAAAAGACCCATCACTCTACCATATGCTCGCGTGTTACCGGTAAACGAAAAAAGTGCAGTGTCGTGTGTGATATTTTACAAATTATTCTAGTTTTCTTGAAACTCACAATTAATTGAAACTTTTCTTGAAACTGACCAACATTCACTGCAAAAATGTTTAATAATGCTTGAAAATCAAAAAAACCCTTTGCTTTTGATGATTTTTTAAAAAACATAAAAAAACCGATTAATTTCTTCAAAAAGCGCTGAATCTTATCTAATTTGAAACTTCCATTTCATCGACAACTTCAAAGTTACCAGAAGTGCTTTAATGATCAAAGCAGAAAGAAATCAGAAGTGGCTAAGTCGCGTGGGGCAAAAATTTCCAACCGAACTCGTCGAGTTTTTGGTGAATGACTTTTGCGGTGTGGGCTTTAGCGTTATCTTGCACTAAAAAAAAAGAAAAAACAAAGCCTAGAGAAAAGTTACGGTAGTTTTTCAAGTTATCCGTCTTTTAGAAAACACTGTGAGGAACACACTCAAGTTATTTGCATTACCTGTATATATATAGCTACAGTACCTGATTTTAAAACCCCAAGAGGCTTGCTACAAAATATTTTTAATCTTTTTGTTAATTGTGCAAACTTTCTCACTAAAGATTACCATGATCATTATTTTTAAAGATCAGCTTTTTAATACCAAACATCCAATTCATTCAAAAGTTGCAAATCGTGACGCCCTTTTTATTTCTTTTCAAAATTGTACTTCCAGAAATCTCTCTGATCTGTCTGCTAATAGTCATGGGAAGATATTTCTTATACATTGTGAAAACTCACCGCAAAAAGCACCTCCTCGAGATAGGGTTTCCAATAACTGACGAAACGATTGAATACCAGGAAAAAGCACAACATACAACATGTGTTGAAGAAGACTAAATTCTGGTTGGTAGCACGTTCTTCTTCAGAATTTGTGATTTATAAACTGCTTCAACTATGATGGGGAAGAAGTAACGGTATCAGAAAAGGGTTACGAACTAATTTGTCCGTCTCGATTAGCATTCTAAAAAAAAACCGTTACGGCGGCTGAAAGGTGAAATGGTTACGGTAATTGAAAGAGAAAGATTACAATAGCTTTAAGATGAAATGGTTATGGTAGCTTGGAGATAAAAGGGTTAGGGTAGTCCTTCCTTGAGCATAGTCCTTTTAGAAAGTACTTCAAAATGTTTGTAAGATCACCCACAGTTCATCCAGCATCCACAAATGTAGGTGATCGTCGGCAACATGCAATACTCGAAACCGATGTAGTAGAAATAGCCGGTCAATTCAGAGCTCACCGTCACACAAATCACATCAAGAATGCCTAGGGTTGAGTGTTAAAAATGTTTCTTCAAATTAGAATTGACAAAGTGTCAATTATAGCATTCTTGCAACAAACCAAGAGTCAACATCAACTTGTAACAGGACATTGAACGGAACTCTTTCCTTGCGATCACCGAGAGCGATAAAAGGTAGCAAATCTAAAAATTGCGGGATTCTTCTGAAAGTTTTTTAAGGTAATAAGATTCTTCTAAATTAAAATTTCAAGAAGAATTCAAAGTGATAAATCAATTTTTGGCAGTAATATTTAGTATTGCAGTGCCTGGACGGTAATTCCATAACAAATGTACAGTGCTCCAAGAAGTCTTTGCTTTTCGTGCCTCGCTGAGAGCTCCCAAAACGTGAGTTTCGTGTTGCTAAAATTTGTCTATTACAGTGCTCTAAGACTTAAAAAAATCCCACTTGCAGCTGTATAATGGATTTTTGTTAAGATTGCCATAGACCAGGAAAGTCTCCATTCCAAAAATTTGCAGAAATGAAAATTTTGGAAAACTTACCGCCACCTGATCCCTGAGAAAATCCATGAAAATTTGTATTTTCTAGTAAGAGTTACGATTTTGAAGAAATTGGACTCGTGAACTTTTTGTTCCAAAAAAAACGGTAAACACGTAAATGTGAAATGATCGCCGTGCGTTCTTTGCGGGTTTGCATAATCGCGCGCTTTCTGGCACACGGAAAAAGGGCTGTTCAGTGCAGAAAGCACAGGCAAAATGACGTTTTGGCTTTCTTTTTTCAATTTTAAAATTTCTTTATGTACTATTTTTATCTTTTATTTACAAATCTACCAAGGCACATCATTTTACTGAAAATTTACCGAAATTTTAAACAAATCAGAACTCGCATACAAGTTTTATTAGGTTGATGCATAAGTCTTTTCGTTTTTTTCGTACTTCTGTTAAAAAGTAACAAATTCACCAATTAATCTATAGTTTGCTCTATAAAAAAAGTGTTTTTTTGTTCAATTTCCATCTTTTTAAATCAATTTCGGTTCACTTTCAAGCAAATTCGAGAGTGAAAAACGCCTTTTTCGTAAAAATCTATAAAAAACTCTACGGAAAAATTGGGTGAATGAATTTCTCTGAAATTTTGGCGAAATATCAAACTTTTTTTCTCTATCTTTTATCTATTGACACGAAGATAGGTTTTCTTTAGCTAAGGTGTCTAAACCGCATCATCGAGTTAGCCCTTTTTGACTACCCGACTTCATACTCTCAAGAAAATCCAGGCATTAAATATTTTTAAACCCGTTTTAATGTTATTTTGCAGAAAAATAATTGCTTTTTCTAATGAAATCAACCGTAGTTTAATTGGTGCATTTGTTGGCTTGAAACGGCAGACGAAAGGGAACTAAAAGACTTATGCATCAACCTAATAAAATGATGCAAATCAAATATTTATAGAGAATTCAATATTCCATCTTTACTCTTTGTTCTCACAGATTTTAAAGAACATTTGAGTAATTCAAGGTTTTGTTTACTTTTTTGCATGTTTGTTGTTTGGTCCATTGTTTTTTTTTGCAAAATCTATGGTTTTTAATAATTTTTCTTTTTAGATGCCCTTGCTGAGGCTCACCTCGGGAAGGGAACTGCATTTCATCGACGAAGAAACGGTCAGGCATTTTTGTTATTGAGTACTCTTTAGCAGTGAACTTTTCAAGCTTAAGGTAAACTTACAGTTTCTTTAAAGCTAAAGTTTAAAGCAAACTAATATTCGAGTTTTTGAAAAGCTCTTGCATATTGAGAAAACGTTTGACAAAGATAAATTTTTTCAATGTAACTTCAAATCATTAAACTGGCTTTTAAAATACCTTGTAGCATTAAAATTTAAATATACTTTCGAGTTTAGAAATCTTTATGTTACTTTTGTATTTTAGGTAAAAGCAAATCTTCAAGAAAGAGGCTTCGAGAATGACACGGCTTTCATTCAACTTGGACACTCCGATCTTGAGCCAAATCAATACGAGGGAGGACTCAAGGTGAGACTTTTTGATGAAATTGTTGAAACTTTTATAGGCAAAACATATCTATTGCTAGCGTTTATTAGTGTAAACTCTGTTATCTAAATTATTTTTGGTTTAAAAGCATTTGCAAATTGTCTTAAGTAGGCATCTCACTCTAGTTAAAAACTTGGAAACTCATTTTGAATCAGATTTTATTAGCTTAATTCTCTTCTTTTAGGTTTGGGAGTGCACGAAAATTCTTTGCGATTTTATCGAGGATAATGCAGAAAGGTTTCAAGGGAAATCCGTATTAGAAGTTGGTTTTTAAAATAGACTTACACACAAAACTTCAAGCAGCTTTTTGCTTTCGTTCTTAAAGAATTCAAATAAGAGCTTAGCTTTTCTGAAATCTCTATTCTAAATGTTTAGCTCGGATGTGGTTCAGCGTTGCCAGCGATTTTATCAAAAGAAATCGGTGCCGAAGAAGTTGCTGCTCAAGATTTTGTAAGTTTTTATTTTAGCTTAACATTGTTTTAAAATTTAAAACTTTATAAAGTCGAGCCAACTTTATATTTTAGAACAGTTCGGTGATCGATTGCTTCACATTGGACAACGTTTTGGCGAACGGACTCTCTAAAGGATCGCTAAAATTGATGGCTGCAAGTTGGGTCGACCTTCCTGGGCAATTGTCGAATAAAAGGTATTAGCTCCGTTATCAACTTCCCTATTTTTTTTTTAGTTTCGACATAGTGATCGCATCAGAAACGATTTACAACACAAGCAACTACGAGGCTTTCCATTTGGCGATTGATCATTCACTGAAGGAAGATGGTGTAGCGTGAGTTTTTTTTGCTAGTCTACGATGGTTGCTACAGATTGACCTTTAATTGGGTTCAAAAATATGGGTGCGACTGACTGTGGTGAATACTTTAATTAACAGTTACATATTATCTATTAAGTATGGGAAATATGTAACTGTAATAAAGCGTTTGAAATGTGTGTTAGTTTGAATTCTTATGGAAGTACGCAATTATAAGGCTTCTAAATATATATACTTAGACAAATCGGGGACATTGCTGTTACTGTACAATTTCTTTAGGTGGATCGTTGCAAAAGAGTTCTACTTTGGCCTCGGTGGATCGGCGTTCGTTTTTCTCGATTTCGTCAAATCAAAGGGCATCTTCAAGGGAGAAATCATCGATCCACCAAGACGGGGAAACGATTCAGAGCAAGGATATGCAAAAGTGATCATTCAATTGACGAGACGATAATATTTTTGCAGATATTTTTATTTAAGTTGTAAATATTTATCTGTACGTTGTGAATTTAGAAAAGTTGATGCAAGTTTTTGTTGGCTATCAATGAAAAGGAACATAGCAAATCATTTTTTTTTGTACAAGCATTGACAAATAAAAGAAATCATTGCCTAGAGAGAAATTTTCAAATTTTCGAAATGTTCGAGCAACTCGTATCACAATTTTAAAGCACTTCGGAAAAGCTCACGATCACAGATTTTGCGTCAAAAAAAATTAGAAATCCTATATGGAAATGTATAGGGAGCAATTTGGAATACGAAAAGTCACAAATTAACCAAACCGATCGACAAACATGCAACTTTCAGGTTTAAAAATCAAAACGAGAGAGGGTGATCATCAAAACGCCCGAACAAGTGATCAAATAGGCGATCCCCAAACGGCAAATGTTTGAACGACCCTAGAATTGTTTTTTGGAATATCTAACCCATCTATCTAAAAGTCAATTGCAAGCATTTTAAACTAAAGCAATTTTTTACACACCTGAATTTCTTTGAACAAACAAATCCCCCAAAGCGAGTTGATCAAACCGGGCATCGACGTGATGATCGGGAAAGCGATCACCTGGAAACGTTTGAAGTTCCGTTGAATAATTTTTTTTTTACAAACCTGTGATAAGTGATGATTGGCGACAAAGAAGAAAACCTCTCCCGTCCCAAAAAGACCACCCGACAGCATTGCCGGTAAACAAATTGATGGGTTGATTTGGGGCTCGTTTTTTCTAAAATTTCTTTGTTACACTAATTTTCCTTATCTTTGTTTAGTGAAAATAGCGGTTAAATAAGTTTTGAATCCACTTGTAGCTATAATTTGTATTTGCAGTGTGTTTAAAGATTGAGCTACTGTAACGTCTACATTAAAGCAAAACTTGACTACCGTAGCCCGTAGATGTTACAGTAACCCAAGCATTTCTACAGCACCGTAGAATTAAAAATTACTGTAAGATCGACTAACTCAAAGATTCGAAGCACTATTTCAAACTCTACCTGGCCATCCCATAGAAGATAAAGAGGAGAGTGCTCGTGAGGAAAGCGCCGAGAAAATGCGAGAATAGGTAAGGTTCGACCGTATTCGGAACATTCCACTCTTGACTGTGCTGAAAATTTTAAATTTTTCTAATAGAACTTGTATTGCTTACCGCAACGAGAGCCGAGATCGGAGTCAAAAGATTGCCGTAAATGAGACCGAGGAGAAGAGCGGTGATTGTGGCACTAAAAATGGCTAGATATTGATTTTTAAGCCATTTTCTAAAGCTATTGGACAACTTAGTTATTGAAGACTTAAACATGGAATGTCTGATGCATCTCCAGACTTTCTCTTACAACCTCTTTTGACTGATCTTTAGAAAAAATGCTACTTGAGTGCACCAGAAAGGACGCATTTCCATTTTTGAGCACAAAGTACATTCATATCTACCTCCATCTCATTTTTTCACCAAACTCACGCGATTCTCGTTGACGAGCACCCACTTTCCGCTTCATCTTCACTGGGTGACCTTAGCAAAGATTTTGTTCGATTCTCGACTTGATCTTGTTCAAAAACCTGAAATAAACTGATTGACTTTGTGCTTTAAAATTTGATTGTTCAGAAATTTTCTTGATGTTCTTGATTCTTGATGTTTTACCTTTGAATGTGAGGTGAAATTTGAGCGCAGAAGTGGACTCGATCGGCTTTTCACCGTCGTGCAGATGGCACCGCTAAAATTTTTGATTATCTACTAGCTATATTGATTTGGCAGATGCTTCAATGCTCAATGCTTTTCTAAAGTTTGCTTTTCCAAGTTCCATGATCAGCCTGAGCCGGCTCACTTACCCAACAATGACAGCGACAAGGCCCGTCGTGTTCAACCACGGGATCAATGACTCCATTTGGGGCACACCGAACAGACCGAATCTGAAGGGTTTTGATCAAATTTGCATATAAACTATTATTTTTAATACTTTTTAATGTCGATTTTTCTAATCCAACCTTCCAACAGCCCATCCAACCAGGCAAGTGGTCGCATTCCATAGCAACGGCGCCAGCGTCATCCCCAGTTTGGTCATGATCGGAACGGTGAAGCAGTTAGCTGAAAGTGAAAAGAATTTTAAAAATAGCAATTTGAATATATTGAAGAATTCGCATCAGGTGAATTCGCATCATTCTATGAGCCGGTGTTCTTTTCGTGTAAATCTATTTCTAAAAGGTGCGCTTAGGAAAAGTCACC